AATGACCCGGTTAGTGACACCTACAAATCATCCCTTGTGTAGAGATAGGAAAATCACCCACCCAAAAGTTTGTGTAGTTCCCCCAAACAAGCTAGAGTTCATTTAAAAGCTAGGCACAGTTTTGACTGTTCCTCTCAGGACTTAATGAGTGCAAACAAGATTTCCTTGGTATATTTATTTGTCTCTAGGCAGGTTTCTCAAGTCTCAGTGTTTTTCAGTGCATCCAGCCACCTATTAGGCAAAAGTTAAAACAAAACAAAAAAACCCTTCAGCTTTAAGAAAGGGGTTCAGGAAGCTGAGGGCTCAGCCCCCCCCCCCACAGCCCCCCTGCTTTCTGCTCTGCTCCTTTCCATTGCTAGACCTCGGATGAAAAGGGAAACATATTGTGTCTTATCCTATCACTTTGTTTGCAAACCAAAACATAGCACACAAATAGGCAATGTGGTGTCCTCCAGATGTTGGCCTGATTTTTAAAAAATATCTCCCGAGTGGTGTACAAATGAACTTGAAGATAAAACACAGCTGAAATCCACAGTCTGCTTAAAACAAAAAAAAACCCCTGCATGAAATCAAAATCGTTACATAATGAAAAACAAACGTTTAAATCAATAAAACTTTAAAACATATGTAAGTTATAAATTCTAAATCTGAATAGGTTTGCTGAAATAAAAACATTTTCAGCAGCCATCTACGAAAACATAGGGAGGGTGCAGGCCTACTGTCAATAGGCAGGGAGTTCCAAAGTTCAGGTGCTGCCACACTAAAAGACTGGCTCCTCATAAATGTGGAAGAGATATTATGCGGCACCTGTAAAAGTGCAAGTTCCTGACCAAAGCAATTGAATACACACATTTAGGACAATGTGATTTCTTAAGTAAATCAAAGTTAATTTAAAAATTAATTAAATGGAATGGGTGGGGGGGGGAAGTAAACATAAGCAAGTAAAGAAGGAAAACGTACCTGTTTAATCACACAGGACTGGGGACATTCCATTGCTACTAACCACCAACAGACGAATATGCCACAAAAGAATATGTCCTTAACAAAACATACTCTTTTGCCTCTGCCGCCTCATATAAGTAATTTATATATATTCTATGAATTGAAAATTGAGCAGCTATGTGTACTTTTGTTACCCAATAAAAACATTTTTTAAAAAAACAACAACACCCTAATTCATGTATTTCCAGAATGTGTGCTATAGTGTTATAGTGAATGGTAAAGAAAAGCTACATTTCCAGTGAGACCCTTTTCAAACATCTTGTTTGTAGTGCTTTTGCCTTCTTGTTCTGAGTGCGGTGCGCCACCTACTGTACAAACATAATCATTTCAAATTTTATACTACGGTATAGGCCTGCTTTCACACAGCCATTCTGAGTGTAACACCAACTACAAGAGAACGTAACAGCTCGGTTGAATCAGGCCAGTGGCCCGTCTAGTCCAGAATCATTTTTTCACAGTGGCCAACCAGATGCCCATAGGAAGCCTGCAAGCAGGTACATGATTACACCACCACCTTCCCTTCCTGCAGTTTCCAGCGGCGTAGCATGGGTTGCCAGTGCCCGTGGCCATGTGGAGGAACGGGAAACGTATGGAGTACACATGCACATTCAACTGCCTAACAGCATCTGCGTCACCCAGGAGATCACAGCTGCAGAGATAAGAAGAGTCGTTCCGTTGTCTGGAGAGGTCGTTCCCTGGTTCACACGGCCTGGTTTTCAACGGAGCCCAGCAACGGAAGCATGCAACTGTGTTGAGGCAGGACTGGATGTTGAAACTGTCCGCCCCCCCCCTGGTTCAGACGCATGCTGCGTCTGAGCAGGGAAGTGAACTGATGGCTTGCATGTATGGCTGTCAAATGCTCCTCTCTGCAGAGTAACACGGTCAGAACTTTTGTACCCTAAAATGTCAACTCAATCTTTTCAAAGGAGAGACTACACATATCCAGATGGGAGGCAGTGGAATTTAGCAGCGAGAGATCAAGCGGCACCAGCTGCTTGTTAGTAGGTTGAAACTGACATGTAGCATTCACAATCATATCAAAGGTCTCTTGCACACCAGAACTTCCATGCTACAATCAGTGTAGGAGACACGCCTATCTGAATTCCCTATTGTACGCTATGTTTAAAGACACAGAAGGCCCTAGGGTCTAGAATTAGCAGCCACATACCCCCTTGACTCCTCCTAACAAAATGTAGTCAAGCCACTGCCCACCTTTGCTTCAAAATTCCTGCCACTGAGTTTTCCAATGTCCAAGTTCTGTTATTCTCTGGCCTCCTTTTCCAAAAACCTTTCTGGTCCTCAGCCTCCTCTGTGCACCACCTTTTTCCGTAGGGCCTGAATGAGGTAACAAAACTGACAGCTTTTTTTCCCCCCTCACAACAGCTGGGCTGCGAATATTTGTGTTGCCAGCACAGTTGTTTCCTGAGCTTCTGGCACATGTTCTACAACACTACTATAGGATGGGAGGGAGGGCTCACTGCCTTTAAGCACAATAAAAATTGAGATGAACAGCGAAACACGCACAAGGCAGGATGAGTCACAGAACAAAAAGAATAATAGAAGTTCCTCTATGAGCCCTCAATATTTCGTCCTTTAGAAAAGGCGTTCTCGCTACGGCCTTTTGGGCTGAATAAGGCCTTGTGTGGATGCCAATTGTTTTGGCTACCAGTTGGCTACAGCCCCTTACCTTGCATCCTGATTACTACGAAATTATTGTCCCCAGCTGTGATCTGTAAAATGTACTTTCTTTTCTGTGAGTTATTTATCACATGCAGGGCAGGGAGGTTAGGGGGACGACAGGTCTCTTGTTAAGTGGCTACCTGACCTTGTCTCTTTGTTGTTTTTAAACCAGCAAACAAGTTTAGCACCCTGCTGTTCTTTAGTTGGCTGTCCTGCGGCTACTATCCTATTTGAATGGCACTCAAGACCTACTAGGCAAGAGCTATTGTTGTGAAGCTGCCCTTATTCTACCAACAGGTGGTGCTGCTGACATAAACACCCTGGGTTATATATAGTGGACAGTACAGTGCGAAAATTTCCATGCCAGGCATGGAAAATAAAAAGACAACATATATTTAGGTTCTAGCACGTGCTGGATGTAATTTTCATTTGGAGGGTAGCAGTTGGCTCCTGTGTTTAGAAAATAATTCATTCGACGTTAACAAAACAAGCAGCTCTATCCATAAGCACTTAAATCAGCATAATTGACTCAGAGCAGATTTATGCCTATCTCAGGACGAACTTAGTGAATAAGGGCTTAAAAGAGGGGGTTGTCAATCTGCCCTGTGATAGAACTAACTGGCTTTCATTCTGCTGATTACCAACAGAAGCAATCCAATGCAATTTCATTAACTGCTTTCTCTCTGCTTTTTCAGCGTATTAAGGGCCAGTTCACACATGCTTTCACATCTTTCGTCTTCACTTTGACAGGCTAAACATACCCAATTCTCTTAACTGTTAAGTTTCAATATCCACTATACCTAATACTCTGTATTGAGAAGAAAACAGTCCTTGCCATATTTCTGTCCTGGCAGCCAACAGCAGAGGTGGAGGGAATTCATGGCTAACTGAGAATATTGGTCTTGCAGGCCGATTGAACCCTGCAGTTTCCAGGGCATTAGGATTCAATAAGCTATATGAGCAGAACAGGTAAGCTGGGCACAAATTCCAAGAGGTCTGCCAAAATACTGAAGGCCCCTGTTTGACTATTACTGAATGAATTGCATGGAAAAGAAAAGTAGTATTAGACATACAAAGAGCAACACTAGTCTTGGAAACAATTTCTTTTGTACAGAAAAAAACACATTGTACTTGGGTGGGTGGGGTTTATACCTCTAGAACCCAGCATGTAGTCTAAGGACACCATCATACAGCAACCTCACTGAAGCTAAGCAGCTCTGAATCTGGTCAGTGCCTAGATAGATGACTGCGTGAGAACTTTATTAGTCCAAAATGCTGCAGCTACATCATTTAGTGGAAAACTTGGGAGATGCAGATGTTACAGCTGTGCTGAGGGAACTGCACTGGCTACCAATCAGCTTCCAGGCCACGTTCCAGATGTTGTTGTTAACATATAATGTTCTGAATGACTTGGGGCCAGTTTACCAGAAAGACCACCTGTCTCTACGTATACCTGTAAGATCACTTAGATCATCTGGGGAAATTATATTTGTGGCACCCCATCCCACAGTATATCATAGGGCAGCAACACAAAAAGTGGAATTTTCTGCTATTACCCCTGTACGGTGGAATGATCTTACCATTGCCTTGCATGAAGTAGCAACCACAAGTTTTTTCAGATGTCTTGGGAAGACCAATCTTTTTGCACAGGCTTTCCCTGACCTGTAAGATTCGACCCTGATTTATGTGTATGAGTCCTTGGAAATCTGTTTTACTTGTTTTATGTGCTTTATACGGCTGATTTACTGGCTTTCAGCTCTATCTGTTTCAATGGATACTGTTTTTACATTGTACATAGGGAATTTTGAAATATTAAGTAGTTTAGAAATGCCAATACGGAAAAGTTAAAGGACCCCTGGATGGTTAAGTCCAGTCAAAGGTGACTATAGGGTTGCGCCGCTCATCTCGCTTTCAGGCCAAGGGAGCTGGTGTTTGTCCACAGACAGCTTTCCGGGTCATGTGTCCAGCATGACTTCTGGTGCAACAGAACACTGACGGAAACCAGAGCACACAGAAACACGATTTACCTTCCCGCAGCAGCAGTACCTATTTCTCTACTTGAACTGGTGTGCTTTCGAACAGCTAGGTTGGCAGGAGCTGGGACAGAGCAACAGGAGCTCACCCCATCATGGGGATTCAAACTGCCGACCTTCTGATCAGCAAGTCCAAGAGGCACAGCACCACCCTTGTCCCCCCAAAATGCCAATACATACAGGTACATACATACATACACTGTCTTGGGTTCCACAAAAGAAAGGAAAGATATAAATATAACACATAAATACATTTCCAGCTAGTTACAAAGCAACTTCACAACTGCATTACAAAACATTGTTTATTATAAACAGATCAATTTAAAGGTTATAAAAAGCATTCACCAAGTAAGTCACCCAAGAAAACACAATTAGAACCTTGTTCTTTTTAGGCACAAAGTAAAGGAATCAGATCTGCACCATATCATGCATTCTTCCAACAAAATAAAACACCATCACCGACATTCTCGTAAGTGCACTTATATGAAAAAAATGACTGAGACTGGTTCACATACTGGTCATGTCATCTTAAAATTACAAACAAGATAGGCATACATAGTATAGCTTACAGTTGGGGTTTTTAAAAAACAACAATAGGTGATTTAGAAAATCACATTTACAACAAGCAAATGCATAACAGCGTGCAATACAAGATTACAGAGTGCTTCTGCTGAATTAATTCTTTGGTTTTGATCAAGTGCAAAAAGAGTGAAGGCTTCTATCATGGGACAGATTTGCAACCTAAAAAACCACCCTGCCATTCGTAAAGGATGGGCACAATCTACTGGAAACCACCTACCAAAGCTCTATTACAACAACATGATTTTTAGATTGTGCCCATAGTTACATCAAAAAGTTCATTAAAGACGGCATTCTGCATAGCAAACAATTAAAAAATGGATTGCTACTCAAAAAGTGCAAATATGGGTTCTCCATGGTGGGCTATATTATTTGGAGTTCACATCAGCTTCTCAAACCAGTGAAAAATATGGTTGGATCCCCCAGCCCATTTGTGAAATCTTTGAGGGGCTAGAGGCTGAGATTATCTGACTAAAACAGAGAAAAGATAGCATTATGAAGGAAAAGAAAACCACTTCCTCTATCTTTATGGTTCCATAAATCAACATAATGCTAATGCAAAAGGAAGTGTGCCTAGTACAAGCTTACAAAGCCATCCTACTAACATTGAGAAGTTGGTAAAAGGAATACAAATCAAGGAAGTGAGGACAATGGTAGTGATATGATTTAGGCTATTTCTAGGGACAGTTCACACTATCAAATTGCTCCAACTGAACACAATCAAGAAAAGCTAGCATGAACTGGGTTATATAGTGGGGAACTGCAACCATCTCTGTGATAATGGTTGCAGAGAAGAAGTACAGCTATGAAAGATCATGGAAATAGTTGCCACCTTCCTGGATGTACAACAGCAGTAATCACTGACCTCTCTAGTCATGCAATGTCGTAAAGGAATTGGCCCCTACTGACTCCTCCAATTGACCTTGGATTAGCTCCTTTGTATATGCTCAGAGGATGGGTTGTTCAAGAGAAGCATTGCCTCCCACACCACATCTACCTCTTAGAACTGGTGTTGGAAGCTTCAAAGACAAAAAAAACCAGATTATTCACTTTAGTGCAATTTTCCATGCCATCCTATCATGCTCAAGTTTTATAAAAGAGAAAGAGAATAAGTAGACCTTGAAGAAGCAGATATGCTTCTATGACAGTGGGGAGCATCTGCAATTGACGTGATTTTAATGTGTTCAACATGCAGCAGCAGTAAACATTAATTTCACGGATAACTGAAATATACTCTTAAACTGAGGATCCATTCAATAAGGTGTTTGTGCTTTAAAAGATCTTGCAAGGAAGGCATGCAGGAAGAGTCTTCTCAGCAATCTGTTCTTGCATGCCCAGCCTGACTGATGAGCTCAGTGCTTGCCATGCATTTCCTTACAGTCGTTCTACTGATTTAAGCTGTGATCCTAAATACCATTACTAGATAGCAAGTCCTACCAAACTTAAGAGTGACTTATTTCTAAGTAAATAGACTTAGGATTGCAGTGTTGGTAACTGGATGGCAAAGTTCTTTATTGCCATGGTGAACTGGTTTTTCTCAGCCAGTCTACTCAGTTATTTGATTTGGGTGCTGAGAAAAGACAGGGAGTTTTCCATTATCAGTTGTCTCCACTATTAAAAAAAGGAACAGCGTTCCATCAAGGAGGCCAGGTCTGACCTCCAGAAATACTAATGGAAAATTTGTGGTTGCCTGTAAGGCTGCAACAAGTAATCCCACTCCTGCTCTTCTTTTGAATTGCGTTTTTCAACCTTCACATAATCAGCCGGTGTTACCAGCAGGAAAACACTGCACTTTCTTACTAGTAATACCTGCATAGGGCCAAAGACTTAATGGTTGAAACATTCCAAGACAAGGAAGAGATAATGAAGAATCAGTTTAAAACATTTAAAAAAAAATAATTCTGAAACTGCACACTGTTCTTAAAAGGTGATATGGCTTTCCCTAATGGCAAGTTTTCTGCAGCAATCAAACAAGGGCATCAAACAATGCTCTGGGCTTTTGGTACAAACATTTACAAGTTACATGGACAGTAGCCCAGAGCACTCAAAATGCCATGAGACACTTAAAATTTGCATTCATTTCTAACTGAAGTATTTGACCAATGCATATCATCTGCCGAGAACTTCTCCTGCCAAAGTCAGTCACGACTAAGTTCCCACTGAAAGAAAAACGAGACTTTTCCTAGCCGTGACTAATAGCTCCCAATGTTTTTAAAATGGGACTTAGTCAAGACTAAGTTGTTCCTTAATATTTTAAGTTAACAAGGGAATCTAATGTATTCAGGAACAGCACCGTGGCATTCTGTTTGTCTCTGCATTGTTGCCTATGCCTTTTTAAAGTTCACCCAAAAAATAAAAAATTAACTATATTTTAATAACCCAATTTCCCTATTGCAGAATATAAACACAAAGGAGAGTTATATTTCTGGTATGTAAAAGATGGGACAATCCACTGACCAACCAAATACAAATCCTAATAATGCAGGATCAGCTGCATAAAAATATATATTTAGCTCAGTAAAATATATTTTAGAAAAATCAGAAAATTACATTGACTAGAGATTCATTCTTTAAGATCTTCCATCACTCAGCTCAGCTAGCAATTGAATATTTCTTGATTGTTAAGATTTGGGAACCTGAGGTTGTCGGATTTGGTGTTTTTAAAAAAGATACCTGGCTTACAGCTGTTTCGGAAAAGTGGGTCTTCTTCTGCTTCCTTGAAGAGATCCCTACAAGATCTGTGCAGGGAAGACTTGAATCCAACGGTAAACATGAATAAATTTAGCATCCAATGTGGTTTCATCAGGTGTGCATATTCTGTAATAAACCTCTATTTTTCTTCCCTCCTTTCCTCTCATGCTATCCCCAAGTTCTCCTTCATCTTTTCATATACCACGTAACTGATGCTGACAGCAGGGAGCACCTTCATGAAGTTAGGGGCTATGCCTCTGTACAGTCCCAGGACTCCCTCCTTAGCAATAATCCTTTGGAAGAGACCGACCATGGATAACTGAGGGCCACTTTCTACCATGGCTATGGAAAAAAAGGAGAAAGAAAGAGACATGTATTACTTAAAAGTATCATTTTAAAAGTATTCTAAAGTTAACAAAGAATAGAATGTGTTTTTCATGCACTCAATCCTTCGGTAGCGTCAACATTCCAGAAAGAGGTTCGCTGCCTCACATGCTGCTTGTGTGAAGCAGGCATTTGTCTCAAGCAGCTTTTGCCAATGCAGTGTCCTCCAGATGTTTCGATTTACAGCTCCCATCAGCTGCAGCCAGCACAGCTGTGCTGATTGGGGTTTATGAGAATTGTAGTCCAAAACGTATGGAGGGCCCCATGTTGGCAGAAGCTGGTCTGGTGTATTTCAAAAGGGTGGCTTAATTCTGGGAAGTAAAGTAATTGCTGATAGCAGGTAGTCTAGAGAAGAACCTACCAAGAAAAAAAGGAAAATGTGGCCAAACTCTTAGTAGGCAATAGCACCTAAAGTATTAAAGCCTTGGTAGCTTGCTCAACAGGGAAGCGGGTGGCGCTGTGGGTTAAACCACAGAGCCTAAGACTTGCCGATCAGAAGGTCGGCGGTTCAAATCCCCGTGACGGGGTGAGCTCCTGTTGCTCGGTCCCTGCTCCTGCCAACCTAGCAGTTTGAAAGCACGTCAAAGTGCAAGTAGATACATAGGTACCGCTCCGGCGGGAAGGTAAACGGCGTTTCCGTGCGCTGCTCTGGTTCGCCAGAAGCGGCTTAGTCATGCTGGCCACATGACCCGGAAACTGTAAGCCGGCTCCCTCGGCCAATAAAGCAAGATGAGCGCCGCAACCCCAGAGTTGGCCACGACTGGACCTAATGGTCAGGGGTCCCTTTACCTAGCTTGCTCAACACAGGTGAACAAGCTCCTATGCCACAGACACCAACACTCACCTTGAGCCTGCATTCGAGTGCGGATGAGGGCAAGAGGATAACTGGCTAACTGGCCACATGTACTGGACGCGGTACCACATGCCAGCAGTACAAGTACACCAGGGTTGGCAGAGTCTGTTGCATATTTTTCTAGCCAGTTCTTCTTCAAAGCCTGCCAAGAGAACATTGATGCAGTTAATTGAACTTTACCTTAAAAAAACCCATAATGGCCAAGTATTCACATGAGAAACATGTCAGGCCAATTCCTAAACTCACTATCAGCATATTTTACAAGTGCATATTAGTCCATGAGCGGCGGGACAGACTCTCATCTCTTCCCAACCTGACAGCACAATCCTAACCATGTCCAGTCAAAGGTAAGTCCTACTGAATTCAGCAAGCCTTACTCCTGGGTAAGTGGGGTTAAGGATTGCAGCCTAAATTAGTTGTAAGATTTTATAGTCATGCCTGCAGCGTAATGAATGAAGTAATAAGGGGTTTCATAAGCACTGGGAAGCTATGGAACATGTTAATTATCACCTGTTTAAAAAAAATCAGTTACGTAGATGGGAGAGAAATTAGACTTAAGTACACTTGTTAGTGAAGCTGGTGCAGGGTATTACAGAACAAGAAAGCACGACATCAGCTAATCAGAGTTGGCATAATAGATGGCTGACAGGTAGCAAACGCAGAAAACAGCAGTACAAAATTATTTCAGCATGAGGCATGCTTAAATGTGTTAAGATTAATGTATTGCAGTTATAATGAGAGGAGGCTGCTTTATAAATGACAGCAGCTGTGGGGCTAAGTAACGTAGCATGAACCTCAGAAAGGCAGCAGTGTTGGAGAACTATTTCTAGTTAGTCTGTTTGCTAACTCCTAAAAAACCTACACATTTACTGTGGCATAAGCTTTTGTGGAGCAGACCTCACTTTGCAAAGTAGCTTTGTTAGGGTCTTGCTGTGCTAACAGCACTGTTCAAACCCTGTAAGTGTGGGTTTCACTGAGTTACCCAGGGTTAACAACAGCCAGCGTGTTTAATATTGGTTTGTTTTCATTGTTCCTTATATAAACTGACATCTGAGATTAATGGATTTGAACAAGCAGTCTCCTACACCCATTCTCACCCAGTTAATCCCTCTCTACACTCTCCCAGCTGTTAAAACTTCCCAAACACCACCCCACTATTCCACACATCCTTCAACTTCCCCCACTTACCTTAATATCCCACGCACCAAATAGTCTCTTCCTCAGACCCCACTAAACGCAAACCCCAACCCTACATTGGCAGATACCGTGCCTGTGTGCATACACATGCACATGTTAGAAGGGTTTGTAAAAAGTCTAAGGACTGAAATACAGAACCCAAATATATACAAGATATACTTTCCTTATTTGGAAGCCACTGATCATCGTTTACCAGGATTGCATGTAAGCAGGAAACAATGGCTAACGATGGCAGATCTGATTTGTTTTGCCACTCAGGAAGGGACGAGTGAATTGGCAGTAAAGGAGATGCATGCACACAATTCATGTATAGCTTGGCTCATTAACCCAGAACGTGATCATGTGAACCTGGCTATAGTATTGACACCAAAAGGAGGAGAAATTACTTTTTGCAGTTAGACTCGCTAAATAATTCTGGTTCAGCGACTTCACTCTTTCATTACAAAATTAAAAATATATGATTTTGCCGTGCTGAGATTTCTGCTTGCTGAAAAGTGGAAACAGCAAACGTTTAGACAGCTACTCAGCAGTCAATCTACATTACACCCTACAGGCTAACTTGTATCACTGTGCAGGCCAATTGTTATCTCAGCAAATAATACTTGTTTGTCTGGTTTCCAGGCATATTAAACTGAGTTAAAATACCTAGAAATAGCACCTGTTGCAATCCTACCTGGATTGTACTTCAAACTATAGGTGGGAGAGTGCATGTTTGAATGCTACCACACATTTTTAAAACTTCCTGAATACAGAAAACTAGCATGCCCGGGGGGGAATAAGCTAAAAAAATTCTTCCGGTTTGCCATATGCAAGGAGTCTTTAGATGAGGAATCCAGTCAGACGTGCAGCCTCTCTGTTAAGAGTTCAGAAAGGACTATATCACATATTTTTCTGCACATCTGAATCAGTTCTTAAGAGGGTTGTGACAGAGAATGGTCACACAACAATAGACCTATGTCCCTGCAGGAACAGTCATTCAGAAAAAGATTTAATGCATATAATGAAGGTTACATCAGATTCAGGTGTAAATACGTTTTTACAGGATTCACTAGGCTAATGAATACCCAAGCAGTAGTGAAACAACAACTACACCAATGCAACACTGCAAATACACAAAATTATGCTGAAGGTTCAATTATTATTAAGGTTATGTAACACACAAATATCTGGTTATGCTTGGCACCAACTGGCAAAGTATTTACAGTGGTTCCTCGGGTTACATACACTTCAGCTTACAGACTCTGCTAACCCAGAAATAGTACCTTAGGTTAAGAACTTTGCTTCAGGATGCGAACAGAAATCATGCTCCGGCGGTGCGGCAGCAGCAGGAGGCCCCATTAGCTAAAGTGGTGCTTCAGGTTAAGAACAGTTTCAGGTTAAGAACGGACCTCTGGAACGAATTAAGTTCTTAACCCGAAGTACCACTGTACTTGGGAGTCATCCTTCTAGGAATGTGTTGAGCTACTCCAGAGTAAATAGCTTGGAGAATGGAATGGAGAGTGTTTTATTAATCACAATTTAATTCCATTTATATCCTGCCTTTTGTTCAATGAGCTCAGGGTAGTACACACAGGGATTAGTCCACTTCATCTACACAACAACCAGATCAGTGAGGCAATACCTGGAACAAGGTAGTCAAATGAGCTTTGGCAGGCATTGAGTTAAGCAGACATGCGAACCTGGGTCTCTTTCCCCAGTCTAGGCCTAACATAACTATGTATTGTACAATGCTCCTTTAGTTATATTGTCATGGGATATGCCAGTGAACTCCACTCACCTCATAAACAGCCAGATCTATGCCAGCATAAGGAATGATGCCCAAAATATTGGGAATATAACCTTTGTAAAAAGCCTTCACGCCTTCTCCTTTTAAGATCTTCTTAGCACAGTCAAACATTCCAGAGTATTGCCCTGTTTTACCCACAGCCAGTCTGGTCTTTAATACCTAAGGTGGAGAAAAACTGTTGAAGCTAATCAAAATACTGCATTACTAAAATCTGTATGTATGTATGCATGCATGAATGAGCACAGAGCACACGCGCACGCACACACACATGAGCACGCACGCGTGCGCACATGCAGAGAGAGAGAGAAAGAGAGAGAGCTGTATTACCAAAGTTGGTAGAAGGCACTCCTAGCAGGGGTAGATTTAGGGCTGTGGAAGTGGTGTGCACACAATGGGCACTAAACTCAAAGCTTGGTAAATGAGGCACTGGGCTTTGGGAAGGAGGCGTGAGGCTCAGACAAGGTCCTAGTTTGTGCTTTTCCAGCTTTGGGAAGGAGGTGGGAGGGCCCTGGGACCCTGCCTGAGCCCTTGTCTCTCCCTCCCAAACCAAGGTGCTTACTTACCTGCCTTTGGGAAGGCAGTGTGAAAACTGGGGTGAGGGGAGTGCCAAACTTTGGGCTCACACAGGGCGCCATAGTACCCAAGTCTGCCACTGCTCCTAGCCGCTAAGGTTGCCTGGGGCCTCTGATAACAGAGATCCATTGCATACCAACTCGAACTAATGCTTCATCCTCCTCGATCCTTCTTAATCTCACTAGGAAAACCTCCATGGTCTCAAGCAGGTGCCATTCCCAGTTCTGATACCCAAGATGAGCCTTCATGCATGTGAAGTGTGCATTCTGCCAATGATCTAGGATCGCTCTGCAGCAACAGGCTTAAAACAGCACTCACCTCGGTTCAAAGATTTGGAAATAATTTTTAAAGAAGTTTGCAGAATGCTGGCCAAAGTGCTGACCACACTATCTACAAAAAAGCCGCTTCTCAGAAAAAGGATAGATGGTGCATGTTCACAAACAGAGCAGGTCAATCCAAAACTGACCTCCATGGGATAAATAGAAGTCTGTGCAGTTGCTCCAGCCAGGGAACCAGATATAAACCTTTCTGCAGTGCCGATCTTTCCCCCTTCATCAACGAACATCTTCTTATACTGAATATTAAAACACACAGTGATAGAAAAGGTCACATTCTTCCCCATATAGTCACAAGCAGCTAACAGAACCACTTAGCAGGATCAAGAACACAGGCCATGTTAGTTTGTGGGAGGAGTTGCTGGTCTACATGGCAAAGTCCTGCACATAGGCAGCTCACTGTTGCCACAATAATGTCTCCATCCCTTGTGTAAATCTCTATGATGGGCTGCTGTTGAGTTTCTTTGACAATGCCAACCATCACCCAACTGAGGATGTGAAGAGAGGCACTCTCAAGTGTCTCTTCCACAGTTATAGAGCATCCTATCCTGGAGATTTTTCATCTCTGCCTCTTAATGGGTGAAGACAGTTGTAATGTTTTTATAGCAGCGCAACAAATCTCATGTTCTTCCAACTGAGCAATCCTAGCTCCAATTCCAGAAGGGACCACAATGAGCGCAGATGAAAAATACTTTCCCTTTCCAGGACCAGGCTCTGAAGATACCTGCTCTGTATGTTATAGTAGCAACTTCTGCAAGGAGATTGACTTGCTGGCACCTGTGATATCACTAAGTCACCTCCTTCACCACTCCAGAGCAGTTTTGCAACTATTTTTAATCTGTTTTATATCTATACACACACACACACCAAACCACAAATAAATAAGATTGCAAATGCTTAAATGAAAAATGCACATGCCACTCTTTTTTATTATTATTTAAAATCCCTGAAGCAAAGCTGATGGTTGAATCAGCACCTGATTCACTGGTCTGTCATTTCAACTGAGAAACTGGGCTTACATCCTGATTAAGAGGCCTGACAAGATTCATTATTTCCATATTTCTTTCTCTCCGAACCTCAGCATTTTTCTAATTAATTTCTAGTTAACCGCCCCGCCCCGCGCCCCCCCCCCCCATATCGCAGGCAGAATCAGAATCAACTGATTACGGTCAAGCGATATGGACATATACAGCAATAGAGAATATGTAAATAAAAGCAGGTTAAAATTAAACTCTATAAGATAGAAAACAGTAAATAATACAGATGTAAAGCCTTTGAAATATGTAGATTAAATCCTTAATCACTAATTTAAAATGTTTGTGTTAAGACATTGGCCATTAGATTCATTCAGAGCTTGTAGCAGACAGCGCCGCGCAGAGCAAGGAACTTTGTCATCAACAGACATTGGTTTTTTATCTGACCCAGAATAACAAAGCTCAAGACTTCAGCCATTTTCTCCCTCTTTTCAACATGTGTCAGAAAATATATTTTCAGTTTGTTTGTTTTTAAGATACCGTTGGGAAACACAGCATTTCTAGTTCAATTTCCAAGCCAGTGTAGTGAGTTGTACCCTAGGTTTACTGCGCAAAGTTGAAATCCCCATTTAGGCATGAAACATGCAGGATGAGCCCCAAGCAAGTCACTCTCAACTGAACTGACTTTGCAATACTGTCGCACAGATAAAATGGGTCTATTCTGTGTGTGTGTGCGTCATCCTGCGTGACTTGGAGGAACGGCAGGATATCTATGTGACTTTTTAAAGCACGTTTTTATGATTTAGCTTTCAGAAGTTTGCGATTCAAGGGGAACACTGGTAAAAGTAGGAGGAGGAGAGCTAAAGTTCCATCTCAGGAGGCACTTTCTCCAGCAGGAGGATTAGGATGTTATATAACCTACTAAAGCTGATTCAGAGGTAAATATAACACTGAAATCCATGGTGAGGCCCATCTTACTACAGCTGACCTTAGAAGAATCCTGGCCGTGAAGTGCAGGATGGGCTAATCAACATTTTGCCATACAAATGCTGACGTAGAGCTGAGGTGACAAGGCTGAAACCCAGCATGTGGTAGTGAACATTTTAAAGCGCCTTTGAAATCAAATTACCCAAGATTTTTTCTTTCTCAAAGGTAAGAAAGAAAGAAAAATAAAACAACTTCATACATTGCACAAACGGAACTTCTTGTGTGCTCAGCTGGCTTTCCTTCATTTCATGCCGATCACTGTCATTTAACATCTTACCCGTTCATACGCCCAGAACTTAATAGCTGTTTCAGGTGCAATTTTAACAACATTGACACCATTTCCTCTCCAAAGTGAACGGATGCCTCCTTCTTTAACCATCTGCTGCAAGCCACCTTTTATGTTCATTTTCCCCTTTGAGCCATGGACCTTTAGCAAAGAAAGAGAAAACATAATTGTTTGATACACATAGAAAGCTGAATTGACAGTATAACACTTCTTTTCTTTCTAAACAGAAATGAAGTGTGCAAACCCTTTAAGGAGGGAGTCATTCCAAATTCTATGCTAGCTGTTACTTTTCCTGGCTTACACCTGAAACACAGGTTAAGGCCTAAACAACATGTTAAGCAAAGACAAATCCCTCCGCATTTTTAAAATCCCGAATCAGCCTGGGGCAAGCTGTATCTTAAATAGTGAAGGAAAAGAAGGAAAAACTGTCTAACCCTTTCCCTTCCTGTACTTTTTCAGTTCAAAGCTGTCCTCTTTAAAACAGTTTCTTAGTTGGAAGGTAGAACTTTCACCCTACAGATCAAAATGTAGCTGGTGAGGAGGGAGATTTTGAGGAGGAAATAGCTGGCAGGGAAAGGGTTAACCAGCCCTGCCCTCATTCCACTAATATACAGCCTGAGCTGCTTTCAGTTAAAAACCAAGAACAAAACCCTACTATAATATATGGTCTGAGACTAAGGAAGTTCAAAAATAAATACAACTGCATGCCCATAAAAATACACTGCAGATATTACATTGCCTCCAAATGTGATTTTTTCCCCCAGGAACAGATTGCATTCTACAATGCCAAGTCTTCTTGGCATTACATGTGATGAGGACATGCACTGCTTACATGATTTTTACTCAACAGATCTAGCAGTCAAGTAATGGCACTGCATTTAGGGCCGGATCCAATGTTGCAGTTCTGGGGGATTCTCCAGAACACATTTACGGGGTATGGGGGGGGAGGGAGGAAACAGAAGTTCTGTTTTGCTAGCAGAACAGAAACAACCTGTAGAGAATCAGCAGCAAGATGCGTCCAACATCCTAATGCTGAACTAAGAAGAAAAGATTCCAGACACAGACCTAAAGCTGTAATCCTATCACATTTACCTACTCTAGTCAACAGGGCTTATCTTTGAGCTTGCACTGAAAGCCCCAGTCAATTAGTAAGTCCTTCCTGCATATATTCATGTTATATTTAAGTTAACAACCCATTGCAACAAATGCATTTCCCATTTACATAATGACTAGCACTCGTGGGCTCTCTAAAATAGGTTCCTGTAAATAACCTCTTTATACACGGAGCTTCTCTCAAAAACAGCTGGTATCTCATGATTCAATTTTATTTCTTAGGAAGGGCAAGAGAAGATACCCAATAGGCCAAAGAGGCACAAAACTTGTCAGCCCTGTCCCAGAAGGCCTTGGACTCAAACAGCAGCACACGGGGCAAATTACTATGGAAAGAGCAGGCACTTCCCCAAATCTTTTTTGATTCAACATGGCGGCCTGCTCTTCAAAATTAAAAATCACACCAGGTGTGTTCAACGCTTTGGGCACAGCATGTCTAGATATGGACCTGGGGGCTAGGCTTTAAAGTAACCCACCTGCATCATGACTTTAAGGCGGTCCAGTGGCGCTGTTCCCGTTCGAGATACTGCACCAGCAACCCCTCCTGACAAAAGCTGTCTCCACCACTGCCCAGTCTTTTTCTCCTCTTCTGTGAATTCATCTGGGATAGTCAAACTGTCTCCAATGTCCAATACCTGTTAAGATGCAAAGCAAAAGAGTTAGATCAACATCCAACAGCCTTGCCTTTCAACAAAGAGCCCTCATGGTTACAGAACTCACACGAGGGCAATTCCAAGCAGAAGAGAAAGGAAGCATACGTATTTTTTCCTGACTACATCTGAAACTGTGCAGTCTAAAAACCCACCATTTCAAAAACTGCGCCATCATCATTAAAAATGATGGTAAATTTCTGCCTCGTATACTTCTGTAAAAGAGACATGGCATGGGGGCGAGTGACGCTTTCCAGACACAGTGCTGAAATCCTAATGGCTACAAAGCACAGTTCGACTTTCTTCCCGGCAGCTTTTAAGGATTACCAAGATTAACCTTTTGACAACTTCCTAAAAAGATTATCAGCCCAGTTACTTGTAATTCATCCAAGTATTTTTATCTCCATTGAATTATTATGTTATTTAAAAAAAATAAAAAATAAAAGACACCCATCTTGCTTTGCAAGATAATCAGTTTGGCAAATCTATTATTAGTTCGCCCCCCTTCTACCAGATTGCATGATTCAAATATAGTTTATTGGTATTTTTACATGTATAAAACACAATCCTTTCTATTTCAGCAGACAGGTTAAGCAAGTTGTCCTATGCCTATTTACAGAACTTGATTACCAGTACTTTTTCTTTGTTTGAAACACGACATTGTTGTCTTTCTTATTGTGGTGCAAACTGCTTTTTGACCATCTGTGGTATAAAGTAGTCTATATTCAAACTAAACCTTAGCCTGGAGGGCCTCCAGATTTTCTTCACTCCCTGCTTTAAACAATGCAGTAGCACTGGTTTTTTTTCCATAGGATGCTGCTACAACATTAAAAGTTATGCAACCACATGAACACAGCCAGTTTGCACATGTTCTTATCATGGAATTGTTACTGCTATGAAACAGTTGTGTTGTGAAGTCCAGGGCAATGGTTGTGGGCTTTGAAATGCTGCAGCAGTTCTATGGGATGAACCAACAGGAAATTTGCTACTATGGTGGCCATTCTCATGGTTAAAAGGAATGAATCTTTGATAAAATTACTGAAGAAAAAAAGAGAACAATTTTCTATATAAGTAGTTTAAATATAGACTTTTCCTCTTCATAATTCACTAACTAGCTTACATTTTGGCACCATGATCTATATAAAAATCTATTTCATGATATAATTCGTCAGGCCTCAAAAGACATCTCCAATAAACTGAAGTTGTAATGGGCTTATAATGTACGTATGCTTTTAAGACGTATTTAAGCTACAGTCATAGTCTATCAATAATACTGGTATTTTAATTTTAAATATCAATATTCTCTCAGATTTTACTCATCTTTTAGACACCCTGTCAATTCAAAATGCAGCTGCTCTTAAACTCTGATTCTAACTCTATCAGAAATGGGATGAAATCAAACAGAATTCAGCTTGACAGCCACACTTTTTAACAGTGAATTACAAACTGAGAATTCAGAATGGAAATGTGCATTTACATTTGCAAGAGTTTATTATAAACAAACCTATTTTCAAGACACTTTGGATTACTAGCTAAACCTTTTCTCCTCAGTATTCCAAACCCAAGCAACCGCTTCTATACAAGGTTTGGCATGTTCTAAGAATAATTCTATCTATGCTCTTCAAAAAGAGGGTTGCTGCCACCAGCCCCAAACTCTCTATATTTTGATCCTCCTCCAAAATAGGAGACCTCTTTAGAAGGATGTTCTAAAATAAACATATTTACCAGGTAACCATTTTCACTGACTTCAATGGGACCCCACCCCCCCTACCTACAATAAGCATACATAGAGCCATAATCTTAATGGTAGCAGAGCCACTGCAGCTTGAGGGTTACAGTAGCAGCCTAAGACTGGTGGGACCAAAGCATGCCCCCAACATGCACTTCTGCAAACGCAACTCATTAGTAAATCCTGCTCAAATTTGTCTGCACTATGACTACCATAAGAAATGTAATGCATACTCACTGTAGAATGTTTCCAGTATCGAATGATTCCTTGAATGTCTGTAGCAGGATTAAATAGGAAATGGTCCCGCCATTCATTCCAGTCCACTGACATTGTCCCGTCAGCATCTATGCTAAAAATTCAAAGTGATATAATTAGAATTCCATGCAATATTCAAAACAAACCAACTTCTAGCCATGCATAGTGAAGCTTTGGTTTGTTAAATCAACTGGAGTTTGTTATGAACCAGAGCTCCTGGTTCACATACAATGATAACTTAAGCTTCTAGTGGTATTAAGTGAGTTTACACTTTGTATATTTGTGTACAAAAAGATGAGGTTTACTCGGGCTTGTTCCAGCTTGAGCATGTCAGGATAAACCATAGTATAGTGTGCAAAGATGGCCACAGAGAAGCCATGGTTTAGCTTGTCAACCTAAGTTATGCTTCTAGAAAATAATGTAAAAGATTATATCAGCAAGACTCACTTGTCACCAAGCAAAGAGAGAGGCTGGGAAATAGTTACATATCCCAGTGGGATGAGACTTCAGCAGCGGGGAGGTGGCCTCAATGCTACTCAATTTAAAATAATAGCAGGTGCTGACCTTTGTAGAATCTTCGTTGCTTGTTTTTCTGAAATATCTATACCCAAGATCTTGAGGGACTGAACAATTTCTGAGGCATCAATTACTCCTTTATAAGAGAGAGGGAGAAAAAAGACAAATGAGCTGAAAGGCTCTGCAGCTCCAGGTCACTTGACTCGGACCTTACAGACTTTTAAATATTTGCATGTTATTACAGATAGTCAAGAGAAGAGCACCAGGGATTTGGAAATGGGGAGTTGGTCAGTATACAAACAAACAATATAAAGATGTACGCCAGAAAAAGAGCATCAAAAATACTAGGTACAAGGTCCAGGTAGATGGACCAATGTCTGATTCTGTATAAAGCAGTTTCCTATGTTCCTATGTGGGGAAGTTGGTTCAGAGCAGACAGCAAACTGCAGTTACTTGGAAAAAGCTGATTCATATATTGGTTTATTACATATGACTTTCCAAACCAGCTCATTGACAGCTGTCATTCTTTAATATAAATCTATTGAAAATGTTAATTATATATTGTATTATGACACTTTCTTGTTTATGTCATGTTTACATTTTTAATGCTGATCTCTTAACATAATTACGTAATTAATGCTTACATTTTATTTCTATGTTGCACTGAGAATTTCTGACTGACTTGAAAGAAATAGACTCCTTTGTATATCTTAAAACAACAGATATTGTGGAAAATTGGATCCTACCATCATTGTTTTTGTCCAGACTTTTAAAAGCTAATTTCATTTTCTTCTCATGGTCTTTAAGATAGCGTGTAAATTCTTCAAAGTCCAGCCGGCCATCTTGGTTAGTATCTCCAGCTCTGAAAATTTTCTGTTTTAAAAAAAATGCATATTGAAGAAGAGTTAGTAATGGTGCTTATAGTATTTCAAAAACGCATTCCAAAAGAGAGGTTTCTCTTTTTCTGCACAAATCATTTCTGCACTTTTAGTTAATAGAATTACATGCATTTCCAGGAAATGTGGACAATTAAGTGCAATACAGTAATTCATTTAGCTGAACAGTGTTCTCTTCTTGGATGTGGTATATGGAATCTTACTACTGAAGCATTATAAAGGTAGCAATCCAGCCCGCAGTGATGCTACCCACATCCTATTTAACTGGAATAACACTTTCTGCCTGTATCTTTTCATAGGAACTCCTCCAAATGTATTCTGATGTGTTTTACCAAGGAAGAAGACCCAATACCTTGCCTGCATTCTGCATCTTTTTGTCCCTGCCCAATTCCCTGATAGCCTTCTATCTACTGGGCTACACAACGTCATTAGAGCATTATGAGAAACATGAGACTGTGGTTTTTAATGTCTGACATTTTATTTTACTTTTTTTTGCTGGAAGCAAATGGGAAGGGTATAAACAATAAAATTATTGTTGTTGTTATTATCTCATACGCAAGAGGAAAAAACAGCCGAAAGGCAATGCAAAGCTGAGCTGTTCTGTCTTGATAGCTGATAACATTCTTCGCCTCTGGCTACTCTGGTGAAATGCTTGTGCTAAAGAATAAATGGGCAAAAATCTAACATGAAAAAGAACACCATTTCAGCCTCCCAGCATACTCTGCTGCCTACCTCTCAAGAGAATCGGGCTGCAATAAAATTTCTAAATGGTTCAAAAAATAAGCAGGCCTAGGACTTCCGGGTTGGCGCCATCGCCGAATGGCGGACTCCCTCCGAGCTCCGGAGGGAGTCTGCTCGGCAGGGGCTGGGTCCTACCGCGCCGGCGACGCGGGGACCCTTAAAAACCACGGGCACGGAGTCCGTGGACATGGGTGACTCGGCTTGCACCATTAGCGCCCTCCCGACTCGTGAAGGAGCCTTTTTAAAGGCTTCGGATCGGGTGCCGGGGAGCGGCGTGGTGCTTTGAGTCCTTTGCTTTCCCTGCCGAGCGCAGCCGCATGCCATTCGACGGAGAGCGCTGACTTCTTCCATTGAAAATTTGGACTATTAACAACAACCCGTGAGTAATTGGGAAACCGGGTTCAAAATTTCGGATTTGGCACGAGCGGGGGCGATTTAAAAGGAAGTCAATCCCCCTACTGTAAGCATTCCAAAACAAGGACTGGGTAACCAAGGTCCAAAGGGAAGTATATTCTTGATAAAAACCATTAATTTCACGATGGGAAATTATAAGAACTGTGCTGGAGGAGAAGAGTGGAGGGTGAGTAGAAACTGGCAACCCCCCCCCCCTGGGAACCGGGGCGATTCGTGGAGCCTGGTGAAGAGAGACGGAGACTTTGACAGCTGTCAAAGTGGCTGTCAAAGTTGGAGAATATAAAGAGGACTTTGTTATGAGGACTTTGCCGGTTAATTTTGCTACAATTTGCTACAATATGGATATAAACTGTTGGAAAATAAGCAACAATTTGACTTTTGGATTAGAGGATACAAAGTTATTACAATCCCCCTAGAGGGGTTTCGGGATATTACAAGAACGGTCGTAAGTGGAAAAATACTCTGGGATTCGCACAGGACTTGTTATCTTTTGGGAAAGCTGCAAAACTGAAATAGTATTTTGTCTACAGAGGTATTTACATTAAAGGAGACAATAGAATTTTCTATTGAAGAAAGGAAGGGACTGGACGTAAGTTTTGTTCCTGAATAACAAACCTCTGCAGAGATACCAGATTTCTGAATTAGAAAGTTTTAGCAGCTGAACAGGACAAGAAACCTGAGAAAGTGAGGAAAAGAAGAACAAAGGACTGATTACGACACGGAAAGAACAACGGGAGGAGTGGTAAAGATCAAGGAAATTAAAGGCCTTTGTTAGATTGGACACTTGAAGTTACATATTATTAATAAATTAAAAGAAAACCGGCAAGAGGGAATCGGGAGAAATTTGTTCATGAATTGAGACTTCCAAGCTGATAATGCATAGACTGATGGATAGGGGGAATTCAAACCGAGGAAGGGGGGGGGGAGATTTGAAATCCAAAGGCTGTGTAACCATCTTTTGAATTTTTCTATATATTTTACTTTTTATTTTTTTTATATAACTTACGCATGTCATTTTATTTTGATTGGACGTGTTTAAAATAAGGGAATTCGTGGAAGGAACTGGGGTGGATCTTGGGGAAAATCTTTTTTCTTTTTTTGTTAATGATGTGGGACGGTGGTAAGATTTGTACAATTCAATTTGGATAGTGGGTTAAACAAATTAAGCTTCAAATTTGGGAGTGAGAGCTTGTAGAACTAAATTAAGGAAAGGGGAATACAGTCGGGGGGGGGAGGGGGGGAGTCCCAGAAAGTAGGCAATGAAAGTAAGGTTTTTAAATATCTTTTTTCCTTTTTCTTTTTTTTCTTTGTATTTTTATATTTTTGGAAACTTTAATAAATATGATTTAAAAAAAAAATAATAATAATAAGCAGGCCTAGATATGGTCTCTACTTAAATGTAGCAGTGCCTGGAAAGGAGCTCGGGCAGTGCTCTGACTTTCTTTCTTGGAAAAGCACTTATTTAGCAAAATTTAACCTTAAATATTATACCATGAAAACAAAACAACAACATTTATTAAATATGAAGAAGTAGGTCACGTTCAGAAGTTAATTGGCAGCAGGCTGCAGATATCCATAAGAGAATACCTCTTCACGCAACTATGTCTTATGGAATGCACTGCCACTTTAACTGGCAATCACCACTAGCTTAAATGGCTAACCCCGTACACCAGGCTTCCTCAAACTCGGCCCTCCAGACGTTTTGAGACTACAATTCCCATCATCCCTGACCAGTGGTCCTGCTAGCTAGGGATCATAGGAGTTGTAGGCCAAAAACATCTGGAGGGCCGAGTTTGAGGAAGCCTGCCGTACACAGATAGCTTTAATGCAGTCATTACTACCTATGCAGCTAGCTGTAATACATGCATTGCTCAAAATAATATGCAGAGAATGTTATTGTTTCCATAAATTTGAGCTGCTGCTTTGTGTTAATAAGCCACAAAAGCAAACCCTAAAACAGGTTCAAATGCCAGTATTAATTAGCCTAATGAGATACTTAGGTTACCTTAACGACATACAAATGATGTGCAACTAATCACAGTGGCATCAGGAATTCTATTTTATGAAGAACATCACCGAACAATGACTTAGAGGTACATAACAGAGATTAACCCCCTGCCCCAAAAAAAGTATTGATCATTTTAAGGTTTATTGGTTCGGGTCTCATTCCAGTTGGTTGTGAGCATCTATGTGTAATGTATTTATGTGCTTTAAAACAGAAATATCTTCTACATGCACATAAATACCTAGATTCAACCTTCCTTCCCAGACATACATACATGTATACTCAAGTAGCTTGCGCAGTTGTTGCTATTATACTAACCATGAGTATACCGCAGATACATTTTTGTCAAGGCCAGTACAACAGGTTTGCTAACACAAGTTCTAGGAATACAAGATTCATAGTGATTATGCAGTTCAAAGTAACTGTCTTCCCTAAAGAAACAGGTCCACCTCACCGTAAGGCAGGAAGCCAGGGCATTGAAGGGCAGCAAATTGTTATTTACTTCATTCTTTATTATTATAGTCTCACCACTATGTGGAAACAACATTTGGCTTTTCTGCCTCAAGCAGAACGCATCATTAGTGCTGTCACCATCATTAGTGCTGTCACCCCTGTACGTGGCTCCTGAAACATGAGAACATAAATGCCCTCCCACAGCTGATTCTGGCAGACATGTTCCTTTTATTCTTAGATCAGTAGCCTGTCACATAGAGTACCTGTATATGCATTGTGTAAAATTGCCACAACACAAGTGTCCAAAGTAGCTTACAGGAATGATTAAAAAATAAATAAAAATGAAAGCAAAAAAGAGAGTAATGGGAACATATTAAAACAAGTCAACAAGAACATCAACTTCATAGAATTTGCTGGAGGCGGGGGATAAATCTTCACAGCATTGCAAAAGGCCTGGAGGAAGGAGGGCAGGTGGACATTCCAGGGGAAAGTTCCTGGCCCCAAATGTAAAAATGGCAAAAACCACACTCATCAGCCACCACCAAAGAGATACTTTTAGGAATATGGGAGGAGGTAGTTCCAGTCTATTAAGGGCTTTTAATGTCCTTCCTAAATATCCTGAGGAGCGTGAGACAACAGCACTGGCTTTAAGGCAGTGTGGGTGGTTCCCCTGCAAGCTGGCGGAGTGTAAAATAATAATCATCATCCTCATCATCACCATCCCTATATTTACACAGGTACCTACTCAAAGTTAGGCCCTGGTCCGACAGGTGTTTGAGTTGCCACAACTGTGATGTAGTGCACTTGACAGCATGCACAGAATGGAAGGTGAGAAGGAGAAGAGCACAAAAATAAGAAATATTGGGCAAGGGGCAAATTATGTCCTTGCTCAGGGCGCTATATTAGCAAAGTCCGCCCCTGGAGTGTAACCTAAGCCGTTACCCTTAGGTGTGTTGCCCCATCACCAGTGTTGAAAACAACTCTTGGTCCAGTTGACTCCCACATGTGTACAACAGAAGGCAGGGCATCACCTTAGACAGCAAATTACCTTAGGCAGTGCAGATGCTCAGAACTGTAACCTTCTTACCACAGCATAACCTCAAGGTAGTAATTTTGTGGCACTGCAGTCAATTTAGTTCGTGTTGTAACTTCTGCTCCAATGGGCATCAAGCCACACAGGCCTATTCAGATACAGACCAGATAGGCCCTTAGTCATGAATGGCAAACGGATATAGTATTTTAGGTCAATAGTCCATGCTGCACTGACTCAGGCAGGCTGGAATGTAGAAAAGGAAGTTCCTTCTTTCAGAAAAGAGGTGGTTTTAAAATCGAATAAATAATAATAAAAAACAGTAATTTACTATTTGCACTATTTTGCCTCATCAAACCACTCGGTTAAACCCTTTGTTTAAGATATCCCAGGGCTTGCAAGGCTGAAACTGGCTTCGGCCGGCCTCCCCTCGCGCCCAGGTTCCAGCCGTCGCCAAGCCTCGCACCCACCCACCTTCTCGGCGTCATCTCCCAGGGGGATGCCCAGAGCCTTGAGTCCGGATTGCAGCTCGGCGATGTCCACGCGGCCGTCCCCATCGCGGTCCAGCTTCTGGAAGAGGTTTTCGTACCGCGGGTTCCTGTCGGGCGCTTCGCAGGCAGCCTCCGGGAGCGCAAAGGAGCTTCTCCAGAAGCGAAACATGATGCAGGAGAGAGGAAATGCGTCGGGGGGGGGGAGGCAGGGGGCAGAGGAAAGAAGTAGAAGCCCCCGCAATTTGGTGAGCGTTACTAGAAGAAAACGGAGGAGGAGGAAAAAACACAGCTGCAACCTTCCCACTTTGGGGAGGAGCGAAAAAAACGTTAAGAGATGGCACGCAAGAGCCAACGCCCAGGGAGGGAGCAGAGAGGCGAAGAGCGGGTTTAGCCTTCTCATTGGGCGTCCTGGCCTTGCATGGTCACGGCCTGGGTGGGACTTGGGTCTTCTTTTCCTTCCCGCTGCAGAAAGGAAGGAGCTGGGTTTGGACGGCGGAGGAGAAGTGCGCCCAGGCAGGCGATCTGGAAGTTAGTTACTAAGTTCCTTGATCGGCTTGGAAGGGGGGAAAGGTTATGCTGCTGTTTGAGACGCCCGATCCTGTGCTCGTTTACTCGGGCGTCGACCCAACCGCGCATGATAGGGCTTTGCTGAACTGGCATTCTGCCTCCCCTCCAAAAAAATACGCCCGTGGTTACATTCAGAGATTGTGATCCTAAAGACGCTTCCTAGCGAGCCACTTAGAATCATAGAAGTGTAGTGTGGGAAGTGAGTTATCTAGTCCAAACAGCTGCAACCTTAGAGGGCTTCCAGGTGGGATTTAAGTGTTCCACAGGTCGAAACTACTCCCCTCACAACACACACACACACACACACACACACACACACACGGGGAAATGCAGTGATGGAGAAACCTACACCTGTTGAGTGTAGAGACGGTTTGAGCACAACACACTGATCCCAGCCAGATTGCACTGGCTGTCAATTAGCTTCTGGGCCCAATTTGACCTATGGAACTTTGAACGGCTCAGGATAGCAATACCTCAAGGACCACCTCTCCCCACATGAACCATCCCAGAACCTGTGATCATCATCTGAGGCCCTTCTTCATGTGAGGTTCAGAGGGTGTCCACACAAGAATGGGCCTTATCTGCAGTAGCTCACCCTTTGTGGAATTTTCTCCCCAGGGAGGTTTGCCTGATGCCTTCATTACATCTCTCTAGGTGCTAGGCAAAAACATTTCTTTATAAACAGGCCTTTAGCTGATTAACATTCTAAAGGCTTTTAAATGTGTTTGGGGGGATATTATTGATTTGTTTCTGTTTTTTGTTTTACTGTGTATTTTGTGTTCTCCTGTTTTATTTTTATGTTGTGAACCATCCTGTGATCTTCTGATGAATGACGCTACAAATTATTATTATTATTATTAATAATAATAATAATAATAATAATTGTCATGTACCATGAGCATTCTGTCGGAAGTGAGTCATCCTAATTATGACAGTAGTAGAAAGTTTGGAGTGGATTATTTATATATGTAAACAACACTGCTTCTATATACACGTACCTGGGATATGCTGCAGGTATCAATCATATGGCCTGTAAAAACATAGCTGTTCATCCTTGCCTTCCATGTTAGTTCCAAAGATTTGGCAGATGTAAATGTTTATACTCGTAACAGTATTTAATGTGTTCTAGTGAGTAGTCTTAGTTATTGTGTTATTTCCACCTTGATAATTATGATTTAAAGTCAGTATGTAAATCATTTTAACAAATGAATCTCATTGAACTTTGGGACTTCCTTTGAGTAGACATGTATAGAACTGCGCTGTAAACATTGACATGTGAACCTTGAAGCAGAATGGCTATACTAAAGGTTGCCAACTTTTCTCATTGGGGAATGCTTCCCCACCCAATTGCTGCACCTTCCTTCCTGGAAAGCTTCATAGCTGGGTTTCTACATGACATTTAATGATTGAAAGAATCAGCATTGGCAACACAAGCTTTAACTACCATTCATAAACTTACCAACCAGCTATACTCATCCCTGAAATCTTGCAGTTATAGTTCTCTCCAGTATATGCAGGAAGGTATTTCTTACACACCGAACACACATAATTCTGTGCACAGTACTTTACAAAACAATGCGCATAGGGTGTGCATGTGGTACACCCTGTAATTCCTTGGCAGTAAAAACCAAACTTGTCGGTTTGCATAATTAAGTATTTGGGTGTGCCTAGTCATGCAAGCAAGTGCCGAAATGAATCCTGGTGGTGTTTTTAGTTTTGAATGGAATGAACAAGTGGAGTTGCTTGTAATCTATACTTTATATAAGTATAGTACCTGTTCCAGGTAAAAAGTATCGGTAAAAAGTATCGGCATGCAAAATGCTTTATAGCCTAATTTTAAGCATACTGTACTCAGACGCCAACCTTACAGTGGGGCTTATTCTCAATAAAATTGTACAATTAATTATCATTAATTCTCATCATTCTTTACAACCATATTGTGAGGTTGGTTAGGCTGCAATATACTGATTTGCCAGAGGTTCTAATGGGCCTCCTTCTCCACCCCCAACAACAAACCACCTCACAAAATTTGCAGGTGTGCATGCACATGCAGTTAAAACTATATTTGGGTTTTTTCCTAAGGAAAACTTGAAACCGTGCAGTAGTATCTAATATTTATGTGCGCACACTCGTGCAAGACATCTGTGTATTTCCCTTCATTGTATGCCCACCAGTACTGCTTAAAGTCACATTTCATGACATTTGGAAACTTACACAGTATGGGAGACCTGGGTGTTTGCAAAAGAGAATAAAGTACCTTAAGTGCATGAAGAGTTTCACTTATTCCTAGTTGAGCTTGCCTCTTCCTGCTTCTGGTAGGCTCAGGGATGACAAATGGGAAGCAAGTGGAGAAAGTATTTCCCCATTTCCCACTACTCAATTTTGACCACCCAAGCTTTCAGTCACCGTATTCCTACAGCTGGTTGAAGAAGACTTTTCCAATTCCTTCCATAGCAAACAGTTGCCATTGCTGTTCTAGTCTCCTGATCAGGCCAGGCCAATCCCTGCAGCTGCCTGGCCAAGAGCAATGGCAGGATGAGCTCATCCATCCATCCATGTGCATAGGGCCGGATTTAGGTGTGATGAGGCCCTAAGCTACTTAAGGTAATGGGGCCCTTTATATGTCCAGCTGTCCTTTGTCAACAACCAATTGTCGCTGGTTTTTGTGTTGAATATATGCTGTACAGTATGGTAATTTATGGACCTAATAGGTATCTAAAGCCATTTGCATATGTTGCCATGCAACCAGTCCATGCAGAATGTAGGCACCCTATATATAGAAATGAGCAAACCAGTGATATTTTAGGGAGCAGGCTAGCAGGCAGGGCCCATGACTTACATCATAGGAGCCTACACAACACAAAACACTGTTGCTGTATGTATTTTTTATTTTATTTGTTTTTATCTTTTATTTTGGAAATGGTACATTTTTTTCTTTAATTTTTTTGGGGGCCCCCGAAGAAAGTGGGGCCCTAAGCTATAGCTTGTTTAGCTTATACATAAATTCGGCACTGCATGTGCAGAGGAGTGCTGTGCAGACTACTTCTGCTAAAGCACTTTAAAGCGCTGTTTAACAAACCAAACTCTCAAACCTGCCTATGGTGGTTTCAGGGTTGCTGTTTTTATGGGAAAGGCAGCCGAGGGCGGTGAATTTGGTTGCTGAAACAGTACTAAGGAAGGAGAAGTGACACTTTGAGGTGTTCTTGCAATCAGAATTCACACACACGCCTACTAGAGGTCCTGTTTTCTCCCATGGGTGGAAAAAGGCATTGATCACCCCACCACCTATCTCTGTGCTGGTGTTATAATCAACTTCACACCCATTCCAGTGCATTTCCTTAGAAAACTCAGCACACCAGGAGACTGCATAACAACATCGGACTACATTGCAGGAGTGCGTCACATGCTGTCCTCTATCAGCTCACCCCAAACCCACACTATGGATATAGCAATATATGGTTGATATGACTCCAGGGTAACCAATCTGATGTTGTGGGCTAAAACTTCGATTGCCAGCAGTCATCATGATGGAAGTTATGGTTCAAAACCCCTGGGGGGGGGACCACATTAGCTACCCCTGATGTTGTCCATCTTCTCTCAGCTGCAGCACCCAGCACCCACCCCTACAATATGGGTTTAATATAAAGGTGGACTTCCTTTGCCTTGGCAGGGTAATTTTAAAAATGTCTACAAACTTGGGGAGAAATACATATCTGCATGAAATAAGACCTGAGCTAGTAAGAGTACAAGCTCCTGTCACTGCAGCTAACTTGGTTGTGTGCTTGATATACTACTGCCCAATCACAGATACACTGCATTTCTGAAATTTCTTTTTAGCACTGTGAATAAGCCCTTCTTGTTTAAAATGTGTTTTAATGGGTACTGTGTAATATAGTCAGTCATTTGCATTGTAATGGACATTGTAATGTGTTTGATGATAGAAGTCTTCTGTCTGATCAGGTGAAAGTTGGTTTAACTGTCACTGGGGTCCTTAACTGACAGTTGAGGAAAGAGGTTGGAGCTGGAACACTCAAAATGCAAAAGAAGGCTAGAACCTATGCATATTCTGATTGGTGGTTACAGGTTTAGAATTCTTAGTTAGGCAGTGTGATTGGCTGGTGCTCAACTAGGTGGGGCACAAGAAGTGAATTTATAGCTGGGTGCTATTCAGTCAAGATCAGTCTGTGTTAGTTGGAGACGGATGCCAGCAACCACCAGGAAGGTAACCAGAAGAAGAAGACAGCAGAGGAAGAGAACTCAGAAAGAAGATCTGAAAAAAATGAAGTGTAGCTTGGTGGCCAGAAGGCTTGCTAGGGCAGCTGAATCACTTGGCTTAGAGTAAAGAGACATGGGAAGAACGTGTTTACAATATTAAGGCAGAAGAAATGAGAGGCAGTTTAGAATGCTAAACAGATCTGCACTTCAATAAGTTGGTAGGGATCAAAACAGGCTTTAACAAAAGTCCTCAGTTACAGCACTGGTAAGGCTTAACTGAGGTAGAATAAATATGAGGTCAGGCTGGTAGAAGAGTTTTAATAGGGTAACTAATTGCTCCTAAAAGCTATATTGTTTAAAGTGGCAGTAACAAGATAAAGTGTAAAAAAAACCCCTACCCTATCGGAAGAGAGCAGGTACCAGCTATCACAAAAAGCTCAAAATCCTATAGACTTAATGTTTCCTCCAAGTAGATGGGGCACATAATATTGTTGGCTGCCAAGCAGGGGCTTGCCCAGGACCCACAGAATGCTGGCTGGCTCTTGGGGAAATGAAAACAAGAGGGAAGGGGGGGGGATGGAATAGTGTAATTTCTAGAAAAGGGCAAGGCTGGTTGACTGAAACTGAACAGGAGCACTTCGCACTGCAACATTTTGCTGCAATTCTCAGTTGTGCTCATCTAACAGCCGCAACTCACCAGAAAGTAAGCATTCTTAATTACATTAAAATCAGTGTGCTGTGTTAGATGGTACCTCTTGTAACCCACACATGGTCCTTTTTGGAGGAAGACAATTTTAGGCAGAAAAGTGATTCTAATCATTTCAAAGCTTTCTCCCTTGTTTCTGAGCAACTGTAGGGTTTTTTTTAACCCATGATAATTTCATGAGACTGAACAGTGATGTATCCAGATTAAGGAATTTAAATTACAAGTCTATAGATAGGTTTAAAGTGTCATGATTTTTTCCTGCACTTTAGGTGGAAATAGAATGCCAGCTACATTAACAGCTTTCACTGCTAAGTCCGTTACTATATCGACAAAATATGGTTTCTAAGGCAACGTCAACACCCAAGGGACTTCAGTCAGGGCAAAATTGTTTTTCAAAAGATAGTCTGTTCTAACAGCTACATCAGGAAATCTCTTAAAAGCTGAAGTTGGAATGCTCTGAATTAAAGCTAAGTGTCATTGCAAGTAACCTATCTTAATTAAACCTGTCTTAATTATGTATTGTGCCAACCAGGGTCAGCCCAAGACATTTTGGTGCCCAAATTGAAGAAGGGATGAGTGAACGTCTATATCTAAGGGGAACATCTAAGGGGAAAATATGGAGCTACATCAAGATCTGCTGCCCCTGTGGATCCTGGCACCTGAGGCAGTCGTTTCACCTTGCCTCATGTGTGGTCTGGCCCCGGTGCCAACAGACAAATGATCTTTCCTCAGAAAAGCTGCACAATTTGGAACAGACAAATGCTGATCCTGGAAGAGTTAAACACCACCTCTCCACCTGCCATTTCGCCACTCTGTGCCCTCCTCTGGAAATGGGGCTTCCTCTTTAAAAGTGTCTGACAGGCTACAGTTGCATGTATTTGCATATATTATATAATGGGCAGTTTAGGCCAAGGCAACGGGAAGAAATAGGGGGCAAACAATATAAATAGCTGAGGAATATAGTCACCACACTTAAAAGTTGCTTTTTCATACTTACTTGGCCTTTATATAAAAAAAATACACGTCACTAAGGTGTTTTAAGTACATTGACAAATGTAGAATAGATATGGCAAACACATGAATCACACACACTTCAAAGGGACAGAATGAACTACAACTCCCTCTTGAATGTGAGCTTAACAAGCAAACCTAGCTTTGCCCTTGTACAATGTGTGAAATGGATCACAGGATCTCCATGTAGGAAAAATACATATGGACTATAATATGTGTGAAGTATAGAACAAGTGCTTATCATGGTACCAGTACACCGATCACAACATCACATCAACCATTTCTTAAATAATAACAAAATTGTACAAGTAGAGCTGGCTGACTTCCATTTATATAGCGAGTTTTGTACCTTGACTGTTCACACAACATAGTGGTATGAATTAGAGAGGCCTACATAACTATTTTTATGCAAAACTTTCACCCGCTATTCTGCTATTCATACGTTGTTTAAAATCAACCAAAGAGTGGTCATAGTGTGTGATTGCATAAGCTGTTTTAATACAGATACGGAGCTAGTGAGTCATTCAGACATCCTGTGCTAACTCATCATTTCTGCTTGAACAATAAATTGCATAGTCAAATTTGTTACCTTTGACAGTTTCTTAGCTACATTAAAACAAACACTGTGTTTTGAAGTCATTCACGTATGACTGCTGGGAAAACAGAAAGCTACAAGTGCAAATTGCTTTCTTTTTTTTAAAGGAAAATATAGCATCTGGAATGTTTGATTGGGATCAACTGCCACTTGGCTGCTTCTCTCCCATAATTGTTGATTATTAGTCATTCTAGCTGATTGCAACAGAGGGAAAAGTGAGATAGTACAGTCTATGGGACCAACTGTTAATGGCTCTGCCTCTCCTAGAATTGCCTCAATGACCATTGCACCTGCTCATGAAACAGTTACAGTATGTAATTGTAACAGAGTAAGTGCCTGAATCTGGTTCTTTTCCTGTTCCTTAAGTATCTCTTTTCCTTTTTATACCATAACTCTTAGCTTGTTAAGTCTATGGGCAGGAGCTTTGTTCTCTCAACATTCGTACCACTGCCTAAAAGATGATAGATATCATTATTATTATTTCCTACAGTTGACAAACTATTTATGAGCTCTTCCAAACATTATACAGAAGTGCAAATGCTATATCAGATATAAGGTGGCTTAATAAAATTATATTGTGGAAACGAAAGGGATAAATATGTGATAAAAATAAATTGTGTATTTTAAAAAATAAGTAGTTTGTTGTATGTGTATTAAACAATAAAATATTGTCGCAAGCTTTCATGTCGAAAACCAAGGGCATATAACTATTCATGCTTGGCTTGCCATGGCAAAAGATCAGCAAGGAAAGACAGATATCCATGTTACTTGTATGGAGACTCCTACACACACACACCCCCTAAATTCCTAGACCATTCTCTTTTTGTCTGTTGAATGTATCTATTAAACAGAGAAAACACAGCTGGTTTTGTTTTTGTTTTTTAGATGAAGGAGCTCACCATGACAGCCCCCATAGTCACAGCCCAAGGGAAATCAATGCAGGAAGCCCTAATTGATTCTCTGATTTTCTCAATGCTAAGATGCCACAAACAATAGTATAGTAAAACCTGAAAGCCTCATTATCACCTCGTGCACTTACCAGATCAAAAAAGATCTGTCAATTATCTTAGATCTCTAGCAGATGATGTCATTGCTCCATCTATGAAAATATGTCCTAGAGCTACATTCCCTACATTCCTCTTCGGTTATTACACCACTGCTTGACCTCCTGTACGCTGGCATGGTACCTAATCTAATTAGAGCATTTCACCTATTGATTGGTTGATTATGGAGAGCCCTGAGATTTCCAGAGTCCTTTACAAAATGTACTTAAGGGGGCTTTAAAGCCTCGACCTGTCCATCCTGCCTTTGTTAAACAGGCAAGATAAAGTGCCATTCCAAGACAGCTGTACTATTTTGTAAGTCTTTTGCCAGCCGAACCTATGACTGGTTTGGCTCCATAAGCTGAGTGAGTCATCCAAATGTGATTTTGCAGACCATGCTGCTGGCAGCAGTAAAACTGCTAGCACATTTGCAAAGCTAAGCAGTGCCTGGTACAGTTTCACATTGGATAGGAGACCATGTGTTGAGACTAGATGCACTGCAGGTGGTTGGACTAGATGACCCTCAGGGCCCCTTCCAACTCTGCAATTCTATGATTCTAAGTTCTTGGCACTCCCAACTAGGTGCCTGTTTTTTGCACTTCTGAATAGGGTGGCCAGAAGCTACAGGGAGCAGGGTTCTTGCACCCTTAACAGCTGTGTGGAAGAAGGAATTTTAACAGGCTTCACTAAACTATTAAAGGTACAGAAACCACATTCTCTTTTGCTTCAGTTTACCTTATTGCCAGATGCAAAAACAGGATGCTTCTCATGTACCTTTAATATAGAAGAGGAGATTTTAGCAGGTGGAATTTGTCAAATAGACCAAACTGGTCTCATCCATTGGTTGGAGAAGTTGCAGCTATAGGTAGTTTGCTTCTTCACCTATTCGAGAGATAATATTTTGCTCCAGTTACCCCCTGCTAAAGGGGATTCATGCTGTGGCCCCAGCCAAAGGACTTAGGAGCAGTTTTATATTGTGTTTGTGGGTGTTGGTTTTTTAATAGTATTACCTGTTGCTTGTAAGCCACCTTAGGAACCACTTGATTGAAAGGCTGGGTATAAATCTTCCATGGTTTGCATCCATCCGTCTCAGGAGATATTGGAGGAGTGTGCCTTTGGAAATGAAGTCAAACTGTTGGAAGGTTGCAGCACCTGCTGTGGCTGTTGAGACCAATATGGGAGAGACATGTTTTGTTGCACCTGGGGCAGATGAAGGCATCCAGTTGTGCTACTGCAGATGCACCATGTCATTTCTTCTCTCTGCGCTCCTCCCAATGATCATTCCTTCTCTGGTCACTGCTGACATGAGCTGACTGTCTCCAGGCACTGCGGTCATCTGCAAGGGATTCCCACATGGCAGGGCTGATATTGCCAGCCTTCATGTCATGTTTGTAAGTAACCCAGATTTGGTCTGCCAACAGGCCCAGTGCCTGAAGTCAGCTTCCTGTAGAGCACATTGTTGGGGATCCTGCTATCTTCCATTCTGTGGACATGACTAAGCCAGCGTAGACATCTCTGAGACAGGACTGCGAACATGCTGGGAGTGTGGGCTTAGGAGATCACATCATCTAATTAATAAATAACATATTATATTAAATATTCAAATAAATAATAATAATAATAATAATATCAAACATTACCTTTTCTCCACAGATATTCAGGGTGAAAAGTCCTGTCCACCTCTGAATCTGTCCAGTTTGGGGTGGGGTGTGGAGCACATAGCTAAGACTACAAATCAATTGTATATAAGGAAAAGTTTACCAGATTTTCATAAAGGAAATTGGCTGATGTTTAGAGCACTAGATAAATTTTTAAAATGGAACTTCTATTTCTCTCATTGTCTGGTTCTCCAGAAGTAGGGTAACATTTGAGTTACACGTCAGTTATTTATGCATTTACCATTAACCATATTTACTTTGGAACTGTTGCGCTTTCACTCAATGTGATGCATTGATATTGATGTCAACAATATTAAGATGTTATATATACATGCATTGTCTAACACAGTCCTTTAATTAGTGTGATTCCCATCTGCCTCAATGCCACCCACATCTGACTCTATTTATAGCTCTTTTTCTAAGACATGTACACTCCTGCTTAATATAGCTTATTAAAAGGTTTCTGTTGTTCACCTCCAGAACAAAATTGAATACAATAATGGGGCTTAGACTTTCAGAGGAACCATGTACCCATTTACCTCCCAGTGTGCAAGAAAGGTTGCCAGCTTAAACTGCTCATAATGGCACCTTAATATGCAAATATTAACAGGTGATGTTTATTTTCGTGTTGTGAAAATCTCCAGCTGTTGATTTATGTATTTCAGGTTGTAGTTCTGTTAAAGGGCACAAGAGCGGCAAAACGGGGTTGTATCTGATCATTTGGCAAGCCTTTCCAACACACTAAAGCCAGTGGAAGTATATGTGTGCAGGATCCCACCCTCCAGCACCAAATCTGATTGTGGTACAAACGAAAAAGCATGAGAGGCTACTGCAGTCTTCTAGGATTCTATCCACTTACATCAATGTATTTAGAGTTCATTTCCCAAGGGAATGCAAACTTATTTAATATAATAGCTTCAGAGAGAAAAGGCAAAATAGCTACTCCATACCATGTAACTTCTGCACCAGGTGTATCATTTCAAATAATTGGTAATGTTTTATGTTCCAAGAGCCATATCCTGTCAGTTAATTTTTTTCCTACTGACTCCAAGAAAGTTATACCATCACCATAGTTATATTACACTTGGTTATTTTTCAAATAGTATACAAGGTGGTGTTCATCAGAACAGACTAGTTGATCACTGAAAGAGTGCATGGAGCCTAGGAGAGGAGGCAGGGGCAGACTGGACCTTGGCCTGTTTCCCCACAAATATAGCACAGGTAAGGATGACAGGCATTGATCCTATAACAATGGAAGGCATGAGACCCAAGTTGACATGAAGCTAAACTTTGTTGCTAGTTCCCAGTTCCGTATTCAACATAGCTTACACGAGCTGTCTGAAGAACAATAAGAACCAGGGGCAAAAAGCAGCTTTGGGCTATGTCTCCATGACTGGAAGACTGCTTCTTTCGAGATGCACAGCACCAGCATTCTTTCCACACCAAACAACATTCATTCATTTAACACTTGATGCAGTCAAGCGAATAGATAACTGGGAGATCATGTTCACTTTGTTTTTGCACAAGTGACTCTCAAGTGTGATGCCCCGCAAGCCAAATACGGTTCATATGTACAGTGGTACCTTGGTACACCTACACTGGCTCCCAGTACGTTTCTGAGCACAATTCAAAGTGCTGGTGTTGACCTTTAAAGCCCTAAACGGCCTCGGTCCAGTATACCTGAAGGAGCGTCTCCACCCCCATCGTTCTGCCCGGACGCTGAGGTCCAGCGCCAAGGGCCTTCTGGCGGTTCCCTCATTGCGAGAAGCAAAGCTACAGGGAACCAGGCAGAGGGCCTTCTCGGTAGTGGCGCCCGCCCTGTGGAACGCCCTCCCATCAGATGTCAAAGCGATAAATAACTACCTGACATTTAGAAGACATCTTAAGGGAAGTTTTTAATCTGTGATATTTTACTGTATTTTTGGTTTCTATGGAAGCCGCCCAGAGTGGCTGGGGAAACCCAGTCAGATGGGCGGGGTACAAATAATAAATTATTGTTATTATTATTATTATTATTATTATTATTAGTTTATGAACTTAATCCGTTCCGGAAGTCCGTTCTTAAACCAAAACTGTTCTTAAACCGAGGCACACTTTCCCCAATGAGGCCTCCCGCTGCCGGTGCCCTTCCACCATTTGGATTCCATTCTTAGACCAAGATGAAGTTCTCAAATTGGGACACTATTTCTGTTTTTGCGGAGTTCGTAAACCAAATCGTTCTTAAACAGGACTGTTCTTAAACTGAGGTACCACTATATATCAATAAGGAAAATGTTTTGCACCCCAAAATATTGAGTCATTCCAGATGACATGTGACCAGTGCCAGGAAACTGTTTCCTACAAGACATTCTAGCTTCTAGCACTCCGTCCAGCCTAGTGTGGTGCCCCCCCCCATGCTCAAACATAATGTGCTATGATGTGTGTATGTATATGAAAGTGGGGATATACACTCAACACCACTGTCCTCTAACACTTTAGCAGCAACAACTATGTGTTCCTAAACTAATACATAGAAATTGTGATTAGGCTTTATGATTCACAATTCATCATGACCCCTTGCAATGACTCAGTACTACTGAATAAAGCATGTCGTGAAAGTCTGTCCTTTACAAAGCAAAAAGCAAACTATAAAATGATTAATTCATAAAATATTTATTAGTGAGGATTGACAGGAGCTTCAGAGTTGATGGGTGAACAGAATAATATTTCTGAGATGAGGGAAAGAGAGGAAATCCCTGAGCCACTGAAGAAGTGCTTGGCAAAACAAATTTGTGTGTGTCTCCGATTTCAGCTCCTGTCCTAAATCCCAAGTGCCATCAAACTCAGTAGACTTTTATAGGATTGAATTGTTAGTTACACATATTCAGTATCTATATATTATAAAATACATAAAATATATTTTGTTAATACCTTTTATGCATTTTATTCTTCTTGAACATTTGTAGTGATACTGTGAACACAGCAGAGGGAGCTATAACATCAGGCTTATGAACGGAGGTTTAAAAAACCACCACCAACAACCACTTTTATAATATACTGAATAGCAAAATATTTAATGCAGATTTGAAAATGTAAGCTGCAGTTAAAATGAGGTGTGTATGTATGGGACAGTCGTTGTGCATGCAGAGATGACAGCTTCAGTGAATATGAGTTTGGCAGAAGGAAACATCAGGAAATCAAGTAAAGACATCCCTACTCCCTCTCTGGTGTGTACAGCAAAGTGAAAAAGCAACTTGAAACACGGGGGTGGGGGGACAACCACATTGTGTTTTAAGTCCTAATGTAAATAAGGACAATCTCTAACCCCCACCCTACCCCACTGATCCTTCTTGCTGTCACTACCTGGTCATCTCCCTCTCTGACTTGCCTCACCTCCTTGGTTGCTGTAAGGATTGGCCAAGGAGAGGGCACACCAATGGAGAAAAGCCCCACTGAATGCCAAATGTCCCCAAAATCTAAAGCCACCCATGTGATGAAATATCATTACACTTGCTAGTCTGATGCAGTGTTGAACTAGGACAGGAGGGAGAGACCATTGTTTCAAATATCTGTTTGGCCATTAAGCTCCCTTGGGTGACCTTGAGCCAGTCACTGTCTCTCTTCTTAACTTACTTCAAAGGTTTGTTGTAAAGTCAAAACTGATGGAGACGAGCCACGTACACTGCCTTGAGCTCCATGGATCAAAGGTGATAAATAAATTGAAGTAATTGGTACCGCATTATATTTGGCAAATACATCTTTGGCTCTTCTGCATTTAGGCAATCTGTTAAATCAAGTGACTAACGATATCAGCAGTCTTAATATTACTACGTTTTTTTGCTGAGCGTGCTCAAGACAGTAATCCTCTTGCTATTTTAAGAAACTTCTCCTCAATTGAAGGTCCTTAATACGTTTAGAAATCTATCCTGCGCAACGGTTTTTGGCCAAGAAGGGCACAGGAAGGGTGTGAAAAAAGTTTCTCCAGGTCACTGATCCAGTAACAGAAGCACATATCAACTGTAAAGAAAGTGAGGAGATACGGTATATTGTTTTATGCTCCTTGGCAATCAGGGTGGCTAAAAAGTGATAAAAGGAGTGAACCACATCACATTAATCACTGTAAGAGTGGAAGGGTTGGTGGTAGCAACTATTTTAGAGGAAGGTGAGATGTGATCAGGGAAAGGATGAGGTTGTGTAATGTAGAACTTGTCCCTCCTCCTCTTGTGCTTTGTAGGGTTGCCACTTTTCTGACAGGGCTTTAATAAAAGCTCAATGACCAACCTAAATTGGGCATGGGTTGTTTTCACCAATAAGCCTGCCCTCTTAACACCTACATACATTGGGAGTAAGCCCCATTGAACACTGTGGGGCTGACTTCTGAGTAGACATGATTTGGCTTGCGCTACAGGGTTGCTCTCTTTGTACTATTATCTTTAATCTGGAACATGTTCTTAACTGTCCAGGGGATGGCAAGTTGTTAGGGCGAGGCTGGGGCACCTGTAGCTCTTCAGGTTCTGCTGGACTCTCACCTCTCACCATCCCTAGCCATGAGGCAAGCTGGGGCAACTGCCACGGGCGGCAGAACCCACACGACCAGCAGTTCCCAATGTAGATCTTTATTCCCCACCCCTTGTCCCTGATGCATATCTTCAATCACTCCTCATTCCCTAGGGGTGAGTCATTCTGTGCCCAAAAAAAACGTCCTGGGGGCCGTCCCTGCCCCCTAACCCCTGGCCATGCTGGTCTGGGGCTGGTGGAAGTTCGCACGGTCTGCAGGGCCACAAGGCAGCCCTGAGGGGGTTGGGGAGCCCCCGCCATTTTGTCGTTCGCCTCAGGCGCCACAAACGTCTCGGGCCGGCCCTGCCCCTAACCACTGGCCGCGCTGGCACATAAGATAGCCACGCTGGCCTGAAAGCGGCTGGCGGACTCTCCTCTGTGGCTTCAGGAGGGGAGGCGGTCTTTTTTTTTGAACGGCGGGCGGGCGGGCTCAACAAGGCGAGAGCGGCGGGGTGTCGCTGCGTGGCAGCGCCGCCTGCCAGAGGCGAAGACAGCGCGCGCGGGCGGGAGCGTTTCTAGCGTTTCTCTTCCCCTCCGCCGCCCTCCCCTTTTCTCCCCACTGTTCCTCCTCCTCCTCCTCTTTCTCCTCGCCGCCGCCTCCTCTTGCGCTTGGTCACAAGGGTCGAAGGAGGAAACTGTGCGGCTGTGGTAATGGAGGAGCCGGCAGGGGGTTAGCCCGCCGGTGGGGTGGGGAGGCTTCTTCTCCCCCTCCCCCCGCCGCCTTGTTTACTTCTTCCTTCCTCCCTCCTCTCGGCTGCTTCCCGCCGCCCCGCTTCATGGCCTTCATGATGATGAAGAAGAAGAAGTTCAAATTCCGCGTGGAGCTGGAGCTGGACGAGCTCTCCTCGGTGCCCTTCGTCAACGGGATCCTCTTCTGCAAGGTGCGGCTGCAGGACGGCGGCAGCTTCAGCGGAGAGTCGTCCAGGTAAAAAGGGCAGCTAACAGCCTCGGCCGCCGCTGCCACAACCCCTCGTTTTGAGAAGCCCTAACCTGGCCGGAGCGGTGGCAAATGGCAGGCGGAGAGATGTCGCCGCTCAGCCCCGTTATAGTACGGACGCGCCCCGGCACAGAAGCCGGGCTGCCCCGCTTCCCCCGCAGCCGCAACACACCTGTTAAGTCTTCAACGGCGCAGGAGACACGCTCATTTTGCGCGGACAGGGAGTAAATGCTATAGACGTGTTTCGGTTTTGATCCTCCTCCTTCCCCAGTCCTTAAGAGACCCGGTGGGGAATGAACTTGTTTCCTCCTCAAAATCTCTTGAGCTCCCATTCCCACCCGCCAAATGCCTATTTTCGGTGCCAGGGCTGAGTTCTCTTCTAACTGCATGATGCACGTGTAATGCAGCAGTGAAGTCAGTGTCTCTGGTCACACCGTTGGGTGACCAAAATAATGCATTTGCCCCAAAATGGATGGGATTCGGCGTGAGGCTTCCAGATCAAAAGGTACTGTTTCCAGGCAGATTTGAGCCCCTCAAATCTATTGTGTTTGAGATATAGATAGATAGATAGTCCCTAAGTTGAGGGCTGAAATTGGTGAGATTTATGGAGTAGTTTCCAATTCTGTTAAAGATTAGATGCAACGCATGCATATACATACACACAACATATACAACATACACACAGCATATACAAACATACACACAGCATATACAAACATACACACGCATGCATTGCATTGCATCTAGCATCTAATTTCCTTTAACGGAATTGGAAACTACTCCATAAATCTCACCAACTTATTGTTTTCCTTCCTACGCGACCTAGCAGTTCTGTTGCTGATCCAGACAACACAGAACTGGAAACCTCCCCCACAAATGTTGAGACCTAGTGTTAGGGATTGCTTAATAATATCCAGTCACAAAGTATTCCTTCAGTAGACCTATTACAGAACAGCCCTATAAAGTACAGTGGAATTTCTGGGAGAGAACTAGAAAGGAGCCAGAAGGTCCAACGCCCAAGACTAGGCTCTTACTACCGTCTCGCACAACTATCTCTATTTTATGCCATTTACAGAGACTAGGAATGATCATTGTGTTGCACGAAGGTGCCAGCAAAGTAGATAGCTCCAGCTGGAGTACGTAATTATACAAAGTAATGCAGTACGCTACAGAAAAAGATAAACTAAAAATCTCATATTTTAGCCTGACACATAAGCTTGTCTGATCGTCCCTAGGGAAGTGGAGAAAGGTATTATTTCAGCCAGTGGACCAGTCACACATTACACAAAATGCTACTAGGATGCTGGCTTGAACCACCTTGAGGCTACTTTATGTGCCTTTCTTTTGTGTTGGAAGCAATTCTCTACACAGTTCCAGTGATGTTTATATGCAGTTCCTCCCTCTGTTTCTGCATTTTGCAATGATACAGTATGTTGAAAATTGGCAGACCCACATGGGAGGAGGTTCATGCAGACAGGCTACGTGGTAGCCTAGTTTCCATGATGATCACAGAAGCAATTATCAGACTTTCAATTTTTGTTTTTTAAAAGTAAATTTTATCACTGTGATTGAATAGGCAGAGAAATGTCAAATGTACTGGGTGAAGTTGTCCTAGGTGTAATACAAAAGTCATCCACAGATTTACCCCCAAATGAATATTTAATGAAATCCATAACTCCTCTCTCTGGTTGTCGCAGTGCCTGAAGCTTCAGAGGAAGACTTTTTACAATTCATTAAAATAATAATATCACTACTTCATCTCAGTTGAGAAACCAGTGTTTTGAAACCCTGTGAGGTTCTTCCTTCCAACAGCTGTGCTATGAAGATTTCTTGAATTTATAATAAGGTATCTTCTTTTGCTTTCTAACCTCTCAACGGCAAATCTGTATGCAGTGGTTCTTATAAGTTCTAAGTTCAGACCAGCATACAAAGAAATACACAGCTGTTTCTGTGTGCCCAAGGGGGTTCAGGGCTTTTGTTTCTTAAACAGTGTGCTCAAGTGCAAATACACATGCACACGTAGTCATTTATCAGTGCTTATTATGGCTAACAGCTTTTGAAACTGAGTTCTCAAAAATAGTTTGGGTTATGGCATAGGAATTTGCTGTTCAAAAACAAAAGGGCAAAAATCCCACTGAATGTAACCAAGCTCTTGGACTTGTTTAAAATCACTTTTGGTTCATCATGGTCACAATTTTCTTGATCCTGCATAGCATTTCTCCCCACTTTAGTGTGACATTTGTAAATTACAACAAAGAGCCTTCTTAACATTCAGCAATACAAAATTCTGTTTATTTCCTGAATCATTCTAGTTGCCTTTTTCTACTTTGAAGATGTGCTCCATAAGCCTAGGTGAGCCTGCTGTTGTTCCACATGTGGAGATAGTTCCAGTTGTGATCTCACCACGGCATCATATTACAGTATTGGAAAAAAGAGAGATTTGTAATTGCATCATACTGAGGGTTTCAGTTTTCCCGTGTTTGACTGAGAGTGCCACTGGATCTGATAATGGCAGGATTAACTTGGGGACCACAAAGTGTGAAAGGGTGATCTAAAGTGAAGCATGGATTAACACGTGATTGTAGCTTGTGTGTGTTGCCCAGAAATGTATGTGGACCTTCTGTAGCCCTTTCCATCAGAGCTTATCATAATTAGAACCTTGCAATATCAATAATTTTGCATGAGAATTTGCTTCTTTTCTTCTTTCCTCCCCATCCCATTTTCCTTTTATGTTGTTCATACTGTATTTACATTGTAAGCCTCAGGGGAGCAACTGTGTTGTTTTTATTGATCCATAAGACATTCTGTGAGCCTTTCTGAATGAAGAGTGGGGTATAAATGCTTTGGATACATACTGTCACATTCAGTTTTACAGTATTGTATTGATGATGTGATCATATATCACGATAAGCCAGGGTTTCTAGCTTATCACAATTTATTATTTATGCTCCTACTTCACTCCTCTTCTCTTAAAAGCAGGAGAAACTCTTGTTACATCTGAACCCAGGATCTTGTTGGTCCCAAAAAAGCCAGGTTCAACAATCCAGTAACAATGCATGGTTTAAGTTTGGCTAGCAAGCTTTATGAGAGTTTCCTAGTTTGTCCTGTTTGCACCAGGAAAGGAGTGAAGTGGGAACAATTAGGCAGCCAGCATGCTGCTTGTGCACAATAAACCATGATAAGCTCAAAACCCTGCCTTATGACATGCAAACACAGACAATTACTTTGTCTGTGTATGTGTTGTATATATCACAGCAATGTGCCAAATCTGAAGTTTTAATGGAGGTGACAGTTATAAACAGCACAAACATGCAGTTACATGGCTTTTTAGTTTATAATGATTATTTCCAAGAATTGGAATATTCACTAATGAGTGAATATGCTTGAGTTTGGTAAATATGAGCTAGCTATTCTTAGGCTATTACCATTACATGTATTTTTTTAAAAAAATCATTGTGGTCTAGTGTGCTGCATTTTGAAAGTGGACTTGAGAAACCCAGTTTCAAAATAAATGTTTAGCAATGGATAGAACTGTAACACATGTCACTTTTCTATTTGCAGAATGGTCTCGTTTGCCCTCTCTTACTGAGTTTATATGAGGTGGCATACTTTGTGACATACATCTCAAGCATGATATTTAATTTAGTATCGATAACCAGAATTCTGATAAATCTTACAAGCTTGGGATTTTGTATAGCATAGTAAGGTAAGGTAAAGGTAAAGGACAGTTAATGTAGTATAAGAACCTGGAAGACATTTAATAAACTTTGAAATTTTAAATAGCGTTAGAGTAGCTGTGATAGAAAAACCTGTGCTAGAAACATTCAGCTGTATAAAAATTATGAATCATTAAACTATGGGTCTTTTCTGTGTCTAAAAAGTATAATTTTATATATTTCTTTTAATAATGTGCACCTGATGTTTCTTTGTGGTGCCCTGTGAGGAAAGGGATGGGTTAAGAGAGAGTGCCCAAGTTTGTTCAATGTGCTGTATGTCTCACTATGGAATTATTCATCTAAAACAAGGGTAGGCAACCTAAGGCCTGTGGGCCGGATGCGGCCCAATCGCCTTCTCAATCCGGCCCATGGACGGTCCGGGAATCAGCATGTTTTTACATGAGTAGAATGTGCCCTTTTATTTAAAATGCATCTCTGGGTTATTTGTGGGGCATAGGAATTCGTTCATTATTTTTTTCAAAATATAGTCTGGCCTACCCCATGGTCTGAGGGACGGTGGACCGGCCCACGGCTGAAAAAGGTTGCTGACCCCTGATCTAAAACCAAAGGGTGTTTTTTTTTTTGTACCACAGACTGATCTTAGAAGTTTCCATGATATGTTTCACTACCCTTCTTTTCTTGTTTATTGGAATGCTGTTTCTCTATCTACCAGTATAGTTCCTTGCAATATTAAGGCGTGTGTGTGTGTGTGTGACTGTTACTAGCTTCTGAGAACAATGAGTTTAATGTGGAAGAAGGCAGTTGCCATTGGGCTGCATGCACACTGTGGGTTGTATTCAACATACCACTGAGCACAAGGATTTCTCCTTGCGTAACAGAATGCTTCCTTCTCCCTCATGCACCCTCTAAATCTGTTATGAGTATTCCCCAATGCTCCAGAGCAGATTTGTTGACTGTGGAGGGGGTGATTTTTCTGCCCTTCATAGATTTCAGGCATTTGACATTCAAAGATGTTGGCCTTACGCCATTACCTGGTTGCCTTTCTCCATGCAAATTAACATTGCTAGTGGGGGGAAAGTAATGTTGGAAGCTGTCAGCCCGTAGTATTCTGCAGTGCCATCATACTATTAAATTTTATGATTTAGCCGCAGCGTAGCAGTACATGTTTCCTGGCAAACTAAATCTTAAACAAAATCACAGCACTATGTTGTGTGCTAATTAATTGGAATCAGACTCTTTCCAGCTTATTTCAAATGTGCTATGTAGCTATAAATTAAATTGTACATGGCAGGATTGGAAAAATCCATTATTTTGCCATTCTTACAGTGTAATCAGTGGAGGAGTTCCTGCTAAGTTCAATGTTACTTACTCCCCATTAAATGTCTTCTAATTGTGAGTATAAGTTTAAGAGGTAGTCTGTAATGAGAGTTTGCGAGAAGAAATGAGAAGTAAACATTACCTTTTCCCCAGATGTAATGCTAAGGACCAAGATGAGAAAATGAATCTGTAACGTTTGTGCTGTATGGCTTTGGGTGTATGCGGTGTTGCAGCCCTAATCTCAGGGTGTATTAAGGTGAACCTGAAATCCCTTCTATCTCAAAATAGGCCTGTGTGTGTATGTGCACACATTTAATCCCCCTTAATTTTGGAGGGATGGACATTCATGCAGTTCTTCTCTTTTCTGTGTATATAGGAGTATTTAGAAATATTCTTTTTTGGCGGAGCATTCCTTCCCCCCCACCCCAACACTATGTACATGAGATGCAGCATACTTTATAAATATATAGTTCCATTTAGAACCGCAACACATTTTTTATTGTATAAGTATGAAGTTTCATGCTATTTCCTGTGTTAGGCACATTTTATTGGCAAATGACTTTGATTTGTTTAGTGTGGCAGAGGAAATCCAGCTGTGGGGACTTGGCAGAATTCCCCCTGACCATATGCAACAAAACTGCGGCCTCAGTTCTTTTTGCAGGATACTGGTGCATTAATGAAGCAGAATGAGATGCTGAGTGCCAGCATACAAAAATTATGTAGCAGTTTCTGTGTTGGCGGGATATAAATGCTAAAAAGTGTTTGTAAATCCCTAATATCAAATAATGTTTATGTGCTGAACTTCCTTTTTAGTATGACCTGTACTGATAAGCTCCAGACATTGACACTGGGTTCTTGTTTATAACAGGCTTGACAATTATTCGCTTTTAATTCTGTAGTTGTGAAAATACATTTGGCATTCCACTCTGTAATGAAATTGGATCATTTTCATTCTCCAGTTCGATACATTCAAAGTCCTTCCTTCTATACAGGCAGCGTTTTTTTATGTGCGTCCGATATGTGCGCGACCGTGCACTTCATGCCGAACTCAGAAGTGACCCAAAAATGTCACAAAAAAGGGGACAGAACAGGGTAGGGCAGCCTTACATGGGCCCCGTCAACGCGGGGGGGGGGGCGTTCCGGAATGTAAGTGCCATGCAAACCGGTCTCTGCCTGTATTTTAACAGTTCTCTGAATGAGTTACTTCATCAATAACAAATGACAATTTTTCACACACTACTGATTGAAGCACTTAGAACTCCCTTAGTTTTAAAGACAGCTGCCTTTGCAATCTCCCACATTGAGCTGAATCAGTTTAACAGCCTATTTATTTACTTTGGAATTACCTCAGCCAAGAAGGTTTATACGATGACTATTTCTAATTGTCTTTTCCTCTAGTTGACCACAAGTGTTGTTGGGACACTGCATATTCTAGCTTAATGTTTTATTTGATTTATTTACTTATTTTCTGCTTCTTATGTTTGTGAGAAATACATGGGTCACCGCATATTGTGCATGGTGGAAAATGGTGTGTCAAGTGGACTGGGTTGCCTGTGACAGAATCATGTTTTTGTTTTATAAAGGGTTTAGCATTCCTAGTCGCAGGAATAAAATAAAAAGTCACAGGCCCCATCTGCAGACTTGCAGTCTAAGAATAAAATTAAGACACATTAGGCAGGGAGGGAAAATAAAGGGGAATTTGAAATAAATCAAGGTGAACAGATGTGTTTTAAGGAGGCACTTGAAAGTTAGTGCAGAGGAAGAAAATATATTGGCAGATGGAATGGTATTTCTGAGAGAAGAAGCTGCATGGAGATAAAGAAAATATTATTAGGTTAAACAAGAAGTTTGGTACCAGTGGAGAAGGGTTTAGGGAAGCATGTGTAGAAAGAGGGCTCTATCATATGCAGAATCAAATGTAGATGGCTAAAGAAGAGAGCTAACTTCAGTGAAATACAGGAAATATTGCACTACAGCAATCCCAGACTAACAAGATAAAGTATGAGGCCATTTTACCTGTATTTCTCTTCTGGTTTTTGTTTTATGATGTACAGTTCCGGTGGAAATCTGATATGAGTAAGAGCAGTATAAGAATATAAAGTAGCAAACCAGATTGCGTTCAGTGGGACTTGCTTGAGCAAATGGTGCACAGCATATGTACAGGGGTTTTTTATATAAAAAAAGGAAAAAACTGTTGTTAAACATAGTGGACGTTATTTCCAAGTAAATATTCATAGGAACAGGACTGGAAATAAACTGCATCCAAGTAAACAAGATAACCCCACAGTTCTAAACTAGCACAAATAATGAAGCTGACTCATCCAATTACAGAGTCTCAATCAAATACAAAATCCAGTAGTAGGAAAGCCACACTGTTTGTAAAACAAAGCAGAAGGTTTCAGCCATTCCAGCAAGGGTACTAAAAGCAGTGCAGAACTGAACATATGCAAACTTAACTATTTCTTCTTCACTGCCCGAATTCCCACTGAAAACAAGCTATAAGCTTTACACTACAAAGGACAGCCTCTGGAATAGGCCTGTTTGCCTTGGGCAGTTTATATTTACACCAGGTGACTAGGCAAATTGTGATTTGCAAATTTAGGAAGTTGGCAACACTGTTTGCTTCTACTGTTTTGTTTAGAATATTTCTAGCAAAATGTTTGAACTTACATGTGCTGTAAATCAGAATCTCAGTGTGCACGTTTGTGTGGAATCTGTGCGTTAATTATAATTCATTATAAAGTTATCTTCCCCCATTCTCTAAACTTACATTCTGGAGCCTAGCTTAAATTTTAAAAAAGTTTACAGAAAAGGTGAATATATCAAATAACTAAAGTCAAGCCTATGCCAACCCACTGTCCAAACCATCAGCCACATACAGTTGCCTGCTAGGGGGATGATAAACTACCTGATTTTATAGCCTGCCACATGATTGCAAAAATAGGAATGGCCAATTCCCTAGGAAATCACAGCAATATATCGCCAATGGGCAGCCTTTGCAAGAGTCCATAACTTCACTAGCCATTGGCAAGCACGTATTTTACCAGGTGAGGGCTTAGAAACAGGGAAAGTTCCTGCTTTTCTCCTAAGCCTGGAGACTAGTGAAGGCTCCTTGCATGTACACTGAACCTTGGAGATTTGAAAAGCTACAATACGTTTTACTGGTTTGAAAGCACTTTCAAGGCATTGGGCTCTGAATGCTTCCAAAAGTCAATGTGACATTGGAGACAATGTTCTGTCTCTCCCTCTTGGGAGGAAGGATACAACCACTGTTGTGTCATCATCATCATCTTCTTCTTCTTCTTCTAAAATATTTGAAAGAAGAGGGAAGCCTGCCTTTGTAAAGCTCCTCCAAACTCCAAAATTGTATGAGGAACTTCTGGGAGAAAGGGAAATCCTGGTAGGCATGCCCTAAAGGCCTTTTTTTTTTTTTTTTTAAAGCATAGCTATGAAACTGCTACTTCATAATACAGAAAGGAATTTTTTCTTTCTTAATGCAGTAGTCGGGCATTTTTTTAAAAAACCACGCTACTCATAGTACAGTGGTGCCCTGCAAGACGAATGCCTCGCAAGACGAAAAACTTGCTAGACGAAAGGGTTTTGTGTTTTTTGAGTCGTTCCACAAGACGAATTTCCCTATGGGCTTGCTTCGCAAGACGAAACGTCTTGCGAGTTCTTGCAAGTTTGTTTCCTTTTTCTTAAAGCCGCTAAGCTGCTAATAGCCGCTAAGCCGCTAATAGCCGTGCTTCGCAAGACGAAAAAACCGCAAGACGAAGAGACTCGCGGAACGGATTAATTTTGTCTTGCGAGGCACCACTGTACATGACCAAATTACTCCCTAAGGCTCATATGACGTTGACTCACAGTGGAACATTTTCATCAACTTGTTCTGCAGCACAGTTGCCAAGTAGACTGTCATCTCTGTTCACTTTCCATGGTAACCAAACAATGTGTGAAATATTTTTGGGTGGGGTGGGGGAGATTTTTAGAAAATCCTACAATGTTAAACTTCTGACTACAGTGGACCCTCGGGTTACGTACCTCTCTGGATACGTAATCTTCAGGTTGCGAAAGCGGCAAACCCGGAAGTATTTTTCCAGGTTTCGCCACTCGCGCATGTGCAGAAGTGGCACCTCTGGTTACGGATTTTTCGGGATGCGCAAGGACCCACAGAACGAATTAAATTTGTATCCAGAGGGTCCACTGTACTTAGTTGCATGCAGTGTTCTATTTGCTATCTTTCTCTGACTGCTTTTTAGCTGTAGGTAAATATTAAATTGTTTGTGAAATTACTGTAGTACCACATTTGTTTTTATTTAAGAATTTATAGACAGATTTTCAGTTGGGACAAATTCTCAAAGCAGTGAAACAACTCAGTTTGTATTTGGTGAACTTTTTTCTGTCTCAGGAAGACAGAATGTAGACTGGAATTTCATTAGCGGAATGCAATGGGATGTTTAAGTGCCTTGGTTAAATACATAGTCTTGCAGGTATTAAAGCTTGCCTTGAAAGTTTTAGCCTAGTGCAGAGATTTTCAACCTTTTTGAGTCCACAGCTCCCTTGACCAACTACCTTTTTTTGGTGGCACCCCTGTTGGGCTCAGGAGCCCAGTTATGTCATGCCTTGTCTGCAGAGCTGGCAGCCTCTCACCCTTTTTCAAACACCCTCCTTTGTGGAGTGTTCCCACAGTCTCCTCTCCTGTCTCCATGGGAGTCCTCTGGACATCCGCTCTTGCCATCCCTGGTCTCTGAGCTGCTGCCGCCCCCGCCCCCGGCACCAAAGAAAGGTGCCTCCTCACACTGCTCCACAGGGGCCTGGGAAGAGGATACTCCCCAGTCTTAGTAGCCCAAAGGAGACTAGTCAAAGGTGAATGTGAGGCCAGCACCTTACCTTGGGAGGCAGCAGGCGCTGCTGGGTCTGCATGGGGAAATGCTCTCCTTCAGCACCGGGCATTCAGCTCCCAAGCAGGCCTTGCACACAGCAAGCAGAAGAAAGCCTAGTGCAGCACCTGCCTACCTGCCCAGCCTCACAGTTGCCTGTCCATTCCCAACAGCAAGGGCTGGCTGGCTGGGCTCCCTCACCCACTTGCTTACTCTGATGCTACCTTGGCTCCTGGCAGCCAGCACCCCCTGGCCAGCCCCAGAGGTACCATTTGCCTGTGGAGCTTGTAGCCAGGGCTGCTGCAACAAACAGCTGTGCAAGGCTTTGGGAGGCAGGCATGAGAGCGCATCAGAGGAGAGAGGGAGAGAAAGAGGGACAGAGGCCAGTGTTGCCCACGGCACCCCTGACCATTATTCAAGGCACCCCAGGGTGCCATGGCACACTGGTTGAAAACCATTGGCCTAGTGCTTTTGTTTGAATATGTCTTTTAGCTGATTGTGAGGAAAACCTGGTGTTCTGTTTCAGTTTTCAACTGAGCAGCAGATACAATGCTAAAATGATTGTGAGAATTATACGTTAAAGATATAGAGAACATGGGTAATAGCCAGCATTAGTCATACTTAGAGGCCCTTTGAAATCAATAGAAAAGTTACTTGGGTCCATAATTAAAAGTCCGGTACTCTGCAGCATCTTAAGACTAGGTCTGCTTTTTTTGTTGATGTTTTTCCATTATAAGTTTCCCATTTACATGTGTGTAGCATTGAATATAAGCCTACATATTTTTCTTGCAATAGAAATATTTGCTCTAGGATAGAGTAACCCAAGCCAGTTCTTTCAACTTCTGTCAGGAATCTATGGCATACAGTACTGTCAAAGGTGGGTGGCAGGGTCAGGTAAGTAATAACTCACAAGATGCCAATAAAGTTAACTCTTTATTCAAATAAACAGCATAATGAGCCCAGCAACTCTTCCCAGTAGATCTTGCCTCAGTGAGGCAGTTTCGAGGACTGAAGGTCCCCGCCTTTCCACTCCTTCTTAAGACTCCTCCTCTCCCATTTCCTTCCCAAGCAATCTGAGGCTCATTCACCTTGTCTGTCTTTGCTTCACCCTCTTCATACCTCTGCGGGTTCTGGGAGACCAGGGAGGAGGGGAGCTGGTCACAGGAAGGGGGGGGGGCTCCCTGGCTTCATCAACAGCCTTCGTCATCTCTGTCTCTTGGCCCCCCTCCTTTCTAGCCTCCACTTCTTCCTCTGGTTCTGGACTTCTGTGACAGCCTCTTCCTGCTCACTAAACTGTTACCTCTTCAGCTTCCAACAACTCCACCTCGTAGCCTGCTCCGCCTTCTCCCTCTGACCATCATCATCCCACCACAAATCCCCTGGCTCTGACCATTTTTCCCTTGGGGGTTCCCTAGCTGGTGCCTCCCACTATTCCTCTGCATCCAGCCAGTCCACGGCATTGTTCCTTCCTTTCTTCAGACTGCAAAGTAAATTTCAAATAGAGCCTACAGAATAACACCTCTTTCTGGCACACAAGGGAGAAATGTGCTCAGGAGGTTTTGCAGGGTAAAAGAATTCACCAAAGCATTCTGTGCACACACAAAGCTCTGCATTTTTTTCTTAACCTCAATACTAGCTGTCACATTTGTTAACTGAAGATTCTGAAATTGTGGCTTGTTATAACATAGATTTCAGCAGCCTCATTATATCAGTTTGTTAGTGACTGACTGCCAAGCCCAGAGATCTTTTTATTTTGAGGCATTCTCCCCCACCCCTTTTTCTAAACTGTCGTGACTTTCCTCCAATACTTTATCTGGACATCTTCATTTCTCAGTCTCTGTCTGAACTCCATAGAGGAAGGTCATGAGCTTGGTTGTGGGGATGAATCAATATATTGTTATGGGTGGATGCACTTGTGCATTATTTTGTTGTATGTGGTTACTCACAAACTTCAGTCAGAATTATTTATTCAGCATTTCGAAAAGGGTGTCAGGAATCCAAAAAGATCAAATAACAGTAAATTAAAGTTGCATACATTACCTGTGGTTCTGTCATTATTTCTAGAGCAAACCTAGCAGTGATTTCATAACTTGGGATTTAAATCACTGCCTGATTTAAACATGATGCTGGGCTTATAAGAAAAACATACGGTAGTCATGCAACATTCCATATTGAAACCAGTCCCTCAACTGCTATGTACACAGTGTTAGCACACCAGTGATGAAGCCATAGATTTCTGAAATACTAACTCTGGGTATTCAGGCACAGCAATCAAGTCCTGTGGGCACAAATTCTTATATTACTGTATTTGTATTGTGTGTAAATAGGGACCCAAAGAGGATTAATTTCTCAGTTTGGAATACAGAGAATAAGCAAAAGATAAGAGATTGTCTACCCCAAAATGACATGGGTGATTAATCTGAGAGTACATGTTATTGAGTCTATGAAGGTCTTTGAGAACAATTTTGAGAGGTTCATCTTAATAATGCCTATTTTTGGTGGCAAATCAAATCTAAATAAGTTCTGTTTTCAAGATTTGATATGTAAGCTGGGAGGAATCAAGACATGAAAGCGAAGAGGGTAATGCAAAATCTTCCATTGTAGTTATTCGTACCTTAACATTGTTAAGTGTGAATTTATTTATAAAAATAATTACCATACCTTTTAGCTCCACACAGGTCCCCAAATATGGTTCATAGTCATAAAATCAAAATACAATACAATACAATACAGCAGAACAAGAACTAAAAGCCATTGTTTGGGGAAAACATATAATAGCAGAGGAGACCAGAAAACAACCCAAAAGTTTGGCAAAGGGCCAACCATTTCTTATAGTCTAGTTGCGACAGTTGAGTAAGATGTCATGCTGGTTCATTTGTGAGGGAGCCATGAGTATAAATTGATTTTGTTATCCTGTAATGCTTAACCATGGTTTAGTGCTACGTGCATGAACAGAAAGGAGACACCAAGCACCCTGGGTTCCTGCCCTCCCCTTCCCATGTTTTCTTCCTGTGCACCTGGGAGGACTTCAGTATGGAGTTAAGTTGCACATTCTATAAAACCTAACTGGTTCTTGTGTATGAAACCATGATTGTGGTTTAAAACAACTTCCGTTAAGTTTCATAACAGTCCGCTTCAACCCATGGGTTATGAAGATGGTTTGCTAAACTAAGCAGAGTTTGTTTTTAAACCATTTCCCTGGTCCATACATAATGAGAAACTTGGTTTTGTCAAAACTAAAATTAAGTCCTGCCACAGAGCAAAAAGGAGGACACATTTGCCAACTTCTACTTTTAATTATGGATTTCTATGACTACTCTCATTTTACATACCCATGAAAAAGAGGGTGTGTCCTGGAAAAAGAGCACATATGGCAACCCTACCTCTGTAGAAAACGTTCAGTTTTTCTTGTCAATGTTCAATATTTTCCTTTTTTCTTCTTCTTTTTTTTATTCACAGGGAAGTGGTGCAGGCAAACTGTGTCCATTGGAAAAAGAGGTTCTTATTTATGTGTAAAATGAGTGCAAGTGCCACTACAGGGGTCTTGGACCCCTGCATCTGCAGAGTGTCTGTTCGGAAGGTAAAAATGACCATTCTCTTCTTCTGATATTTGCATTTTAGTTTATGCTGAGGCCATGTGCCTCTAAATAAGTGGCAACTTAACGCTGTTTACTTATTGTGCATCCAGACTCTAATTATATTATTTCTATTGACTTCACCAAATATAATTAACAAAATTCTCTGTAAATACCACGCTGCCAAAAACACTGAATAATCAAAGATGAGAAGCAACTATTAATTTGTCTTACTTATTTAGTAATATTTTTATATTGCTTAGCATTAACAAGTAATAATAATAATAATAAATTTTATTTATATCCCGCCCTCCCCAGCCGAAGCCGGGCTCAGGGCGGCTAACAACAATCAAATAATCAAACAGTCAAATAATCCAACATTCTAAAAACATTTCATTATAAAAATTAATTAAAATCAAATTAATGGCAACCGTTAAGCAAAATTCTGTGCAAGTTGCCAGAGGAGGGAGTCAGGCTGCGCCCTGACCAAAGGCCTGGTGGAACAACTCTGTCTTTCTAATCGCAGAGCAGTTTAGAAATGTTTTTTCTATAAAAAAAATAGAAACAAAGGTATATAAAAAGAAACACTATAGATATCAATAACCTAGGGCAATTGGGTCAGTGCTAATGATCAAAGACAGCCTGCGTAAACAGGCACCCAACAGTCAATGGCTCCCAGAGGGAATGTGCAACTACAGAGATAGCCTGCTTTCGTACTCACACTAGATGACATTCCACTGGTCACAGCACCATCAGCAAAGTCTTCTCTGATTATCTTGATCTACTGTGCCTGTAAAGAAGAAGAGCTACACAGCTTAATTACCTTTGATTACTATTCATAGCATTGATAATATTGTAGGCGCTCAAAATGTGTTTTTTCCTGACTTAGGGAAACCCATTACAACTTATAAAACTTCCTCAGTATTCAATAGTATTGCTTGCTGTGTGTTAAATGTTTATGTCACATGCTGTGTGTTAGCTCTTTGACATTTTTCATCAGAAAATAGTGATTACTAAACCATAACCATTGGTTATTCTTGCAGGAATTAAAAGGTGGGAAGGCCTATGCAAAGGTAAAGACAATACAATACTTCCTCTCCTTTAACTTACACATATGTAATTTTAATTTAAAGAACTGTGCAGATTTATAGTTCCTGTCCTTAAGGATACTGGATGTTGCAAATACTGTTTAAAAGGAATAGTTGTGTAGCAGTAAGAAAACTGTGTCCTGCTTTTCCTTTTGTCATTTTATGAGAAACTTCTTCTTTCTTAAAGTACAAATGCTTTGATGCCTAAACTGTTTGTTTCCCTGGATGGTTCTGTAATTGCTGACTTTTCATCTTTCGTCACTAGCTGGGTTTTGCAGACCTCAACTTGGCAGAGTTTGCTGGATCAGGAAATACCACTCGTCGCTGTTTACTGGAAGGTTATGATACCAAAAACACAAGGCAGGATAATTCAATTCTCAAAGTAATTGTGTGTGTTTTTTCTCTGTTTTTCATTGTTTTTAGAATAGTATTTTACCTTAATGTTAAATGGGAAAGCAAAGGATAGCATTCAATTACCAAAGCTGTAACTTTTTTGGAAACATTGACACGATACCTGGTAAGAAATCAAGCAATTAGGTTGTCGTAATACAGTACTCCGGTAGAAGTTTGGAAATTGATGTTCAAGTACAATGCAGTTCAAATCCAGTGGAGGGAAATAATTAAATGTGTTTTATGTAAATAAGATAAACTAACCAAATTAGAGAATTAATTTTCAAGGTAGCTTTTTAGTTTGCCCAATATTAGGGAGAATTTGCTAGTTTTGCTATCAGTCATGGCTTGTAATATAGTCATCCAGGAAAAGGTAAAAACTTCCTTACTGCTGAACCTTGCCAAATAAATTTGTTATGGAAGTGTAATATTTGCTTGTTGCAATTATTTTCCTTCTGAAATGGCTAGTTGTAATATAAATTATAGGATTGCTTTTATGGACAGCATGTTTGCCCATTCTGTCTTTTAAAAAGTTGTCTTCTGTCAGACTAACTATAATTATTAACTTCCATGAATATTTTTAGTTGGCAGATAGCTTTACTGTTAATTGTGCCATTCATCTTCACAGTAACCATGTGAGTTAAGCCACTCACATATAAGATATATGACACGAATTTTCCCATTTCATGCTTTTTGGTATTTGAATCTGATTTTATTTTTGTTTGTTTTTCCTAACTTACAGGTCTTGATCAGCATGCAGCTAATGTCTGGAGACCCATGCTTCAAAACGTAAGTTTACATATGACATAGCAGGTGAAATTGTAGTTATTGTTAATAATTAGCTTTTGGAATGCTTGAATAAATTGTACAAATCATACTCTGAAAAAGAGTTGTTAACCAAGTTGTAAAGGTTATTGGGTATCAGCAGTCCTTGGTGCCTACTTCAATAATCTTTGATATAGCTCATCACTTTCCATGCAGTTGTGCTGTTCACCCATTTGCAGGGCAGGGGACTTAGTCTATTTGGGCAATAATAGATAATGCTATATGGTTTTTTATAAATCAAGAAGTCTTGTATTAATCCATGTATGCAAGGGGCAGAAGGAATGTACAGGTGCAGAGTAAATTATCAATGCAAAAAAAATGGATTGGAAATACAGTATTTGATCAGTGTACACTGTGTATTGTGTACACTAAGTCCACAGCTTGCATGCATTTAGCTTGTGCACATTCAGCTTTACGCACATGGAAAATAAATAAATAAAATAAACAGGGGCAGGCGTCCGGGGAGAAAGACTTTGACAGTCGCATCCACCATTGCACCCAATATGTTTTGACTATATGTGATTTTGGCTTTAGACCAATCCCTGGAATGTAAACCCTGCATAAATTGTGGGCCTTTTGTACACACTTTGTGAGGGAGGGGGGTTTGGTTATACCTTTCTTGTTGCTAGCCTGTCTTCGTGGAAGAACACATTAGGCTATGGAGAGTTAAATGGAATCAAGATTGGTTTAGCATGTCTATAGAATTTGAACAAAAATGTTGGAACTTGCACAGGTCTTTCACATTCAGGATTCTGAATCACAGCATTTGTCTCAAAACTCCAGTCCCTGTCCCCATCCCTGGGACAAAAAAAAAAGGCAGTTTTAATAGTGTACAAATTCTTGAGTACAAATTAGGTGAATTCTAATCTCTGGAAAGTGCAGATGGTGTTAAATACTTCTTGAAATAAAGTGTGACTCTTAAAGTGAGCCTCAGCAAAACAAATGCGTGCCTAGAAATAAGGATATAAAACAAAGTGCATGGGATTAATGATGCTGTAATTTTTACTGTGTTGGTCTTCAGCTTCAGGAGTGTTAAAGGGCCCTGTGTCTGCGCATGCCTATTCCAGCAGACTATTTACGTGTACTGCACCAAAAGGAAAAATGTGGTTAGGATGGATTTCTAGACTAATGAGGTATTTTGCGATGAGTCATGCAGCTTGGTGAGTGGTCTAATTGTAGCAATGCAGCTGGGAAGCTTTTATTTCCATCAGCCATGCTGCAAAAGTTAAATGTAGGCAGTGGGTTGATGTTTTTTTAAAAAAGGGTGTTGTAGTACAGCATAAATTCTTAATCATAAGTGAGGCTCTTTTTAAAAAAATGCTTCTCTTGTGAGTTGGTGTTTCTGGGCAAGATAAATTTAAACGAGAATGTATTGGTGCTAGAGTATTATAAACAGATGTCACTTTTGCCTCAAGCAGAAGAAGTGCTCAGAATACAATTTTTTGCAGCCTAAATTCTATTAGTCCCCAGAAAGCTATGAAGAACAATGAAAAGCTCAGAGCTTGTTGGGAGGTCTGTAAAATAAATTTTGTGAAAATGTTGTTGAGTTGTTGTAAAGTAAGATCAGGTGTAAGCTTGTTTCCCACAAGACATGGGGCAACCCTTGGCTTGATGGCCACATTTGCAAACATGTATTTGCAATGGCCCTGCTTTTTTAGGCAAATACTTTTAAAATACCTTAGATGTCCCACTTGGAGTAAATCCATTGAAATAAACATTGAGATAGCTGCATTGAGTTTTTGTCGACAGTACAAAACTTTCAAATAAATGGTTTTTTTTCTACAAAAATAGTGGAATACAGTGGTACCTCGGGTTAAGTACTTAATTCGTTCCGGAAGTCCATTCTTAACCTGAAATTGTTCTTAACCTGAAGCACCGCTTTAACTAATGGAGCCTCCTGCTGCTGCCACGCCGCCGGAGCACAATTTCTGTTCTCATCCTGAAGCAAAGTTCTTAACCCAAGATACTATTTATGGGTTAGCGGAGTCTGTAACCTGAAGCGTATGTAATCCGAGGTACCACTGTAACAACAAGTTGAAGAATTATATTAATGTCATTATTGAGTGCACACCCAATCCTAAACAGTTGGGCTGTTACTTATAGCATTATTTGACCCTCTATGCTATGTGATGCTATAGTGGTGAACTAATTTGTAAGCTCTCACTTTAAGAGCTTCTGTGTCACTGCATCATTCCTGTGTTAAGCGTATGATTCAGTTAACTACTTAATTTTAAACCACTATTTCTCATTTAGAATGCAAATAATCCCATTAAAAATTGAAATCTTAGTTTAGTTCAGCTTGAAAGGCATCTTGTAAGGATAGCCAGTTTAGTGAGTAACTGTTTGCTGAAGCTTTCTAGATTGCACACTCCTTTATTAAATTTGGGTCAGATTTATTAGCTTGTCTACAACCATCATTGGGACTGAATGTTATCTGTGTTACCTTATGACAGAGATTCCTTTGAGGCCACTAAAAGCTATCCTATTATTTTAAAATAGAATTAACATTTTGATTTTGCACTGGAACACAATGTGCTGAGGTGAGCACTTATTTTCCAATAGCATCTTCATTCCATCATGATTGATGAACTGTATAATAACTCAGTACACAATAGTTCCTTGATAAAGAATTGCTGGAACTCATATCACTAAAATCTTGAGTTTAATGGTTAACTTTATGTTAGCAAAGGGCTAGTTTCCAGGCCAGTCTCTTTAGTTCTTCTGCAAACATTACTATAAAGTTTCTGCTGGGTGACATTCTTTTACTACTGCTCTGGCAAGCAAATGTGCTCGCCCCCCAAAAGCAGGGATCACCAACCTTTTTGTGCCAGGGGACACATTTCGAATTTTGAGAGTGTGTCTTGGGTACCCGTCACAAAAGGGATGCTCTGGGGATATGGCATAAGACAAAGCGGATGCCACATCTAAATGAGCAGATAAAGAAACAGAACCACAATTGGGGAGGGGGACACCTAGATCGGTCACTGCTACACTTTCTCATTACACCTCTCCTTTGTTCAGAAAGGACAAGAGAGTGGTTATGCAATCTTGGCATCCAATAAAAATGTGTGGGCATGTTTAAGAGCACATGTCCAGTGTAGAAGCTGAGTCAGTGCAACCAGGAACTGATCAGGAACAGCAAACGATTCCTTGTGCATTGTGATTTTTTTGAGAGGACTTTTAATACTGAGACCATTGGCACCATAGAAAGTATGGTGGGCACACTGAAAGGTGTCTAATTGGAAATCAGCAAGGGCTGGAGGACACTGCTAAGCCCCGATTCACTGGCAGACATGGTGACATTAATGGAAACACAGGGTTGTTGTTGGGGCTCAAACCTACTGTGCACTAGGTGCCAGATCCTTTGGCCTTTTCCTCCCTCACATTTTTTAAATTTGCATATAGGGATGCTAGACATTCTACAAAGGAAGACTCTAGCCATACATCTTCATTTACTCAGTGACTTAAATTTGCATCTATATATTAAAATTAGCACATGCCAATTTGTGTTATTGGGTCCGTGCCTGACAGTGACCCTGAGGAAAGGCCTCTTTAATCTCATCTTTGTGGATGAACAATAGTGTAGGCTTTGGTCGAGCTCTTCTTCAACAGTTTACTAGTATATGGGAATCTATGGAGGGACTTCTTTAGGACCTATTAGGGACTTAACAGTTCATTGCCTGCACCTGAATTTGCTGAAATTGTGGTGTAGAGATGGTGGCGTTGGGATCCAAGGCTTTGCCCAGGGACAGCTAGGAGGACCTTGGGGCTGCATTTGCCCCTTGGAACTGAGCAAGAGATGAGAACCAGACACATTGCTCCCCACATTGATACCCACAAATTGCCTGATGCTAGCTTACTATTTTAAAAAAATCTTGCTTTTATAGAAGGCGTTTCATATTTTCAAGACTGCTGGGCAATTTTGCTCAGTTCTTAAAAATTAAAAGAACTGTTTTCCAAGTACGCCATACATTTTAGACAATCCAGATGGCGGTTCTTTCTGATGTTAATTTACCCAGTCAGAAAAGCATTTTGTAGAATGATTAAAATCGGTTTCTCTGTTTTATGAGGGTGCCTGAGAGCATACATCAAGCACTGCAGCTGCACAACCCTCTTTTAATAGCACATGTGGTCTTGCAGAGCCCCATTGAAACAAATGAGAGACACATCAGCAGTGTTTTGAACAATATAGTGGTTTATCAAGAGTCTGATAAACCTATTTTTGCTGCATGCATGCAAGTACCGTATGTGGCTGGGGGGGGTGTTGTTAGGCTTCTGGCATGCCACAATAGATGAGTAGTGGGCTGCATGTGACTTGGTGGGTTTACCCTTTGTGTAGTCTGGGAATACATTTATTTTACTTGATGGGTCACACCTTGTTCAGTCCTGGAATAATGCCATATGTTTATTTGAAAGGCTTACTGTTTTCTTTAAATCTGCCTTATACACTGTTCAGGACATTGCTGTTTTATTTGGTTTGCAACAATTCTGTTACCTTGCATGGCTATGTTTGGTGTTACAGAGTGAGGCATAGCATGCACAAAACACTCACTGCTTTAGATTTTTATGATAGTAGAAAACAATAGGAAGTGCTGGGTTGACATATTACATAAGGAGAAGGCAAATATAAATCTTCTATTTATTGAAATTAGTATTGAACTCAATACAAGCCATGAAACAGCTGTAAAAACATCACTTATAAGACGCTGAACTACTAACTGCTATAGCCACTGTTCTGCAAATCCTGTTTTTTTCCAAGATGCTAAATAAAAAGGTTTTTTAGAGAGATGAAATCTACAAATTAAGTTATTTGGGTCTTCCTGGCACTGAAAAAGATAATATTGTATAATTCTGGGAGGAAATGTTATGAATTTGTTGGATTTTGTTTGCAGTATATGTGAAATGCATATTTGTTTCCCCTAGGCACAGGGGATAGGACCAGTTTTAATTTCAGTCTGTTTGTTTCATTTCAGGCCCCCATCCACAGCAATGTCTATAGCAATTGCTGGAGAACCAGAATCCCTAAATGAAGACAGAAAAGGAGCAGAGAATACAAAATCATCACATCTAACTATATCAGGTAGGGAGCAATGCTATGGTAGAAGCCTGGGGAAAATAAAAAAGAATAATTTCATTTAGATAAGTGGCAATGCCACTTAACGCAGGCATCTCTTGGTATTAGAATATAAGTTGAAAACTGCACTTTGGCATAATTGTTTTCATACGGAGTCTATCTACTAAAAACCTGCTCAGGTATAACTAAGAGGTGTACCTCAGGGATACTATGCACATTTAGGAAAAGCATTGCATCATTTCTGAGAGCTCCTAGAGTGGTACATGATTGAATTCTCCACAATTTGAAAACCTTGTCTACAGAGAGCTAACTTGTTTGGGGTTTGATTCCTCCTCCCTGCAGCACCAGTTGTGCAGATTGTTCTTAATATGGGGCAGTATTCAAACATGCAGTACCCCACTGCACTCTTGACTGTTTGAACACTTACAATCCCAGCTTGATTACCAAGATCACCTGTAGGAACTTTACTGGTTGTTCCTAGAGTTGGTGAAGTTTATCTGATGTCCACAAGACAGAGCCTTCAGTGTCAGTATCATTGGCCCAACCCTATGAAATACTTTTCAAACAGAGATTTAATAGGTGCCTTCTGCAATAAATTTAAATATTTGCTGAATTTTTTATGCTGCTAGGCTTATGAAGACAATTAAGAAAAAAAGCTTTCTGCAATAGGTAGCCAGCAAACTGTGGCTTTTAGTTTCTATGTGGTTTTATTGTATAGATAATTGCTGTAAACCACTTTGATTTTTAAAAATGAAATTACAGTATACAAGTGTGTTGTTTTTTTACTAGGGGTTGTGCTGTGCTCCTACTCACCCCACTCACCAACACACACACACACACACGCACGATTCATGTTGAAGACGACACATGGTAGCAGAAGTGAAATATTTTATTGTGGGAAGGTTGCCTCACACATGAGGCTGCTATGGAATGGAAGGGGGGGGGGAGTTTAAAACAGCTTATTTTTCCCTTGCACTGTCTCTTCCTTCTCGAACAACTGCAGAAGTTTGAGTAAAGCAGGGATGGAGAAGCACTGGGGAGTTTGTTTTTTAAACTAGTGTAAAACAAGGAGAAATAACAGAGATGGGTACAACACAGAAACTAACATCAGAAAGCTAACACAACAGAACCTTTCCCTACTCACTTCTTGCTGTACTCAAACCTTGTTTTAAACAACCGCTCCCCAACCCAGTGTCAGCACCTGCTCACTCTACTCAAATCTATGTCATTGTTTAAAATTGCCACTATTTCATCGCAGTATTTTTCCATCCGTGCTTTATTCAAACCTCTGCTGTTGTTTGAAGCCGCCACTCTCTCCCTGTCAGTGCCCCAACCTTCTCTCTCGCATGCCATGGCCACTGGTGTTGTGCTGTCTGTCTTCTCTTTTGCTCCCATACACCAACCTGACTTCTTACAAGTCTGAATTTGTGACTTACTTATTTATTGCATTTATGTCCCAGGTAGAATACACTGTTCTCTCCTTCCTTATTTAATCCCCACAATAACTCTTTGAGGCAGGTTAGGCTGAGAGACAGTGTCTGGCCCAAAGTCACCCAGTGAGTTTTATGGCAGAGTGTGGATTTGAAGCCTGGTCTGTCAGGTCCCATTCCAGCACTCTAACCACTACACCACACTGGCTCTCATTGTGATGTGGCGCAACAAATCCTCCAATTGGGGTTGCACAATGACCACCTTACAGTTTTTCTGTATATAGGAAGGAAGAAGTAGAATTGTACAATCTCAGGAGAAACAGTATTATATGCTTTTTCTGCATATGTAGATCAGTTCTTCATTATTAGAAATTACCAATCTCAAGTTTGGTGTTGGCTTTTTTTAAAAAAATACAGGGACATATAAATGACCCACACATGGCTGAAAATCCATTAGATCAGGGTGTCTTACTCTCTGGCCATTCTGAAATATGGCAGCTTCTGATGCGAAGTTCAAATCTTGGCGGTAAGAAGAGGTTCTTCCCTGATCTTAGTTCTGTGGTGCTTAGTGCTAAGGCTGGAGAGAACAGATTTCCCACCTGATTTCATATGACTTTAGGGTGATTGCCAAGTTAGAATGCTTTGCCCAAAATGACCTTGATGGGATTCAAATTCAGAGATCTGGCAAGCCTCATTAAGACCAGGAATGGAGGCTTCCCACTGCTGCATTAGATAATGTTATGGGTGCAAAATATAGCCCCTTCCTAGCCATTTGTGTTGTGCTGATAAAAAGGGATGTGGCTAATCTCTCTTCACCCAATCAAGGAACCAGCAGAAATTACCCCTCTATCATTATATAGCCCATGTCTCCTACATAAAAACTCTCTAATCTTTCTCCATTTCAGCTCTTGACCATTTAAAAAAATTATATCAGGAAAACAAAGTAGTCAAAACTACACAAATGATTTGAAAACCTGGTGCAATAATTTCATCTGCATGTTACTTCCTTGATATAATGTAATGGCTAAAACTACTGAGAATTACCCGCTGAAGAAAGTGTATGCTTTAAGCAAGTCTATCACTACTCAATGTGGACGATTAATCTGAGGAAGTAATTTGGCAGCAGTGTTGCTTGATCTTCATTTTTTGCAGATCTCGCAACCAAGAGCATGTCTCTCCCAGATGAACTTGGAGCATGTGGGCATTCTAGAACCTCCAGCTATGCAAGTCAACAGTCAAAAGTTTCAGGTAGGAGGTTTCTTGATGTGCACTATTAATTACTTAAGTAGATTTAGCAAAAAAAACCCACAACCCTGTGAGATTAATTTCCTGCTTTTTTATAAGCTGTGATGGATTTACAGACAATATAAGTAAAAATAGGAAAACAATTTTAACAGCAAAGGCTTTTATGTGGAAGCCATTTTAAAAGCATACCCTTGACATGAATTACAAAAATGGTCAAAGGGGTAGGCATTACTTTAAAAAATGTTACTCCTGTGTTTTAACTGCGTTGTCAAATTAAACGGCTAACACTTTCTACTGAACCTCCGTTATAGGAAAAGCTTTATTTCCAAGGGACATGGGAAGCTGTCTTATACTGACCGAGTCAAACCATTCGTCCACCTAGCTCAGTATTGTCTCTACTGACTGACTAACAGCTATCCACCAGGGTTTCAGACAAGGTACATTCCCAGATCACAGGGGTTGATCTTGGGACCTCCTGCATGCAAACCAGAAGCTCTAACACTGAGCTACGGCCCTTTCCTTAAAGGGGAATTCAAATATGTCAGGCTGCTGTTTAAAATACCAGGAGCAATGCCAATTAAAAGGAAATGTCAGTGACTAATTTGTAACTAGAGTGGCAAAGCCGAAGTGAAGGAAGACAAACTTGCGTTTCTTTAGTGAAATGCAAGCACTTAAAGCAAATTATTATGCTTGTTGAAGGTTAGCCACCACTGTTGAGTCATCAGGAAGCCCCAAAGATGTCCCCGGGGCATTGTGACTTTTGAGGAGCTACACATGATGCACAGAAAAGTCAGTCAGAGTGAATTGGGGAAGAGATTAGTCAGAGTAGTCAAAGAGACTGTTTTAAAAATGTTACGCTATGAACCACCCTGAGACCTGTGGATATAGGGCGGTATACAACAACAACAACAACAACAACAACAACAATAAATAATACATAAATAAATAAATAACCAAATTGCCATTTTAATTATTTCTTTGAGCCCCTTCCCTGGAAGAAGTATATTAAGCAGAGAGTTAGCCATACAGGACAAGAAAGGAGCAAGTTTTCCCTTCATAATCTTAACCAATATATGTTCCATGGGGACCCCCAAGGGCTTTTGGCCTATCCTCAGTCCCCCAATAGTCTTTCCCCTGGATATCTGTAGAAAACAAGCCTCAGCTTGTTAACTAGCTATCCTAAGTGGTAATGAACCTAGATTGCAATGCCAGTGTCTTGGTGCAAGGAATGACTTCCAGATTCACAGCAGAGCTCTGAGGAAGAATTTTCTTCTGTCCCCTTTGCCTTAGAATAGGTAAAAACTGCAATCTGATTGCCTCTCATTCTATTAAGTCCCTTTCTCCCCCTGTCCTAAACTTAGATTCAATTGTCTCATTTATATATTTAACCCAGTAATCTGGCCCAATCTGAACACTTGTGTACTTAACTGTGATAACCATACAGTCTTCCCCTGCCTCCATTTTTCTCCTTTCTTTGTTGTGCCTATTTCTAGATTAGAATTGCCTTGGGAACATAGACCTAACTCCTTATTCTTTGTAAAATGTCATGTTCATAGATGGTCATGTGCATCTCATTGTTTAATTATTATTTTTAAGTTATTTGATACTATGTCTGCCTCTTTGATGTACTGTATTTGAAGTAAAATTATTTTCTGATTCTCTCACTAACCAAATGATTTCCAAATATTTGACACGAGTGTCATATTCAAGGTAGAAGTGGAAACCAAAATCCTGCAATTCAGCGAAGTATAAGCCTTGGCATCAAAATAGTACAGTGGTGCCTCGCAAGACGAAATTAATCCGTTCCGCGAGAGTCTTCGTCTAGCGGTTTTTTCGTCTTGCGAAGCAACCCTATTAGCGGCTTAACGGATTAGCGCTATTAGCGGTTTAGCGGCTATTAAAGGCTTAAAGGCTTAGTGGATTAGCTGCTAAAAGGCTATTAAAGGCTATTAAAGGTTTGGCGGATTAGATAAAGGGGGGGGAAAGCGGAAAAAAAATCTCTAGACTCGCAAGACATTTTCGTCTTGCGAAGCAAGCCCATAGGGAAATTCGTCCTGCGAAGCAACTCAAAAACGGAAAACCCTTTCGTCTAGCGGGTTTTCCGTCTTGCGAGGCATTCGTCTTGCGGGGCACCACTGTAGTTCTGAATCATTCTCTTCTAGGGTATAGCACCTGCCACTCCAGATCATCCAGTTTCTCTGATCTCTGTCATAAGAGAAATACTTCTGTGGGAAGCACATCAACTGGTATAGGTAGTATTCTGGAGCCATGTGAAGAAGCTGAAACCAAAAGCACTGAGGATAATTTGGAAGTGCCCGTGAAAGATACAGCCTCAGAAAAATTCATCAGGTACAAGACTTGCAAAATACTTTTTCCAGTTTGCTCAGGTACTTCTGCAGAAATATTTTAGAATTGCACAGTGATCTAAATGTTATATACAACAAATATTTCATAGGCACCCAGTGAAACAGGATTCTGTGGAATCACAGCTAAAAAGGGTTGATGCCACCAGAGTGGATGCAGACGATATTGTTGAAAAAATATTGCAGAGTCAAGACTTCAGTTTGGACTCAAGTGCAGAAGGTTTGTAAAGCACAGGGGGTGGGATGGGGGGAAACCTGATTAAATTATTGGCTCCAAATTTCCTCATTCCTCAGTGGGCCTGTATTCCAAATGAGTTAGGTCCAAAGTGATCCTACCATGAGCAGAGAAGGCAACTCTGCTCACAGAAGGGAGGAAGGATCTGCAACTTCTGCTGACTCCTTTTTCCACTTGCAGTCTCCCACATCATTCCCAAGGGTTTCTGAATCCTGGGACTGGGGTTTTCATGGGTGCAGAAAGTTGCACCGCAAAGGAAAGGGGCAGGAAAGGTCCATTCCACAAATGGAGCTCTACAAGCTTATTCTTAGATCCAAGTCAAGTGTGATAACATTGCATGTTATGAAATTTGACTTTTTCAGAGGAAGGGCTAAGACTTTTTGTAGGCCCTGGAGGGAGCACTGCTTTTGGAAGTCATCACTTACCCAATAGGTATGTATACCAATTCTACTTATCTTCCCTACCTACTACACAATAAGTAACAAAGACCACATCTGAGCAATTCTAAAATTTGGAAACATGCTCCAGAAATCATTTGGACATATCCTTTTGGTTTTGTTTGTATGTAATTTGAAAATTGAACTGCTCTTTCATGACACCTGACTACCACAGGCTTGTAATACTCACTGACCACCAGTAGAATTTTGAAATGCAACTTGATCATTAATGTTAATATAGTTATAAAACATTTTAAACACCGTGCTGAGATCTGAAAAGCAACACAGTCCATGTCCACAAGCTTACAGTCTAATGCACAAGATATAAAAGGGGAAAAGGGAGGGAACAGGAAAATTAGGAGTGAGGCTGATGATTGAGATGAATTCCTCATTTGATGTGAAAAGCAATGATAACATTCCATGACAACAGAATTATTTGTCCTGCTTGCCACTGTCATTACGGCTTTCGGCAGACTTCTTCAGTTACTTGAATGCATGGATTTATTTTAAAGGTACTGAGTGTCTATGACTCGCAGTGTCTTCAGTGCACCTTTTGCTAGAAAAAAGGGTCTGCTGCTGTTTAAACAGTGTTCTAAAGAGGAAATTATATTTTTTTCCAACACTGGATTGAATTGTTGATGATAGTTTATTAATATATCTTTAATATTTAGTGGTTGTAATCTGATTTCAGTGTTACATATGGTGTCTGTGATTATCAATAGCTTACATGTGCATCAAAGCCTTGGCACAGACCACAGCATAGAGTTTTTGGTTGGGAATCATGGAAAAATTGGGTTGGATCCAGAATGTTGCTTGAATTTCAGTTCCTTGAAATCAGTGTTGAAGTTTAGTCGTGACCTAATGTGTTCCACAGAGTTCAGTGGAGTTTAAGTGAAACTAACTGAAGAATCCAACTTCCCAGTGTTCAAGCATGTGTAATTAAACCATTGATTCTATTTTGTGGGTATTTGTTTCAAATTAGGTAACATACTGGGCATAGAACTAGATGTTACAAGAGATACTCAAGTCTTCTCAGTCAAAAACAAATCAAGCTTTCTCTCATATAATATCTAAAAAAACTAAAATGTGTGATGTGGTAACATTGAGCCTTGACTTTTCTCTTCCCTTTCATTAGCTACCACTCACTTGGCCAAGAACATCACACATTGCAGAGACACGTAGGCTGCTGTGTTTTGAAAGCAGCAATTAGCTCTTGTAATAAATATCAAGTTTCCTCCTGTTCAAGAGTGTAAAATTCTGTTCCAGTATTTTCTACTGCCTTTAATTTTTCAGGGTTGGATCTGGAGCATATGAGCAAGTGGTGATTAAACGCTAGAGGAACTGGACTACAGTGGCAGAATTCTAGGAACTCCAGAACTTGCTTATTTCCCAATACTATTGAAGATGGGTGCTTCCAAAACGCAAGTTTCCATTGACCCGAGTTGTCGGATTGGGTTGCTCATACTGAAAGTGCCCTCTTCTGTTATCTACCTGTGGTATAAGGGCGAATTTTTCTTCTTTGAGTACTTTGCCAGCCATTGTGAATGTGTTGGTAGATTTGTTACATTGTTCTATGTGTCAATCAAAGCACCTTTTTTGAAGATAGGACAAATGGTACCTGATTTGACTTTAATATGGTGAAATCAATTGTCGGTATGTAGAAATGCATTCAGTGATGTTCTCTAATTGCAACCTGGCTGCTGTTGCTTTTTAATCCCTTAAAAAGTCAAACACATCTATTTCAGTCCTTTTCTGGGAGTGAGAATCTTGCCTCTCGAGTATTGACTTAATTGTTCCTGTCTAACTAGAATTGCTACAAAATAGGAACAGCTGCTTCTGCTTCAAGGAAGTGAGCCAGTCAGCTGTGCTTTGAAAGAAATAGGATTAAATACTGCTACAAATGTGTGCAATTTTAAGGCTAAGTCACATGTGAGAACTAGTTTATTACTTAAAATGAGTGACTAGCTTTGACAAAATTAAATCTGTATGGTATTACATAGTCCTCACTGCTGACAAGATTTGAACCCTTAGTACAACTTTATAGTATTCAAAGATAATTCTTGCTGACATTTGGTGTGTACTGAAAAACAAAAGTACTACATCATAGGTGACCTCATTGAATAATAACCAGTAATGAAAAGTTTAGAGCATACAGTAGTATGTTGTTTAGCTCATACAATATTAAATCAAACCGTTTAACACTTAAAAGAGTGCCTTGTTCCTGAGGAAAAAGGAGGTCGGCGCGATTTCTTATAAAGCTTTAAGAACAACCATTAAACAGCTAACATAACTGCTATATGCTTAAGCTGTCAAGAAAAGCACTTTATATAATTTTCTTCACCCCATCTGAAACCAGAGTCTTGTATTTTAATTAGAATTGCTAACTCAGGCCCAGTGTAAATGAGGCATGGATATGAGCAAATAACTTACCTCTGTACTTGCTCAATTTAAAAGGTATTTGCCCTGTTCTACCTGATACACACATTGGTGTTTGCAACTGCCACACATGTGGTATAGTGCAGTGCAGTGGTGGTCATGCAGAATGTCTACATAGCTTGTTTTAAGTCATCTCATTTTAGTCCATTTCATTCAGCTGTTGTTAAGACAGAACTCATTGATATCAGTGGAACTTGTGCAGATAAATAGTTCCTGGTACATATAAATTTGAACAAATGAAACATGTAATGTGCCTATGCAACAGTTTTGACAAAGCATTTTCTGACAACAGCCCATTTTATTTTTGTAAAGATTTTTTTAGGGATTTGGAGTGAAGGCTGCCAACAATTCAGAAACATATTGACAGTTAGTTAGTTAGTAGTGGACTTCAGATGTCAAAAAAAGTTAGTCACTAGAATTAATCAGTATCTTCAAAACAACTTTGAGTAAGCTAATGAGAGTTACTTGACCTGTGCAGAACACTGATGTTCATATGAATTCCCTGGGGTTGGTCAGTGTTTGTTATCTTTCTCAAGAAACAATGAAAGATTTAAGTTCTTAGCTAAATGAAGGAATTTTATATCTTGGAGATATGTCGCAACTCATTCTTATTATTTAAATCATATGTGTGAATTGTTAAAATGAGAACCATTTCTTCTGTATTATGGTACCTGGAAGTAACTTGTCACTTCTTCATAAAACATTTTATTTAGCCTGATTTGTTCTAATTGAGTTCAAGTAAATATTTAATTTTTTAAGCTGCTTTGAAAATAATGCAAAGAGAATACACAACAAAACTTACTTTGAAACATACAGTGATCTAGGTAAAATTGAGTTTGCTCTTAGTGTGTTTAAGTAAGTCACTAAAATAGTGTGCAAATATGTTGAAAAAATGCTAGTTCTAAAAAGTGTTGGTTCTAAAAGATGAGTGATTTGGAGAGAACAAATTGGCATAAGGGAGAAAGAACACAAGGGATAAAGAAACTAAGGTCACTAACTACAAAGGAACTATCATGTTCAACGTTCAATAAACTTTATGTATTGCTTGCTTACTCAAATGCAATGTTGGTCACTCCTAGTGTAAATACCTGCATTCCCTGACTTAATACACCTTACACAAAGGCAATTTCTCTTGTACCCATCACACTGGTAATTTTTTTGAATTCCATATGATAGTTCCATTAAACAGCTATTATGCACTTTAGTCAACTGAGCCATGTTAATGAAGTGATTCCATTTGTGTCCCCAAGACATGGGAAATGAACTTCATATTCATATATGGCATTCATTTTGTGTAAACTGTACAGTGATACCCAAAATTAACATTTTTTAGTAAAGTCTGATTTTTTTACCATAAAATACTTGATGTAAAGTGGTCTTACAAACTCAATAAAAGTTTTGTCTTCAACCTGCATTTTATGTGCTGTTTTTCTGAACAGAGAATCAAAACAACAAATGCAAAGGGTGTTTGCAATAGTACTGTAACTAATTTTACTTTATTAAATTAAAAGGAGCAAATGAATGGCATTCCATCTCCACCAAATTATTAGCTTGAAAAGGAGTGGGGTTATCTTTCCACTTCCTTCTTTCTAATAGTAAACAGTATGCCAAAAGAATACAGGCTAAATTTTGGGAGGAACTGTATCTCATTTTTAGGTTACTTCCCTGCAGAAAAAAGGCCCAAGACAGGAATAGTTCAGTTGTTTGGGTCAGGTGGTTTCCTGATAAACTTAAATCTTTTGTATTCCTTGTACTAAGTTTAATACTGACCTATTACAAGTTTTAAAATCCAAGATTTTTTTTGGTAGAACCAGGGCTCTTCTCTTTCCCAGAGAAGAGAATCAGTTAATGATTTAAGCCTCTCTAGCTCCATTGCTTTCTTTGCTCATCTATATTGGAACCTCTGTACAATTTAGTAGTCTGATTCAAAGGCTAGAGGAAATTAAACTGCATTTTGTATTGAGGCCTGACTTGCAGACATTCTGGAAAGTCAGCTTTATCTTCCTGTGCTAGGTTCACATTTTCTACCTGTGTTTATACCCTGTCAGCATGATTAATTCCACTGATACAGACTGCTGTGATTTCTCCAAATGCTTTTTATGCTATTTTGATTTGTTAGGTACTTTTGTTCTAAAACATTACAAGTTGAGTGATTTATTTAGTCTGTAAAATCTAGAGAAATGACAGCTCCAAAGCATGAAAAACAAAATATTCCAGTATTAAATAACATTTAGACACTGATCATTCTTTGGGACAAAAAATATATATCTTACAGTGGTGCCCCGCAAGACGAATGCCTCGCAAGACGAAAAACTCACTAGACGAAAGGGTTTTCCGTTTTTTGAGTCGTTCTGCAAGACGAATTTCCCTATGGGCTTGCTTCGCAAGACGAAATGTCTTGCGAGTTCTTGCGAGTTTGTTTCCTTTTTCTTAAAGCCGCTAAGCCGTTAATAGCCGCTAAGCCGCTAATAGCCGTGCTTCGCAAGACGAAAAAAACGCAAGACGAAGAGACTCGCGGAACGGATTAATTTCGTCTTGCGAGGCACCACTGTATTTTGTTTCCATTACAACTATTAAAGCAGTTTACTTTAATTTTATAATGAATGATTTTAGAGTGCTGTTTATGCTGTTAAACTGTTTTATTGTTGTTAGCCGCCCTGAGCCCGGCTTCGGCTGGGGAGGGCGGGATATAAATAAAATTTATTATTATTATTATTATTATTATTATTATTAGGTATTCACTAAGTAAACTGCTGTAGTGGTTGTCATTGTAGTAAGACAATACAAAACTTTGACTGATGACAAAAAGTACTAAACATATAACCATGTTTTAGAGCACCATTCTGAGGCCTTGCCACAGCTTTTTAGAGGTCCCCCCCCATTCTGCCTTTTGTCATCCTCTATGAGTCCCACCTGCAGAAAAGTTCCCGTTCGTTATTTCTGTGAAAAGTTCACATTTCCTCTGCGGAGCAGCTACATTTCCATCAGCAATCTAGCTGGCATCCCACTCTTAACGGGCTTATTGTAAACATGATCAGTAACTACTACTTGTATTGGTAGTAAGGAATACTTGATTATCTGTCCAGGGAAGAGACTGCCTTCAATCCTAATACTGAAGAAGTGATTAAACTAAACTTTGCAAACAGGATTGTCTTGAACTATTTAAGTCATTTAAGTGACTATTTTATGTAGTAAGCCCTAGCAGAAACTGTGCTGGGTTTTCTTCTCTATTCTCATCCCAAAAATGATTCCTCTGAAGTGACACTATAATAGCAAAGAACACCAGGGAAAATTAGTGGCTACGGTTGTACACTCTGCAAGGGCTTGGAATCGGGCCAGGCTGGGAAGTGATGCAGTGTTCTGGTTATAGTACAAGGAGAAAGCTGCTGCAGCGCAACTGTAATAGAGAGCATTACATTCTAAGAAGGTAGAAGTAGGAAAACAATAATCTATCCTAGCATTTTTAAATGTGACAAGTGAATTAGGGAAAAGGTCAAAGAGCAACAAGGTACCAAACCATCTCTTCTCTTGCTCAATCACGTCTGTTGCCTCTGGTATAAAAACAACACTGCAGTCGTCCTCTGACTCTTTACCAAGGTGGTGGTGGTAGGGATATTGGAAAAAGCTGCATCCCTTTTTGTTACATGAGAACAGGATTGCCAAGCAAATGCTTCATGGAGAAGCATGCCACCTTGTGGTTGAAATTGTTGCAAGATTAGTGAGATAGAATTGTCTAATATTTGTTTAGAAAAGGCTGTTTACTGTTACACAGGAACAATATTTATGTACAACTACATCTGCTCATATGCCAATCTGTTTACCAACTATTGTAATTAAAGAAAAGCATACTTGAACAGGTAATACATGCAGGAAGCAAGGCATAACTTCAGTTACTTGAGGCTTTAATAAGGCTATCCTATGACTGGTGTTTGCAGTACTGCTAGATGAATGAGTAGTCTGCCATCTTGCACATAACTCATAGGAGTAGAGGCCAGAATTTAAAAAGGAGGTCACACCCTTCTTGATCAAACCATTATAAGGTTGAGACTAAGGAAAAGAATTGCTGCTGCTCCCTGCTGCTCCTTTCTATAATCAAAACCTAGCAGTCCCCCAAGGTTATTCTGGTACTTTGGGGGTTAGAATCAGTTTGTGGATGAGTTGAGCAAATGTATTTTCCAACTTTGTTCAGCAAGTAGTATTATACAATCTTATTTGAAAGTCCTTATTGGACCACATCTACAAACCCATTTCTATATAGAACAGTGTGAATGGTTCTGAAGAAAACTATTTTAAAAGCACACACACAGAGAGCATTACACCTAGCATTAACTTAAGCAACTAATTTAGTTCTCAACTAAACTTGTACTATAAAGATACTGATAACAGTGGTGTTGCATAATATAGTACACAAACTTCTGCAAAACCACCTTCCAATACAAAAAATGCATCTTAAACATTACTTTTTCTGTTCGCAGACAGAAAACTGTTTTCTGACTTCTGTTCTTCTAATTACTGTTGTAAGCAGTTGGGTTGAGGAAGGTACATGTTTATTTCTCAATCAAAATAATTAGGTAGGAACATCTTATTCTAGCCCACCTCAACACAAAAAGATGGCACCTGATCCAAATATTTAGTAGCCAGTCCAATCTGCTGAGTTTTTAAATCCAGCAACTAGCAGAATTCTGCTCACTGGACTCCTCCAGTTTGCGAAGTAGAACCAAGAACAAGTATTTTTGAAAGCATTTGTTAATTCTCCATCTCTTCATTTTCATATTCAGCATCAATAAGCACTGCAGATCCATCATGGCTGAGTGTGACTTTGCCAGTTATGAGATCGCTTAGTGTTTCAACTGTTCCACAAAGTTTATTCACTTTAGGAAAAGAAAAAATGTTTGCAAGAGGTATGTAGACAGAGTTTCCATTAATAAATGGCTGCAAACCTTTATTGTTGGCTTCTGTTAAAGGCAGATGCTTGAAATACTTCAGACTATGGTGAGATGGTTGGAATTTGGGTTCTGTTTCAGAGTCATAACAGGGTTTTTTATATTCAGTTTTTACGTGGTCCCAGAGTCTCCTTGCAATTATTTGTGCTGTCCAAATAACTTCATTGACCACTGCAGTCCGCAAGTACTTTTCATCTTTAAGGCTTGGATATTCAGCTTTGAAAAGCTTTGATATGGAAAACAAAGATGCGGCTTATTTATTGTTAGCACATTCTAACTGTTCAAAGCATTTCACATACTCAGCATTTTATGTTACAGAATATTAAACTAGGCATAGCTCTACTGAACCTTTTCTAACATGTTTACAATACACAAAATAAAGCTGGAAACCGCCTGTACTTACTTGTTTGACAAATGCAAATATAATTCTGCTGATTTTTAAGATAGACTACAACTATGTGGCTTTCTGACCATAAAACGGTTGTACATACTCCTCAGTTCAATTTTCAATAATATCTATCTGTATGTGTGCTTTTTAAAAAACAAAAAACCTCAGAAGCAAGCCCTCTAGTATGCGGTGTGAGTAAGCCTCCCTGCAAAATTAGGTAGAATTTGGGCAAACTAGCAAGAGCCCTATCACAATACAATCCCTTGCACGTCTGCTGAAAAGTAAGTTGCACTGAAGTTAATGGAACTTGCTCCTAAGTAAGTATGAATGGGCTTGCAACCTTAAAGTAACAAATCCTTAGTTTGAGTTAGCTTTTCTTCCATAAGTTACCCACTTATTGGAAATATAACAAAAACAATTTTAAATTAAATTTGAGCAATATGGTTGATACTCCTACAATGCCAAGTTCAGAGTGGCCCACCAAACAAAGTGTTAGGCTTGGACCTGGGTTTAAATCTAGCTAATACTAGTGGGAATTACAGGTTAAAAAAAGGTAAAAAGGTGGGAATTACAGCATAGGGTCTAAAGGCTTAATTAAGTTATTAAAAACAAGCGTGCTTCTACAGTTCAATATCCAATAATGCTTACTAAACACTGAAACTGGGAAGAAAACATTCTAAGTAACATTTTCCTCCCTGGATAAATGATTTCATGTTTGATAATATTTTAGGGCTAATTAACCATTATTCTCATTCTTTTTGTCATTTTAAATGCCCAGTTGCCTCTCCATGCCATGTGTTCATCAATCATAACACATTTGTTTTCAAAGTCAGAATCAAAAGAACTTCTTTCCTAGTATGTATTGTGACACTGACTGCTGATCAGTCACAAGGTTCATTGGATATCAATTCAGCACAAACTCAATACACAGACTTCTATTTCAGTTATCGTGTTATGTTTTACTATGTAACCACTTTATACTGAATTTATTCCTCCTTACAGAAGCAAAAGATCTACTTACGGTTTTATAAACATGTTCATTGCATTTCTCAAAATGTGCAGGTCCATCATTCTGGTATTTTCTCACAAACACACCTATTTGTGTACAAGTTCCAACATCTTTTTCAGGAGGTGGGGCTCCTAAACCAGTAAACTCCACTGTATAGTCGTAGCGAGCTGCAACATCTTGGGCCCTAAATTTATGACAAAACACCAAACTGTGCAAGTAACTTTGAAAGACCAATCCTAACAGCTCTATCTTGCTCATCAAAGATGTGTATAGTGAGTACTGCTAAATCTCCCATCGCAAGTACAAGCCATTATTGTGAGAGAGGCAGTTCTTCCTTCCTATTAACAATGCCTGTGTGGATAAGTAGATGTAGAGAAATGGCAGCAGTGACAGGAGATTGTAGCTGTTAGGAACAAAGACACCTCCTCACCAGCTCAACAGACAAGGCCAGTGAGACAAAAACAACTCCTGTTCTGTCCAACCCTGAATTTGGAAACAACACATGATTGTTGCCAACAAACTTTTGTTCTGTCAATTAGAAATATACCGAGCCTTCACTGACTTCCAGGAGCCTGTTCTGTTCTTTAGACTATGAAATAGACAGCAAAGAGCATAAAGTTTCACCCTCATTAGAATAGTAATGTGAGAGTTCTCAAACTGGACCATGAATATTCTTAATAATTCTTAAGCATTATTAAGATATGTGTTTGTGTGAAGGTTTAGTGGAGCTGGTATCCCATAGAAGGATGGGGGGAGAAGAGGAAATTTGGAGCTATGGTGGAGCAAATATTATGCAGGAATTTTGAGACAATCCCTATATTAGAGGATATTCCTGCTTTGAGACCAATCCCACTTCACTTAAAAAATCTCCGTAACTTTACCTACTACAATGCCTCACAATGGTGCTCATGTCTTTAAAAAAAAAAAAAAAAAAAAGGAACCCCCATAATGTAGAAAATACATAGATCAGAAATTGTTGTCATTTCTTGTCTCACCTACATTCCACATATTGTGAGATTATTGGGGTGGAAAAAGCTACATCTAGTCAACCAATGGTTGTCCTTCACTTTAATTACTGTTATTTCCAAAATGATTAACATATAAGGTAGGCATGGGAGTCACCACAGTATGTTCAAAATCATAAAAGCTTTCAAAGGGTATAGCAAGATTTTATTTTATTCCCCCACAGCCTACACTAAAATATACACCATTTTTGTTTTTGTTTTACTTTTTGGAAGCATATAAAAGATGGAATGAACTTACCAGTTCTTAAATTGTGCACGATTCCATTCAAATTTATGATCTGGGTGTCTGAATAATGTTACAGTTGGAAGCAAACAATTAAATTCTGAGTTTGGTGTTGTTATTACGACCATGGCTGGAGACATAAAACCAAATACCACTTCTGGGAATTTGTCCAGCTCTTCTGCCTCCAGGTGTTCTATTCTGAAGATAGAAGGTTACAAGGATCTTCTTACCAAGTAGATCAACTGAGTACAGTACATACTTGACTGAAGAAGTAAAGCTGCACAGATGTAAGGATATCGCGGAGTGGACAGTGAGGTCCGGAGGGAGCACACTCTCCACCAGCAGGCAGCCACAGTCGGCCTGCACGCGTGACCCTGGGGTGCAGGGCAAACTCCCCCTCAGACAAGCCACGGCTGTCGGAACATCGTCCCCTATGTCTGACCTTTTGCGGTCTCAGCAGTCAGCGGTGTCCTGTCTGTAACCTTTGTCCCTGAGACCTTTTGTCTCCTTCGTCATACACTGTGCAAGGGGAAAATGACGCTGTGGAAAACAGGTGCCAAAATAACTTTGTACCACCCCACGATCTCGGGACGGAAGATGTGTAAAGGTCAAAGCCCAAAAATGTATTTGCCTGGCTTGCATATTTGTCTCAATAAAAGGAGGCTCCACAGGAATGGCAGCAGCTCGCTTCAGCCCACCTGTGCGCAGCTCACATGATGATCAACTCCTGTCTTGGGCCTTCACTTCACACAACTACAGTAAGTCTGATATAAGAAAAAATACCTTCTCAAGATAACTTTGTTTTTCTATCTAAAAGTATGACACTACTTTATACTTGATCCAACTAGCCTAGTATTATATATTCCAGCTATGCAGTTCTCCATGGTCTCTAACCAAGACCCATCTCAGTCCTTACCTAGAAGTTCTACATCTTATTAAAAACTGACAAATCATCAGGTCTGGATGACAATCCATCCAAGAGATCTTAATCACCATCTATATTTTGTTGTTGTTTAGCCGTTTAGTCATGTCTGACTTTTCGTGACCCCATGGACCAGAGCACGCCAGTCACCCATCTATACTTAAGGAATATATGTAAAACCATTTTTAAAGGGATCCAGATGGGATCTAGAATTTTATAGGCCAGTTAGTATAACATTTGTTTTGGGGAAACTGATGGAAAGCATTATTAAAGGTAGAATTACAAAACATACAGAAGAATAAGTCTTTCTGAAGCAGAACCAGGCCTGTTTCATCAATCTAATTTAGAGTATAAACAAACATAGATGGAGGTGATACAACTGACACTGTACTTAAGACTTTCAAAGAGGTTTTGATAATGTTTCTGTTAAAGACAGGAAGTAGAATAGGAATAAACAGAAAGTTCTTCCAATGGAAGGATGTGGAGTACCAAAGAATCCGTATTGGGGCCTGTGCTTTCTAACTTGTTCATAAATTATCTGTAGCTAATAGTAAGCAGTGAGGTGACTATATCAATTGTACCAAAAGGAGTTCAAAAAGGACCTCCCCAAACGATGGCAGTAAATTTAAGCAAGTGTATGTAAATGGATGCCCATTGGGGCAAACCCCCCCCCCTCATTTCACATATATGTTAATCTGGCAGTTAAGTCTGAACTGCCAATGATTGTACAAGAACTAGACCTTTGGGTCACTGTGAATAGCTCGAAGATGTCGACCTAGCATGCAGTACATATGAAAAAGGTGGATTTTATGTTAAGAATCATTACAAAAGGGATTGAAAATAATACCACCAATATCAATCCCACTGCCAATATCATAATACCGTTGGACAAAATCTATGGCACACCCACACTTGGAATACTGTGTACAGTTCCGCTTGCCTCTCCTCAAAAAGGATATTGTAGAGTCAGGAAAAGTTCAAAAAAGGGCAACCAAAATGACACCAAAGTTGGAAGATTCATAAGCCCTAGTTCACACTGTCAGGATTAATGGTGTTTCTCAGGTACAGAAATCTTTTCCAGTTTATAAAAGTAAACAGAAGTTTTTCTAGTATATTCTTTGTATGTGCAGAAACTGAAGCTGGAACATGCTAGAAAGAATTCTAGCTGCTCAGCACTTTTCATTTCTGCTAAGAAGCAAGGTAGATATTGTTTTGACTACATCTTCCTTCAAGGTAACTGGGAACATGTATCAGCTACCCAGTGAGCAGTTACACTTTACTTTTGATTCTCTATCTACCTGGATTCTTACTTCCTCACTCTCAGTGTATTCTTGTGTAGTGTTAGATTTTATATGCGGAACTGAAAACCCTCAGTTTTCCATGAATGTTTCTATGCCCTTTGTTCCAAAGTATTGCTACACCACACAACAGTCTCAACCATCCCAATTGTATTAATTTGTATTGTCCTAAGTTTAAGAAGTTAAAAGATGGCACACTCCTTTATTTTTGAGAAGTTGCTTGGAACTAGGGAAGAGGAATGTGTGTTATATAGGGTAGAAAATGTATTTAAATCGACATGCTTTTAAAACCAAAACCTGAAAAACATTGCCAAATAAACTATTTCAGTAGAATACTCACACTTCAATGCATGTTATCATATCAAAGCCCAGCATACAAGGGTCTTTGTGAGCAACTGAACCCTGATAGAGGATAACTGTCAGACGTCTTTCACTTGGCTGGAGATAGTCACCAGGAAGGGGAGATAGTGTATGCCTACAAGCAAACAAGTTGAACAATATAGAAGACCTCAGGTGACATTTACTTTTAACCATACTATCCCCCCCACCTCATCTAACTACTGGTGCACCAGGAAGTTCCAACTGACTCTAGCTGAAATGCAAGGCAAGTCAGTACAATATAATACTGGATTTGCTGGAGCTCTACAGTCTGCACAGGAAACGCATTTTAATGCCCTTACTTGACAGCATAAGAAACAACTGTGCACAATTAGAAGTAATACTCAGTGCAAGTTTGATGTTTCAATTTTATTCTTTTTCATCATTTAATATAGTAAAAATGTCTATGCATTTTACATTTAAAAAATTAAACAATAACATTAACAAATTATTTAAAAACTAGATAAAAATGGGAAGACGGCAAAACACAACTGAAGATAAACTCTAGAAGATATTTTTCTTGGGTATAATTCCCACAAACTGAGTATCTTACTTTCAACAAAAATAGTACAATTTTTGTGTGTGACTGTCCCAACAAAGTTTAAGGCTTTTTAAAAAGGAAAGTAACTTAAGAAATTGAAAATGGAGAAGAGTGCAGTTTGCTGACGCCGAGCAAAGCTTATCAGGAGCTAACTACTCTTTCAGATGTATTAAAGAACTGCTAATAATAATATTGGAGAGGTCCAACCAGAAACATACGTTGTTCCAAATGTAAAATACTATGGCATAGATATGACACATAATAATATTCATCCTCAGATTAGTTTTCAGTATTTTTTCTCAGTTGACATTGCTTTTCTTTCCACTGCTAGATTGAGGCGATTTAGGTATATTCTGTGTACTTTACCTAGTCTGGTACTAACAACGAAACCACAATATTAAATATTCATTTATTAACTATTAATATTAATCAAATGAAATATTTTCAAACCTAAAAAGTGCTAACGGCTCTGAAAAATACTAATTATGAACCCATGTGAAGAAGAGCAAACCATGGTGATCACACTGTTCCCTAACCCTGGGGAAACAGTGTGATTGTCACTGTTTGCACTGTAACACATGCTTTCTTAATTAGGCTGATCGCTGTTGGAAGAGATAAAGCTAACTGCACAGCGCTCCATGAGACTCAACCATCACCTGATTATCAGAGCCAGTGAATCCCAGTGCACTGCCAGGCCAAATAGGAAGGCCTGTTAGGCCCAGTGTGGCCCATGAGCTAGAGATTCCTCACCACTGCTGTAGCCAACCCCCAATCTCGTGTTAGGAACTGAATGGCTGATTTTGAGATTATATATATATATATATATATATAAATTTCCAAGCCACAAAAAACAGCTTTTGCAAAAGAAATTAAAGGATATTTTTTCTCCTTACATTTTCTCCTTCATCACATCTTCACTAATATCTAGCCCAACAAGCACTTCGATGCAGCTGCAGAATTTCAGCATCCAGAGCAGCCTGCATTCAGCACATCCCAAATCTGCCACCTGTCAATTAGAATTAAATACATTAATAGCCCACAACTAAAACTGATACAACTTTAAAGTCATTAGTAGCTTAGGAATCGAAACTGCTTCTTAATTCTGCATTTGTTTGCACTTAGGGTGACATACAGAGGGTTAGTCATACTCAGACAACTTAGTTGGGTATCACCCTTAGTTTGCCAAAGGGCAGAGAAGATGTGAGATCTGACTCCACTGGGGGGAAAACCCAAGGACCCAGTTAATGAAGGATAAACTCTGTGGTTAGCATTAAGGCAAAGTAATCTGTTAACTCCAAACTAGGCAACCATGACTTAAAAGTCTGTTAACCAACCTTAAGCCATGTTTCCTGATCTGGCCTTAACAGTGAAATTTGGCTTAACAGAAGCTCTTTGTACCAAGCATACAACAGAAGGAAAGGAGAGTGTGTGAGTGTGTGTGTGTGTGTGTGTGTGTGTGTGTGTGAGAGAGAGAGAGAGAGAGAGAGAGAGAGAGAGAGAGAGAAAGAAATTCTATCTGGGCAACAAAGAAGCACTTTTCCTCCCCTCCTGTCCTGGTTGGTACAAGAACAGGTTCTGTGACTACAGTGTTAGCTATACAGCTCCAATCTACAAGCCCTCATGCTCCTAGTCAGGGTTTGGAATTGGTCTCCAAGTGGCTGAGAAACTTTAAAATAATACAGCAAATTTGAGACAAGAGACAAGTAATACAAAGCACCCCCTTATGATCACCCCCATTTGAGTTTTCCTTTTTTGTACTATTTCTGCATGGAAGTGCCTGTCTAGCTCAATTATGTTTAAGTCTGTCACATCACAGCAAGACTAAGGCCAATAATTCTGAAGCAATTAGCCATACTATAAAGAGCATATTGCTAAGAAACATATACAAACCTTTTTAGGTTTATGTTTACTCACTAACTGTTTAACGAACAGGTAGCGTTGTTTGTATAGTGGTGGCATAAATTTAATTGTCCTTGTCAGTTCATCCTTTTGCATTTTTGCATCCATAGCCAAGGCTAAAAACAAAAGACAGGAATGTTTTAGAAATACTATATAACAATTATTTTGCAGCTTGGAAATTCCTGAGCTTTCTTGGCTCCTGTTTTCCTTTCAGTCTGAAATCTAACACAAAATTTGTCCCCATTTTGACAGGTAGCATTTTGGTATCCCGTGTGTTTATTTCCTTCACATCTTTTCTCCACGAAATTGGTTGGCAAAACTTGATACAAACATCAAGATTAGTTTCTAGCTTTTGATATAAAATATGTTATTAATGCGTACATTAAAGCCTTTTGTTTATTGGTTATTGTTAATAATGCAAAAGAGGTTACTACCAGTGCTTCTTTTTCAAGAAAAATAGGTGCCGGAACACACCATGAAGTTGTTACAGTAAGCCACTGGGTGACTCGGGGCAGCTCTGAATGGATGCTGGTTTTGCAATACCCACAGAGGGTTCACCACCCACAGAGGTGCTAAAAACTACAGCAAGCTATCTCTCTAGCTGGTTTGGGGGTCACCCTTGGTTCTGGTGCAGGTCAAATAAATGGCCCCCCAAGTTCTCTTAAGATTCAGACAGATGGCTAGAGCAACTCGGAAGGGCCCTTACACAAACACGCATGCATTCATGCAATGCTAGAGGTCTGGCTGGAAACCTTAAATCCCACCACCGCTACACGTGGTGTAGAAAAGGAAATACAAATTGGCCCCACCTGTAGCTTGACCAATCACAGCTAGGAGCTTGGTGGAGTTATAGATCTTTTAAAACGTAGACTTGCACACACTGGTCAGCTTCCATTTTGACTTGAAATGTTCGTTTTGGGCTTCTCAGAAGTACATAAAGGCATTAAGTAGGCAGGGGCTGGAGCCAGCCCGCAATGGCACCCCCCCTCCCCACAAGAGGTGCCAGAACTGTGCTCTGGAGCACTCCAGCTGAGAAAAAGCACTGGTTACTACCATCATTTCCCATTGCATAATTGTTTAACACTTGAAAAGGCCTATTGCTCTTTCTTAAGCACATGCACTTGGAAGTAAGCCATACTGTAATCTATATGCATTGCCTCTGAGTAAATATGTTTTAAGATTAAGGTATAAATGTTAATTTGTTCTTTATTAATAGCCATAATTTTAAATAAATTCAGCATGCAGCACATAATATCACATTTTAGTACTGTTCAGGCATTGCACCTGCTGTGAACAGACGGTTGGCAAGTCTAATTAGTATGAACTACAAAATTATTAAAAAATGTTTTGACGTTACTGGCAACGCTGCTTTTTCAATGATTTTATGAGGTTGTCTCATTAAAATGTTCCAGAAGCTTCTTGACAAAATACTAAATAAGGGGAAATATATTTTTCTTCTTCCTGTGCTGGGGCTGTCTCTGACTGGCAAATGTCTAGCTTTCAAGACAACTGAAATAATTGTGCTAAACGCTGTCTCTAAACACACTGTGAGATAGAAGAAATGTTAAGTGAGCAGGCTCACATTACACACTGTACCCAGCCCAGAAATTGGGCACTATTTCTCCTGTCAGTCTGCTCCATAACAGCCCCAAGTTCAATAGATAGGATTCTGCTCTGAATGCTTCATTATTTGCACAGCACTATTCTTTGTTTTTTTAAAAAAATACTTGTTTCTATTCTGCTTTTTAAAAATTTACAGTGCAATCAGGAGGCATTCTACAGCAGCTATTTAGCTATAAGAAAGATCCTTCTGGCACTATACTAAAGGCCAATGAATTTAAGCTCAATTCTATGCACACATACTTGGGAGTAAGCCCCACCAAACTCATCAGGACTTGCTTCCAATTAGATAGGATTGTGCTATAATTTGGAAGCCTAGGTTTCTCTGGACTACAGTTCAATTCAACAGATACATACATGAAATCAAGATCAGAGGAAGCATACTTCTGAATCCAAGATGGAGAAGGGGCCATAGCTCAGTGGCAGAGCATGTGATTTGTATGCAAGTCCCTGGTTTAACCCCCCAAATCTCTAGACATTCTGTGTGGGGAGGGCCAATGTTTTTATTCATCACTACATTATGTATGTTTGCTTTTTTATATTGTAAACTGCCCTGTGATGGAGGGTGGAAGAGAAATTTAATAAGATAAATAAATAAATCCATGTAGACAATACTGTACTGAACAAGGTGGATCAATTGTCTGTCTTGGTATAAGGCAGCTTTCTATGTTCCTATGGTTGGAACAAGCAGCAGGGGAAAGCCATCACTTTCATGTCCTACATCCAACGAAGCGGGTTCTAGTTCACAAAAACATATGCCATTCACACAGCATTAGAAAAAAGAATGAACCTTGAAGCACCACAATAAAGGTCCCTAGATTTAGGCTGCAATCTTATACACACACCTATTAGGGAGCAAGTAAACTCAACACGGGTATCCCTGCGACAGAGCGAGCTCCTGTTGCTCGGTCCTTGCTCCTGCCAACCTAGCAGTTCGAAAGCACATCAAAGTGCAAGTAGATAAGTAGGTATCGCTCCGGCAGGAAGGTAAATGGCGTTTCCGTGCGCTGCTCTGGTTCACCAGAAGCAGCTTAGTCATGCTTGCCACATGACCCAGAAGCTGTATGCCGGCTCCCTCGGCCAATAAAGCGAGATGAGTGCCGCAACCCCAGAGTTGTTACCTTTACCTTTAAACTCAATGAGACCTATTTTTGAGTCAATATGCCTAGGGTTGTACCACAGATCTACTGCCCAATTTTGCTGCTATTAAATAAATGTAAGCCTAGCACACCACCTATTTTTTATATTCTATATTTTAATAATAATATTAATAATAAACCTGCCTAGATTCTCTTTGTTTTCATTTTCCACCTACCGAGGAACCTGTGCATTTCACTTATTAGTGAAGAGACTTGGAACAGCTGGATTTTACATTTTCAATTTATAAGTACCAATTATAGTTTCAAATATGGGGCTACTGAATGCACCTTCACAGAAGCTTTAAGCGCATTCTGAAACCTGCACAGCACCTAACAGAGTCTCCTTTGAATGACTGCTACCTCCACCCACATCCAGAATTAAAACGACCCAGGAATCTTTGGGTGGAGGGCAGTATACAAATGTAACAAATAATAATAATAACAACAATAACAATCAGCTATGCTCCCCCGGTCCTGTTTACCTTCCAATCCAGCCTGAAGAAGAGTCCTAGCGATCTATAAAACAAAAACAAATAAACCTTGCACAGTATTTTGCAAAGTTTTACTTATAAACGGCTTGCTGCACACTGAGTGGAATTTTCTTATTATTACAAACCCACACGACCACCTCTTGGTTTTTACAAGGCTATTTGTAACAGACTACCAACACTTGACATTTTAGGTAAAGGGACACGGGGCGCCTCTACTTTCGAAAACTCGGAGGCCGCAGCCTGCTTCTCGTCTCCTGATAATTTCTACTTTAAAGAAAAGCAACGTGTGTGTTTTGTGGGAAGAAGCGGTGTTTTCACTCCTCTTCCTTCCCAAAGGGCATTTTCCGAGCAGCGAAACGGAACTGGCTCGTCCAGAGGCCTTTCACCGTTCACCCCAGCTGGCCTGGGCGCATATCGAAACGGTGCGGCCCACTCTGAGGAGAAGCGCTTAAGTCCCCCTCTTCGTACTCTCGGAGCCGTATCTGAGGCGCCGCTGCCGCCGCCCTAACGTAAGCGCAGCCTCAGCCCAACCGCCCACTTCCGCCTGCGCCCGCCGCTCTGATTGGCCGCCCGAGCCCGGGAAGGCCCTTCCGTCACTTCCGCAGCGGCCGCCATCTTGTTGGCGGTTGGCGGAGCTCGGCTCGGCAGCGTTCTCCCCGAGAGGCTTCCGCTCGCCTCGTCGCCGCTGCGGCCTTTGCTCGGCCGACCGCTGTTTCGGTGTGAGCGGGAGTCGCCCCTCTCCGGCGACGCCATGGCCAACAACTGCCCCGTCGTGGGCGCCGGGAACTGCCACCAACAGCAGCAGCAGCACCAGCAGCAGTCGCCTCAGCAGCAGCCGGGAGGCCAACAGCAGCAGCAGCCGCCTCTCCCGCTCCCGCAGGCCGGCGCCGTTTTGTCGCCTCCGCTGCCGCTGCAGAGCGCGGGGCCCAAGCCGGCGGCCTCGGGGAAGCAGGGCAACGTGCTGCCCCTGTGGGGGAACGAGAAGACCATGAACCTGAACCCCATGATCCTCACCAACATCCTCTCCTCGCCGTACTTCAAGGTGCAGCTTTACGAGCTCAAGACCTACCACGAGGTGGTCGACGAAATCTACTTCAAGGTGAGCCGGGAACCCGGGAAGGAACTAGGTCCTTTCGGAGGAAGCCGGCGAGATTCTTGTTTTCAAATCCTGTGGTTCGCTGATCACCGCGTGGCCGAGCAGGGCTTATCTGGCCTGGGCCCAAAAACATAAGGCTCTTCGCAGCTGTCTCTTCCACAATCCAATCCCATACTATTTTTAATAATAATGAATATTTTATTCCAGTCTCGCCATCAAAGTGGGAGATGCTGACCTATTTCTTCCCACGGCCGTCAGAGAGAAGGCGATGTAGTTGTAATGTGGCTACTTTTTTATTTTGGGAAATGCCTATTCAATTCTTTGTCTCATTCCAAACTCCAGATCTCGATCTCTCTCTATCTCTCTTCCCACCCTCCCAATATCTTACCAGTCAGACTTGCATGTTGGTTGAATTTAGAAACTTATTGCCAGCGCTGCGTGTGTGTTAAAACTGGAGATTGCACTGGGCAGCATGTTCACGTCCTCTCCTAGCCAAAGATCTAAAACAGGCGGTAGAGGAACTCATCAGGAGGTAACCAGCACGCTGCATTCTCTGTTACATTGGAACATAACACTGTCCTGCTAATTTTAATGCTAATAGGTTAAAATTTGAGGCCTACTGGTTGATTTTGGCTGTCTTAAAATGGAATTCTAATACGCTGTGTATTTCAGATGCTGTGAGTAAAAGCTGTTTAGTTTGATCTGTGTGACCCTGCTTTCAGTCATTCTTATGGCTGCTAACAGTCTTTTATTTATTAAATCGGGGTTCTGTAACCTGGAAGATTAAGACTGTCATTTATTTTCTATGAACCAGTTTAAGCTTTGAAACGTTGCTTTTCAGGTGTTTTTGGAGTCGATAAACATATGGAGAGCCACAACTTCCCCATCCTTCACCCAGAACCTAGCCCACCACTTAGATATCTTAAAATTACCTAAATTCACAGTGGAGTAATGTCATTTGGGACCAACCAGATTGTCACAAAAGGGGGCGGGGGGGTAAACAGTTAAAAAATGGGGCTAATGATGTAGCCATTTATTATTCTCCAACCACACCCCTTTTGTGTATCATAACTGATTAACAGTTCTGAAGAACTCAAAAGTACCACATGCTTATGACATTTTGGGTAGTCTCAATAAAAGTACTATCCAACTAGATTTTGGTGGGGGGGTTTCTTACAGACAGATATAGCTACCGTTGCCTTTTAAATTCACTTATTTTTCTGTACTTTCTGGTCCTTTTCAAATAACTTTGGTATGGGACTTGAGGGAATACAGGAGGAAGGACTTGAACTCTCCATAGGTTACATTGTTTCTCCTGAATCACTTAGCGTACTTTGTTATAGAATAATTTGATATGCTCAAGACTTTTTGGGGGGAGCACAAGCAGAAATCAAGTGGGCTGTTAGATTGGGCTATTGAATTTAAATTAATTGAGCTCATAGATAAGTGTGTTTATGTTCCAAGTTTTTCTCCACTTCTGTTCTCTTAATCCATATCTTCATAACATCAAATATAGGGAAATCAGATCTATCTGCATTTTCCAGGAGGCATTACAACCTTCGGTTAATTTCATTGGCTTTTTCTCTTGCTGATCATTCAGTGGTTATAGTGTGGCATAGTGTGACTCTTTTTACCACTTAATTTAAAAGCATCAAAACCTCATTCTTTTTAACTAGCAAATGATTTATTTCTAGAGCTTGTAGGGTCCATCTACATTTAATCGCCTCACTTTCAAAAAATGCTACCTTAAGCAAAATATTGATTATTGATTCTTTAATTTCTATACCACTTAATATACAGTGGTACCTTGGTTTACAAACTTAATCTGTTCCAGAAGTCCGTTCTTAAACCGAGGTGTGCTTTCCCTAATGAGGCCTCCCGCCATCGGTGCCCTTCCAAAGATTACCAAAATGTAAGATATACTTGCCAAAAATGTCAGTTATATCTGATATGCTGGTTACCTTGGTTGTTAAGAGCGTGGTGCTGAAAACACCAAAGTCAAGGATTTGATCCTCATATGGGTGCATATTCCTGCATCGCATGGGGTTGGACTAGATGATCCATGGGGATCCTTCCAACTCTGTGATTCTATTATTTTATTTTACAATGTCTATTATTTGATTAAGATTTGCTTTCCTCATTTTTTCCTTCCTTTGTTTTTTTTCATACTGCCTCCTTTACCCCCAAAGTTAACTTAAAGCAACATTTTCAGATAACATGTTTCATTCATGCTTAAATTAAAACATAGGAAACATGGGGAAAGCTATTAAGTTTCTGTAATTTGTCAGTCAAAATTGTCTTACATATGTAAATCATGTATATTGGAAATACTTCAAATAAATAACAACAAGTTGAAATAGTTTTCATATGAAGTGTAGAGCAATCACGTTTACTCAAATGTATGCTCTTTATTACACTGAGATTTACAAGCTTCTTAGCATGGATAAAATTGCAACCTTGGAGATGGTTTCAATGTAATGTGAAACCATGCTGTACTGTGAACAAACAGTGGTGAGCCTTAGAATCATACTCTCTGTCCTCTCCAAGCTTTTAATCATTTTTCAGTTGAATATGTGCACAGAGCAAAATGGCACCTGTAACACTGAAGTGGGAGCCCTTCCCACTGTGAAGATAGCATAGAAAACCTGGACTAGATTGAGAAGAGCACGCACTGTACAATAATTTCATGCCTGGAACTCGGTACAGAGATGGGGTGGTGAAGAGCCACAACATGTTCTCTTCCTATGTATCTTGGAGCAAATCATGCTATATTATGATTATGATTATCATTATGATTATTCATAATGGTTTCCCCAGCCACTCTTGGTGGCTCCCAACAGAATATTAGAAACATGATAAAATATCAAACATTAAAAACTTCCCTAAACAGGGTTGCCTTCAGATGTACAGTCATACCTCGGGTTGAAGTAGCTTCAGGTTAAGTATTTTCGGGTTGAGCGCGTTACTTCCAGGTTTCACCGCATGCGCAGACGCTCAAAATGACGTCATGCGCGGAAGCGGTGAGACGCGCAGTCACGTGTTACATTCTACTCAGGATGCGAACGGGGCTCGGGAACAGATCCCATTCGCATCCAGAGATGACCACTGTATTCTAAAAGTCAGATAGTTGTTTATTTCCTGATGGAAGGGCGTTCCCAGGGCGGGCCCCACTACCGAGAAGGCCCTCTGCCTGGTTCCTTGTAACCTCACTTTTCACAGTGAGGGAACTGCCAGAAGGCCCTCAGAGGTGGACCTTAGTGTCCGGGCTGAACGATGGGGACGGAGATGCTCCTTCAGGTATACTGGGCCGAAGCCATTTAGGGCTTTAAAAGTCAGCACCAACACTTTGAATTGTGCTCAGAAACATACAGCTTGGGAAGAAGCTGTATTGTAATGCTTATAGCTTTGATGGTCAGGGTCCACAGAAGAGTCAGTTCTTCAACAAATGAACTCAAAGCCCCTTCAGGTAATGGCAGGGGTCCATTAATAGCTGATGATTATTGTGTATATTGGCAGGAGCCCCTAATTTCTGACCTTTCTGAAGAATGGCTTGTTGTCTTTTACAAAGACTCTGAAAATAGTCAGATGTTTTTCAAGTTTGGTGCAATAAGAACAATCTTCAGAATACCTCTGAAGTTCAAAATGACATCAATGACAAAATATTCCTCCCCTTGTCATAGGCACACATGTAGTGTAGAGCCAAATTTTAGCTGGTTACTAGGGCCAGCCAAAATTTGTGGACCCCTAGCAAACAGAACTACTTTCTCCATTCCTTGGCTTCTTGCCTAAGTCACCACTACTTTGCACAACCATACACTTGCCATTTATTATTCATGATTAGAATTTACAAACCACTTAATATAGAATACCAAAGTGATGGACATAAGATAAACAAAATTAAATGCATAATAACTGAGCTAGTATAATTTTCTTGAAATAGAAAATGAAAGGTAGGTAAGATATTAATAACTGAATAGCTGAACACTTTGTAGAGAAAGATAGAGGGCATAAAGTAGAAAAGTGATAACCAGGTGACATCACTGCATGATTTGTCTGAAGAACAGACTATTGTCTCCTGGAGCCTCTAGCCTATCAAAATTTACCAATCATCTCATAGGCCATAATAATAAATATTAGTTGCAGTGCTATATTTGTATTCTGAAAATGTAAAAGCCAGATTGACAGTCAAATCCTGCATGTTTATTTAAAAGCAAGTAAAAAATATTTGACAGAGCTTATTCTCAAATAATTGTGCATATGAGACATGACCTTAGTTTTAAATAGATATTAACAAGTACACCTCTAGCTCATTTTGTATTGGACTTGGGGTTGAGGAATGATTTGTCCTTACTATTTGCTGAGGGCGGGGGCAATAGGAATGGGTGTGTCGATGACACACTGTGCTTAGTACAGTCTGAGTTAAAGTGTAAATCTAAAATGATGATGGGTTGATTAATTGCTTTATTGTTTTCAGGTTACACATGTTGAGCCTTGGGAGAAAGGCAGCAGAAAAACAGCAGGCCAGACAGGGATGTGCGGAGGGGTAAGTAGAAGTACGTGCCTTCTGAAGTTTTTTATATGGTAGCTAATCATTTAAAAAATGCAACACTGAACTCAGCAGAAAATTTAGTGTCGTAAGCTCTAATCAAGTTAATTGATAGATTATGCCACTAAAGCCTTAACTGACTGGTCATTGTGGGCATATTTTTTTGAAGTTAGCATGACTGATTTGCTACTTGTAATAGGGAACGAAAAAGAAAATGTTGGATTCTAAACAATGCAAGACAAGTGCATATTATTGAATTGTTACATCATAAAATGTTCACAAATAGTTCAAAAATAATTCCCAAGTAAAGTTTTGAATTTCAGAAAATATTATATATAAACCATGCTAAATCTGCTTAACTTTCACGCCTCACAGTTATTTCATTCACTTGAAATTCTTTGGTTATTATTTTTAAAAAATTAAGATTCAGATCTCAATCAGCTTAGGCCATTGGGAAGTTTCCACGCATTCCTGGTTCGATAGTTGGAAGTGGAGACTAAATCCAATCATACCTCCTCCAAAAATATTGTAGGCCTAATGTCTGGATGGGGCTCTTCAGCTTCAGGAAATGTTAGTGCAGTTACCCACTGCTCCGCAACTTCTAAGTGAATCAGATGACCTTCCTTAAGTGTTGAGCTTACAAACTTGCAGGAAAAAATCATTAATGTTATATGTACTGAAGTGAAAAGTATTTCTCTTCAGTGTCTTACTCTCTAGTGTTAAATGAGTTGTATTTCTCTTCCACCTAATCTCTAAAGGTGCGTGGTGTTGGAACTGGAGGTATAGTGTCTACAGCCTTTTGCCTCCTGTACAAGCTATTTACCCTGAAGCTTACCCGTAAGCAAGTGATGGGGTTGATAACTCATACGGACTCCCCCTTTATTAGGGCCCTTGGATTCATGTATATTAGGTAAGTAGCCATATACTTAACTGTCAGCTAACTTTGTTGCAAAAAATGTTATTAAATTTACACAGTCTCTTTGTACTTCAAGGTACACACAGCCTCCAACTGATTTATGGGACTGGTTTGAATCCTTTCTTGATGATGAGGAGGTATGTCAACAAGGGTAATAATTTACTTTCTTTTCTTTCTGAAATCTTAAGTAAAGTAACTTTGAGATGAACTTCTGTATGTTGGAAAACAGTTTTTAACCATGTGAAAAGTAAAACCTTTCTCATCTTTAATGGTTTGCAAACTTGCAATGAACAGAGACTACGGGACATTCTTCCACCCTTAAAATAAGTTGGAATTGAATATATCACCAGCCTAACTGTTTGGGGGCAAATGGAATGCATACTTAGAAAGATAACTACAGTATGGGACAATATCTCTATCTTTTAACCAAGTATGAAACCTGAAAAATCAGGTGGGTGTTTGTTTGTTTGTTTACGTGAAAGTAAATGGACAATGACGAAGCAGAATTGAATGGGGCATCTGCAGTCTGTAGTTGCTTTCTAAAATTTTCAATTCATAGCACTGCCACTGAACTAGCAAATTTCTTTTAACCTCTTAACTTTCAAATAGTGATAATAAGACCATACAGAAACTGCTGAAAGGGGTGCTATTTTTAGTGTGGATTCTCTTTTCAGCAGCATTTTTACCACACATCTCAGATTTCAGCCTTTGTCCTAAGTATATGCTATGTTATAGGAACTATTGAATTTTGCCACTAGAAGTAGTCATTGATGATTCATACTAATACCTTGCAGTGTAGTTTGCTAGTTACTGCCACAGTAAATGTTTAGATCCCATGCAAAAAAATACCTTTAGGGATCCAGCACACAATCGTAATGTCTCGCTTAGACTACGCAGTGCTCTTTTTAAGGTTACATGACTATTTTATGCTTGTAGTTTTTGCTCTAATGGCATATATTTTGACTTCCCTTAATCTAATAATACAGAATGGCATTCTTGGTTCCTGTTCATTAACTGCTTTATGATCACTTTGGCCTCTTTTTCATGTAACTGATTAAAACTGTAGTAACACAGAAATATCATTTCTACATATTAACATTTCTCTCAGTTTGCCACTGTTGAAGATGTGAAAGCAGTTCAGCGTTGTGTCTCTGGATGTATCTAGCTAAATGTTGTTAGTGCTTTGACTTTTTCACTGATGCTCTTATTTTTGTATGTACCACTTCAGGTACTACATTTAAGCCAGTGTTTTATTTTCTTCTTTAGATCTCTGTGCAGCAGTTTTGTTTGGAAATACTGTATATCTGAACACTTAAATGTGTGTGAGTGCAAGCAATTTTACATTGAGATTTTCTCTTCCTGTTTTAGATAACAAATCTCACTTTCCTTGTGTGCTTGCACTATAGGTTTGGGCCTGACAATAGCTGACTAACATGTCCTGAGCTGTGAGAGGGCATAGCAAGAAGGCCTTCATGCGGTAATGACCCTTTTCCGAGACAATGGTCATCATGGATTATGCGTTTCCAATTATTTGTTCCTTTATTTATTTTTTTGCATAACTCTAAATTAGAAACCTCACTGCTTCATGGCAGTTGGTTTGCTATTGCTTCCGATTTAGGCAGGGTCCATTTTCTACTACAACTTTTTCTGGTCATTTTTAGACAGGAAATAGTCATCCTCAATTGTTCAGTTGTGACCACAATCCTCAAAAATGAGAATTAATGTCAAGCAAGTTACGATCTATTTTGTGGCATAACAGTAAAAGATGGTAGCATACAAGCCAGCTGTGTAAGCAAATGTTACACTAATCTGTTGAGACATGAGCCCTTTACTATTGGCTGCAGGATTGGTATGCACCTGCATGCATATGCATTAAATCCGACTCCCACTCTATAACATAGGGCCAAATGCAAAGGTACAAGAGTTGAAGTTCTTAGGCAAGTTATTTACCAGCAAAAACAGCTAAGCCGTCATATTTGAAACTTGAAAGATGGCAATCAGTATAGTAGCATTTGTTCTAAAGGAAACTCTTGATGGTTTCTTACATTCAGAATTTGTGTTCTGTTTTGTGTTTGTTTTTTGAAGGACCTTGATGTGAAAGCAGGTGGCGGCTGTGTCATGACCATTGGAGAAATGCTGCGCTCTTTTCTAACTAAGCTGGAATGGTTTTCTACGTTATTTCCAAGGATTCCTGTACCAGTACAAAAGAACATTGATCAACAAATTAAAGCCAGGCCTAGAAAAATCAAGAAGGATGGCAAGGAGGGAGTAGAAGAAGTAGACAGGCATGCGGAACGTAGACGTTCAAGGTTATACATTAACTTTCCAAAATAAGTTACTTAATTTAGACGTTGTCATCATATAATTTCACATAATCAAAACTTTTTGTAGTTATGTTTGCAGTGTGGTCTTCTAAATGAGTAATAGCATTTATGTAGTACTTTAGATAGCTTCACATACATTATCTCAATAATCCTTACAATTTCTCTATAGGAATGGTGGTATTCCCATATAGCAGATGAGCTACGCTATGTTTTGTTTAACTTAGTGTATATGGCTAAAGTAAGAGTCTGCTGGCACAAGTACATAACCCTTTATCTAGAGTGGGTTGATTCTAGGCATGTATGGTTTTCCTTACCAGATAAGTATGGTCCACGTGTGTTTTAAAATTATGAGATGCAAATGCATACTTGGAACAAGGCATCATTTAATGTTTATTATCCAGAATATGCACTTTGGCTTGGCTGGAGCTAGCTTTCACCTAGGCCAATAGTATTTGCAAGAATCCTAGCAACCACCAAGTGCTAGGTAGTCTACCTGAAACTATCCAGTGGTCTATCAACAGACCATGGTGTACAGTTTGTCTACTGCTACTGTATACTAACACCAGCTGTAGAACACTTTATTAATATTTATGCAGACCTCTAAAAAATATTGGATGATTTGATACACTTGATAAGTACAGGGAAATAGAACGAAAAGGGTATACAGTAAGTACAGTGTGAAAGTTTGCTGAAACTCTTGTTGGGAAAATTCAATTTCTTAAGCATTTCTTTTCATGTAGGTCTCCAAGAAGGTCCTTGAGCCCCAGGAGGTCACCTAGAAGATCAAGAAGCAGAAGTCGTCATCGTGAAGGCCGTGGGTCATCCAGTTTTGATAGAGAATTGGAACGGGAGAGGGAAAGACAAAGACTAGAGCGAGAAGCTAAGGAGAGGGAGAGGCGAAGATCTCGAAGTTCTGATCGGGCATTGGAGCGAAGACGAAGTAGAAGCCGAGAGAGGCACAGAAGTCGAAGTCGTGATCGAAAAGGAGACAGAAGGGACAGAGAGAGGGAGAGGGAGAAAGAAAACGAACGTAGTAGAAGGAAGGAGCGTGACTATGAGAAAGAGAGAGGTGTTGAAAGGGAAAGAGAGCGCTCTAGGGAGAGAGATCGTTCTAGAGAAAAATCAAAGGACAGAAAAAGCAAGAGTGAAATCGATGAGAGGAGACATAAAGATGAAAAAGATGAAAGGAAACATAGGGATGATAAAAGAGATTCCAAGAAAGAAAGGAAGCATAGCAGGAGCCGGAGTAGGGACCGGAAGCATAGGAGCAGAAGTGTGAGTAGGAATGCTGGCAAGCACAGTAGAAGCAGGAGTAAAGAGAAGTCAAGCAAACACAAAAGTGAAAGCAAAGAGAAATCAAATAAGCGAAGCAGAAGTGGAAGCAGAGGAAGAACTGATAGTGCTGAAAAGTCCCGAAAACGAGACCTTAGTCCCACTAAAGAGAGATCACGAAAACGTAGCAAAAGTAAAGAACGTTCCCATAAACACGATCACAGTGATAAGGACCACTCAGACAAACATGATCATCAGAGGAGCCAAAGTACAGAACGAGAGAATCAAGAAAAACAATCTAAAAACAAAGATGAGACTGTATGAATGTTCAGAAGTGGATCACATTGAATCCTATAGATGTTTTGAAATCTTGCTTATTTTTTCTTACAGTTGAAATTGTGCAGTAGTTGATAAGCACTCTTCTTCAACCTCCCTCTAGGCTGCAGATTGTCATTTCCTATTTTGAGTAGGGAAGTGCCTTTGTAATCCCGTTAAATGCGTTGACTATTTCCAGCCCATTTGTTTAGTTAAATTCATGATGCGAATCTGTTTGTGAATTTTTTTTTAATTGTTCAAATGTTTCCAAAATGTACAATCTGTACATACGTCCTGAAACTGTTCTAATCCTTTTGGCATGGTTTGCCATGTTGGTTAAATTTGTATACGGCAATAAAACTGCCACTAATTCTACTTTGTTTTATAGATGTGGAATTATGGTTTCTATCTTTGACTTAGCATGGCTGTGCTTTGCATAATAGTATGGCAGAAGCTCTTAAGGATGGATCTTGAACGTGTATTATATCTAAAATATTTATGTGCATTGAACATCCATGAAGGTTGCAGTTCTAGAACTTGTGTCCATTTGTACCTCTTGTCCTGGGAAAGCATTTAAAATACATTTTATTTGTGAAACTAAAGAAAGTGTTGCATTTAGAGTAGGCTTTTCAAGGAGGTAGCAATTTAAGGCAGGGGTTTAGGCTTTCCTAAGGTTTATGTTGTAGTCAGTGCTACCTCATAGGAACACTGTTAAGATTTATAAGCCTATCTACCATCTCTACATAGACTTTCTGGCTAGCTTTTATTGCTCATGTAAATATTATTTCACTATGATATCCCCAGGGTTTTCATTAAAACTGTTGTGCCACTGCCCTGTGCTTTATGAAGCAACCATAGACTAACAAAGGTGAAAGTGGCTGAATCAGGGAGGAGACAGGAAGATGAAAAATAAGGTCAAGCAGCAAACTTCAATTTCAAGCTTCCAAATAATTTTTTATAAATGAAAAGTAAAGCATCTTCATAGTGTTTTTTTAAAATGCATAATGTGTCTTTTTTTTTTTTTTACAAAGACTGTGGTCATTGCTTGAGATGAAGAATTTCTCTCATGCAACAGAAAAACTAGATAATTTTTTTCAAACACTGATTACTTGTGAGATAATGTCAAAATGCAGTATTGAAAGAGAATTCATATCACAACAGTTCATTTCTGTTTGGTAGACTTGTTCTAGTGACCTGTATAAGAAATATAAAATCTCTGGAATAAAGACTGGATTAATTTATTTGTGGCTATCCCCACTTGTTCATTGCCAGCTGCAAAAAATCATTTTGGGCTTATTACTCATAAACAGTAAAAACACCAGTTCGTTGTGTAACAAGCAGGTTGCCCATCATATCAATAGAAAGATAGAACTATTTGGCAGGCCGGCTTCCCAATTGTGAGTACAGTGGTACCTTGGTTCTTGAACTTAATCTGTTTTGGGAGTTCATTCGGCTCCCGAAACCGTTAGAAAACCAAGGCACAGCTTCCTGCACTCAATTGGAAACCATGGAAGCCACACCAGATGTTCGGCTTCCAAAAAACGTTTGCAAACCGGAAAACGCACTTCCGGGTTTGCGGCGTTCGGGAGCTGATTTGTTCGACAGCTAAGCCGTTTGGGAACCATGGTCCAATTTTTTTAAACTGCCTATTTATCTCTGGGCTTCATTTTACCCTTTCATCTCACTAATAATTACCAAGCTGTTGGATCATAAAGCTTAATGGTGAAAATAAGTTGCCCCGCCTCCAAAACATAAAAGAGAAAACCTGTATCCTGAACATGTTGTGGTAGCATTTGTGGTGGCATTTGTCTTAGAGCTGGCAGTTTGTCTCATGTATTATGAAAAGGCTGTCAGTAATGGCTCCCCATAAGAGAAGGGATATCAGCCTTGTGTTGTGGCAATCCCACAGAGGGTAGAAAGCTGGAATATAGAAAGCTCCTGTCTCCAAGACTGATGATGAGCCATCCTGATCTAATAGGTGCTGCAGGAGTCAATACAAATAATGGGAGCCAGTTGTGATGGTAGAATGACAAGAGGTTCTGCTTGGTAGCGAACAAGGAGGTTGCATTAGCTGTATCAGTCTCAAGGATGGACATGGTAGCCAGAGTGGTATACAGTGGTGCCTCGCAAGACGAAATTAATCCGTTCCGCGAGTCTCTTCATCTTGCGGTTTTTTCGTCTTGCGAAGCACGGCTATTAGCGGCTTTAAGAAAAAGGAAACGAACTCGCAAGACGTTTCGTCTTGCGAAGCAAGCCCATAGGGAAATTCGTCTTGCGGAACGACTCAAAAAACGCAAAACCCTTTCGTCTAGCGAGTTTTTCGTCTTGCGAGGCATTCGTCTTGCGGGGCACCACTGTATTAGCCAAGGAACTGAAAGCCACAACAATAGTATTAAATCTCAGTCCAAACACAAAACTGACTGAAATAATACTCTGATAAATCTTACCTGCTTGGTTCATTCTCTCTTTTCCTGTAGTACCTGGTAGTGTTCTGAACTTCGCTTTCCTCTGTAAATCACTGGAATATTATTCAAAATGTTTAAACACAGCAATTTAGACTTGAGTGACTTTATTTTTAAAACTTTGTCTCATTTTCATCAATCCTACATGGGTAAAATGTAGTTTCCCAGCATTTTAATTTGTAAAATGAGAAGTGCTGGGACTTGATTCCGTTGAGGACCATGCAACCTTCCTGATGGTGGGGGGCAGGGATGCAGGGGGACTATTTTGACTCCTGAAGATCTTCAGGAAAATGCATAGGATGATGGTAATATTAGTTGACTAGAAACACTTGTATTGAAAATACATTTGCAGCTTGAGCGGTGACATAAGGTAGCTTTTGACATCTACCAATATTTAGATTGGTAATTACCTCTTGTTGAGATTGTGTGAATCAGTGTTTACTTCATGGTCAGGGTTGAAAAACCTGTGTAAGTTTGAGAACAAATTCCTCTAGAAACAAAAGTGATTGGTGTTTTGTTGCTGCTGCTGCTGCTGCTGCTTATTTCCTTAAATGGCTGAAAATTGCTTTCTTGTTCCACTAATGACGGCTTTGCTATAATCTGAGTGACACTGTTGGATACAACCCAAACTTTATTGACTATTATATATTTCTTTGCAAAAGGTATGGAAAATAAAACAGTGCAATTTGGCCTCTGATAAAATTGATTTTAAAAAAATAGAAAATCCCAAAAGATATTTAAAAGAATTTTCAGCTTGGGTAAAATATATTGATTTATTAGAAGAGGAATTTGATACAATCACTTACCCATTCCTACTGAACTTCCGGAGCATGTCACTAGAAAATGAAATGCAAAATTACATATATATACAGCTAGAAAGAGTCATTGAACGGTGCTTTCCAAAGAGGATTTCACAATGTAACTTAGAAAAAAGCATAACCAATTTGTTTTAATTTAAAGTGATGGTTTTAACTTGAAAATTCGAAAATGCAATGAATTGGAGTTTGACTAAGATTCAGTCAATAAACATGCTTCTAAATGGGTAGAATTGCAACAATAGATGTTTTCAGAATAAATACCAATATTACATTACCTGTATGGAGAATGATTAGCAATTTCCCCACAAATCTGAATAATTCAGATCGGCAAGCACATGTCTGGACTGAGGGGAGGGGATCATTGACAAGCTGCTATAAGTATTTTCTAGAAATACTCCACTAGCCACTGCAGTATCGGCAGCTCTATTGTGTTTAAAGGTAGCTACACAGAAACCATAATCCATGCAAAAACAAGAGTCTTGCAGGACCCTAAAGTAGAATACATTTATTTTGGCATAAGCTTTTATGGATGAGTTGATTTCATCAGATGCAACAGTGGCTAAGATGAATAAAATGGAATCGTTCCCACACACCTTCAGATAGAGACAGTTGCCATGCCACCATAACCCATCACCAAAACTGGCTGACAATGGCATGGAGATTTCATGTGATAAGAGCTCTGTGCAGCAGCCACCAAGTTTAGACTGTTTCAAGGAGTTTCCAGAGTTTTAATTTTCTTCACTTCCACTATCTTAAGGCCCAGCTTCTGTCCCCTTTTGCCATTACTGCCAAAGGCCCACAAGTACCTGAATATATCTTCTTAGGACAAAATGCAGGTTTTGATCCCTCGCTATCAGTTACAGGTGACACCACAACTGTATAGACATCGCCACAGGGTATCTCGGTAATATCGCAGTAAGTCAGGTCTGTGTTTGGTGTACAGGTGAAATTTCCTTTTGAGCCATAAAGATCTGTACTATAGTTGATTGAACCTTTGGATGTCCGCCAATATATTCGTATGCCATTGTTGCCTAGTCTATATAGCTTAACCCCAGAAGGGCAGCAAGCACCTAAAGGAGGAAAACAACCAAGAACACTTAATTCAGTTTGGTCATTCCTCTTGGGGGATAGACGAGAAAGTGGTCAGATTTCTTTTTTATCAATTGAAATGGAGAAAATTTTCAGAATGTCCTAATAAAGTACTGTAGGTTCTCTCAAAGTGTAAGCTTTTAGGAGTTGTCTAGGACAGTAAGGGACGCGGGTGGTGCTGTGGGTTAAACCACAGAGCCTAGGACTTGCCGATCAGAAGGTCAGCGGTTCGAATCCCCGCGACGGGGTGAGCTCCCATTGCTCGGTCCCTGCTCCTGCCAACCTAGCAGTTGGAAAGCGCATCAAAGTGCAAGTAGATAAATAGGTACCGCTCTGGCGGGAAGGTAAATGGCGTTTCCGTGCGCTGCTCTGGTTTGCCAGAAGCAGCTTAGTCATGCTGACCACATGACCCGGAAGCTGTACGCCGGCTCCCTTGGCCAGTAAAGCGAGATGAGTGCCGCAACCCGAGTCGGTCACAACTGGACCTAATGGTTAGGGGTCCCTTTACCTTTAGGACAGTAATCTAGGAATGGCTAGGCCCAGAAAACCGCAAGCAGCAGCGGATTCCCAGAAGTGAGCTTTTTCAGCCCTCTGGTTCCCTCTGAAAAGTCTCAAGCGTGTCATGGGACCCTTCTGAACAGTGCAGGATGGGATGGGGGGGGTTCTGCTGTAGAAATAGGAAACTTGCCCAAAGCAAGGGGAGATGCCTCGCCTTGTTTTGCCCAATGTTGTTTCCTCTGTTCTCCACAGCATTCCATAGTCCACACCACTCAGGAGTCTTAACCCTCTGGAAAGAGGGACATTTGCAGGAAGGGATGGCAGCCCCTTCTGCAAGCTTCCATCTAACTTCAGGATCCAAACCAGTGAGCATAGTTTGAGCATTTAATACGAGGGTGGAAATGTAGAAATACCATGCAGGTACTTAAAAATACATTTTCACATACTTACTAGAAGAAAATCCATTGTATATGCAATCTGATGTTAAGCCTGTTTCACTGATCACTTTGATAGACACACTGTAGTTGGTTCCACATGTAATGCATCCCAAGAGGCAATAGTTTTGGAGTGTGTGACACCTGGCACGTCCTTTGTGCGATTCCAGAATTGCTATGTACGTCTTTGCGCCGGTCCCAGTAGACCAGCTGATGTTTGTTACAGACTGTGTCACTTGAGTTACTGTGAGATCCACTGGGCAGCAAGGTGCTTGAAAGAGGAAAATACCTAGTAAGTGGTTGTGTGTGTATTTACTCCATGCACAGAACTACATTCTTAGGTGAAATTTTGGCACTTTAGTTGAAAATTTAAAATGATTCCCAATTGCCTGCATCACAAGCTTTTAACTGGTCACCATATTTTTTCACTTATTCATTGCAGTTTCTAATAGATACAAAGGACATATATCAGGTAAACAGAGAACAAATCGGGGGTTCTGTGGGGTGTCACGGACAAATAATAGGTGCACGTATGCTGTAGCAGTACAGTCTGTAACAAAAGAAAGGAGCTTAGCACCATAAATAATTTACGCCTTCCAAATTTCTATAGCAACCACTGATAAGGATATAAAGAAAAAGGTTCCACCAAGCAGAATAGCTGCCACCATAAATATACTCAGAATAAATATACTGTGCTGATTTTTTATATTTATTTGTTAAATACTACCCCCCCCCCCACTTTTTATTTCCTGCATCATATCCTGCATCCTGCATCATTTTTTCCCTTCAGTCACCCTAGATCAGGGATGGAGAACCTAGAACTACAACTCCCATCATCCATGACCATTGGCCATTCTGGCTGGGACTGATGGACTCCAACGGCATCTGGAGGTTCCCCATCTCTGCCCCATATGGCCACCTACATGCATCAAGTGGAATAGCTGGCCCTGCTGGCAGTCATTACTGAGACTAATTTTTATTTAATCTCCATGCAAACTATATGAATTTTTTAAAAAATACACAGAAAATTTAATTTGGAAGTTGTTTAATAATCTAATCATTGATCCATGATACATCTTGGGTGGGATTTAGTGACTAGACCCACTGAAATTAATGTAGTACATGAGCAGAATGGAAGGCAGGCTATAGGGGTGCCAAATTATGGCCGCACACAGAGTGCCACTGAAATCTGAAAGACTTAAGTCCACCCCTAGTACCTGAGGAGGCAGTATGAGCTGGTCCAATTGCTAACCATATTTGATCAACTATTTGTATATACTTTGTATATCCTTTGACATACTGCAAGTACTATAACTCCCAATCTATCTTTGTGATACATAAGGAGGAGTCATTGTTAGCCAGCAGATGTATTTGGATATGGGCGACCTTGGTTAAAACTTCAGCTCAGATGATGAGCTGCTGTCCCCTGTTATAAAAAGGGAGCGATACCTAAAAGGTAAATAACATCTCAGCAATTGTAACTTACCTGTCTCCAAAGGCACACTGTAACTAGGCAAGCTGTGACCTGCTTCTGTGCTTGCTACAGTGCTGACAGAGAACAGTGACCCACATGGAAGATTATGGATGGTGCATGAATTTCCCGAGCTTGCACAATGCCAAATTCCTGCCTCTCCTTTGGCAGTGACTGTGTACATCGCTTCATCATTATTGGCATGCCAGTGCACACTAATTACAGAAAGAGCATCCTTTGAGACACTTATTATTTCCGGACTACATGGAGCTGAAAGATTTTAGATGGAGCAAATTCAAACTGCATTCTTATTTATGGATTTTATGTTGCACTAAGACAGCTGTAGATTATTAAGAATCTATGATCTTAAAAAAAAACCCCAGAGTTACAAAGACTGTATCCTCTCTGTCCAAGTTTTGCTCCCCTCCCAAAACATTTCACTTAAATTTGCACGTGGGTGTATTTTCAGTCTTTAGAAAACCAACCTTGAAATAAATACATTCTCCATAGCACAATCAGTTGAAAGTCCTAAAAGGTCTTAGGATACCAAATTAGAGGGGTTAGTAGCGGCTTAACTGCCATAATGCCATAGTGTTTTATGTGCAAACTCAGGGGCACAGGGCAACAAGTTGTTGTACAATGCTGATATATAGAGCAAGGATGGGGAACTGGGGGTTTTCTATAAGTTGTTGGACTCCTTCATTCCTGACCATTGGCCATGTTAGCCAATGTTTTTTTAAACTCCTTTGAGACACAGTTGTTAGCAGCAGCAACAACAGCAATGAACATTTTTATTTGAAGTTGGCAGTAAATCATACTTAGCATTTAAATTACAAGAATGGCTAGGATTGCAGCTCTAAAAGAATCAGTGACCTAAAGTTTTGCAAATCAAAATGCCTACTGGAAATGTTAATCCCAGAGTCAAAACACACAGCGGGAGTGTACTTAAGATGTCAGAACAGCACAAACAAAACCATCCTGCATATTCAGAGCTAGTGTGTTGGGGGAATGCTATCTCAAAATGTCCCTGACATGTTAGCTTTATATATGCAAAATATTTTAAATGGGAGAGCACTTAAATATTTTATCTCCCAGAAGTGCAGTCTGGGAGTGTTGCAATCCAGCAAAACATACATGAGATTGATGAGTATGCAAAACAAAACAGAGATCAGATTTTGAAACAGCAGTCTGAACTCAGAAATTCCACTAGATATTTCCTTCCACTCAAAACAGTATGACAAATATACTCCGTTCAGTTCCAATAGTTCCAATATATGAGTTACAATGCAGTACTGGTTCACCTTTACAGCTTGTACAGTTACTTTTTAACTTTTAAATTGAAACTTGTAAATTGCAAACTGAAATAGTACCTGTTGCCACGTGTTTAGATGTGCATGATGTATTGCTGCCTCTAATTTCACTGAATGAATAAACAGTTATATTGTACTGGGTGTTACACTGGAGTGCAGAAAGGGTGCAAACTGTCGCAGTATCATTGCATAGCAATTCGTTGGTCCAATCCACAGCTTTGGTTTCATACATTTCAGCACCACGGACAGGAGACCAAACAATCTGAACTGTATCACTGGAAATGAACACTGGGTTAACATCACTGGGGCAGCAAGGTGCTAAAGGGGAAAAAGGGGAAATGCAGCAATATTTATTTTACTATTCATTCAATTTGCATACCACCTTTCATTGGCAGATCACAGGGCGGTTCACAACATAGAAATACAAAATGACAACACAAAATATATAATAAAATGAAAACACAAGCAAAACAAACCAATAACACCCCTTCCCACTGACACACAGAAGGCCATAGAATGTTAATCAGCCAAACACCGGAAGAGAAACATTTTCACCTGGTGCCTAAAGATATGTAATGAAGGTGCCTGCTAAGTTGTGGGTGAACATATCAGACGACACAGTGATTCTTCAAACAGCTCTTGTTTATTCACAGGCCAGAACTGAACTGAACTGAAGGGTTCAGCCAGCCTGCTTATATAGAGCTCCACTAGAACGCAACAGTAACCATTTTCTGTAACTATCCAATCACTGAACGTCACTTTCGATTCCTTATTTGCATATGTGGACCTGAGTGAAACAGTACAGTGGTACCTCGGGTTACAGACGCTTCAGGTTACAGACTCCGCTAACCCAGAAATATTACCTCGGGTTAAGAACTTTGCTTCAGGATGAGAACAGAAATCGTGCTCCGGCAGCACAGCAGCAGCGGGAGGCCCCAATAGCTAAAGTGGTGCTTCAGGTTAAGAACAGTTTCAGTTTAAGAACAGACCTCTGGAACGAATTAAGTACTTAACCCGAGGTACCACTGTACTTTAAGTTTGCAGATTGAAGTGGATGAAAGCATTCTGTCACCCTAGCAGGACAAATCCACTTCCCCCAAAATGGTCTTTTTGCAGTCTGGAAAGTGTGTTAAAAAGTCTGGGATGAGCTAACAATTAATGGGAAGAATGGATGCTCACTTAAGACTGGACAAAATCTACCCACCATGTACAGTAAGCTTTGTGCAAGCAATTCAAGATGAAAGCTGAATAAACAGGTTGTCTGGAGGAGAGATGAGACTAGCTTGGCTTCTTAGTCTGAGCCATTCATCCTTCAGGAACAGATAGTGAAGCTTTTAGAGCAGGGGTAGTCAACCTTTTTATACCTACCTCTCACTAATGCATATTTCTTGAGGGTAAAATTTCCTTACCGCCCACCAGTGCTCGATGGAAGGAGGATTCAGCTTGTGCTGTAGAACCCCCTACCGCTCACCTAGAACCCTGAAATGTCCACTAGTGGGCAGTAGGGACCAGGTTGACAATCCCTGTCTTAGAGTGCTAATTTTCACCTATGTGTCACCAGCCCTAACTGTTATGTAAAGATGAAGCTACTTTGTCTCATCTTGGAATCCCTTATATTCCATTTCATCTTAAAAAACATGTGAATACACAAACACACAAGCACGGAGCTATTTCACCACTCAAAGCTTGTTTCTAGCTTTATATAATGCCCATGCAGATATACCAAATATACATGCAAAAAATAAACTGTCACTTACCTGTGGTATAGTTAAATATGTCACCTAATGGACTCTGCCCTGCCTTGTTATAGGCAAAGACACTAATAAAATAGGTGAAGCCGCAGTCTGATTGGAAGTGACACTGGGTATGTGATGTGTTGCAGTGCACCTCCAAGCCATCATCACTTTTCACAAAGACCACATAATAATCACCCAGGTCAACATCTGACCATGACACTGCCATGTAGCCTGGCTCATCCTCTTCAATTATTATACTTTCTGGAGCACAAGGCACTGAAAAGTCAAATTTTCAACAAAAATAATTATCATATTCTCATAGTTGAATAGTGCAGCTATTAGAAAACTCCAATAAGACCATTAGGAAATCCCCAACTGGTGCATAACCAATGGATTGGATATGCTTTTGTAGAACATCTGATCTAATAAGTCCACATGTGCTGAAGGTTTCAGCTCTTGCTGTGCCCCAGAGCACATACAGCTAATTATAGTGACTGCAAAGATCAATCCATGCTGTGCAGTTTGCACAGCAGATGTAATTATCAGTAGAAGCTTTTGAAGGAAAAGATACCTGCCCTTTCCAGGGATATTAGTAATCGCACTTATGAGCAAAAGCAGCAGCACTAACCCAGAAGCAGAGGCATCTATCACAAGCCTGCCTTTATAATTTAGCATGCATTTTTCAATTTAGGACCATTTCATTAAGCAGCAGCAACATTGCTGGGTATTTTGTGTGTTAGGAGGGAATCATCTACACACACATACCAAAAATCTGGGCTGCGTATTGAGAAACGGATTTGTGTGCTAAGCCTGTCTCAACACCTGAAAGGTGGACAAGTAGGTGGAGTTTGTACCTTTTATTCCGCACCCACCTTTTGAACATTGCTGTGTGGTTTGTTTGCACATATTGATCTTGCAATCACCTTCTGGTACGAAAATGATCAGAAAAGGGAAAGGGTGCAGACAGGCTTGAAGACTCAGACATACATAGAGACTGCAAGATTCAGAAATACACTGAAAGTGTGAACATCTGAGCCATTTCAAAACTGTCATGCAAATGAACCCAGCAAAAATGGTTCCTGATTTGCTTCCTGTTTGCAGACTTCAAATAATCTCCTTCACTTCTATGAACATAGGATAAAGAGAAAGTGTCTGTCTAGCCCTGCGTACTATTTCCAACAGTAGCCAGCTAGATGCCTCTCAAAGGCCCAACAGCAGGATATAAAGACAATAGCCCTCCCTCTGTTGTTTGTCCCCAGCATCCGATATTCAATTATATATACAGCAGGGGACTGGGACCAGATGGCAACATCTGGAGGACCAAAGGTTCCCCTTTCCTGAAACACAGTCACTGAAATAATAAATTACAATAAGTTATAATGGCTAATGTCTACTAAACAATGCTTTCCCCCTCCACATTTGTTTTTTTCTGTTCCTTAGACTAGATAAATGGTGAAAAGTTTCTCAAAATCAATTTACTAAACTCATTTTTTAAAAACATCTATCACGCACCATTTACTTGTCTTTTCCCCCTACGCAATTATTTTCCTTTTTAAAAAAAGCAGAAACTATTATCTCTTTTCCCTGACACCTATCATCCACTGGCAATTGTATTAAGCTTGTGGTATTCTTCAAAGCATACACTCCTCCATACACCATGAACAGTGCATATGAGCTGCTAAAGATCACGTACCAGTCCTGAAAGTCACAGCCTCTGTAGGTGTGCTGGAACCAGCCTCATTGCTTGCTACAACAGACAGGGAATACTCTACCCCACACTCAAGGGATGGAATAGTGCAGGAACTGGACATTGTACTGCAGTTTACTTTGGAGGTGCCGCTGTGGGCTGCAATGAGGTAACTGGAAGCACCTTCTGCTAGCGTGAACGAAACAGCAGCTCTCAACGCTCCACTGTCAAAAACTACTTGAACATCTCCTGGTGCATGAGGCCCTAAAACAAAACAAAAAAAAACCCAAAATAAATCTCTCGAATAAAAATAAGGCTGAATGGTATTTCAGGCACAAATGGTATACCGTATTTTTCGCTTTATAACACGCATGTAGTTTTTAGAGGAGGAAAACAAGAAAAAAAATATATGATTTTTGTGGTTCGTGCTGTGGCCACAGACATGTGATCTGACAGTGAGTTTGGAGTAGCCCAATGCAAAAATCCTGAGGATCCATGTGGATCCATGCTTTGTAAGCACGGAGGAGGGAAGGAAGGGGAACCATGGATCCTCTGCTCACGACTGCAGCAGATCCCCCCCGCCACCCACAGGCATTCGCTCCATAACACGCACAGACATTTCCCCTTACTTTCTAGGAGGAAAAAAGTGAGTGTTATGGAGCAAAAAATACGGTATATGTATCTGGATTTCTGGTGCTGATTTTATGTGCATGGTTTTATGCTTGACTTTAATAAAGCACAGGGAATATATGTAACTCCTCTTTTATTAGGTCGAATCCAATGAAATCCCCATACTAGCAGAATGCTCATACAGTGGAACTTCCTCTCCTTTTTCTCCCCAATGCACTGCCTGCAGCCCTCTCAAATCTGCTCCAGAGGGTTGGGGAAACCACCAGAGCAGATATGGGAGGGGTGCAGGGGCGTGCAGCGGGAGGAGAGGCATTCCACTCATGCAATGACGTCATTGGATAAAGCCCACTGTTTCCAATGGCCAGGACAAATTTAAGTGGTTACATTTGAAACTAAATAGTCATTCAAACTCTTTCCCCTTTTGTTTTAAGTCCATGAGTAGTACCATAGGTGTAAAACTTTCTTTACTGATTGTCACATTTATCTGACTCCTCCTTGACAGCAAGTGTTGGCTTGGCTTTCCAGTTTCCTCTTACTTGTTCTTTGGTTGTAGGTGAAGTCATCTCCAGGTATCCCATTAGCATCCCAAGCATGTGCCTTGATAGTATAGAGAGTTCCTGGGTCTAGATTGGAAAATATCAGGGAGTTGTTTGTGGTGTTTTCTTTCAACATGCTCCCCAAACCATCAGATCTCATGATAGACACAAAGAATCCAACAGCCATATATACAGCTCTCCAACTCACAACAATGTTGTCATAACTTTGGGAACTTGCTGTCAGGATTGGTGCAGCGAGCACTGTGAATAAGCAAAAAGATACGTTAGGTTTAGTGGGATTTTGTATCTGTGGAGATGTGGACAACATATCAATCTATGTTTGCATCATTAGAGATGTTTCCCAGTTGATTATTTGTACTCAGCTATGCACACTCGAGTAAATGCATGGGATACACCTATCAATTGTGAAGCAAACATACAAATAACCACAGTTCAGTAAACATTCCTTGTAAAATGAATGGCAGGGATGGTCCAATACTTTAATTGCTGCTGCCTCCCCATCAGACAAAAATAGATGATAAGGAGGGTCCATATAGGGAAAATACATTCAGATGATTCAGATGATCTCCTCCAGTGTCATATGGCTATTAACTGAACAACACAGACAATAGAAAAGACTTCTAAAAAGCTCAAAGCGGGATGGGGTGGGACAGGTGCCTAACTGATAAATAATATTCACCAAGCTCCACTGTCTGGAAAGGCCTAGGGAAACAGTAGAACAGAGACAGTTTCATGCTCCATAGATGCCAAGATTTTGAAGAGGAACCAGCAAGGTTGTTGTTGTTGTTTACCTGCATCCACTGGTTTTTACAGAGTTTCAAAGCAACTTCAGAAGACAGAATACAGATAAAATGCAGACAATTTAAATCCAATACAAAATTGTTAAAAACCTCATCCAACAATACAATAATGAAAAGTCCCATCCTACCTACTAAAATATGAGAAGCACAGTAGAGGGTCACTTAATTTGCAAAGGACCTGTATAATAAAAATATATATTAGCCTGGTACATAAAAACTGACAGTGAAGGTACCAAGTGTGCTTCCTTGGAGAGAGCATTCCAAAAACAGGGGGCCACCACTGTAAAGGCTCTTTCTTGCATGGTAATAATCCTGCGTCAAAAGCCAATGAGGGACCTAGAAAGATAAAGAGGAGGTATTCTCCCTGTTGATTCCAAGAAATAGAGAGTTAGTCAAGGTTATTAGTGTAGTCTTCCTTCCAAACCTAAATCAGAAGTCAGATTAAAATGAATGAGGAAGGATGTGAAACAATTCGGTTGCGAATGCATCCTTAATACCTAACATATGTGGTGTCTAAATGAGATGAAAAAATACCTGTCTTTGCTTTCTTTGAAGTTGAAGGCTGGCTTCTTCCTCCAGTGTTTATAGATCGGATTGTGATTTTATACAGTGTAGCAGCCTTCAGCCCAGTCACAGTGCCTGGTGAGTTTGTGACTACTGTTTCAATGAATGATTCTCCATCCTGTGCTGTCAGCAGGTAACTTGAAGCCCCTGTGACAGATGCCCATTCCACTGTGATACTGTTACTCAATTTTGAATAAGCTTGTTCAATAGTCGGAATCTCAGGAGCTTAAAACAAAATAAAAGAAGAGGAATAACATGTTGACATGCAAGGGCATGACTTTGCATAGCTGAATGTGCCTGTTTATTCCCAAAGTACCAGCTCCGGAAGGACATGGTTTTGATGTCTCTCTTTTCATTTCTCATTATTCTGTTGGTAACACATATTAGTTTAGCAGTCTCTAGTGTGAGAACAAGACAGGCAATGTGTGCCTTAAAAATTGCATTCCTCTTTGTCCTGGTGAGCACAGGAAAAGCACTTGAGTGGTTTGGAATAAAACATTGCTAGGACTTGCAGGCATGCTAAAGGTTCCTAACTCACACACATCATTTAGCCAGAGGTTTTGGCACTCTGCAACTTATGGCACAGAGCCATTGTACGAGTATGACTGTATTGGCTATTGGCACAGCAGCATCTGGTACATCGCTGAATTATTTATTCATTTGGGTTGGACAAAGTCATTGGGCAGTTTCAGGGATGAAGATGGGAGTCACATTGGTACTGCACTCCAACGGAATATGCTTTAGCCCCTTTGGAGCCCAGAAGGCTGGGAAATGTAAAGATCCATAGTTAAAACAGATTACACACATCAGTAGTTTTTAAACTGGGTTCTGGGAAATTACTGGAAGCCACTCAGGAGGTCCTCAGTGACAACCTCAGTAGGAAAGGCAAGCTTACCTGAGGACAGCTTGCTGACCAGGAATGACCTCTGCAATGTGGAACCACAGTGAAGTGTTGGTTGTGTTCTAGAAGAGGGACACAGTAGAATGCATGCTTTGCATGCAGAACGTCGCAGGCCCAGTCAAAAAGAATCAGGCAGCAGATAGTGGGAAAGACCTCTGCAAGAGCCTCTGGAGAGCTACTGTCAGTCAAAGTATTATGGGCTACATGGACAAATAGTCTGATCTGGGCCTGGGTAATTTGCTTGTGTCCCTGTAAGAACAGTGCTTCATGCAGTAACATTGGAAGTGGGACCTTTTACACAATGTAGAACTAAACCTATCCAAGTGTAAGAGTGAAATAAATTACTGAAGTATCTCCACTTTTAATTCAGATAAAAATTATTCAATATAAGCAGTCTGGAAGTACTGTAGCAGAGCTTTAAAAACAAAACAGGAGGAGTAAGAACCTATAACATGGCTGTAAGTGACTTATACTCTGTTTAACTAAATTAAGAAATAACATTAAATTAAATTAAATTAAAAGGCATCTAAAACGTAAGCTTGTGTTTTGAAACACAGCCAGCAATTTCATAACAAATAAAAATAGGGTTTCAGAGAGTTTGGCAATATTACAGGAGCTGTTCTTCTGCAAGCACAACAAGCTCTTAATGAACAATATTTCCATTGTATTAAGCCAAGACATTCTTTCATTCAGTGCTATTCAGCCAGCTGGTCAGATATGTCCTCCTTTCCCACCATGTGTAAGTATGCAAAGCATTCTTTTTAAAAAATTAATAAAGAAGCATTGCTATCCATTTCTCAGATGTTGGCACAGTGATCAGAACTGTATCAGGCCTGATGCCACCACATGAAAGCAGTGAAGCCATCATGGAATCCAATGGATCCCTGCCTACCTCAGTCGCTCCCTCTCTCCAACCCATTTTGGGACCTTATACTGTGGCACTTCCACTAGTCCATTCAATGAGCAGAAAAGGGTGCTCTGTACCAGTGGGATAACACCAGCCTCACTCTGTAGGCAGAGACTTGCAGGACTAGGCAGAGCAACACCTCTGCGCAATCCAAACTCCCTCCCCCAGCCTGGTGCAAAAGGGATTTGTAATCAAATGCCCACATCTGGCAAAGTTTCACAGTGCCATTGGCTCTGTGCTCAGTTAGGCTGCTTATGTCTCACTGACTTTGATAGGATTTTTAGCATGGTTCTATGCATGCATACCTAGAAGTACATCCCATAGAGTTCCATGGTTGTTATATATGATTTCAGCCTTATGCAACTTGACTATATTCAGAACAGCAGCATTTATATTTTTTCTGTTAAAGATTCAGTAGAATATAATAATATAAGACTGAAAAACCCTGGTAGCTTTTATTGGGACTATTGACAAATATGTAAACCAACTCTATTAAAACCAGGAGTGGGAAATATTTTTCAGCTGGGAAGACCACTTTATCTTGTGAGCAGCTTTACAAGCCGCACATGTTAGGAGCAGGCAGGTGCAGAAGCAAAACTGGGTAGAGTAATGGACGTGACTTACCTTTGTACTGTAGGCTACATTTGAGGCATGCAAAAGCCAGAGGTTTACACACACACACACACACACCACCCTCTTTCCTGGCCAGCAAGAAGGCAGTAGAAGAGGGATGGCAAAGGATGGCCATCCTGATACATTTTGGCACCTGAGGTGAACCACAAAATTGTGAGGCCCCCATGCCAGGGAAGGAGGGGTAAGTGAAGATCTACATCAGGAACAAAGGGGAAATATCTTCATCAGGACCAAGGGGGTGAGTAAGTTCTACATTAAAAGGTAAAAGGTAAAGGTAAAGGTCCCCTGGATGGTTAAGTCCAGTCAAAGGCGACTATGGGGTTGCAGCGCTCATCTCGCTTGCAGGCCAAGGGAGCCAGCATTTATCCACAGACAGCTTTCTGGGTCATGACTAAACCACTTCTGGCATAACAGGACACTGTGACAGAAACCAGAGCACACAGAAACGCTGTTTACCTTCCCGCCACAGCGGTACCTATTTATCCACTTGCACTATTGTGGTTTCAAACTGCTAGGTTGGCAGGAGCTGGGAAAGAGCAACAGGAGCTCACTCCATCTCAGGGATTCAACCCGCCAACCTTCTGATCGGCACGCCCAAGAGGCTCAGTGGTTTAGGCCACAGCGCCACCCGCATCCAAAGTTCTACATTGGGAACAAGGAGGGGGGAATGAAATCAACCTTACCCAATGGCTGTTGTGGGGTGAGGGAAAGAAGCACACTCTGAACTGTGCTAGGAGGGTCCAGCCCCCCAGGAGACCCCAGAGGACAGACCCAGTCATTTGCTCCCCAAGGGCAGGAGGAGACCATCAGCTTCTCTTATTGCTATAGATTGCTATAGAGGCAGCATGGGGCTCGGGGACTCCTGAGGAGGAGGCAGATCTGGCCTGCAGCCAGAAATGCATTCTTTAGAGGCCAGAACTGCTACCCCTGTGGATCCTGCCACACAAGATGGTCGCCTCACCTTGCCTCATCGGCGGGCTAGTCATGGTGTGGCCTCAGGACAGGTTGTGGCCTATGGAGAGGCCAAAAGCCAGATAGAGAGGCCCCTAGGCCTGAGGCTCCCCAACTCTGTTTTAAACCATCTCATACTAACCCGTTAACTGCATAGTCTGAGCCTCAGCCAGTATAACTCCATTCTTGTCTATGGCGTCCACTTTCACAGTGTGGATTGTGTTGGGAGCTAGAGATGCAAGAGCACCTACAAGTGTGACGTCACTGAAACGGGCTGATGAGGAGTGTCCCACTGTGTTCAAAGGGGTTGCCATGGCTCTATATGAAAAGGCTCCGGGGAATTTGGGCCATTGGAGATAAACACTTCTTGATGTCACATCGTAAACAGATACAGTGAAACCTGCAAAAGTATACACATGAACAGTCAGTCTCCTTACCTTGCAACGCAATAGTCACTGGGAGTTGTCCGATTAAAATCATACTCTACTCAAGAGTAGACTCACTGAAATCAAAGGGCTTTTAAACCACTGATTTCAGTGATCTGCTCTGTGATTTAGCTGGCTGTCACCCATAGGCTACAATCTAGAAAGCTGGGGGAAATATCAACACCAGCAGTAAGTTTATTAGTCATTCCCTACACCCATGGAATTTTGGGAGCCTATAGTTTTGTAAGGAAGTTAGGTATTTCTAACACAACTACAAGTTTCCTGGATTTATAAAAAAAATAAAAATAAAGGAAAGCCCTGGAAGTTAAACCGGTATAAAACTAAAAGGCATTTGTTGTGTAGTTATTCCTGTTATAATTCATGGGTTTGTAATTACTAGCTTCATGTGCAAATTTTTATTGTTTTGGAACCTAATGCAACCCACACACTTTAAGTCCAATCCAAATAACTTTATTGTACTAGCCATTGGCCGTGACAAATCTGAATAAAAAATGAGCAGAAGCAAAAGGGTTGTCACACCACAAATAATGATCTCTGTTTATATCTCTGCAGCTCCCTTACAGGTCACTGCTATATTGTCCAGGGTCTTCTTTCTGATCTTTTTGGCTCCCAAAGCAAAAAGGGCGACTTTATGAGTCACTGAAATGTTTACATCGCTAAGAAGCCATAGGATCTTCTCTGCTGGGGAGAGACATCTTTCCTGTACGGACGGTAAGGTGAAAAATCATCTCCTGGGTCCAATGTATAGTGGGCAATATAGTAAATAGTGCAAGATGTCTTCCACCTGCAGTTGCCCACATATACAGAGTCCGCCTTCCTATGGTATCCTGTTATATCATCCGTCTGGGTCGGCGGAGGGTATAGCTTAAAAATGCAGCTCAGTAAAAGTGAATCTAAGTGAGGTTGGCTGGAGATTCGACAGGTAACTGACTCTAAAATGGACTGTAATTAGAAGGGGGAACAAAGGAGAGCATTTAGAGGATTTGATTGCTTGCAGATCACGTCGTGATTCTGTCCAGTGGCACCAATCCCTTAATTGGCATTTGTCCATGGATATAATCTCTAGCTTATGGAAATAATAAGAGTTCCAATAATGTTGGGTGTTAGATTTCCACCATTGGCTGTTTTCCAATTCCTCATTGCACAGGGCTGGCAAGCACTCACAAGGCATGGAGGACAGTCTTTACAAGTCATTAAATATAGTGCAATCAGTTATTGCAGTTAACACTGGCCATCCAGCTTCCATGCTTAAGAGTGAGGCTGCTGTTCCCTTGGGTAAGGAAAACAGTCTCTTGGGAAATTGGTTTTGCACCATTTCTAGCCCTTTAATAGCACTCCCACCCTCGCCCCTTGTCTTTAGGATTATGGCCACTGTTTTACTAACTCACAGCATGATCCTAACCATGTGATTTGTACCTATTGACTACTTACACTAGGTAGTTATGCTAATAAATTTATACATATTTATTAAAAAAGGAACAATATTTATTAAACTGTAAGAGCATAATCCAAACCCCCACTTTCATGACTAGGCAGGAGAACAAGGTTTAGGATGGTGTGCAGGTATATTTCTGTCAAATACCACTGGTGGGGGGGACTCCACTCCAAACTTTGCCCAGCCATCTTCATCCAGGTAGTTTTACTAGTAGCAGAATATGGGGAGACCCAAAATGGGATGTTTTGGGGGTGGGGGTATAAGTGGCTTCAAATCTGCCGGGTTCAAAAACCTGCTGGATTTTAAAAGTTGTGTAAACCCAACTGGCCAGATTCTTGAATCCCTCTGCCCCACTGTCTGTCCTAGCCCACAGGGCTTCAGATGCAATAATGGAGCCACACAACTCTGTTTCTTCCTGCGTTTGGATTACTATGCCTGACTGCTATCCAATACCTTGGAGCAAGCCCTACTGAACTCAGTGGGACTTCCTTACTGTTGCATTGTGTTGCACAATAAGATGTCTACCAAACATGGGCTTTAATTTTCTCCTGGGGCCCACTAAAAAGAATAATGGCAAGAGAAAAATACCTATCAGATTTTACCTGTGTTCGCTGAAGGAATCTGTAAAAGATGGTAGAAAATTAGTAACACAGAGAAAAACTCTTTTCAGATTTCCCTGCCCCCCTTAACAGCAGATTCTAAGCAGTTTACTGGTAAGTAAGTCCTAGTATGTTCAATGGGGTTTACTACCTAGAGTTTAGGATTGCAGCACTACAGTCCATTATTTTCTTGAGCAAAACAAGTACAAAGAATAATCACAATAATATATTATTTTATTCTGGCTTGTTAAATCCACGCCTTCTACAAAGCTATTGATGAGATTTGACACTGGTGTGCAGATCACATTATGAATTCAACTTTCTCTCCTGAATCTGCCTATTGATCCAGAAAGGGAAAGTTTCCAGTTGTGGACAGACAGGCATTCTAATCTCAAACACATTAACTGGACGTAAAGTTTCGACCCCATAATCTAACAAATCTGATAGGAGAAAACCTCATGCACAGGAAAACTTCCATCTCATATTGCTGATGTAGCTGCCTATCTAAATTCCCATCTCTGGCAAGAAGATGTGTATTTTGATGTGAAAAGGAATGCAATGTGCACTGGAGGCCACTGGTTCTAAGGTGCACTAGCTGAAAACCTGAGAGTCAGGATTCAGTGGAGCAAACTACCTGATCAAATATACTTCTGACAAGCTGAATGGAAAGCCACAAGAGAAGTATGGGAAGGGCCACGGCTCAATGCTTTGCATGCAGAAGCTCCCAGTTTCAACTCCTGGCATTTGAAGGTAGGGCTGTGAACATCCCAGGTGAGAGCCATTGCCACTTAGCATAGATAATATAGACCAATTGTCTTACTCAGCTTCCTAAATAAATAGCCACCAAATAAATGTACTAAGGTCTCATAACTCTGCTTTCCATCCAGGGTTCTAACAGCAAGAAGAGATTTCAGAGTTACAAATTAATCATTATTACCAGCATCACAGATTAAGCAAACTTTTAGCCAATTGCAATATACCTTTCAAACTGTTTGTGGATTGAAACTGCCTGAGTTTTGAAATGGCAATAAAGATGCGTTTTCCTGTTGCATGGTCTTACAAGAGGTTTGCACCAAATAATACATAGAAAATAAATAATTAAGTAATTTATTGGCAAGATATTACAATTAACATGTTTTGACTCAAGCTGCACATAGCCGGAGCAAAACCATTCAAAAGCAGGAGTATTTTTTTTTAATATTGAGAATAAATTTAAATTTATTAATTCAATAGGCAGCAAGTTATTTCTGAAAATGCTCAAGGGATAAACTGTTTGGACTTACCATTTTAATGTTGATGAAAATTAATCCAGAAAATATAAAATGTTTACATCTTCTGCCAATCATTCTTCAAGCTGGACTTCTAGTTCCCAGTTCACTTACAGATATAATGAGATTACCAGACAGAAGTTAGCAAAAAAATAACCTTTCCATCCAAAATAATCAGTAAGTCTTGGAGGCAGTGAAAGCATTCCAAGTTTGTAGCTCCTCCTCTAGCCACAGCTAGCCTATAAAAGCTGGATTATTGATTGACTCCAGTTAAGCATTCTTGTCTATTTTGTTTAATCAAATACAATTATTTATGACAGCTGAATAGTGAGGCAAATGCTACGCTCCACAGCTTCTGTCTGCGACACATAATTTTATTGACTGATAAAAGAACTGATCCAAGTTCTTAACCAGAAGTGGCTTCAGTTCCTTAGCCTGCAATCCTCTACATGTTCCCCTTGCAGTCGAAATGAATTCAATAGGGCGTACTTTTGAATAGATATGCATAGATTTGTACTATAATACTGTTACACCTCCCGATTTCCCACTTGAAGTACAGTATGCTTAACTCTCATTCCCTCTTTCGATGGGAAATATTTATGGTCTCCTAAGTAGCCGATTTCACATATAAAAAGGCATGCGCTTACTGGCTGCCACAGCATAACAATGCAGTAAACCAGGGGTCAGCAAACTTTTTCAGCAGGTGGCCGGTCCACTGTCCCTCAGACCTTGTGGGGGGGCAGACTATATTTTGAAAAGAAAAAGAAAAAAAGAATGAATTCCTATGCACTATAAATAACCCAGAGATGCATTAAATAAAAGCACACATTCTACTCATGTAAAAAGATGCTGATTCCCAGACCGTCTGCGGACCGGATTTAGAAGGCGATTGGGCAGGATCCAGCCCCCAGGCCTTAGTTTGCCTACCCATGCAGTAAACAGTTGTACCGGAGAAGGAGCAAGGATGTGAACGCACAATCAAATGTCAAGCAATATGCCTCCCTCTCCCTTTCCTTGTCACTAAATGTCACAGTCTTGTTACTCCCTCCCCCTAAGTGTGTGACATACTTTCTGAATGAACCCTTTTGTTCAATAGCCACGAGAAATCTGGCAAACAGTGGAAGTGCCATTTCAGATTTCAGCAGAGGGCAATTTTAGTATGGGCTAGAAGATTCTTACAATGTCTCCCTTGCTACCCTGGGAGCCTTTATAAAATACCTGCTCTGCTCCAGAGGAAGAACTGAGGGGGGAGAGACTGCAGGCAATGGTTTTCCCACCTGTCTTGCCCCACCCTCCAGCCCTGGGAGCCTTTCCCAGACCATGACTTTGAAAACAGCAGAAGCAGCTGGGAAGAGAGGAGTTTGGGGATAGTTCTTAAAAATAATTTTATAAGTTGTGTGTCCATGTTTCTCCATTTGATCCTTCGACATGGTTTTGTATGTTTTGTGGTATTTTATGCATTGTGATTTGCTGTTATTTTTTATTGATTACAGATTAGTGATTCTTTATTGTAACTGATAAGTGTAAACTGCTTAGTTATTATTTGCTGTTTAATTTTACTGTTTACTATTGCATCCTAATGGATTATTGAATACTGCTTTATTTGATATAAGGTTTTGTGACTTTTTATATAGGATCTGATTGTTAATGTTTGATGTTTTATTATTATTATTGTGTGTGTTGGAAGTTGCCCAGAGTGGCTGGGCCCAATCAGATGGGTGGGGTATAAATAAAATTATTATTATTATTATTATTACACTTTGAAATGACTTTGGGGACTGGACAGCAGAGAGAAGAAACACCATGGTGCATCTGCATCAGCACAACTGGATAACCTTCATTGCCCCAGCTGCACCAAAACATGGCTCTGCAGTATCAGTCTCTACAGCCACAGCAGGTACTGTAACCTTCAGACAATTTGACTTCACCCCCAAATGCCTCCCGAGACAGACGGATGTCAACCAACCAACCAACCAAGTTCTGCTCCTGGATCTACTAAAAATTACCGTATTTTTCGTCCCATAGGATGCACCGGCCCATAGGACGCACCTAGTTTTTTGGGGGGGAAATAAAAGAAAAAAAAATTCCCTTTATTTCCCCCCCCAAAACTAGGTCGGGGAATCCAAACCAGGTCGGGGAACAGCGGGATGGTGGCGCTCCGCCGCCCGCTGTCCCCTGAGCTTGGGGGGCTGGCGCTGGGGAGAAGCGTGCTTCTCCCTAGTGCCAGCCTCCAAACCAGGTCGGGGAACAGTGGGATGGCGGCGCTGCGCCTCCCTGCTGTCCCCCGAGCTTGTGGGGCTGTCCGATGTCTGCCCGAAGCGTGGGGCGCTCTGCTTCAGCGCGCCCCACGCTCCGGGAAGCAGGCTGCTATCCGCAGCCTAGGGAGCCCTGCAGGAACTCCCGCGGGCTCCCCAGGCTTGCTGATAGCTTCCTGGAGCCTGGAGAGCGAGAGGGGTCGGTGCGCACCGACCTCTCTCGCTCTCCAAGCTTCAGCGAAAGCCTGCATTCGCCCCATAGGGCGCACACAGATTTCCCCTTCATTTTTGGAGGGGGAAAAGTGTCCTATAGGGCGAAAAATACGGTACCTGCGAAAAATGAGAATGTTCTAAGAATGTTGTGCTTACTTTTTAATATCTGCAGCAGGGAGTGTCAACCTTTTTGGGGCCATAAGCTGGTTAGGAATTCTGAAAGAGCAACATGGGCACTAACTGCTCAGGTTGCTTCTCTTCCAAGTCTCCTGGGCTCTGCCCTGTCCCAAGTTAGAAAAAAGAGATCATGTCAAGGCTTAGGAACAAATTTTACGTACTGAAAATGGGGGAGAAGCAAATAAATGCCCATTGATCTTACCGTCAAGAGAAGTAAAACATAAAATGCATTTGACAAGGGAAGCCAGACCCTCTCCAAGGCTGGATCTATACTGATTTTTAAAAAAAGTTATATAAAACACTGTAAAAGCTCTGAATGCAAAATCCCATTGGCAACAGATCACTGCTCTACAGCACCCTCTGGTGTCACATTTTTATAACGCAGTTATAACAATATAATTGAGGAGTGTAGCTGAATCTGAGAGTCCTGGATTTACAGAAGGCATCCTGGTTTCTGATTTGATCCCAGAATGTTCCGCTTTTCCTTAGGGCATCCCTATTTTCATCAGAGAAATGTTGGAAGGCATGGGAAGCATCTTTGCACTTACATATGTTTACATAAAATTGAAGGGTTGGAGGGTCATGCATCACCTCTTGCCTAGGAATACGGCTCTATAAGGGGTTTTGCATGCTTGGGGAAAGGCATGATCTTTCCCCGTTTATAATAAACACTATTGATCCAAAGTGCTTGTGTCGACTTTCACGCCCTAGATTACAAACTGGGAGTGTGGCCTTCCACGGGTCACAGTTGAAACTACACCTTTCACTCCTTCCTACCCCATAGTATCAAATGAAAACGATTCTTGCAGCACCTGTGACATTTATTACAGCGCGAGATGCTTATTATTATTATTATTTAATGTTTTTATTAATGAATTTTGCTTTTTAATAGGCTAGAGTCCATCAGGTGCAAAGATGATTCCTTTATATTATTTATATTATATATATTACATATATTATATTTGGAATGAGGAGCAAACACAACTACCTTTTTAGACTATAACGGAGCCAGATCCTTCTCTTGAGAATTCTTTCTTTTAGAAAGAAAACCATTTTCCACATAGGGGGAGGGGGGGCACGGCGCAGTCAGGCGCGCGCCTTAAGCTCCCTCTGAAGCCAATGGGGGCCGGGCGCGCCTTAAGCTCTGCAGAGGAGGATCGCGGCGCGAGAACGGACCCGCCCCTTTTCCGCGCTCGCCAGTTTCTGCTGGGAGCACGTACGCCCAGCACGCAAGCTCAGCGGAAAGGCGGCGGCGGCGGACCTGCAAGGCTAGGGGCGTGGCTTTGCTGAAGTGGGCGGGGCACCGCACCGAAGGACAGCGGCGCTTGCCTTCTCCCTCACAGTGCGGCATTCCACCCCCCTCCCCGTCGCGTCGCGGGGCCAGGGGAAGAAGCAAGATGGCGCCGGCTGCGAGCGGGGACCGGGGGCTGAAGAGCCTGGTGTGGCAAAGTGAGTGCCGGGTGCTGTTGCCACATCTCTCTTTCACGCCCCGCGTTCTTTTTCTCCCGCCGGGGTAGGGCGTAGAGGCAGAACCAGCCCGCTCCTCTCTTGCCCGGCAGCGGCTGTGAGGGAGGCCTCCTCTCTCTTTCTCCCCCCGCTGTCACGGGAAAACGGAGGGGAGGCTGGCGGGTGGGTGCGTGGGTCGTGCAAGGCGCGAGGGTGGCGGCGTTGGTCGGCTTGTGTGTCTGGAGGGCAGCGAGGCAACTCCCGATCCTGACCTGTGCCCGTAACGGCATCCTGACGTGCAAGAAAAATGAGGTGAAGCAGTTCTCTCCCACTCTTTTTATCTGCACGCCTGGAAATGCTTCACTTGCTACGTTTCTGTATATCGGGCGGCGTTTTAAGGAGCGGGGAAAGACGACTTTCCTCTTTCGCACGCGAGCAGGTGTCGCCCTACGGTGGATTTTCATTTCGTTGGGTTGCATGTAAGGATTTCCAGCCCCCTGCCTTACATGGATTTTCATTTTGTTGGGCATGCAAGGATTTCTAGCCCCCTTCCTTACATGGATTTTCATTTCGTTGGGCATGAAAGGATTTCTAGTCCTGTCTGTCTGTCTATATATGTGTTTTAAAGAAATGAACCATGAGGAGTAAGTTAGGTGGCAAAATAGCCCAAGGTTATTGTGGCTGAATGTATGTTTTTTATCCTGCGCCCCAGTTTAAAGGCCAGCCGTCCATATTCCCCCCCCCCCTTGCAGAAGGATGAGGAGAGGGTGGGGCTGGGAAGGTACGTTGTCGGGGCCACATTTCTAGTCCTGGTCGGTAACACCTGGGAGGCAGTGTGAATGGATTGAGTGTTGGGTTTTGGACCTGTGCTTACTGGATATAATTTACTCGCCATAATTTGCCTCACATCATGGTTGAGAATAAAAATAGGATTCCCTTTTAAGAGATCTTCAGATTTAAGGAAATGTTTAAAATTAAAATGGAATCGGGGCTTTTGAAGGGCTGAGTGATGCGATATGAAGACTATAACGCATTTTTGTTGTTCGGGGTGCTGTGCGAGTGCTGAAAATCCCTTCAAGCACTGTGTTTTGTAGGATGCAGGTAGCAGTTGTCAGTCCCAGAATGGGTGAAGAAAAAGAGGTGGTATAATTTGCAACCAGAGGGACAGCCCATTGGTTTCAATATATATAGTTTCTTAGCTTTGTACAATATGGGGCTCATATATATCATTTTTTTGAAACTTAGTTTTTTTTCCTTTCAAGAAAAAGCAAGCACAATGGCAGTTTGTGTTATGACTTACCTTTGGACCTTTCAACTCATAATGGCCTCAAGATGATTGTAACCGTTGTTTTCTGTTGCCACATTTGTTTCCTAATTTTACTTCTGTTGTGATTTAATATTCCTCTTTCTGTCTCTGCATGTGTTTAAAAATAAATGGAGCAGATGTTTGGGGGCATAAGGGGCCGGATGTTTTCTGTGACCCACCATCAAAAGCTTTTCAGTGACCAAATACATCATTGTTTCGTTACATTAGAATACAGAGTTCTCTGAAACAGAATGATTGTGGTTATTTGAAGAGTGCATTCATCTTTGACTAGGGACCTTGAAAAATGTAGATCTTGTACAGTAAGTGATATGGAAATGGCAGTTGTTACTAGTAGTGTGGCATCATAATACAAGGTGTAACATAAGCTGATTGTGAACATGAAGCCACTGTACTTCATACAGTGTTTTTAAAGAGTTTTATTTAAATGTTCTGTGATTGATTACAGACTGTATAGCTGAAAAAGTAATAAAAATAATTTAAAAATGCTTCACACATTGCAAACTTTGAAACAAGTTTAGACTTTAAGGAAGTCATTACTCTTTGATTTACAAAAAATATTTGTGATTAAAAGAGGCTATAGGTTCCTGTTGGAGATAAAACCTTTGAATCATTGTTAATAATAGCTCTGAGTCAGAGGGTTTCTGGAGTAAGAATCCTTGGAGAAGAGTTTTCGTACAAAAATGCAGTAGCTTTCAGCACTGTTTAAAGTGGCAGGGAACAGACTCATACCTGCCTTATATGGTTACTATTATTCATAAATATAACACAATAAAAATATAATAAAAACTCTTAAAGAAGTGTAATACAGTGGTACCTTGGGTTATAGACGCTTCGGGTTACAGACTCCGCTAACCCAGAAATAGTACCTCGGGTTGAGAACTTTGCTTCAGGATGAGAACAGAAATTGCGCAGCAGTAGTGTGGCAGCAGTGGGAGACCCCATTAGCTAAAGTGGTGCTTCAGGTTAAGAACAGTTTCAGGTTAAGAACGGACCTCCAGAACGAATTAAGTTCTTAACCCAAGGTACCACTGTATGCATGTTGGGGGGAAGAAGCAGTTTTTTTCTACTCACTCTGAATTTATTTCCTCCTGTTTACTTCTTCCCTGTCCTATATTGCTCCACTGTGTATTGGTATGGAAGTTAGTGTTAGACAAGACACACATACTGACTCTTAGAGAGGGATGAAAGTTTGCTTCAACCCCCTCTCCAGCTTTGTGTATGTCACTAGGAAGACTGGGGGATTGGTTTTGTGGGGGTGGTGGTGGCTGGTATTCAGGTTTAGTGAAAAGCTCTGGTTTAGTGTAAAAGCTAAACAAATCTTGCCAAAAGTGCTCCAGTTGGGAGATGGAAGCAGATGGTGCTGAGCCTCTGGGCTAGAATGCAATACTGTTGTAGCTGGACAGACTAAGGATACAATCCTGTACACAATTACTTGGGATTAATTCCCATTGAATTCAGTGGAACATATTCCTTAGTGGACATGCATATGGTTGTATGGCTAGGAACCTTAAGATAATAGTCCTGACTTGTCTTCACCAACTTCCTATTGGTGTGCTTGTTGAATAAAATACTGTAGGTAGTTGAATTTTCCCACAATGCATAATTGTCTATAAATGCCGCGGGGAAGAGGAGGTGATAGTCTTTATTAAGGCTTTCTTTGGTATGAAAATTCAGACTCCACATTCAACTAAAAAATTGGGCCTTGAGAATGACTCAAGAAAATTATTGAATAATAGAGCAGGAAGCACATCTGCAGCAGAGAAGAGTGAACATGCTGTTGTGGGCTGTTGGCATTAGAAAGCAGTAACTTATTTTATGAAAAATACCTAACACATTGAATGAGCTGTCTTTGCTGTACGTATTAGTATAGTGGTACCTCAGGTTAAGTACTTAATTTGTTCCGGAGGTCCATTCTTAGCCTGAAACTGTTCTTAACCTGAAGCACCACTTTAGCTAATGGGGCCTCCTGCTGCTGCTGCGCCGCCGGAGCATGATTTCTGTTCTCATCCTGAAGCAAAGTTCTTAACATGAAGCACTATTTCTGGGTTAGTGGAGTCTGTAACCTGAAGCGTATGTAATCCGAGGTACCACCGTATAACACATTAAAAAAATAAATTACACAACTCTATCACCAGTTTAAGTACCATTTCTCATGTCTTTTTTCCATTAAAAAATCACACCCTTGGTTTAGTATTGCACTTGCAGCAGTAGTAACCATATTAATACTTTAAAAATAAACAAAATTTGCAAATATAGATACATTAGAGACAGAAGCAGTCTTGCAGGTGGAGAACTTCCTGATGAGTGTGTGGGTTTCAGTTTGCTTTTTTTAAGTTCAGATGTGCAGAGAGGAAAATAGTCATGTGCCACATCCTTTGCAGTTAGGAGACATCTAAGGAGTTGTTTATATTTCTGGTTCTGAAATGTTACTCTACATACTTCATTTTAATGTTTTGCTGCCATGTTCTTTTCAGCTTGTGCCATTAGCAAACACATTGTATAAAAATGTCAGTTTTTTGTTGAAATGAAATTAGTTGTTTGAACTGTCAGGCTTTTTCCTTACAGAGCTAGATTACTTCACATTGTTACAGTGCTGCTATTTTAACTGCTGGATTTCTTTTTCAGAGCTAAAAGCAGCAGTATTTGATGACTGTAGGAAAGAAGAGGAATGGAAGGTAAGTTTAATCTTTTTTAATTGCCTCTGTCAAATACTGTATAGTAGTTCATCCACCATTTACACAACGTACTTGACTAGGCATCTCCTAGTCAAGTAATGGTGGCCTTTGGAAAGGTTACATATCTGATAGCCGTATCACAATTCCATAAGTTCTTTTAAGGAAGCAATAATACTTAAAACAGTTTCATTCAGGTTTTAAATTTGTACATGTTTGCTTAAATGCGTGGCTCTTGGATTTCAGAGGAGCTGTGTCCCAAGCACTTCTTGGAACCTAAGACCTTGACTACTTAAAAGTTTGCATTGGGCTTCAGTGTATCCCCACAATCCAGGGTCAAAGGAAAATGTGGATATACTGCTCAATAACATAGTATTTAAATAAATGGGAACTACTGAAATGCTGCAAAGATATGCATCTACACTATTTTGAAAAATCAGATAATCATATTTCTATTTATTAGGACAAGATATAAGCGAGCCTTGTGCTTGCTCGTGGTGCCTCTTCCCTTTGCACAAACTGGCTTAAAACCTCTAATTAGCAATAGTTTCCTGTTTTGTCTGAACCACCTTTGGAACAAGCCAGGTTCAAACAATGCATTTAATGCTCTGATGCCTGCAAGCCTAGTTCCTGCTGTAGATGTAACAGGAAATTATGGTTAATTGACGAGTTCCTGGATTTTATTTTCCAATGTTACATAGGGAGCTCTGTGAACAAGCAAAATGCCCATTCATATCTCAGCATAACACTCTTAGTATAACTTCTTCAAATGTTTTCACCATTCAAGAAGAACATATCTAATATTTTAGTCTTATTTTGTAAACTAAAATTTTCTTAACCAAAGGAACAAATCACTTGTCTAAGATATGTAACACTCTTCAGATACAGCAAAAAGCCGTGTGGATGCCAGGGAAGCTCTCTGGGTGCATGTATGCCTATATTGGCAGTCCTTGGCATAAATATATTAGTTCATTAGGCCTGTATTGCAGTGTCCTTAGTATGTGATCACCATACCTTAATGTGCCTTAATGTCTAGTTGTATATGTCAAGCATCTTCATTTTGTGGCAGAAGAGAGGACGGAGACTGGTAAGCACAGTGGTTCCATTCAGTGCTCAAAACTCCCATTGTTCTAGGCACATTTTGTGACAGGGAATTTCATTACCATGTGGAGTTTCTGAGCTCTGGGCGCAGTATTGTGCCTAAGATTTCAGATTAAAACTGGAGTGTGGAAGAAAAGGAGGACCTTTTTCTGCCTCCCCACTTCCAGCTATTCTCTGAAGACTGGAGAAGAGACCATCTTCAGAATATTAGGGAGGTGAGCAGGGGCAGGACTAGACCCTGTGAAAAATGAACATAATATTTTAGCTGCAGTTCATTCATTTGCAGCTTTGTATTCTTGTTATAAAAAAGCATGCCTAGACATTCCATTGTTGTGCCCATAACCTAGGTTTAAGGTGCCATTTAGCTCCTAGCTTTCATATCTCAGTTTCTAACACTGGTTCCATATCTAGTGCAATTTTTTGATTGTGTCATCTCTTTTTTCCTTCACTTCACATTATGTGGACTTGATGCAGATAACATTATATATTTTATTTATATCCCATGGGGCTTATGAAGGATAACAATATATTATTACAGGGACTGCCTTGGAAAAGATAACTTCAAAAACTAGAGTTGTCACAAAAGGCACTGAGCAGACTTCTAGCTGGGGCTTCTTGTGTTGATATCATTACATCTACATTGACTGTGGAATCGTCCTGGCCTGGTTTAACTCTTAAAACTCAGGAACAGTAAGGGACTTGGATATTGAATGGATTGCCTGCTCCCACATAGGCACTCAGATCAGTATCTGACACCCTGCTCCATGTTCCTCTGTTTTCAGAAGTGAGGTGAGTGGGCATGAGAGGCAGCACCTTTCAGGTTGTGGTGCCACAATTGTGAACCTTTTTTCCAGGAGACACCCATGTGGGTTAATTATTGTTCACCTTTCAGCAAGCAATGAAAATCTAGTTACTTAGGAAGTACTTTGAGGCAAATTAATATTAAAAATCAAGCTGTTGTAAAATACATAATTGTCTTCTTTTTTGTGATGGTTTATTTTAATACTGCCACGTTGTTTATAGGATTTATATTATATTTAATGTTTGGAAGCTCCTAGGGGTTCTTGGGACCTGAAATGAGGAGTATTATATACTTTATAAATGAATACATTAGTAGGTACAACGATTTTGATTTATCATTAAGCTCTCGTCTTAAAACCAGGCATCAAAACCAATTTCAATAAAGAAGCTTACAATTGGATATAATTTTCTAAAGCACTACTTCAACATTTTTTATACAGATAATTCTTCTAGATGACTTCACCACAAAGCTTCTGTCATCATGTGGTAAAATGACAGACTTATTAGCAGAAGGGATCACTGGTAAGTACCTTTTAAACAGAGTTCTGTGATTCTGGCATATGGGGAAACTTGTTTTGTCAGCATTTGCAGAGGACATCCAGTGGAAACTTATTAAACAAAAAAGTCATGAATTTCATCTCACTTCTTTCTGTTACTCATTCTGCTGCTGGATTTGTTACTTCCATCTCTTAACTTTGTCTTCATTGAGTTTCTTATCCTTTTGGTATTTGGTTGTAACAGAAGAATGAATGGAAGAATTGTCAGGAGGGGTGTTGAATGGAATGTCAGGTGGAGTTTGAATGTGTCTGTTGCAAAATGACAGTTGAAAGGTGTGTGTGAGACAGAGAAAGGGAGAATTTGAGCTGAATGAGTTAACATAGCTAATGAGGAAAGTTAGTCATATTAGATAGGATATTAGAACTGTGAGTATTCTGTATTAAATGCCTACTTGCACTGGATTACCTTCCTTACTTAAATATATTACTGTGTTCAGATATGGGTGAATTTCTAGGGATGTATCTCATACTGTGTGCCTGTTTAAGACATACTTGAACAAGACTATAAAGGGAGAGTCCTACTGCTCTTCAGATCAGTAGGTAGTGACAGAAGGTAACCAGGGAACATGCCCTGGGTGGGTGGGAGGAATCCTAAGAACACCAGTTACAAGCTTTTTCTCTTGATTCTTGTTTTTAACTTCGTGTTTCTTTTCTCTTTCTCTAATCTTTCTGTGTTGTTGTTGTTGTTTTTTGTCGTGCTCTGAGAATGTGGGCTAAAGGTTCTGTGGTTTGGGGTGGCATAATGTTAATCTGCTTGTATTCCAAACTACAACAGTGGGTAGGGGAATGGCTAATTACAGAATGACTTACTGCTATAATATACCGTAGTTGTTGGATTGTCATCATGCAGTTTTCATGGCTGCTACTAGGTGGCATGATGACAAAAACACAGAGAGGAACCGGCAGGACAGACTGGGGCAGTTCCCCAGCAACTGTCTGCTCTCCTGCTGCTGTACACCTTCACACCAAACAATGCCCGTTTCATACTTAGCAGCATCAGAGGCTGAAGAGGAAGAAAGCAGCAGCAAAGCAGGAAGGTTGCTGGGGAGCTGCCCCAGCCTGTCCTGCCTGTTCCTCCACAGCTTGCATGGCCATTGGTTTGGGGCAAGCTGTCCGCCCTGTTGGTAGGCAGCAGGGAAGAGCAAGCAAGGCTGCTCTAATTGGGGATGGGGAAGCTTCTTGATTGGCCCTTCCTGCATGTTGCCTTGTGGGGGGACAAAGCGAGACTTTGAAGGCAGAATGGAGAGACAGCGAAGCGAGCTGGGGCAGTAGCTCCTAGTATATTACGGCTTTCTGAAACATTTGACAGTGGGGGCAGAAGGAAAGTCATGGTTAATGAAGGCGTGGTGGGAAGTGATAACTTCCAAAATGGATTTTGCTGTTAAATTTTATAGTCTATAAACAGCCATATTTAAAGGAACTAAATAAATTTATTTTTCCTTGCTGCAGCTATCCTAAAGCTCAGATACAAAGTAGTTATGGTGTAAAGCTGGAAGTGCCTGAAAAACTACCATGATAAAACTAACATTTAAAAATCTGTTTACATAATAGTGATTGATTAGAATCATTATGTAAATCTATTTGACACCTGTAGGTGGTGAGACTACATGCAGTTTGCGATACTGTGCTTATTTTGTAAACTAAGTTTGCTAACTGATGCCTGAATTTATTAACATATCACTGATTTCAGGCCTGTTTGGGTTTGACTTGTGGTCATTTTGGTCTTTGCCAAAGGATAAATGGAAAACCCTAATTACAACACTCACGTGGCTCGGCAATTTGTTTGCTTCTTTCATCTTAGAAGCATTCCCCTATGAGAGAAAAGGAAGTACTTGCAACCTGCAGTTTTTCTTTTAAAGTTCTTCTTTTAAAATTATTGGGTTGGATCCAGATTCGCCCCTCTAAGAATGGAAGGGGCTCCAAGGGAAGGGAGCCTGAATTCAGTAGTGCTCCCCATTGGAGGTAGGGAGTTGGGTGGGAGTTTCCTAGATTTCCCCTCTGGCCCCCATTGCCACCTCTCATATTGTTGATCAAGTGCAGGACTTATATAATATGTTTTATCTTGCTCTTTTCATGCTTTGTTAATTTAATATAATTATTACTTTTGATTGTAAGTTTTGGGTTGGCTTGGAATTATTATTAGGAAAAGTGGGAACCAGCATGAAAATGGAGTTTTACCAAATCAGAGATCCATCATGTACTTTTTATTTTTTTTGCAAATGTAGATGTATAAAATACTGAAGGTTTTTTTTTTAAAAAAATCTTATTTTGTAGTTGTGGAGAATGTTTATAAAAACCGCGAGCCAGTCCCTAACATGAAAGCCATTTATCTCATCACACCTACAGCAAAGGTTAGTTGTTTTTTAAGCCTGTTGGTCAGTTTGACTTAATCTTCTTGTGAATAAAATTTTAAAAAAGTACCATGTGATAAAATGTTCATAGGTTACTACTTCATTGAAATGTGTAGTAGTAGTAAAGAGTTGCTGAGGAACAGTGGTCATTGCAGATCAGAATTTTATTTGAAAGGGCTATACTTCATGTAATTCTCTTTTTGTCAATGGGGTTAGATCCAGAAAAGTACAAGCATACTTGTGCTGCGTTACAGAGAATAAAGACCTTGGGGGTCAACAAGCATCTGGGGTGGAAAAGAAGTTTATGAGGTACAGTGGTGCCTCGCAAGACGAAATTAATTCGTTCTGCGAGTTTTTTCGTCTTGCGAATTTTTTGTCTTGCGAAGCACGGTTTCCCATAGGAATGCATTGAAAATCCAAAAGGAAACAAACTTGCAAGACGTTTTCGTCTTGCGAAGCAAGCCCATAGGGAAATTCGTCTTGCGAAGCAACTCAAAAAACGAAAAACTCTTTCGTCTTGCGAGGCATTCGTCTTGCGAGGTACCACTGTATACTGCGACAAAATTATTTGGGAACGATGAGCCTCAGAAGTAAAGGGCATGGGAATGTACGGAGTGCAGCTCCCGTGTTAAGAAGAATCATTGTATTTTAAAAGATGTATTTAACAATACAGCAGAACGTGGTGACTTAAGATTCAGACTCGCAAACCAACAGCCCAATATTCATAAACTTTGTTAAAGCCCATCAGGCCCACCCATCTCATTTGATAAGATAAATTACTATTAAATTCACTTATTTTGCTTCCTTATTTTTTCCACTTTGGTTCCTAGTAATGGTGATGAATAATTAATAATTGTTGTTTATATTTTGATATTTCTTGACTATTTCATTTACATTCCTAAGAATGTGGGTTGGGGTTTCTTAACTATAAGCTCATCAAGGGGTCAGTGAAATGAAGTTTGGGAAAACCTGATTTACACTGTAGTTTGTTAACAAGTCAGGATCATAATCACAGTTTGATTATAGCTTGTTTGAAAAAAACTAGAGTCATACATTTCAAATACAGTCTTTTCTGCGTCTTGCAAATACACTTTGTATGTTTTTTATGATTTGCTGTCCATTTAATACACTTCCAATAAATCTGTATATTAATAAAATAAATACAAGTTTTGTTTGCCAATAATTTTCTCTATGCAAATTAAAGCAGTTTCTCCCCCCCCCCCCCCAGATTTTGACTTGACTTTGTTTTAGCCCTTTTTTAAAAGGAAATATACAGTGTTCCTCAATTATGGAAAATGTACTTCGGCTTAGAAACACAGAATAGTTAAAGCTTTTTCAGAGCGCTTAAATAGCAGTTGATATTGATATTTGTAGTAGTCAAATTTATTTCCTAAAAACAGTTGATAATCACAAAAATATAGACTTAATCAAGTTGAGATATCTTTTAGTATAGATAATCCACAATGCCTTGGATCCTATTTGTAAGAGTTGAAATAAATTAGAATGTACTGTCTTAATTGTTCAGTCTGTAGATGGGCTTATAAATGACTTCGTCAGTAAATCATCCAGCAAGTACAAAGCAGCATATGTCTACTTTACTGACTGTAAGTATTCACTGATTGTAGCAAATTCATTGATTTTTTTATTGTAGCCATGGGAGCAGGCAGGATAATGACCGTTGAGCCTTTTGTGTATTTCAGGTGTGAGGGGATTGGTTATGACTAAAAAACCTACAATATTCTGACAAGAGTATTACGTGTTTCCCCATATTATTCTGTATAGTGTAGTTTCTTCCAAGTGCTGCCTTAAGTATTTTGTCTTTGGGATTTCTTCCTGCCAACTTGGTTCCTTAGTGCCGCCAGAACAGCTTATAATATGAAACAATATAATCACAACAAACAGCAGTCATCCATTAAAACAGCCCTGCATAGACAATCCTAAAGCAATATAGGTTTGGTGTATAAACAGTTAAAACAAAGTAAAAACTAGGATACCATTTATAATCATACTCTTCCATTCTCCCATCTGCCAGAAATGGCTGCTCTAGAAAAAAACCTTTTAATAATTTACCTAAATGTGAAAACAGTTGCCTTGGTTAGCAGTTTTGGGAAATAACAACAAAATGAGGACATGCCCACTGAAAAGGTCTTCTCCGTTCAGATTAGGATAACAAAAAGGTTCAGAGCAGTGGGTGGTATGCAATGTTCCTGTTAGTGCAAGGGACGTGCAGTAGTAGAACCATACTTTTCTGTGCTTTTTCCTTCAGTCTTCCCCCTTGCTCCTTTACTTACACACACACACACCCCGGTGAACACTAGAGGGTTAGGTGACCTTCCACAGATAATTTAGTCTGAAGACTGGCTTCTGTTTTGGTGCTTAAAAATAGTTTGCCACTATAGGCAAGATATTTTGACCTGGTTTAGCTCCCGTGGTTTGGTATTATGAGAATTAATCCAGCTCGCCTCTGGACTCACATGCTTACTACCTCTTCTCACTACTACTCATTTCCTCCTCCAGCACAGCTGCAAAGAGCAAGCTGCTTTGGTTTGGCTAGCCTGGGGATGTCTAACCTGTGACCTTCCAGGTGACGGACTCAGACTCCCATCTGCCCCAGCTTAGCCTGCAGGGTTATTCACTCCTGCTTTAGTTTGGCAAATTGCCTGAAACCTTAACTGTAATCTCTGGAAACAAGCTAACTGCATAAACCATGGTTTAGAGTTGGTTCACTTTCATTAATCATAATTAAGTTTAACTACAGTTTGTCCTGGTTCAGATGACACTGTAAATGGTGGCTAATAAAATATTGAATTAAGAACTTCTGAATTCTGTGGTTGTGCTGGAGGAGGAGGAGCTTCTTGTAACACTAAATTATGGTTTAGTGTTCTTCCTAATCAGACCATTGTGGATGACTCAGAATACCCACATGAAGAAAAAAAACTAATACTTTTCAGTAGATTCTTGGTGTATTTAAAAATTATTGGTAAGACATACTTACACACTGCCTGTTGCATAAAAGAAGTTTTACAGATGAAATAATATGACAGCTGAAAAACCTTTCTCTCCTCCTAGTTTGTGATGACAAACTTTTCAATAAAATGAAGTCATCTTGTTCAAAGGCTATAAGACGGTGCAAAGAAATAAATATTAACTTTTTCCCTTATGAATCACAGGTAAGCTTAAGTTACTGAACTTAACTTTTCCATGTTTTCCATGGATTTGTCTAATCCTCTTTTAACCTTTTAAGTAACTAATGCTTATTATGTGGAGTCTTGCTTGTTAAATTATATAGTAGTTAAATAAAAATAACCCTGTCAAAAATAACTAGAAAGCTGCATATTTTGAATATTGTCAAAAATGATGTTAATATTTTAACACAATATTTCAACTCCTCTTACATAACATTGCCAGCCATCATAGCCGCAGACAGAAAATTTAAAGTATATAGGCATTTTCTCCTAAATCTTTAGAAACCAGATGGGGTTTTCAGTGGTTGGAACATATTCCATAAATTATAAAAATCATTAGATGTTGACAGAAAACTCTACAAATGGGAAAAAGTGAAATCAAAGCATAGTTATTTAGACATTAGGTTTTTGGTCACCTGCTGAGATTTTTAAAACCTAAAATTTTTAGGTTTTAGACTTCTTTTTCACGAAGGTTGTTTTGACATTACATTGCCCAGTCATATTGAACTATTGAACTTGGTTCTGACCACTTCAGGTTCCATCATCTGTGTAGATAGCAAAAAGGTTGTACAGTAATGCCTTTAAGTAAGAGGAGAAAGTAGACCAATGTGGTAGAGGAATGGTGAGTGAGAACAAGGAACATATTTCTTCAAGAGGACCAAGGAGAAGAGATGTGGGGTGGGGGAAGGTATCATTAATCTGTGTTATACTAGATATTTATTGCGCTTGCAATTTAATAAAATCATAGTTTCAATCTTCTGCTGATATTGCTGTTACATTCTGGTTCCTAAAACAGTCTATTTGGAACCATTTCTTTACTTTAGGTATTTACCCTTGATGTCCCAAATGCTTTCTATCGCTGCTACAGCCCCATCATGGAGAAGACAAATGACAACGTAATGGAGCAAATAGCTGAACAAATTGTTACATTATGTGCCACTCTAGAGGAAAATCCTGGTGTAAGATACAGAAGGTACAACTGGAAATACTATATTCCAAGTGTTCTGTTGGTTTGATCGAAATGGATTGTACGCTTTGAACAGTTTGGAAAGTCAACATTGCCCATTCTGAAATGTTAGGAGGCAATGCAGTTCCCCTGCATGTGGGGAACAAATCTATGAATATATACTGAGGAGTCAAATATTCTGTATTAAAAGGAGTTCGTGCTCGTTGGGAAAGGATTGGGTGGAGAGAGGGAGACAAGCAAGGTTGCACACCAGAAGGAACATTGGTGTGTGTGAGACTATTCAAAAGAGCTTTGGTATACATAACCAGGTCTTCGGCAGGTACCTAAAGGTAAAGGGACCCCTGACCATTAGGTCCAGTCGTGACCGACTCTGGGGTTGCGGTGCTCATCTCGCTTTATTGGCCGAGGGAGCTGGCATACAGCTTCCGGGTCATGTGGCCAGCATGACTAAGCCGCTTCTGGTGAACCAGAGCAGCACACGGAAACGCCTTTTACCTTCCCGCTGGAGCGGTACCTATTTATCTACTTGCACTTTGACGTGCCTTCGAACTGCTGGGTGGGCAGGAGCAGGGACCGAGCAACGGGAGCTCACCCTGTCACGGGGATTCGAACCGCCGACCTTCTGATTGGCAAGTCCTAGGCTCTGTGGTTTAACCCACAGCGCCACCCGCAGGTACCTAGTTCAGTATAGTTCCTTAACACTTTTCCAAATTCCAACTCAGAGAGTGGAGGAGGGGAGAAATGTATAAATCTAATGAAGCTTATGATGGTTGGTGTTTCCCATGCTAGTGAGCTCCACCCCATACTGAACTCAACGCATTCAGAATAAAGAACTGTAGGGAAGAGTCATAGCTTAGTGATAGAGCACATGCTTTGCCTGCAGAAAGAAGACCCCATGTTCCAATCCTGGTATCTGTGTGAACTGCTGTGCAGAAAGGACTCCTTCCTATCTGAAACTATAGAGAGCTGCTACCACCTGAGTATAGACAGTGCTGAGCTGGACAGACCAATGGTCTGACTTGAAAAAAGGCAGCTTTGTTTGTATGAAATACTCCGTAGCAAATGATCACTTCAAATTCTAATAAAGCAAATGAACTCAACTAGCTCACAATCACTTATTTCAGATATCAGTGTCCTCATAAATGTCAGCAAAAATATATTTTCCTCTCTTTTCAGCAAGCCTTTGGATAACGCCAGCAAACTTGCGCAATTAGTTGAGAAAAAGCTTGAAAACTACTATGAAACTGATCAACGAAGTCAAGTAAAGGTAGAGTGAATATTTAGTTTTCTCTAGGAGGCTGGGGATAGGAGAGCCTTGGAATGTAGCTGGGAAGAATGAATGCTGTAAATGCAGGAAAAGAGCTAATAATGCTCTTCCATTTACAAGGGGATGGAATTGAACAAGGTTTTTAAACCACAACACAAAAGGAGAAGCAAGCCACAAACCTATACACAAAACTTATTCCATGTAAAGTCCAACATGTTACTTTCAATAAAATCTCTTGAGGGCAGAGGGGTCTGGCATTCCATTTCTTCACTGCTTATTCCTTGAAGGAACCTAAATGGCTTCCCCATGAAATAAAGGAGTATAGGAGTATAGAGTATCAGGAAAATCTTGGAATATGTTGGGAATATGGTTATTGTTTTAATTATATGAGAATAAACTTTAGCCTTTTTCCCCTGTTAGTTTTTGTGTAGCTTTAATTTCCTAGTGTGTCCTCTTTTTAAAAAGATAGAGTAAATCTTTTTAGGTTGTACAGCACTCTCTGTTTTGCTTGTTGTATCTTTTAAAAAAAGTGATGCTCTCTGATTTTTAGGGGAAAACCCACTCCCAGCTGTTAATAATTGATCGTGGCTTTGACCCTGTGTCGACTGTGCTCCATGAACTCACTTTTCAAGCAATGGCTTATGATCTGCTACCAATTGAAAATGACACATACAAGCAAGTATAATTTCATCTCAATTTTTAAATATACTCACACAAGTTCATAAACTCCTGCAATGTAAGAATGTAAGAATACATTCTGCCCTATATTTGTTATCCCATGTTGGCTGAAATGGAACATTCCCTAGAAGGACTGCCTTTGAAGTTCCTTGCTTAAAGGTGTTACACATTGCAGAGCCAGAGGAGGACTCCTGAGAATTGTGGGACACAGGAATGCCAAAAAAGGATGCTAAAGACAGTTTCACTGTCTTTATTAAGAAGGGTTTAGACTTAACAGCAAAAAGTAGCCTGACAGTTCTTGCATTTCGCACGAGAGACAGACACCACCAGGCAAGCAGATGATGGACTGCGCGCACCCAGCCTAAAGTGTATACATTCTTTATACGGTAAAGCAGCATACGTCACATGGGAATACAGGTGGCTGATACCCAAAGCATGATCGATGTTGCCCCTTTCTGGGCTCAGAGCCCAATATCTCCAACCCGCAGATAAGAATACCATCAAAGCTAGCCAATTAGTGCACTTCAAAGCGTATGAATACACACACACATGAGGTCATTGCTTCAGCCACTACAGTGGTGCCTTGCAAGACGAAATTAATCCGTTCCGCGAGTCTCTTCGTCTTGCGGTTTTTTCGTCTTGCGAAGCACGGCTATTAGTGGCTTAGCGGCTATTAGCAGCTTAGCGGCTATTAACGGCTTAGCGGCTTTAAGAAAAAGGAAACAAACTTGCAAGAACTCGCAAGACGTTTCGTCTTGTGAAGCAAGCCCATAGGGAAATTCGTCTTGCGGAACGACTCAAAAAACGGAAAACCCTTTCGTCTAGCGAGTTTTTTGTCTTGCGAGGCATTCGTCTTGCGGGGCACCACTGTACCAATTAAGAATGGGGTTATCTTGACTATCAACATGGCATAAGCAGAGCTTCCAGAACAGTCCACCTTTAGTTCAACAAAAAAGGGAAGGAGAAATTGAGTATATTGTAAGTGGTGACAACTTTCTCTATTTAAGTGGTCTGCAGAGAGTCTCATGGAAGTGTGTAGTCTATTGATTTGATTTGGGCAGTGAACAACCTTGTAGGGCTGAAGCTCAGTGGTAGAGCATCTCCTTTGTAAAAAGAAGGTCTCTGGTTCAATCCTGGACATCTCCAGGATGGGGCTGGGAGTACCCTCTATTTGAAACCCTGGAAAACTACTGATAGTCAGTGTAGACAGTACTGCGGTAGATATGGTAGTAGAAATTGTTAGTTTTTTAGCCGGTCAGGAATTATTTTTACCAAATCCTAAATGTCGTAAGTAAGCCCCACTGAACACAGATCCATAGCATCATGCTGCAGGCTAAATCACTTCAGTAACTTTAGTGCTACTCAAAATTTTAAAGCATTGATCTGTCCCTCTGCCAAACAATACCATGTGACTCCACAGCTCCATGTATCATACCACACTTTTGTGGCTTTACTCATGTCAGCAGAGAAAGCCTGCATATGTGTGTGCGCGCATAGATAGACAGACAGAGGCACACTTCCTTTGTCCTGAGTCCATACCTGAAGTGCCAATCTAATATTCACAACAGACAACATAATTATTTTTTATCAAGCCCTGCTTATTGCTATTAAGATACTAATGTGAAGCCACTTTCTGGATTTGTGTTAATACAAAGAGTGTTATCCCACACTTTCAGACATGTTAGTTAAAGTATACAGCCCTTAAGTTCCACAGTAAATAGCTAACAATCAGCTGTAGTTCAAATGCAAACTTCCACAGCAAGATTTCAGCTTTTCACCATCTTCTACATCTACTTTAGGAATAACTAATGCATTCAAGAGAGACTTATATTTGTATAATAGCTACTAACTCTTTTTCAATAATATGGTCTTAACTAACTTTCCATTTTTTCCTTTCTTGTATTTCTACTGCCTTCTGGTTGAATCAGTTTTTATGTGAGTTCCTATACATATAAACGGTGTTTCGTGACATAGCAGTAGTAAACTCTGTGGCATTCCCCCAGTTCTTAGGAATCTGGTTAACAGTTGGAAGAATACAATACTAGGCATGTTAGTACAGATACCTGTACATTAAATAATTCCCATATAAGAATCTGCTTTGTGATTGTATGTGAAATCAATAGTTGGATTTGAATTATTTCCCCAATTTAAAGTGAGAGATTGTTCGCTGCACATTGGGGTAAGAGGAACTGTTCTGTGAACTGAAGGAGGAGATTAATGTAATGACCTATGTAAACAGACAATACGTTTTGGAGTAGGCCATTTTGTGTCTCGGTTGATGATCCTTTATACATTACATTACATTACAAAATATTATTACCCTTTTAGCATATTGTTTGCATGTTTCTTAGGAAATAAGTAGCTCTCACTTTAGAGGGACTTATTCCTAGGAATAATTCCTAGGCTTCCTTAGCTTAGTATTTCAGCTTTTTATATCCTAAAAAGCGCAACTATTGCTTTTGTATGTTGTAATTAGGACTCTTGATGTATTCAAAACAAGAGTTTTGAAATCCTTTTCTTTAACTACAAAACATACGTGCAAAAAACTGTTCCATGTATTCATCTGTTTATATATTACAACTAATAATTTGCTTTTTTTTCTTTGTTTAGGTATAAGACGGAAGGTGCAAGTGGAAAAGAAAGGGAAGCTATTCTGGAAGAAGATGATGACCTCTGGGTGAAAATCCGACACAGGCATATTGCGGATGTGTTGGAGTGCGTACGATTGAACATATTTTGCTGTTTTACATAACATTACTTGACAGCTACTTAAAACTATGTGTGTATCGGTGGTATTCAGTACTAGTCCTACTCATGGTAGGCCCATTAAAGTTAATGGTGCAACTAAGTTTGGTTCATCAATTTAGCGGGTCTACTCTGAGTAGGACTTAGCTGAATCTGGCCCGTCAGGTTGTATTCAACTAGCCTGGCATGCTAGTGGAAGCAGTCCCGCTTCTGCAACAGAGACTGTGTGTTGCAATTCCTGCATTGCAGGGGGTTGGAATAGATGACCCTATAGGTCCCTTCCAGCTCTACAGTTCTATGATTCTATGAAAAGCATTCAAGGAGGTGTGAAGCAGGGTGAGGGGTATGACCTGGGGAGGGGTCTAGTAATAGTCCGGAGGGCCAGATAAAGAGGCCTAGATGTGGCCCTCAGATCTTAGGTTCCCACCACCCCTGCTCTAGGCAAACAATAGGCCACAGCCAAGGAATATAAAGGGAGAGTACTGCCATCTCTTGTTAAGTCAGTAGAAGGTGGAAGCCTGTATTTAACTCTGGAGTAGTTGAGTGAGTCACCATATTGACCACTCGGGGACTTGTGAGGCACCTTGGGAATGTTCCTCATACACAGAATAGTCCACTTATTTCTGAGGACTAAATCTACATTTTTTTGCTGCTCTTGTTGAATTTCTACTAAATAAACTTGCTTACTACCGCTGTGTAGACATACCTGAAACCATTTTATCATTGATTTTGAAGCCTTTAAGCAGTTGTTGTTATTATTATTATTATTATTATTATTCTTCTTCTTCTTCTTCCCACCTTTTCCCCAAACCAGGATTGAAGGCAGCTTACACTAAGTAAAACAACACAGCTGAAATACAAAAACCTAAAAGCTTATAAATTAGAATAGTTAAAGTAATGAAACTGTGATAGAATTAAAATAATATAAAAGCAAATCTGGTACAGATTGTAAAAACATCACAGCATTATTAAAAGTCCTTTCCTTTAAAAAAAAAAGTGAGTTCCCCAAATCCTGTGAGAACAAAACAGTCTTCACCTGATGGCAGAAGAACAAAGAGGAAGCCCGTCCAGCTTTTCTAGGAAGGGAATTTCAGACTTGTATATATTCTCAATTTAATTTAAAAATATTAAGAAGCCATTTTCTTCTACTCTTCCAGGGAAATCCCAAAACTTATGAAAGAAGTTTCATCAAAGAGAAAGGCAACAGAAGGAAAAGTAAGAAATAAATATTTACTTTAAAGTGGTACTAAATGTTTTTAAATTTCTCTTCTGCAACTACCTTGATACTAAAAACATGGGTTTGGAAGTGAGAATAACTGAATGCAAATCCACTGGGGTTTGTTTTCAAGTGTTTTTGAATTGCCTTTTGTTGGTACTTCTAACCTACTAAAATGGAGACTAAAATATATATATTTGTAGTGCAATCTTAAATATATATTGCAGTGCAATCCTAAATAACAGTAGTTTTTGAGTGATGAATAAATGTTATCAGTCAATAAATAAAAACACAGAAGAAAGGCCCTATGACTTCAGACAGATACTTTTTACCTTGTAAGTAAACACAGGATTTCAGCCTTAGTAGACTTCTTGAAGCTGGCTATGCATTTCCCGGTCCTCAAACACAATTTAAAAGAAATGTTGATTGTGAAATATTTGAAACTGAAATTTGAATTATTTTCTAGCTATCTTTAAGTAATCTGGCTCAGCTCATGAAGAAGATGCCCCACTTTCGCAAACAGATTACTAAGGTGAGCAAAATGTAATACTGTTATATGTTTGGATGCTGTGCATTTTTTAGATTTGAGCCTAGATTTGGCTTAGTTTGTGGCCAATTATGCTGGTGTATAAGCATGACTTAGGTGCTCTTCAGATGTTGTGGGTTACAACTCCCATGATCTCTGATAATTAGTGAAGCTGGCTTAGTTTGATGGCAGTTGGAGTCAAATATCATCTGCAGAGCATCATGTGAACTGCTCCTGGTACAAGTAATCTAACTGGTACAATTGGAGTTAAGTAAACACATAGGGTGGTGGTGGAGATAATTGCATTAGCTCTGCCCCTGTCACCATTGTGACTGCCCCTCTCATGCTAGAGTGTAAATTTCTGAAGCAGGAAGCATTTGCACTATTCTAAATTTACGAGGAGCCTCCATGAGTACAAGAAGACTCATTGCTTCAGAAGTTCACCCTTTGATCAGAGCAAAGACCTGGGCAGGAGAAGCAGGGTTAGCAAGGTAATCCCCACCATCCCACTTGCATAGTTAGTTAACTGGCATACTAACAACCTAAAGAGAGATAGAATTGTTCCGTAAACAAAAAATCCCTTGTTGGATCAGAGCAAGGAACATCTAGTCCAGCATTCTATTGTCATTTGGCTATTCAGATACCTCAGCAGGTTCAAAAGCAAAACAAAAAGGTTGTTAGCTCCCTGTCTCTGATGTTTGAGGCATCCCGATTGTTTGTAAATGAAGATTTCATTTACATCTCACAACTAATTGCTTTTGATAGATCTAAGCCTCATGAATTTGTCTTAATTTTTAAAATGTATTATTATATTAAATTGTGTACCCTATGTGCCAAATCTACTTTGTATTGTATTTTCCTGGCGTGCAGGCAATCTTAAGCATGTTTGTTCAACTCTTTCTAAATTCAGTGGGATATACTACTTAAATGTGTGTTACGATTGCAGCTTTAGAAAGTATTAGGCTGGTCTTAATTAGCATTCTTAAAAATTATAACTGTAACATATTCATGTTCATTACAGTGGTGCCCTGCAAGATGAATGCCTCTCAAGACGAAAAACTCGCTAGACGAAAGGGTTTTTCGTTTTTTGAGCTGCTTCGCAAGATGATTTTCCCTATGGGCTTGCTTCGCAAGACGGAAACGTCTTGCAAGTTTGCTTCCTTTTTCTTAACACCGTTAATACAGTTGCGACTTGACTTCGAGGAGCAACTCATAGAACGCGGTGTGGTAGCCTTTTTTGAGGTTTTTAAAGACTTTGGTGATTTTCGAAGCTTTTCCAAAACTTTCCCGACACTGTGCTTCGCAAGATGAAAAAAATCGCAAGACGACAAAACTCGCAGAACGAATTAATTTCGTCTTGGGAGGCACCACTGTATAGCTATAACTTTTTCTTCATGTAAATATTGTAGAGTGTGAAGCTTATGTTTTGTGGATTGTTTTTAAGAAATAAAACTGGACACATTAAACTTTACTGCCTGTTAATGAATTGTTTGTTTTCTGTTGCTGTGTCATAATGTGATGTAAAAGTAAGCAAATTTTTGCTTCTGTTTTGCAGCAAGTAGTGCATCTTAATATAGCTGAAGATTGCATGAGTAAATTTAAGAATAACATAGAAAAGCTGTGCAAAGTTGAACAGGTATGTGAATCATCCAAGAGTACAATGGTATTTGGACTGAACAAACTACTGGGGACAGTATAATAACAGAAATTCTATTGGCTATTCCCCTAAGGAGAGAACTCTATATCTTGGTGGCTTTTAAAAGTATTTCTGGCCAAAGTAGCCTTTTTAAAATCTGTTTAGTAAAAAATAACTAATGTTCTTTGCAATTCTGGAATACTAGTGCAAAGCTACTAGCAAAAAACTGGGGGGTGGGGTGTCAGCATGTACGGCTATAGTATTGCCATAGCCCTATTTTCCTGACCAGAAAAGCTACCAGGATAGTATCATAGTGGTCTCTCATTGCCCTTTAGGGGTTAGTTTCAGTAGCTACTTTTGTTCAACAATGGGAAGAGCCACAGTTATGTCATGGTTACTTTATCAATTTCTAAAAATCCAGAACTAAGACTTATGCCCCAGTGCTATACTGGTGAGGGAGCAGCAGCAACAGAGAGGATGCAACAGGATATAAATTTACAAAGTGGATCAAGTGAACTCGTTTCCTTGAGTAATGTACTGCAGGATCGGTGAACAACTGAACTTTTATTGTTTTGCTCCGTTACTGCTAGTACTGTGTGGTTTCATCTTACAGCATTACTCCTAGCAATCTAGTACAGTCATAATTGTATTTGAGAGAGAAGGGATAGTTACCTGGAAACACAACATATATGATATGCCTCCAAAATTCTACTTCCGCTTAAGGCTAAATGTGGATCTGTGGCAACAGACAAAAGTATGCTGAAATAATTGCTGTGAACTTGAGAGGATATCTCTTGTTTGTAACTTAGGATTTGGCTCTTGGAACAGATGTAGAGGGACAGAAAGTGAAAGATCAGATGCGAGTCCTTCTTCCAGTACTGCTAAATAAAAATCACGATAGCTATGATAAGATAAGAGCCATCCTCCTCTATATCTTCAGCACAAATGGTAAGGTCTAAATCTTCTATCTACTGTCTTAAAGCATAGTTCAGTATGTCATACACCAAACTACATGAATGTAATGAAATGTCATGTGTATGCACATGTGTATGTGTGGCCACAATTCACTCATGCCACCGGAGCATGGCTTATTGAGATAAATGACAGTTATGCAAGAGTTATTGTTGAGATTACTATTTTGGAGAAGATGTAGCCAAGTAAGTTGTCATTTGTTTATATGGATAAAAAGCTGCCCAGCCCTGAAGAATAGATTTTTTAATCTTAAAATATATCTGGGGTAGCTGTATTGGACTGTAATTATTGAATTGCTGGTGAGATGGAGATTTTTCAGGCCTGCTGTGGTACAAACTTATTCAGAACAGTGCTACACAGGTATTAGGGTAGCACTTCATAAAGTGTTTCAAACTTATTAATGCTTACTTAAATTCTGTGATTGAATTTTACTCTAAAGCATTTTGTTTTTTGTTTGTTTTTTAAGTTTCTTCAATGCACACGGCACTTGGTTAATGAGCAATATATAAATGGGCAGTATATAAATATAACAAATAAATACACAAATCTCAGAAAGTTACTAATTCAAAATGTCACATTTATTTTTAAATGTGGAAAAAGGAACTACACAAGAGAACTTGGACAAGCTGATCCAGAACGTACAGATAGAAAATGATAGCGACATGATAAAAAATTGGAAGTATCTTGGTGTACCTGTCGTCATCGCAGTAAGACATGCAGCATTTTTTCCCTATCAACTCTGTGTTACCTCTTGCTTATTTTTATTGTATTGTTAATACGTAATGTCTATTCGGGGAGTTCAGATTGCTTCACACAGATGATTTTCTGATTTGTACAACAACCCTGTAAGTAAGGGGTGGGGCATAAAGCAGGATATTATGGTTCATATAAAACCATGTAATGAATTTGCAGCTGATGGGAGACTTGAGCCAGGGATTTCACTGGCTTGCATCTCACATCATTACACTAAAGCCCAGCCTCATAGGAAGAATGTGAAACTCTTGACTGCAACTTCTTTGTGCTGACCTCTTAAAGCAAACGTTGCAATCCTAAACATACTCATACTTTCGAGGAAACCCCTCTGTGCATATTAGGACTTATTTCCAAGTAAACATGTGCTGTAAGTGCAAAATATGCCATGTGCTTGAGAAGAGATGAGATAAAATTGGAAGCATATGTTTTAGATAGCTCTGCTGTCACTCAGACATGTTTTTGTATGACTCTTGCTGACTCATGAGTTGTGTACAGTTTGAGTAGAGGAGCAAGTATGGAAGCTACTCTGAAGTCATGTGGTATAACTCATACCCTGTAGCAGGGTAACTTGTGGCAAATATAGACTAAGTTAATGATGTCAAAAGTGATCTTCCACCCCTCTCCTGGGTGTCCCTTGTATGCCAAGGATTTGGGAGGGGTAGGGTTGGTAGTGAAGCATGCATGCATGCAATTTCATGGCCAACCAATGTTTACAAGTCCCTTTGTATAAAAATTGTCTTCCATTAAGTTTTAAAACTTTCATTTTATTATGTACTTACTAGGAGATGTACTTCTGTTTTCACTTGTCAAAAAAAATATTTTATTGTCTCCAATTACTTTTCTTTGAAACCCCTGTATAATAGACTGCAAAATGTTGTCTTTGAATTATATTAATTTCTTTCAGTGGTTTATAACCTGTTACAAATGCATTACTGATACTACTCCTAACAGCATTCAGTAGCAATCAAGCTCAATATCTTTGGCTTTTTAGGCTGCATCACAACAGCGCAGATCAACGAGGAAGGATCGCTCCTCCGAACAAACATTTCAACTTTCTAGATGGACACCTGTTATTAAGGATATTATGGAGGTAAAACTTCTAAATAGAATAGCTTTTAGTCATGCACATAATATTGGATGTTTTTAAGAAATTCTGCTTGTGTGCTGTTGTTATCCCTATTTTAGTTGCATTTAATATAGACCTTTTACTCCTGATAAGTTTTCTGGGAGATTGACCACATAGGTCAAAACATATAGTTGTGTGCTACATTTAATCCAGAGGTGGAGAGCTTTCTTCAGCCCAGGGCCCCTATTCTGTTCTGTACAACCTTCTGGGGAGAAGGCATGACTTGGGGAGAGTCCTGTGGGTGTGATACTAGAGCGGCATATTTTGAGTCTGATGTTTCACACTCCTAATTTTTAGACCAGTATAACACAATTGCTTCAGTCTCATACAAAAGGTATAATTCAGCTTTGTACAAGCACACTTCCATTTGCACAACAGGAGTTCATCTTTCTCTCCTCTCATCTGCAGTCCTGATGCACCCCAAAAATCTGCTAAATAGGATCCAGATTTGGAGGCAACTAGTTGGGAGGAGGTATAAAAGAGAGTGGAAATCTATTCCATCTATGGACACACTCCTTCCATTGGAAGTGCTATTGGGCTGAGGATGAGAGCACTCGTTATGCTTGCATACTTTCTCCTGCTCATCTTGACCTGCTCAGAAAGTAACTTTCAAACGGGGCACAATAGACATTTATAAAGACAGTTTAATAATAAAGAGTCCTAGTGTGCCTTAAGCATTTATACTGTTCATCAGAGAATAGGGAGTAATTAAAAAGAGAAATGCAGAAATTTATATGGAATTAAAATTGCTGCAGCAGGCAGAAAAATTATTAAGTATCCTCCAAGGCCCTCAGCAATTTTCAGTTAGTCCGTGGGAGAAGAAATCAATGGTTTAAAGTGTGGACTTAAGCGATTTATAACAAGGCAGTTCCTTCATTCAGAAAGGTGGCTTGTTCCTTGGAACCTTAACTTCCATTCTTTTGTCAATATGTTTACATCATTTACCCAGGAAGTGTTTGTTGCCATATGCTGGCTTCACGCCTGCTTTCTAGTCATAGAAAACCTGGGGATTTTTAAGACTCAGAATAAATACTTTGTATCAGCTTAATTTGTTTAAAGAACCTATTTTATTCCAGGATGCTATAGAAAATAAACTGGACACAAAAGACTGGCCTTATTGTTCCCAGTGCCCTGCACCATGGAATGGTTCTGGAGCAGTGAGGTAAGTGATTTAATGGTATTCAAATTTAAAATTGTGTGCATGTTCCCCCTTTAATTTCCAAATGTTCTTTTTTTCCTCTCTGTTTTACAGTGCTCGCAATAAACCCAAAACTAGTTACTTGGACGACCGGAAAAGTGGATCAAGGCTAATTGTGTTTGTCATTGGAGGCATTACATATTCTGAGATGCGCTGTGCATATGAAGTTTCTCAAGCCTACAAGTCTTGTGAAGTTATTATTGGTAAGCCTGACTAATTATGCTTAGACAGGATTGTTGTCTAAAAACTGTTTGGCTTTTGAAGCGATAGGAGCACCAGGATTTCTTTTTGCTTCCTTTTTCTGTCCTTTATTTTATTCCCCTTCTGCTCCCTCTACAATTTGACTTTGCCACTTACATTTCTAAACATTACTACCCCTTCTACATAAGATTAAAAGTCCTTATTTCTGGATTGGTTCTCTTGAATCTTCCTCTTGGTTCCTCTAAGAATCAAGCAATTTAAAATAGCTGTTGTATCTAGTCTGCATATTATCAGAAAGCATGAATCCTCTCCTACATTTTATCCTTGCATTCTCATGTAGTTCATTTCTCGATCAAGTTGCATCAAATTTTGCAATTATCTATCTGAAATAACAGCAACTGGCAACTCATGTTAGCTTCAAATAGTCTTAGGAGCCTAACTACATGTTAATTACATGCATGTGATAATCACATGCATGTAATAGCATGCAGATGGTCTTTTATTTTATTTTTCAGAATAAAGGAAAAACTGGGGAAGGAGCATTTTGAAGTAGGAAATGTGTGTGATTAACATTTCCCAGCAAATGTTTTACTGTTATGGCCACTTGGCTGTAATATGTACTACTGTTGACATACTGAATTACTGGTGAAACTAATGGCATCTAGGAGGAAATTAACAAGTTGCCTCAAGGTTATTACTTAGTTCATGGGTTGCTAATCCTGAGCCCTGGGACCCAAAGTACCCCTCCCAATCCAAATCACACCCCCAATACATTGTTTTTGGCAGTGGCAGCAAAAAGGGAGGAAATACACAGCACAGGGGTGAACAGAGAGGTTTAAACCTCTTTACCAAACCTAGCACCCTAATGAGGATGCAGGTTGTCCCATCCCCAGTTACAAATTTAATAAGCTAATGTTGTTGATGACTGTTCCTTCAAGATTACATCTTTTTTTTTACCAGGTTCCACTCACATCGTGACACCTAGAAGACTACTGGATGATGTAAAAGCACTTACTGTAACAAAATCAAAGGATACAGTCTTTTTTAAGAATGAATAGAAATTATAACCTTCAAAGATTTTCAGCTGTGCTTAATTTAAGAGATATTAAGAACACATAATATAAATATTATGGATACAATTTAGTGACAGTTAAGAGTGTTTTAAGTTCAAATGATTACAGTGGGAGAAGTGTTACATATCTGACTTCCCTATTGAAATCAGCAGGTCTTAAAAGTCCTTGATTTGAACTGGATTGTACCCTATGTACATATTTTATAAATCAGTGCTGTATTTGGGACTGTTCTTTTTATAATTTGAAATCTGCTTTCCTTGGGTTGGGGGGAAGGGGAAGGTAATGGATAAGAATAAGATGTATGTAACAGCTTGTTTTTATATTAATGTACTTGGTTATAGATGGCATTTTGCGGCGAAGTGTTTGGTGTAGAGAATGCTCACCATCGCAGTATATCATGCTAGGACTTGGGAAACATTTGTATATATGCTAATGATTTTTCAGTAATAATGTGTAAACTTCCTATCCTGAAAAAAAGGTCTGTTTCTAAAAATACTATTATAAAAGGGCAATGAGCTTAGCTACAAGAGGAAATGTAAATGTATAGCACAATTTCACAACTACAATTTGGTAAGCTACAAGATTCCATGCAACTTGTAAGAGTGTCATAGACAGCTGCTTTCAGTGAGGTACAAAGTGTAAGTTAAACTTTTCCTGAGAAATCTCAAGACAGAACTTTGGTTATGTGTGTCGGGGATTGCATGGTTCTCTGTATGGTATTTGGGTGAAGTTAATCATGAAAGTAATAAACCTTTTATCAACAATCAAGAACGCTGAAGAATATGTTGTCTTAATTACTTGTTTTGGTAATTTTTGTCAGGACTCTGAAAAAGAATGCAGTACAGGGCAGATGACTGACTTGCTTCTTTCATCAGCTCGCAAAATGAACTGCATCATTGGTCAATCCCACATATATTCCCCATATTTCCCTTCTTACTTCTCTAATTGGGGGAGGGAGTGACATAAATGGGCTGTTGCTGGGCAATAAATTAGAATTTTTTAAGCCATACTGATATAAAAATAATTGCACTGCCTACTAAATTATCTGAGTTTGTGTCTGAGATTAAATGACTGGACTAGTCAAATAGATGCTTCTTCTGTACCAACACTTAAGTGGGAAATAAACTTATCCTAAGTTCCAAACTGAGCTAAACATACATATACAATGCATGATTTTGTAAAACCTATTTATTATTAACTCACAACTTGATAATTTCTGTTATTTTTTATGTAACAGATTTTAGGTTATTTAAGACGAAGAATAAGGGGAGAAATGGTGCATTTTCATTCTTTACACATTCCAATAGTCTCTCTTTCAAATACAGTTCTGTCAGTTTTCAAAACACATTCAGATTTAGTATTGGCTAGCTGCAAGACTGGAAAGGGTCTGAATTTTGGCCTTGGCTAAATCTTCTGAAACAACTTGCACCATGTGTTCTGTAGTTTTCTTCAAATTGTTTGCAGTCTGTATAACATCATCCAAAGTGGAGCTTAATATCTGTTAAGGGGGGAAAAAACCCTGCTTGTAATTAACATCACTGATTGGACTGGGGGGGGAGTTCACTTGTTTCATTGTAAGGAAAATGTTCAAAGATTTCTTCATTTCTTTTTCTGTAGATACAAGGCTCCCCCTTACCTTTGAATGTGTCTCCTTGATGTGCCTGTTTCTCAGACCGCATACTGACCTTCCATAAATATTCCTACTAGTGAGGTATTGTGGTGAAAGGATAATAGTATCATGCATCCTCGAGTAGCGAGTTTGGGGAATATGTAGATTTTGTCTACAGCATAACAAGAAATCACAGGCATATCTTATTGATACACAAAAATACATTCTATGCTTAACAGCTAGTGTCTGCTTGCTAGTTCTAAATTAAGTATACTACTACTAAGCCCACAAGTGCACCACAAAGGCTGAATTCAAAAATTACATTTTTTGTTGTGATCTTAAAAGTATTGGCATGCATTGCTGCAAATAGAACAAACTTGCCCATGAAAATTACAATTATAAGCTAGGGTTATAAGTAACTTGGTTTGGCTCAACTCCTGTTTTAAAACTGATGATGCATGTTACCTGTCACATAGCCTTTCTATAAACTCTTCTGGTTGTTTCTTTGTATATATCCTTTGAAGGTTGATGCTTTGCTTCTGTGAACTAGCTAAAAGAAATTTGAAAAAATATTTTTAAGAAATGCAATTAAACAAGTTCACTACATTATCTGGTCCCTGCTCCAGCCTACTATTAAGCATTGATGATTAAATGTTTCAGCCACAAGTATAACTGCTCTTTTATTTTTAATTAACACCTTAGAAAAGGAGTCACACAGGGTGTGACAAGCTTCTAAGGCCATTAAGGCCATTTTCTATATGCAAAAAGCAGGATGTGAAGGGGCTCCACTGAGTATCACAGCTTTTGAAAGGGCATGGGTCATTCCTTTTAACTTTTGTTTAAAAAACTGTCTGAGATTATGTGTATTGTGTTTTTCCCTTTCAAGAAAGAAATGTTTTTGGTATTAGTTTATGCTTAATTATTAACTGTACAGTAAATCAAGATTTACCACTCTTACACTCATCACTTTCCTTACTATAACTCTTTCTTTGACTGCCTTTCCAATCTCTTTGAGAGAAGTCTGTTGAAATAAAAAGAAGGTGAAAGAAAGTAAACAGCAATTTAGCCCAGAGTCAGTCTGCGTTTTTGTATATAGCTTAAGTGTTCTGAAGACTTTTGTGGAAGCTACCAAAAATAGGTATTTTCTCTTCCAGAGGAAAACTGCAGATTTTGAGTGATTCAGACTGTGATGTAGTTATGCAAAAACCGTGATTTGTATATTTTTGCATTGTGTGTAATCTGCATTCTCATGCAGATTAATTTGATTGTACAGCTGATTTAGGCTTGCTGTTCTTGATTCAACAAGCGGAATGGGCACAGAAGTATGATAATACCACTTTGGTGTCTTCAGCTAAATTCATATAAAGATCAAAATTGTGTGTTAATTATATCCAGAATTTTCCATATACTATACAAAAGAATACCTTACAAAAATTATTCTACCTTCATTTTGTTCTTGTAGGCCCATTGTCCATGATCCATGACTTTTAATACTCTTTTCCAGACATACTTCACTGCTTGAACTGTCTAGTAGGTGTGAGAACGAAGTGTCTTCGGTGTCACTACCTAACACCACACCCCAAGTTAAACAAACATATTAATACATATGTAATGTATTGGCCTTAGAAATGTAAGGCTTGCTTGACTTCATTAAAATCTGTGATGACTGCTGCCATGTCAGTTAAGTCTCTTGGAACAACTGAAACACTAACGTATGTATAAAATTATTGTGTATTCCTGGAATTCGCAGCTTCCCTTTCACCCACAAACAGTCCCAAGGAAGCTTACAAGGCACAATAAAAAAGGACGTGGGTTGTGCTGTGGGTTAAACCACAGAGCCTAGGACTTGCTGATCAGAAGGTTGCCAGTTCGAATCCCCGCAACGGGGTGAGCGCCCGTTGCTCGGTCCCTGCTCCTGCCCACCTAGCAGTTCAAAAGCACGTCAAAGTGCAAGTAGATAAATAGGTACCGCTCCGGCGGGAAGGTAAACGGTGTTTCCGTGTGCTGCTCTGGTTTGCCAGAAGCGGCTTAGTCATGCTGGCCACATGACCCAGAAGCTGTCTGTGGACAAACACCGGCTCCCTCGGCCAGTAAAGCGAGATGAGCGCTGCAACCCCAGAGTTGGTCACGACTGAACCTAATGGTCAGGGGTCCCTTTACCTTTATGTTACTAAGAATCCCATAACTTTTTAGTTGGACAACCAAGGAAGCTCACTGTTGAAGTTTAAAATGCATCTAGCTGAACATGTGGTTTCTTTTGCCTGAATGAGATGGTTGCTTTTGATTGGGACAATGGGAGTGCACAGGTGCATTGCCCTGATAAATTTTTTATTTATAAATACTTACATATACTTAAAGCTGTACAGTGGTACCTCAAGTTAAGAACTTAATTTGTTCCAGAGGTCCGTCCTTAACCTGCAACAGTTTTTAAGGTGAAGTGTGCTTTCGCTTATGGGGCCTCCTGTTGCCACTGCGCCCCGGCACGCGATTTCTGTTCTTATCCTGGGGGAAATTTCTTAACCTGGAGCAAGCAGTTCCTGGTTAGTGGAGTTTGTAACCCGAAGCGTCTGAAACCTGAAGAGTCTGTAACCCGAGGTACCACTGTATGCATATGTACACACACGTACATATATTGAGCTTTTTTGTGTGACAGTACTCATTAATACGGGGGCACCAGCACATCTTTTTTTGCTGCCTACAGCAGCTGTTTTTTGCTGGAAACTACAGAACTTGCAGTTTTCTTTTCCCTGCTCTAGCACCACTGTGTCTCCCCAAAATCTGCTTCTGAGGATCTCCTAGCCCTCCAGATCAGTTTTTTTTGGGGGGGAGGGGAGCTGTGACAAGGAAGGAGGAGCCCTGCTGTGCAAGCAGAAGGCCACTCTTGCTACATTCAATCACACCCATTGACTTTAACTGACATCAGATTATTGTAATGTTTACTAGAGATGCTTAGTAGTTCACACTTAAATTCCAAATAATGTGAGGCCTTTTGTTAATATTACCAAAACTTAAGTACCTGATAAATCTAAATCCATCGCTTTTCCTTCTAAGAAGATGTACCTTTCACAGTCTGGCTTTTCTTTTATTGTTTTCCTGTGCTCCATTTTTTTATTTCTATGTTGGAAACAGATAACACAGGAGAGATGCTTAATTGTATGTTAACAATCAGCACAGAGGTTCTTAACATTGCAGTCTTCTACTCGTCTACTCAAAATTAAATCCTACTGAATTCAATGGGACTTAGTCCCATGTAAATGGGTTTAGGATTGCACCCTATGAGACATATCAAGGATGTGTGCCTCAACATGGTGAGGGTGCACATTTGGTATGTGTAGAGTTTAGGTTTCGCAGTGTACATACTAACCTGCTGGAAGAACAGGGACAAAGTTGTCTACTTGATAACTGTATTTTCAGTCTAGGATGTATAATAATATGATCCTTTGCAGGATTCCTCAACTCATCAAGAAACCTGTGATCTGAAGGATAAGTTAAGCTTCCTATGGAAAAATGTATATCAGAAAAAATGGATTAGTGGGTGATATCTATTAGAATTATTTTGCTGGTTTTTTAAAACTTATATACTTTTGCTGATTTATCTTTCTGTACCTCGTTCTTTCAATATAGTCGCGTTGGATTCTTGATTGTTGGTATTATATGGATTGGCTGGGGGTGGAGATCTCATTTCCCAATAGCTTAAATTACTTATGGGGTAAAAAATAAAATATGAGCACAATGCATGTCAGAGAGAGGATCAGCACAATATAAAGGACATAGCAATGTCACCCTTGCTTCCATAATTCTGTAATCACATTTTAAGCATGAGCCCTAGAACTCTCCTTTTGCAAGCCAGCACTGTTGCGTCAAAAGACCTCCTCACAAAAACATGTTATTGAAGCACCAATTCCAGATACGCTTTAAAACACTATTCATCATTCCCAGTTATCAAAGCTATAAAGAAAAGTGAAACTGCACATAAGCAATGCAACAGTATAAACCTGGATCATGTATAGTTTTAAAACCCATAATTTAATAATTCTCTACCACATCTACCCTTAGTTTTCTCTTTTACTAAACTAAAAAACTCTAAACATTTTAGTCTTTCCTAGTTGGGATGGTGCTCCATTTTGTTTAGGGAAATTGCAGTTTTCTTTTTGAAGTTTCTTTTTCTTATGTCCTTTTTTATTATGGTATCTGGTCAGAGTCTGAGAAAACATTTGTTTGGCTTGTTTGAGCTAAAGTGTATTTCTGTAACACCAAGGCTGGATTTGCTATGTTGTGTGTTTTAGATGTGCTGATCTGTCTACAAGTTTGCAAAATCCTATGAGTAATTTGTGATGTGGTGACTAGCTGCTACTTGCAAATTATTGTTTCCATCAGCATGACATTGAAGATCACGTGCTTCAGGAAGGACCATAGATAAACACTAAGTTCTGCAAACTTTGTCATGTCTGTTACAAATTAAAATTCAATTGCTCTATGTGGGGAATAACTGCAGTCAACATGATTCATATCATTGGCATTGGTCGCTAGCAACTATTGGGAACTGAGAGGTTTTGATTTGATGGTGGCTGAGATTGTGACAGTAGCACAAACGCTGGCATCTTTCAATAGAGGCTTTAATTTTTACAGCTTTAATTAGACAGGTGGACTATAAAGTCTACCACTGCGCAAAAATAGGCAATTAGTAATGTGAAAAAATGTATATTTTTATTTGAAAATAGGAGATTGTGTTGAATAAGACTTGTTTTGGTTATGAGCGAGAAGTGACAAAGAGGGAAGGAGAGTGGTTAGAGTAAGAAGGGACGGTGCAAAATTGGTGGTGCCAAAGGAGTCAACTGATACTCAGTTGCCCAAGGGCACACAACCTGAAGCTGGCCTTGTTGCTAATCATACAGTGAAAATGTGTTATAGTTGGAATAGTTGAGAGAGTATATTTTGGAACCTCTGAGATTAAAACTTACCCATCTGTGTTTTCTTGATCACTGTAATCATTTTTATTTCCTCTGCCTATGAGTGGTTTGTGGGATTGTAGCTCTCCAGCCTTTTTAATGGGTGAAAAGGAGCAGTGCTGCTATATTACAAAACACAGTACATTAACAAAGGACTCTTATTATTTCCATCGTCAACACCTGCTGCATTAATGCACATTGTTCCTTATATATTTATTTGGATGACAGCAATTGAATTTTCTTATGATGTTAGCCTAGTCAACAGTAATTAATTAGAACCATCTTAGTTTTATCAAGCTGATAAAACAATAAATTGAGAATCAAATTGACTTACATGAGTAGATTGCTTATTTGCTGGGAGTCCTGATTTTTCCAGAGGATTCACTATATCTTCACAAGAATATTTAGTTTGCAGCTCTAGCTGGCTAAGGGGAAAGCAAAATTCTGTTTTATTAAATGTGTCTTTAATAATAACTCCTTGTAATTTTGATATTTTAAAAAAAGCATTTAAAAACAGGTTATAAATTCACTAAACAACTGTTTGCAGATCTGAGGGAGGCACAGAATGAATTGGTACAAATGGGAAGAATAAAGTTACATTCTGTGGGTGAGATCCAACATAGTGAGTGGGTATCTGTTTGTGCAAGTCTTCTTCTACAGACATCCCCCGTGCAAACAAGTTTTCAAAATATGCTCCAGAGGGGATGTGAGTTGGAACTGGAGGAACAAGAAGAGAATCCAAAAGTCCGATTGTACAAGCTAACAGACATAATTGGATACTGTCCTGTGTGTTGCCCTATACGTCCTCAAGTCCGTATTTCACATTTATAAGGCTTTTTTCAGTATGCAGCCATTTCAATGGATGTTGCTTTATAACGAGCCTTTTAACACTAATCCTAGGCACGTTTACATGGAAATGTTTAAGTGAACTCAGCTGGAATGATCTACACTCCAAAGAAATGTACAACGAGTTCTATGAGCCCAAGAGAGTTTGAATGTGTGTTTCTGAAAAAGAGCCCTCAATGCTGCATAGTAAACCACTTAGAAAATAAGGTGAGTTTCATACAAAACAACTTATGATATGGCATGGAGCTGATTGTTTTATATTGCATATATATTTCAGTCTTTATTATTATTCCAATCACAGATCAGCCACTAAATTATAATCAAACAAATAGAATTTTACAGTTTACAGGCCAGCAAAAGACTTTTTGCATAGGATATGTGTGTGTGTGTGTTGTCGCACATTCAGTCACACTAGAATGAACTGTTGAGTACTAGTGTGGCTGGTAAGGTGCTTTAATCATCTAGTTTCTACTAATACATGCTGATGCACAGAGGTTTCCCACTTTGGTAGTGATATCATTAGTGGAGGAACATGTTAAAATTATAGGATCTGCTTGGGAATATAGGTAAAATAGTCAAATAGAATGTTTGCATATATGTAAACACTTGGCCATACCTAAGGTAGTTCTTTGGACCTTAGTCAAAACATTTATATTTGGCCTGTCAGAATAGGCTCTCTTTCAGATACCAATAGCCAAAATCATGGGCTCATGCACACACTCTTCACATACAGCTTTACTTCCAGTTTATAGTTTAATGCTCAATATATTTTGCTGTGAGATCTGAGTTGCCAAGCTATGGGTAGTGCTTGCCCTCCAAACCAGAACTGTAAAACCACTTTCCAAATATGGGTTGGTGAGAGCAAGCACTAACCATAGCATACCAATTCATGAGAAAGAGCATGAAAGTATTTGATATGTTTTGTGCCTTTTAGGCCATGATTTGGAGATCTGCTGAACTGAGCAAATAGTTAACACATTATGACCCATTTAATAGTCAACTTCCATGGATAATACTTACTTCTGATGAAAGGGATGATGTTGGGTACCTTTGTTAGATTGCTGATACATTCTCTGTGGAATCATCTCCATAGGCTGACTTCTATTGTCTCCATAGTTTTTATTCTTAGCAATATTCATGCCAGAAGCAGTCTTTTGTTGGGACTCACTAATGTTTGAAATTGCTGGACTCTATGAAAGAACCACATGGGAAAATGGATATTATGACCTACTGAAGAACTTGCTACATTCATAGCAATTTCACAATGTTGGAGAGTTCTGTGTGTGTGTGTGTGTGTGTGTGTGTGTATATACACACACACACACACACACACACACCATTTTCATCTGCAAAACCCACTTTGCATGCCAACCAAAAGATCTGAAAAACTGAAAAAATATTGTAATTTTCACTCCTGTTAATTAAGGAGATTCAAGATGACCTTAACAGGGTGAAGAACTGGGCCCAAACTAACAAAATGAATTTCAATAGATACCAATGTAAGGTTCTGCACTTAGATAGGAAGAACCAACTGCACAAATATAAGATGGAGGACACCTGGATTGCCAGTAGTACATGTGAAAAGGACTTAGGGGTCTTAGTAGACCACAAGCTTAACACGAATCAACTGTGTAAGGCAACAGCAAAAAAAGCTAATGCTATTCTAGGCTGCATCAACAGAAGTATACTGTCCTGATCAAGGCAAGTCATAGTCCTGCTCTAGTCTGCCTTGGCCAGACCATGCCTGGAATACTGTGTCCAGTTCTGGGCATCACAGTTTAAGAAGGATATTGACAAGCTGGAATGTGTGCAGAAGAGGGCAACCAAGATGTTAAACGGTTTGGAAACCAAGCCTTATGGGGAAGTTGGATAAGTTTAGCCTGGAAAACAGACTGTGAGTAGACATGATAGCCATCTTCAAATATCTGAAGGGCTGTCACATGGAAGATGGAACAAACTTGTTTTCTCGCTCCAGAGGCTAAGATCCGAACCAATAGCTTCAAGTTACAAGAAAGTAGATTCTGACTAAACATCAGGAAGAGCTTTTTGACAGAGCTGTTAGACAGTGGAACAGACTCCCTCAGGAGGTGGTGGCCTCTCTGTTCTTGGAGGTTTCTAAGCCAAGGTTGGATGGCCACCTGTCATGTATGCTTTAGTTGAGATTCCTACATTGCAGAGGGTTGGATTAGATGAACCTTGGGGTCTCTTCCAACTCCACAATTCTATTATTCTGAGAAGTTCATAGTTTTGAAGTAATTTCTTCCCTAATGAAATAGAAGGAATCCACATGTTAAGTCTAAATGTGTACAAAACATCTAAAAACCAGGATTAATTAGCTACCGCCTCTAGACTGAAGAGTCTTGTGCAACTACGGTAATGTATTAACACACAGGCTCATAGCTAGAAATGATGTCTGATAAGTTTAAGCATACCCCAGGAAGCCATTGTAAGTTGATACAAAACAGCTAAACCAGGAAAATAATATTTCAATACAATTTAGCAACTGTCATCCCAAGGAGCACATTTTGATATATACATATCTGGAAGAGGTCCAAAGGCCTGTTGTTAGCTTAAAGCTAAATTGCATGATCCTGTGGAGGAGACAGAAACTCAGAAGGTCTAAACCTGAAAACTTTCAAAACCTGAAAATCCAGTGAAATGGGACTGGTGAATTAGAGGGGTGTGGCACTATGATAGTATTGCTACATTTTGAGTGCATGTATTGCCACTCTACTATTACATAATTCAATCATGCAATCTCAGTGAAGATAATGTGATATAAAACAATATGCTTTGTTATTTATTGGGACTTAATGGTTTACCTCAGAACGACTTGAATAGGGAGAAGCAGATTCACAAGGTGTGCATGATGGTGATGTTACAAAAGCAGAGGAACGTGGGCTGCAGGCAGTCTTATCAATTTTCTCTTTGATATCTTCAAGCAGCATCCCAAGCTTAAATATTTCCCCCTCTACTTTTCTAAATCCAAATAATATAAGATACAAAGTTACATTATAATATTGATACATGCTTCTTGTTCTTATCATTATAGTATTAGAGATACAATGGGCTCGGTAAGGAAATGAAATGTCAAAAATCACAGTATTTAAAAGGCCATATCCGACACTGCAGCTCCACTGGCGCAATGGATTTTTGTGCATGTAGCAGAACTTTCTCTTCCTCTCTTGACCCTTCCAGCCTCCTGCATGCCCTCACAATCAGCTCAGGAGGGTTGGGGAAGTCCCATTGTACCAGCAGAATCCCACTGGCACAGCACGGGATGCAACCCACAATGTTTAACATACACTGAGTACGGTGAAGTTTGAACTTCAAAATAAGGGTTGCAATCATGAAAAAGGTGAGTGCTGCTAGCCACATCTTAAGGTTGGATGCAGATAGAAAAGGGCTCGTTATTAATAATGTCATGTGCAGGGAAGCTGCATGTAGTGACACATGTCAGACATAGTTACACATTGAGAGGTGAATGGGAAGGAGCACAACTATCTAGCCTTCACTCCTCTGCCCAATGTCATATTTCCATGTACAGGATCCTTCTGCACAGACTTTCCTGCAAATTCCTTGTCCCATCTGGATGGATCACTTGTTCGTTTTACTCCCAGCTTGCCTTACTCAGAAAACTTACTCAGAAAACCATCAATAGTGAGTTAATGGATGTTGCCTTCCTCCCTACCACCTCATAGAGTAATCCAATGCCAGTCTGTATGTCTGGAATTGCTGTTTCATATTTGCAAGACTCTTAATATACATGGAGGACAAACAATGGGGGGAGCCATGCAAGGAGGGCCATGGTTCAGTGGTAGAATACAGGCTTTGCATGCAAAAGTTCCTAGGTTCAATCCCCAGCATCTCCCATGTGAAACCCTGGAAAGCTGCTGCTATTATATGTAGATAATATTGAGTTAGAGATGGACCAATGGTCTGACTCAGTACAGTATAAGATAGCTTCCTTAAGTCCTGTTCCAAAACCCACATTTGTTGTAACACTTGTGGCAGGCATTTTTAAGGGTGAACTGATAGGAAAGGGATGCACTCTGTTTTCACCACGACTGGGCTTATTTCTTGTATCAGCCTGGGAGGCATTTGCAGGAGAGAATTGGTGGGTGACCAAACGTAAAGTAATTTTTGATGTGCGTCCCAATAATTTTTTAACATAAAATGTAAGATTTTTTAAAATGGTTATATTATTAGTGTATTATTGTTTTTTAAAAAAATACTTGACCTGTTAGGATCAAACTCTCCGATGCTCATTGATGAGTATGTGGGATGTTGGTGCCGAAATGTACAATGTTTCTCCTTCGTGGCTAAATAATTCCATTCCAGCTTGTCTAGTTGCTCCTTTAAAAGCCTTAAAAGCTTCACAAACAAAATTTGTAACCTTGGTGTTATTTGACAATTTTTCCATAGATTAGTAATTGAAATATTCAGTGCTGTCCTTAAACATTCCATGGACACAGCAATAGCTTCAAACATAACAAGATAAACATAACATGAATAGCTAAAGTAGTTTACACCAGTCTTTTAAAACGTTTTTTATATTTAACTGAATGCCTGTTTTGTCAAGATGTTGCACTCAAACAGTACTGCTCTACCAAGAACTCTGTATGTCTGTGCAGGTAGCATTCTGTGGAAGAAATATGCATATGGAGCTGCCTACTCTGCAGAAGTGAATGAGGTGCCGCTTTGGGGTATACAATTTATGTAAGTATCATTACTTATTATGTTGAAATAGTTTTTGTAAATTTCTTTTAAGCCGCCCAGAGATTTCTTTTGCAGTAGGCAACTAAGAAATTTGATTAATCTTAATCTACGGGTGCTTTACATCTGTGGCCTGCAGGGTATACTTAAACAAATGCCTTCACTCCCCTTCAGGAAAATCTCCCAGTTAATTCTGAAGGTAATTTAGGAGTTAAGGTAATTGAAGGAATTTATTCAAACTATAATTGCCTTTATAGCAAGACCTGTGGTCATAAAACTGCTCCATTAAGACTGCAGTCCTAAACAGCAGGGGTGGCTAATCAGTGCCCTTTCATATGTTGGAATTCATCTCTCAGCAATCAATGGTCAGGGATGATGGAAGCTGTAAACCAACAATATCTGGAGGGCCATAGGTTAACCGCATCTCCTGTACAAACTTGTAGAGAGAGTATGATATTACAACTTCATATGATTCTGAGATGATGAAAATGATTTATTATTAAGCACAGATTAAGGTAACTGAACTTAGTTCCCATTTAAATCTATGAGATGTAAGTCGTGACTCACCTGTCTCACTTATTTCAATGGAAAGTAATTTTAACTGACTTAAACAGCAATTTTTATACTTTATTCTGAGTATAAGATGTAGAGAATAGTGCTGCTATTCTAGATTTTATACATTTTATTTTTACAAATTGTTTTTCAAAAACAGAGTTTTAAAATGAAACAATTTTGTTTTCAAACACAAAAAAAAGGTATTCACCTGATGGCGTTCTTCCACTGGGAATACATCCTGTGTAAGACAGTTAGAAAATGTTTCCACCTTTAAGAAAAAGGGATGCATTTCATTTAAGCTTTCAGATGGAGTATTAAGAAAAACAAGGTGTTTGTTTCAAATATATATTGTATTTAAAATAGAACTATTTGTATTACTTTTGATTTTAGCTCTTTTGACTGTTCCTTTAACATCTGAAAAAGCTTTTCTTCTTCTGTAACGTTTTGCAACAGACGTTGATTCCCAGATGATTGTCTTGCTGCATCAGCTGAGGGTAATGGTGAGATCATTCTTTGCGACGGCAGTTCTACAGAACAATATGACAAAAGTGCTAATGTGATCTGTATGCTATTTCCTTCATATAGTGTACAACAGCAAACAGGCAGAATAGCGGTGGCTTAAGCTGAGACCCTCCAGATGCGCTCCAGTTCCCGTCAGTTCCCGTCAGCTTAGTCCAATGGTCAGGGAGTTGTAGTTAAACAACTTCTGGAGGGCTATACAAGTAAAATAATAATTGTATTCTAAGTATTTGAATAGTCCATTTGAACTACCTGAGAAAGGTGACTGGGAGAAACCAACCATGGGCTTCACAGGGACTGTTACAGGTAGAACTGTAGACATTTCTGTAGTTATTCCAGGACTTTCTGATTTAATGCCAGGATTTGGTCTATTTTGATTTGAGCAAGGAGGTATCTGTTAAAATATACAAAAACTCATTGTGAAGTACAAAATCAGCACCCACAATAAAAACATTCACTTGCCTTTCTCTTTATGATACCCCACCCCCACCCCAAGCATCCACAGGCACAAACAATAAATTGGTAAAATTAGTCAAGCGATATCCAAACACCAGTATATTTTAATTTATTTAAAAGATGAATATACCACTCTTCAATGGAATTTTCAGGGTTTACACAAACAAGGTAAAATACATAGCAAATTGATGAGACATCTTAGGTCATTGAAGTTGGGTGGTGGAAAAGAGGAGTCATCACTAGGGTTGTTCAAACATAGCCATGGACTAGGGTTACTGTTTATACCAGCTATACCCAAGGAAAATTAGCTTGTTCCAGTGCATCTGCTCTAGGAAGAGTGAGCACACTATATTCCATAAAATACTGAAGCAGAGACATAAATAAACCACAGTATGAAAGTATGCATATTTATTTAACAAGAACTGCATTCTGTTTGACTACAAGAAAACCTCTAAGTGGTTTACAAAATATAAAATAAAGCATTAAAATTCTGTATAAAAAGTGAATAATATATAAAAAGATTTAAATCAATAGTAGCTAAAAAGAGATAAAACACATGTATTTTCTACATGTCAGGGCAGCCTTGCACATGTTTTAAACAGACACTGAAAAGAATACAGAATGTGCTTGCAATGCATTATACCATGCATGCATAAACAAAACATTTGTATTCAGAAAAAATATAGGAGACTTACCTTTGTATTAAATCTTAGATGATCAATATGATTCTGAGCTTCAGCTTGTTTTGTCAGTAGCTATTATTTCAATAGATATAAAAAAGAGAAAACAATAAACATATATTGTATATGGAAAGCAAAAATAGCAATTGACTGTGAGCAATACTTTTCCCATAGCCAAGGTCATTCATTAATGTTCTAGCTGCTTAGGAAAAATCTATATTCAAATAGAGTAAGCACTGTAAAGAAAACAAAAAATTGGCCAGGAAAATCCTCATAGAGAAGGTAGGCTCAGGAGATACTGGATGCTCTTACACTGGGAGATGAGTGCTGGATATAATGGGAACTCTGGAAAAAGTGGCTAATGGTGATAATGCATCTGAAAGGAAAATATAGATATTGGGCCAGGAAGCAGTGCTATGAGCAAAGGATAAGGTTAGGGTAGAAAATGCAGTCTGGGATCCAAACTGGTGCTTGGGCTCATTAATAATAATAATAATAATAATAATATCACCTTTTCTCATAATGAGAGTATATAGACCGATCACAACTAAAATAGAAACAACTAAAAACATATAAAAATCAATAATTTAACAACAGGACTAGAATTAAAATATATACATATAAGAGATCACATACAGATGGTTACCTGAAAGGGGCTTATGTTAATGAAGAGGAAATATCTTATTGCTATAATTTCTTCCGTGCCAATATTAACAAGGCAGTATACATAATCAAAATGATATACAATACTATGCAAGAAATAGATATAATCAAGTTTCAATAAGTTTTTCTTACATAGGATCATGTGTATACCACCATCTAAGAAGATAACAAATGTTTTTCTGGATATATTACCCTTGGAAAACTCAGGTTGGTAGAAGTTTCCCAATCAGTGCATATTGCAGGATGGTTAGACTGGAGGTAATGGCTTGGATCTTAACAACTGCCATTATCATCCTTTCCAATATAGTCCCCTGAAATTCCAAAAAGCTGGCCAGGGAACCTCTGGAACTGTTTGGGGCATGGCACATAGAGTGGGGAACCAGCAGAAATCATGGAATGACCCTTTTATGGGTAGAAGTGCTTCCTATTTGCAGTAGGTCTCCTTTCAATCCCAGCCCACAGGTAAATTCTTCAGCACAAATGTAAGGTATTAGGCTGCACTCTTCACTTTGCATGCCAGCTAATATTTATTCCTCTACCTTTAACTCTCACTATGCTCATATGGTTTTCTCATTAGAAAAAGCATGCTTAGGGTTGCCTCCACAGATTAGTGGAGTCTCCCTGGTTTTTGGTTTTACATTTAACAAAAAAATAAAAGGTAGGCATTCAGTTTATGGACTAGTTTGCTGTAAGCTCATGCTTAATGAGGAGAGAGCCCTACTTTGGATGAAATGCTAAGAAATCAGTGTGGCAGCAAAGGAGCTGCTGGTTCTTTCTAAGAGTTCATCCATTTTCATGGTCCCACTAAGTCAAAGTTTAGTGTGTTGCACAAACCAGTGTCTAGAGACACACAGAAATCTGTGGCTGGCTGAGTTGTTACAGGCATAATAAATACACCCAAAATTGTGCTTGGCTATCAATGGCAATTCCAATTATGTGCAATATCACCTCTTATCTACCTCTAGTTGTTGGTCTAGTTCAGGTGTGCTAATTCCCTTTTCTTCATTCTTGGTTGCAACAGAGTCCAAAGAATTCATCACTTCTAAAACATCTTTCACAACTTCTGATTTACCAAGCAAATTTGGGGTGTGTGTGGTCTTTTTAGGTATAGGGCATGAGTTGCTATTTTTTCCTTTAGGTATTTTGACCTTTGGAGCAACCTTAGAAAAATCAGGAAGCTGATAATGAACCTGACGTTGACCATTTTTGAGATTATGCGAAGTTGTTTCCAGAAAATATTTGTGCTCTTGGTACACTTCTTTAGGGGTTGAGAAATAATGGAAGTCTTCATTAATTGCATGTTCTTTCTCAATTACAAGTTGAAGATTATCTTCTTTACAATCTTTTCTGTCACAAATGGGATTCACACTTTTATCCATTACAAACTCCTTAACTTCAGTCAAATCCCAATTTTTGTCAGCTGATTCAAATTTTACTTCTCTTTCTGAATTACAGCATTCAAGATTTTTTCCTTCTTCCTTTGGTAAAGATATTGTACTTTCTGAAATCTTAATTTTATTTAGGATAGTTTCATCAAAACTTTCAGTAAATGATATCTCTGGGAGAGTCTCAGAATCAATCAATTGGCACAAACTTGATAATTCGTCTTGGGGAAAATGGCGTAAAAGGACATCTGAAATGTTTGAGTTGGATAGATGTTGATTTCTTCCTAAACTGTTAACATCCCAAGCAAGTAACTCCTTCTCTGTTGCCTTGGGAGATTCCATGTCATTTTCCCTTTGCAATGTTGCCAGATTTATTTTTGTTTCAGGCAGTTGTGTTTTGCAGTCTGATTTTTCTTTTGAATGACAGCTCATGTGAGAAGGTGTCAAGGTGAAAACATGCTGAGATCCATCTTCTACACAAGTGGAATTTTCTAGGTTTTGGGAATCACACTTGTGTTGATATGTATTTTGTAGATCTCCATCATAAGGCAGATCTTCTTGCTCATCATCGGTATTGTCTTCAGGGTAAAGCATATCAAATACTATATTATTGGCTTAGCCTTCATACAGTTAGACTGTTCTTACCTACAATACCTACTCATATTCTGAGCATATTCAATATGACTTTCACTGAATGTCAGCTTTCAAATTCTGAAAGATTTGAGAGAACATGCACATTAGCTTAACTAAATAAAACAGTACAATAAACTTGTAAGTCTTCCTTTTCCATACTCTAAAACTTTCTGGAGTCCATTTCACATACAGTACTACTTATAATTAATGCAATTAAAATCTTTGGGGTTGCCTAAGGATCTAACCTAGGATGAAGGAAAATTATATCCACAATCAATAGTGCCAGTTAGCTGCAGCTTAACTAAGGCTACTGCTATTCCTGAGGTGTTGGCAATGTGGAGCAAAAATCAGTTCCCTTATCCACCTGAATGTAGGGCTACCTGAATGTAGGGCTACCCTGTTATAAGCTCCTTTTGGGGTGAAGTCTTGGTAATTATTTAGTCCCAGAAACCTCCCTACATTTCAAAAATATGCATGTTTTGCTGAACTACACCTCCACTATTTGAAATTTATCAGTGGCTCATGAACACTGAGTTTTGGATGCAAACAAATAGTACTTCACCACCGGGATGAAAAGTTGCTGCCTTCCATACAGCTATGGATTAACAATGTGCAAGCCCTGTCCTTATTTGAGACAGCAAGGTTTCAATGTGAACATTAAAAAGGGAAGTAAGAGAGAACATCTGGTGGTATTTTATCAAGACAATCCTATATACTCTTGTCTGAGGTAAATCCACTGAAATAAAAAAAATGGATTTCTTTTTTTGTCCCAGGCACTTTTTTCAAACAGAAAACGCTGACTAACCTGCATCCCCAGATAAATTTTTATTAGCTCCAAATTTTACATTAACTGGACAAAAGAGCACTCTTTATGTAACTCTGAATGGCTTGGGATATCCGTAGATCTACTTCTGTGTATATTCTAAAATGAAAAGTGCATTTGAAGTATAATTTTACTCCTCACCCCTAGAGGTCTGGCTTTGGGTTAGTTTACATGAACTAGCCATTTATTAGTTTCTATATATGCAAACCAACACATTTTGCTTGGCTACCAAAGTACCTCGGAACATCAAGCATTTGTCAAATGCTGGACAACTTTGCTAGAGTCTAAACTGCTTTGGGGTCTAAGTTACAGCTTGTTATATACCCTCTGGCAAATGCATGTAAACAGGCAAACAGAATTTAAATTACTACACCTTAAATATTTATTTCATGCCTGCCCCCCGCATCTTTCAATACACAAATCCTGCTCATTTCCCATTACATCTATAAAACAGAAACAGTACATATACTTGTACAGAAAATATTAATCGTTAAATTGACAATGCTCCTTTATACTTACACATCACAGGCAAATGTCTGGCTAATTTCCTAGGCAACCAGTATAATAGCAAAATTCTTGGAACATTTTCTGTTGCCTACTACCAAACAGTTAAGACTCAGACACAGCAATGCCTTTTCATAGTGGATATATTTAATTACATAAGCTGTAACCTTATATTGAGCCTAGAAAACTGGAGTAGCACAGTATCTTTATAAATGCAACAAGACACCTTGCTATTTATTATTCTGGTTTCATCCTGCTATTGTTCAGTGGGATCACAAAGGGAATATAGAGTAACAAGCCATCATTTTCCAGTCCTGGGTGGGAATGTCAGAATGAGCCTAGTCTCACTTAACAACTAACTTTTGTTTTCATTGGGACCTATGAAGGAGTATTTCGAATGGGTATTGGATTTCTTCTGAAGCCTTTAATGTCTTAAATCTGTTTATTCCACCTACACAGTGGAGACTTTTAATTATTTATATGGGAAGGTCCATGCAAGTTAATTATTTACTATTATCATGGCCATCATCTGTTACTGCTTCTTAAGATCAAAAGCAAATGTTTGCATCCTGAAATCTTTATAAATTATCTAGACAGGCAATCTCTAGGAATGTTTCACGTTAGCATGGCTAAGAGGGAGTTGCAAAGGGAGGAGGAGACGCTGTGCATTCATTTGAAAATCCTCAAAGGTATTTTCCATAATTACTTTGTTTTGTATTCTAGTTCATTAGAATCTTCTTATGAGGAGTCCCTTTACACATGGAAGCTCAGTTTCTTAAGCACTAGGAATTAAAAACGTCAATGACATAGTTTAGGAAAGCAGGAGGAGGAAACACAGGCATCCTGATAATATCCCTTCAGCACCCGCGGAGGTGCAAGCAGAGGCTTGTTTTGCAGCATCCTGTGTAAGGTATGCATGACAGAGTCAGACTGCTCTATTCCACTTGCTTATAAAAAAATAATATTTTTGCTAAAACTCTTAGTTAGTACATGATTATTTTATTTATTGCATTTATATCCAAGTAGCTCAAAGTGGTGTAAATGGTTTTTCTTTCTCCCAATTTATCCTTGCAACAACCCTGTTAGACTGAGAGAATGTGACTGGCCCAAGGTCACACAGTAGTTTCATGGCTGAGCAGGTATTTGAACTCAAGCTCTGGTCTGTTTATACACTTGTAAGATAAACTATGGCTGATATATGTAAACTGGCATCCAAAGCATAACACGCCTTGTATCTCTTCATATATATATTTAGCTGTACTCAGATGCAGCCTTGCTGCTAGACAATATCAAGCTTCCTTGATGCACCAGGTAAGCATGCTTTCTGATGAGCACATCCCATGTGCTGAGTGAGAATGATGGGTGTGTTCCCATCTCCACCCCTTCCTGCATGAATGTATTAAGCTTTATTGCCAAAGGCTTGAGGCAGGTAACTATAATTCTTTTATACTGTCCCTCCCTTTATCTGGCAGTAGAGAATGTATAATGTTCCTTAGCCTACTTCACATGGTAAAGGGCAAATGTATTTTTACTGCATATAGGGAGACCCAATATTAGGCGTTTGGTGATTCATATGGGGCCATCAGTTTCTTGGTGCATACGCAACAGGAAATTCTTCCCACCAGGAAGGATGAACTAATAATCTAGAGATTACTTGTCTTTTGCAGCAACGTTAAAGTCAATCCTATTTATTATGGTTTGCGTTTTTGTGGACTACAGTCCACACCTCATCAGATAAATGAAAAACTTTTCATTTCCCTCTTTCTTCACTGTTTACAACCCCCAACATCATGTGCACCATTGCAACAAGAAAAGTGCCGGTACTCAAACACTGATTAGTGTTTGGGGCAGCAAACCAAAAACAAAAGCTGCTCGCTGCCTCAGCGTGTAACTGAGTTGAACACTTTATGCATCCGATGATGTGGGCTACAGTCCACGAAAGTTTATGGTAATAAATCTGGTAAAGTCTTTAAGGTGCCACAAGACACCTCGTTGTTTTTTGCTCCGGGCTTTACGATAGCTTTCCCGGTCACCGTGTGTATACGGTGTCTGGTTTTACACAAAAGATAGGAGTTTTTATTCCGGAATGAAATAATCCGGAATAAAGATTTGTCCTTTCGCAAACCTATGTACACCAGTAAAGCATCGAATGCACTTTAGAGGGCGGGGTAATCACGCGACGTGGTCTTCTGTGTCCACACTAAGTAAACACTCTCGTTATGGAAAGAAATACTCAACTGCTCCAGCGCAAACCCCCTTTCCTCGAAGACAAAGTACCTTCTGCCCCTGCTCGGGCTCAATACTGTAACTACTTTCCTTCAAATCAAATCCCGACCCAAACGACTGTCAGCCTTTAAACCAATGAAAAGTGGAGCAGGCCGAGGCGAAGGGGGAAAAAAAAACTCGACCCGCCCCACTCGCCTTCTCATTGGCCAATGTGAAAGATGCGGGCGGCGGCAGTTGAAAGATTACACCGTTTAAACGGAGGAAAGGACATCTAGGTACAGCGCATGCGCTCGCGGGCGGCAGTTTTTCCCACCCACCCGCTTTCCCGTCACTCAACCAAGCAGGCAAAAGCATGATGGGGGTTGGTTGGGGCGGGGCGAAGGGAGCTCGATGGTGCGATGCTATTGGCTGGGACGGTTCAGAGCGAAGCGTGTTTGTGTGTGAGAGTGCGCGCGCGTGGGGTGGGGGCGCCCCTCCCTTTCGGGGCGCTGCTGCTTTGAGCCACCGAGCTTGTTGGCGGCTCCCCTTTAGTGCCTTACCCTCGAAGGGGCCGGGAGGCATCGGACGGGGCGAGCGCCGAGCTGGAGGAGGCCTGGCGAGCTGTCCCGGGTGGATGAAGCTTTGCTGAGGGAAGAGTGGAAGTCGCCCGCCCTCCTTCGGGGGCTCCCCCGAGCCCGGTAACGTGGGGGGGGGGCTGCTAATGGCCGGGAAGGGGGACTTCACAAGAGCGGGAGGGGGGTCCTTTGTGGGGAAGGGCGAGGAATCCACCGCCTGAGACCCGCGCGGCGGCGGTGAGGCGAAAACACGACGGAGCAGCTACGGTGCTTGTTTGTGAGGAGAATACAGAGAGTCGGGGTTTTTCTTTTTTTTAAAGGGGAGCCATTTTGAGGAAATCCTTACGGGGTCAGGCATCGATCCGCGTGAAGCCCTTGGCTGAAAGCGGAGCTTCTTATCGATATACAGTATATATATATTATAATCAGCGCCAGGTGTGAGGGAGCTTTCCAGCAAGCTGGCCGCAAGTACCTCCGTGGAGGTGTCTCTAGGGCTAGGTAAGAGAAGCAAGGCAACCCTCGGAACACCAGATACAGAAAAGCAGCGAAACGAGGTTCCCTCTTGTGTGGGAGAAAACTTGGGGGCTTCTGCCATCAGTTTAGGTATTTAGCTGTAGGCCCTCTTTCCCTCCCTTGTACTTTTCAGGTTCTCCCATCCCTCTGTATTGGATGCCACTTGAGTTGCCTCCTTGAAACTCCCTATTCATCTTTGCTTAAAGTTGCATACAAATATCCCAGTCTCTGTGTGGTATTTTTGGCATAAAGAGGACCTACTTCAACACTTGAACAAGAAGAATTGGGCAGTGTGCCTTCTTTGGATGCACTATCCTTCAAATTGTTTAGTTGCAGGAATGGAGTGTTGTAGGTGGTTGTCATTTTCCCTAAATGAAGTTGCTTGTGCCTGTGTGTAAAAAAAGGATTAAATACTCTGCAACTATTTCAACAAGTGTGTTCTTATTTATATTATGTTGTACTGGATTAGTATTATTTTCAGTGCTTTAATTCAATTTATATGGATGGCATTTCATCCAAACATACAGAAATAATTGTAGGTGAACCACAGGGAGCTGAATTGACTTTCCATCTGTTCAAGAACCATAAGTAAAAAGCAGGTGTGCCCATTGCCAGTCAATGAGGCAATTATTGGACCTCATCCATATTTGGAATTTATTGGCATCCCCATAATAACCACTTGAGCCCCCTGAAAAGTTGCTTCTGAAGGGGGTAGGAATCTCCTTTGGAAATGCTCTCTGCTCCTTGACGAGGCTCTTCAGGTCCAGGGTTTAAACAACTTTGTTTTTACATATGTTTATATCATCTAAACCAGCTTCAAAGATTGCTTACGGGAATAACTTATTAGGAGATGGACTGTTAGAACATCATAATTCAATATCAAAATATCCTATTGGTTTCTTGTTTTAATTTTTTAAGGCTGCCTTTCAGGATGAAGTCCTGTCTAGGAAGCTACAAATATTAAATGATAAAATAGTTTCAGTAACATAACCTCATTTAAAAATACAAATTGCAAATATCAGAAATGACAATTTACACCACATTTTGAACCAAAACAAAAAATAATACTGATCAGTAAAACTAATAATAAACCAATAAGCATGTTCAAAAAGATCATCTAGTCAACAGTCATACAAAATAAGTAAGACTTTAGCCATTTTGGAGACCAGAATGGGGCTAACTTTTTTGGGATGGTGCATATTTGGAATTTTGAGAAAATGCCACTGGTTCCAGTCACAAAATGGATGCTATGAGGCCATGTCATAATACAAAATGGTTGGCATATCAAAAAACCCAGAAAAAGACAGGACCGCTAAGTTGTGCAGAGAAACACCTCCAACAGTGGGGGAAGAGAGAAGCTCTTTGCACTTCTCTGTTCAGAATGGATGGGAGGGTGGTTGTGCAGTCCTGGCATCCAGTGAAATATGGGCATGTTTCAGGGTGTGTTTAGTGTAGGAGAGGCTCAGCTAGTGTACCTGAGCACGAAGAGCAAACATTTTTTGTACTTATTGTGGATTTTTGAGTGGATATTTACAGATACCTTTTGTGGGCACCATAGGAGAAACTGGCAGGTGTGATGTTTCCTTTGGACATCATGTAGGTTACCTACTGCGGGACCATGACAGAGAAACCTCTAGTGCCTGCCAGTCTAATGGATCTTAATAGTAGTCCAGTTGATCTTTGGGCACAATCAGGTTCCGGTGGGGGTAATCCGTCAAATAGCCCAACTTAAAGTGGCTGTCAAAATGAACATTTAAAAATGTATTGTTTAACTTCCGTTTGCTTACTACCTACAAACAGGTTTTCCTTGAATATTATAAAATGGAGTTATGTACTAAGGCAGAGCTTTCTAAACACTGTGTCGTGACAGGTTAGTGTGCCAGCTACAGTGCGTAGGTGTGTTGTGCGAACACTTTCCGCACTCCTCCCGGGGCTGGAAAGGGGTTAGTTTAACCTAGTTTGCTAGTAAAACTGAATTACTGTGTTGCTGAATGATGCACGTCTAAAAAGTGTGTCACCAACATGAAAAGTTTGGAAAGCTGTGTACTAAGGAATACAGTATGTGACTTTAGGAACAAACTTCCCACAGTCTGTGGCCCAGCTTTGCTGAGGGTCCAGTCCAACTAAATACTGCTGCAAAAAACTAAAGATGTTGAGTGGTAGCTGAAGCAGAGATAGAAAAGTTTTTTTCACTTTTTATGGGGAAAAGTTTTTTTTTAAAAAAATGTAGCTGTTTGACAGTGTTAAAAAAACACAAAACGTGTTGCAAGCCAAGCTTGAAATCTCCTAATTGAAATCTAAATGGGAGTTATATTGACAATATGTATTACATTAGGTTAAAATTTAGTTATTAAACATGTGTTTATTAATATTTTTAAATGGTAGAGCTAGTTTTCACTACTCTGACTTATAATTATTCATTTATCATAATGTGCCAAGTGGTTTATAGCCTTTGGTCACAATCTAACACACTGTTGACCATTCCTAAGCCTATTGAATGTAATTGCCTTAGGTATGCTTAGCTCCATCTTTGTGCATGGTCTTTTTCTTGCTTGTCCTCACAATTCTTGAAGGGCAATTAAGGGGGTTGTTCCATTTTATAGTAATGGAACTAATGCTGAGAAATAGCATTTTGCTGTCAGGCTACATGTGAATCTGGCTGAATAAGAATAAAACACATTAATTCTGTCTCCTGAATATCATTATTTATATTACGGTAGCCCATATGTTCCTGTTAGTTTTTCAATGCTGGCATTTTTAAAATGTTGGCATTATTATTATTCTATCTATCCATGGTAAAGCTGGAGGGAACTTTAAATACGTGATGGCAACACCTCCTGGTGTAATTTCAAGACACTAAACAATAATGCCTCTGTGTGTTACAAGTTTGCTGTAGAGAAGCAGGACTAATTGATACTGCATGTTCTTTTGGATGCTCTTTGTTTGAAAGTTCCAGCCTTGAATTTCTGGTTGAATTGACTTCATTAAATGATCCCTGTGTTGTACTGTTGATGTTGTCTCCCTAGTTCAAATACGCTCTGGGGACATTAATGAGGAAAGTGCTAATTTAGAATTAATTCCATGCTAGTTTAGGGCCAGATTAGGCATTATGTCAGTTGCATGGATGCAATTAATGTGCATATTTTTAATATATAAATAACAGAAGGAGTGGTGGTAAGCAGCATTTGGACCACGGGGTGGCAGTGAGTAGTTTACAAAAGTTTCAAACAGCATCAACTGATAATGACACTTTAAAACACAACAAAATGTTAGTGTGTTGTATAGCTCTCCATGAGGCCAGACTAGCAGCTATGTCACCTTTGAGGATTTTCCATAACACTACCCCCACCCAGCATTCTATGGATACTGGGCATATTCAGCCCTTATGTGACTGTTTTTTTATATCTCCCATTTAGAGGCTTTTCTTTTAGCAAAACTTGTACATCTGCAAACTTTGAGCTTTACCTGAGTCTTCTGATACCTCCCTCTTGTGCAGGGGTTTTGGCTTCAAGAAGAATCATTATTAGACCACTGTTAGTTTATTCAAATTGGTCCCCCCACAACAAGATGTTGCCGTGCATCCATGATGGTGTGTGTGCTTCCTGAGCTTGATCCTGAGGAGTTTGAAGAAGCAAAAGTTAGCATCGTGTGTGGGTGCTGTGCTTTTAGTTATAGTGCTTTTTAGCTTAGTGCTTGGGAGGTCTTCTTGAACAATTTGGGATGGGACCTGAGGGCTCTTGTGAGGGGGGTAATCCCAAATCAAATTAGGTCCACCTAATTTTGGAAGATTTCCCTATTATGCACGAGCCCACCGTATCTCAAAAGGGACCCTAAGGTGTGAAGGGGCAGAGCCCCTTATGGTATCCTGTTTGGGAAGTAATTATAACTGGTTAGTGATCAGCTTCTGTAATTGAAGCTTAAGGAGACAGACAGGGTGCTTGAAAGCACGTGTGGTCTTCTCCGTGGCAGAAGGAGTTATTGTAGAGTTGTAGAGTTAGAAGTGAACCCTGAGGGTCATCTAGTCCGACCCCATGCAATGCAGGAATCTCAACTATATGATACATGATGACAGATGGTCATCCAACCTCAGCTTAAAGCAGCATTGACTGAACGGGTCCAAGAAGTAATGCATGCTTCTGAGAGGATGTAATCCTGGTTGACTTGAAGGTGATGGCTGTGTTACTACTCTTTAAGAAAGCCACACTGTACCATGAGAATTGTAACTTGTCTTGTCAATAAGAGGATACAGTTGTACCTCGGGTTAAGAACTTAATACGTTCTGGAGGTCTGTTCTTAACCTGAAACTGTTCTTAACCTGAAGCACCACTTTAGCTAATGGGGCCTCCTGCTGCCGCCGCTCGATTTCTGTTCTCATCCTGAAGCAAAGTTCTTAACCAGAGGTAATATTTCTGGGTTAGCGGAGCCTGAAGCGTATGTAACCTGAGGTACCACTGTATTTGCCTCTGAACAAGATGTCAGTTTTAACTGTCAAAATTCAAGGCCATGTGCAAGACTCTGTTGCAAGCCTGTTTAGTAAGCAGGTGACATGTCTGAAAGATTGGGGGGGGATCAGAGAAGATGAGTCTGGATCAGGTACCGTAGATTCCGTTTGATTGGTGTGGCAAATGACAGTCTCTGATTGGCTGGAGGTTCTAGTCAGTGAAGAAAGGGCAGTTAACTGTCACTGTGGAGAAATAACATCATTTGAAAAAATCAGTTGATGGAGGTTTGAGGTAAAGGCCAGCAGAGAAAGGTGGTGTTGGATAGAGGTGAAGTTGGATAGCCAAAGCTTGAATATTAAACTGTTCCTTCTTGGTGTGATAACTATATTTTGCTGGTGAAGATCAGAAGAAGTGAGCAGGTGTTGGGCAAAAAACGCTTCTTACTAAAAAGTTTCCATAAGTTTTTGAAAGCAGCTAAACTGTCCAAGCAGTCAGAAGTACAGCTGAGGCTTTGGTGCCAGAGGCAGATTGTACCCAGTAGCTGAAGTGGGTTGTAAAATATTTTTTTCTGGAGGTAAAATCCTATTGGAGGCTACTGTCAGCAATAATGTCTCTTGAGTCCTTAGAAATTTATAAAGTACATGAAAGACCCCAAAATTTCCTTTATGTACAAAATATCTCTTTAATAATTTTAGTTAATGGTTCATTCTTCCTTCCATGTTGGTGCCAGTCTCATGCTTAAGCATATTATATCCACAATGAGGTTTTAAAACCATTCTAAGAGAGTGGATGGCAGAGGAAAGGGATCACATTGAAGATCTCTGAGTTATTGTTGAAGGGAGTTCCATAGACACTGAAAGATACAAATTAAAGAAGCACAAATATCTAAGCTTGTGTTTATAAAAAGTGGGTAATCCATTACTATATGGTTTTATTGCTGCTTTTGAATATTGCTGTTCTCAGTGGTGAATGTTATTGATTATATAGTTATTTTATTGTAAACTAGAGAGCTGAATAGTGAGCTCATTATGATCTAATCAATGTTTAAATTCCAGATAAAGTTATAAAAATCTGAAATATTGGAGATGGATGTTCACAACATAATCTAACATCTGGCCTAGATGCCGATGTACTATAACATTCAGCCTACCTTCATGGACGAAAATTTGGAAATGCCACTAATAAAGTACATTTAAGTCTGACTTCATTGGAAATAGCTCCGTACTGAGCATACAGGAATTTAAAAGTGCTATATTTTTCCTGGGTTGTGTACAAAATGTGAAGCATGTTTATCTTCAGTAGTGATTTTATGAGAGGTATTTAATTTTGCTTATAATGGGATTGCATAGTCATCTGTCATCTCTGATTACTAAATGTGCAGTTTAAATTTTGACATTTGAAGAGGTAGTTTGGTTTTGGGAAGCACTCTACAGTATATTGGCTTCAAATCTTTAGAATAATTTTGAAAATCTATTTTGGTTATGTTAGAGACGAAAATTTGTGATTTGAGGGCTAGAGCTTTCAAGTGGGCATGATTGTTCACACATTCTTGGTTGTTTTAACAACCCTGGTATTAAAATGAACCTAGGACAAAGTGTTGCAGTATTTTGGAGTTTGCTCCCAGTTTTCTAGCTATAGTACTATATAGGGTTATGCTAGAGGACACTTATGAAATACTTGTGGGGAAAGTAAATTGGTATCTTACTGCTGACTTGTACTTACATTTTGTGGTGGAGTGAGACTAACAATATTATATCCACTTGCATAGAAGCTTTGAATAATTTTTTTTGTAATATGTTTATAATGCACATTTGTACTTATTTTTAGTTACACCCAATTCCCTACACAACCTTTTTTATTGGCTGAGATTCAAAAAATAATTAAACTTGTTCCATGAGCTTGAGCAGGACTTTAGACTTATTTTTCTTGAACAGCAGCCCCCAGTGCTATGCAACAAACTTCTTTTGAAACGGAGTGGCATTTCAAAAACATTTTATTACTTGGCATGGGAATTAGCATTATTCCTGGCTTAATATACAGCTCTAAATGCTGCCAGAATGATGAGCTGTTCTCTGTCACCAGTCAGCATTATATTTGTTCATTCTACTAGTAGCAGAATTGTTCTTCTGTTGATTTCTGAACCACTTTTTTTTTTACTGTCCATTTCATGATGCACAAATATGAAAATCACCTGGGAAATGCTAAAGAGTTCTGTGTTTGTTGAACTCTAGCTGTAAGATCAGCACTAGCAGCGGGAACACCTGGGAGTCTGGACAGGAACATAACTCCGGGAACACCTGGGAGTCTGGAGAGGAACATAACTCCGGGAACACCTGGGAGTCTGGAGAGGAACATAACATAACTCCAGCACTTCGTCTCTGCTGCTACCAGCCTCATCTGGAGGACAAATGAGGAAGCCAACTATGAACCATCTGGCTTAGTTAGAAGATCCTTCTCCCTCAGAACAGTTTTAAGCCTGGTTACTACAATTTAGAACTAGCAGCATGAATTAGACTTTATTGCCCTGTTAGATTTTATTTCACATGCTATGGCGATTTTAACTTTTATCATTCTAATCCTATCTGACTGTGGCATGGTTCATCTGTGAAGAAAATAATTATCTTGAATAGAAGCAAAACAATCATTTCAGCAAGAATCCTAATAAATGAAATAACCATCATGTGATTAAAATACTTTTTGAGTCAGTTGTAAACTCAGTTGTTGGCTGCTTTTCAGGGTAACATGTAAAGCTGAATCTAAAGCTGCATCCTTGAAGGTAAATCTAATTGAAATTGGTGGGTGTTTTTTTTCAAAATAAGCACGTCTAGAATTCAACTAGAATTGAAACTATGTCACAAGTAAAGCAAATGATAAAACGGTATCTGTACTGTATTTGGCATCTTGAGCTAGAACTGAAGTATGAACCAAGAAATTCTCTTAAATGATGACTTATATTTAGTTATGAAGAAAAAGGGCATGTGTGCATAGTTGTGTGTGCTCTTCACAATTAATGAGCAGTTTATGTATTTTTGTACTTGGGTATCCAACCTGAAAACAAAATATAAGATGAAAATTGACTTCTAAAACAAACACCCTCTATTTGCATTATTTGTTTAAGATTGCTCAACAGAGTTACACTTCTTTTTTCATTAGCTGTGGATTGTTGTGATGATAAATGCATAGTTTGAAACAATAGCATATTTTGTTCCCTTTGCAGAAATACAGCAGATTCAGCCACAGATTCAGCCCATCATCTTATTTCTGAACATTTAAGTGGTATCTGACAAGGAGCTTCTTTTTTGTTACTAAGGAAGACTACCGCAACAAGAACATACAATTAACTCCAATTTGCTAATACACTAACTGGGACTTTGTCGTAAAGCACTTCCTCATAACCTACTGGCTGTCCTGCATGCAACATACTAGCTATTGTCTTTCCTACTCATCATGCAACTCAATGGAAGAAAATGTTTTGTTAAACATGTGTGAAGGTCATTCGTTTCATGTTCGTTACAGGTAAGCATGCTTACTAATTTTTTTAATATATACTTTTAAAAGGTTAGCAAAACAAGGCTTGCAAGTAAATTGCATGTTACTTTTTCAAAAGACTTCATAGATCCTTTTTTTAGCACAGTGCTGGGGAACTTCTTTGGCTCTGTTGGTCAGATCTTTATCTGGTCCCACTTCCAAGGACCAACTTAGATAGTGGGTGGGATAACCTGACTGACATTTGATTTGGTGTCAGAGGATTGACAAGTAGGTTGCCCCTGCCAACTTGTCAAAATGCCTTGTGCATTGGTTTCCAAACACCTTACAGGCAGCTGTTTGGTGGGACCCACAACACAAGGGAGTCAGCCAACTATGTGTTCAGAAATTTGGGTAGCCTCTGAGCGTGGGACAGCCAAAGTGTTTTCTCCAGTGGTTTCCACCCACAACAGCAATGTCTGTTGCACACTCAGATAGAAAATACTCGGCAATATTTTTATTGAAAAGAGCTTTCTGTGAATCTTGTGTTGCATTCAGACCAAGTTAGTTAGGTTATCACTAACTCAATTGACTTCAGTGGGACTCAAGTACAGCTAACTTGGTCAGGATCCAACCCCTTCAATTTTAATATCTTCTGATTTTCCTTCTTGAATGAAAGATAATACATGAATCTGTTCTAAACAACATTAGCGTTCCCTGGAACATATATTTGTTTGTTGGCGCTTCTCACAACTTGTCTGGGTATAGCAAATAGGTATTCAGGTGAGAGCCACTCATTTGCTTTTTTTTGCTCCTTATTCCTTCCTTGCTATGTAGTGTCTACTGTGGCAGTTCTCTTAGAGAGAGAAAATCAAGAAAGCTGCTATAGAAGTGGGACGTGTTCCCTCTGAATAGAAAACTCTGAGATTTTTTGGTGATGGTCATCTCAGTGCTAAAGGGGTGAGTGTGGGAAATAACCATGCAGTAATAGCAGCAGAAATGAAGAAAGATTGCTGGCCAAGCAAGTAATTATCCTTCTTTATGAAATGAACAGAATTGTTCTAGAAAGACCAATTGTATGCATCTGATTCTGTACCTCACCACATGAACCACTGGATCAAATGCTTAGAAAAGGATCAGTTATTTGCAAGCCCTGTTAAAAGCAAATGAAATCTGCCTTTAATAATGAGCACATAGATTTGCTTTACTTTGTTAGAAAAGTCTGCTAAATGAATGAGGAAATACCACATGAATTGCCTCATAGGGATCTCAGTGTGCTATTTGGTGCTCAACTAGGCAGTCCTTATCCACTACACAATTATGTGCACAAAGCCTTACATATTCTATTTCTGTTCCTTTATTGAGTGGGACTAATGCTGGCAAAATAATACTCTAGTGCTGTAAAATTAAGTTTCTGTATTTTGTATGACTACATGGCTCCTTTACTTCTAGATGTATATGACCCATTTGCATTTTACTTATGTATTACTTTTTCATTCTCCATACAGAAAATGAAAAACAGATATAGCTCCTTTAGCAACAAGCAGTATACCAATCAGAAACTCTGAACTCCGAGTAAATGTAGGTTTAGCTGCATGTGATGAAAAGCAAGTGTCTAAAGACAAGTCGAAAGATAGAAGTTTCTTTTTATTAAGTTCAGTAAAAATATGTATATGTTTATCAAGACATGACATTAGGCACCTATATTTGGTAAAAACTTTATTAACAGAAGAGGAAAGAAATGATGGGAAAGACACATAAATGGGAATCTTTTAAAATCTTTTAGAAAACTGAAAAGTGTTTTCTCTTTAAAGGTCAGGAGAAGAAGAAAAATAGAAATGTGAAAGGAATACAGTAGACACTTAGAGAAGCTTTTGCTTTGACAGAGATAATGGAATAAATAGAAGTTGCAACTAGCTTGCAATAATTATTTTCCAACATGTTTAAAATCTGTACGTTTTTGCTCATCGAGCTTATGCACCCCTGCATGTGGGTAGATGCAAACATTATCTTTTGGACATAATGACAGTGCAGAGATAGAAATTGCAAAGCATTCTCATATACTTCTATTGCATCTTAAACAGCAAATATGGCCCAGTTTCTTGGTAGCTTAATATAGAGGTGGACAGAAAGTTGACTACTATCTTCTAGTAGATCTCTGGGTGTTTTCCAGTTGATCAGCAGGGATTTCTGACTCCTGATTATTTATCAACAGCAACACTAAAATGACACCCCCCCTACCCATTACCCTGTTGAAATTAACAAAGCTGGAGCAGCTGAGGTTATAAAGAATGGGGTTTTCTTTGGAAGAACTGTGAGCTCAGCTCTGGTCTTGGAAATAAATCCCTGGGGTCAGGATTCCTTAGTTCTAAATACATGCTTTTGCACATGGCTCTGGTTGGCTCTTGGAGATTATGTAAAAAATGAAGTATATCCTGCAAGCCTGAAGTTTGTTCATCCCTGATTTAAGATGCATTCAGGTAGCGGTTGGGAAACAAAGACACTTGCTAGCATTCACATTCTTTCCCACAGTTGCTTAAAATAATTTAGGACTAAATTATTACTCAGAAGTACCAGCTCCCTGCATTTAAAAGAATGAAGGAAAAAAGCATTTTATAAGAATTTAGAAGCTTAAAAAAGAAAAGATGGATAAATTCTAAAAGGAATTTTAGATTTATGTGATTTATGAGACCAAAATTGAAAATTATATTTGAGAAACATTTTGTTCAGAGAAGAATGATTCTGTTGATTATATGTAGAACCAAAAACATTAAGATTAAGCAGCAATATGTTGGAAATATTTACACAGAATCTAAAAAACTGTCATGTGGTAAGCCAGGACATTATTTATCTTGAAATGTACAAACCAGGAGTGTTATCTTTTTTCCAATCAGCATCATTAACAATCCTTTTATTGAGTACTGGAAGAGAGAGTGAAAATATGAAACTGCTTTTCTTGTGAATTCCTAAAAATGTATATATTGCTCCCTCCCACTTGATTTTTTTTTCATAATGAGCATTTTTTAAACATTTCATAAGGTTTTAAAAACAGGCATAGTGCAGTTGTAAAGCGTTTGCTCAGCTGCTAATGCTGTTCCTGTAATTAAAAGCAAGTTGTATCTCACCTCAGTTAAGGTCCAGCTTTTAGATCCAATGAGATATCTGTAAATAGCTTTTCTTCCCAAAGCTGCTTTGATCTCCAGTATGGCATACCAAAAAATTGCCTTCGCACAGTTGAACTGGAGTTATTTGCTGGTATCCCTTTGTAACAGTAAACACTGCATCTCTGCATCTCAGCAAGCTCTGCTCTTGAGTCATAAAAATACTTCCAGTATTGTGTCCATCTATCCTTAAGCCACTTTGTGCATATAATATAATTTTCATAAAATTCTGCTTGAAAATTCTGTGCTTTAAAATCTTTATTAAAAATCAAAATCTACCCATTACTTAAAATGAAAATTCAAGAAAGGATAACCATAAATTTATCATGCTAAGTGATAGGAAAACCTCTACATGTTGATGAGCACTATAATTTCTAAATGTCAAGTTAATTGAATGTGACATTCAACATGAAGTGCCCGGAGAGAACCTCTTTGGAGGGGATAGGATTAGGTAAGATTACCCAATAGCGTGTCTTAATTCTTTTGTTGTGGTGGTGTTACATACTGTTGTAGTCAATTTTGTTTTTATTCAAGTTATGCTGGCTAGACATCGTTGTAACAAAATGAAAGAAGTTGGCTTTTAGTTCTGTTTAAGATATTTTGGCAAGTTTCCAAATCTATGGTATGGCTGGCCAACATGAGACACTAGACTTACAAACGAAATATAAGATTTATTTTGTACGATTCCTGACTAATAGGCGTACACTATTTTTTTTAACAAAAGCTAAGAATGTCTATCATATCCTTGTGTTTAGGCTGCGGAGTGTCAAAGGCTAAGAGGTACAGTATACTTTTGGTAGTTTTTTATTACATATAGTCTGTGGTGCAGTAATTCTGCAGTTGTTTTGACTAGAAATTTTAAAAGGTCCTGTAGCATTATATTGAAGAAATATATGTTATTTGGTATATACAAAGTTGGGGTTTATGTTGCCAGTATATAGCGTTTGGATGGTATTTAAAATAATTGCACTATTTATTAACGCAGTCAGGTGCTGTACCGTATTAACTGCTTATGTGATTTCATGCTCCAGTTTCTCTAGTATGGGTAGTAAAATGCTGCATATCACTTTTAAAATGCTTTTTGTGTGTTCTGTGTATTTCTGTAGTCTTAACTGCTGGACTATATGCTTCATAATGTTAACAGTCATCTTGTTGTGAATATATGGGAAGAATTCAACTAATTTGTTCCTCATAATATTTTGGATAGTAAACTGATTCACTGTTTGCCAGAGGATAGTTTTGTCATGTGGATTTACAGCTGGTTGGAATGATATATTCAAAGAGTGCATATCAGTAATTCCTCATCAATCTGGTTTCAAGTGGGGTGCAGCAAGTCCTTGTTTTAGGCCTGGAATTCTTCAGACTTTTATGTGTGACTTAGACGAAAGGGTGTATTAACTAGTTTTCAGATTTGAGGATGACAGAAAACTGGGAAGGATAGCTAACTCCTCAGAATACAGTAGCAAACCTAAAATGTTCTTGATGGAATGGAAAACTGACTGAAACATACAAAATCAAATTCCACCAAGGTATATACAAAGTTCTGCTGTGGGGTGGAGAACCAAATGCATGTGTAAAGAATAGAGGATTCCGGGCTTGGCAGAAAAAATGTGAAAAGGATCTCTGGATTGTAGTCAATCACACATTGAACATCTGGTTGCTGTACTTTACCAAGGATAAAAACAAATTGCAATGGGTACAATGGACAACTACAAATATGGTCAGGGGTGTGGAAAGCAAGTCCTCTAAAGAAAAAACAACTGAGGGTGTTTAGCCTGAAGAGAAGAAGATTTTGGCTTGGGGAGACACATGATGGCATCGTTCAAATACCTGAGGGGCAGTTGCATAAAATGAGGTAGGGCTGGATCTAATGGACTAATATAATGGAAGGTAGATTTCAGTTGAACATTATCAGAGCAGTTCAGCATTGGAACAAATTACCTAGATGGATGGTGAGCTTTAGCTGTAGTTTTTCTAGCAGAACATATATTGGGGATGCTCTTACTCAGGATTTCTTGTATTGAGCAAGGGGGTTGACTAGATAGTCTGTAAGGCTGCCCCCAGCTGCCTCTGTGATTCTAACATGGGCTTCAAGTAAAGCCTGTACTGCAAGGAACTTGATTTTTAGTCTTCTTGCCTGTTTTCTAGTCATTATTATATGTAATTACATCTTGCTCCCCACCTTTTTCCTTTTTCCTCTGCGATAATATGCTCAGTGTTCTGACCTGGTATTAAGTATTGGCTTTAACCCACTTAACAGGCCGAGCTCTGTAGAAGCCAGAGAAAGAGGGATGGAAGATTTCCATGGTCTGTCTTTCCAGGCTTCTTCCAAATAGTTCAGGCAGGGAATGAGGAAGGAATTCCTGCTGGCTGAATTGTACCCAAGAGAACTGCAGTCCAACTGGCACGAATAACTTGTTCTTTCTCCTTCCTGTAAAGGTTGAATCCAATAATATTTATGTGTGAAAGTTGGCTGGGTAAGAGCTGAGAACCTAAACATTATCGAACACCAGAGTGACACATTAGGGGCCTGAGTGCAAGGATTATGCTTTCTAAATGAAAAGACCCTTGTTGTGTTGTTTTTTTAAAAACCCTATAAATACTCCGCATGATATACAATATCACCTGACTTGTTAAATTGCCTGTTCTGGAAATTCAGGCCAGAATCTTGATTTTGAAGCAATCATGGAACCAGTTCTAATACAGCATCAGTATTGCGGTCTATGCATATCTTCCATGTGTGTTCCCCCCCACCCCAAATAAATAAAAACAGGGTAACTGTCAGCACTCTTTCAGAGAAGATGGGATTTTACATCTGATTTTAAGAGCTTGCATAGGTGGCAAAACATGCACTTACGTTTCTTATTGTAAAAGCCCAACACTGCAACCAGGAATCTGGAATTAAATACATAGAGGGTATATTTTGGTGGTACAATTAATTTTTAATTTAAATCACATAGCCACTTGAGCTTCATCAGCTAAGAGATTCACGATCTTCTTTCCACTTTCCATGTTTCTGTGTTGAAGTCACAACATAACGGAGCAATTCAAAGCATGCAACACAGCAGTCTAGTAAGGTCCAAACCAGACAGAACAGGTGGTGGCAGCAGCAGGGGGTAGGATATCAGTGATTTAGGTCACCCACAGTTCTTGTTTAGCTGTCCCATGGGGCTATGTTGAAGACTGGGACTGTGGTGCTCAGGAAGAGGGGATTTAACCCTTTCAACCCTTTCCATACTCTTTCCCCAATATAAATCATCTCATTTATTCCATTGGGTGGAGAGGGGTTGGGGAGAGAACTTCTTCCACCACTAGGCATACGTAGTGTACAGTCAAGACATACCCAAATAGACATTATATACCAGGGGCCTTACAAATGCACGAACTGCAACTTTTTGTTCTGCACTACAGTTTTGTACTCTAATTATGCTTACCACTGTAATCTAAAACCTGTTATGCTTGATTAAGGCCTTTTTGGTAGCTTAAAACATGAAGCAGTGTCTGCTGCTTATGCAGGACAGGCACAGAGATATTCAACCATCAGTCTAGTCAATTGAACTGAAATGTAGCCTTGAAAATAACCATTACAGTGGTACCTCGGGTTAAGTACTTAATTCATTCCGGAGGTTTGTTCTTAACCTGAAACTGTTCTTAACCTGAAGCACCACTTTAGCTAATGGAGCCTCCTGCTGCTGCTGCGCCGCCGGAGCACGATTTCTGTTCTTATCCTGAAGCAAAGTACTTAACCCGAGGTACTATTTCTGGGTTAGCAGAGTGTGTAACCTGAAGCGTATGTAACCTGAAGCGTATGTAACCCGAGGTACCACTGTACTGGCTTGGAAATCAACCCTTGCATCTGTTGTGTGAAATGGGCTTCACTGTAAGGTCCTTAACTGGGAAGCTAGTAAATAAGTCATGTTTCTGGCTGCATGTGCTGAAAGAGGTTCCTCCAGGTAACTAGGTGTGGATTGTTTTCTACTGAAAAACAGATACTTAACCTCTTCTTTCAGGCTATTGGTGAGCTGCAAAATGACTAATGATGTGTTGGTGGGCTACCAAACATGTTTATTAAGTGTATGTGGTGCTTAGGATTGCTGCTGCAACCACACCCTCTGCTTTGTATAATAATGTACCGTATATGTAATAAGGGGATCAGCTGTTCCAACAGTTGTTCTAATTGGAACTTAATTTTAATTTTGCAAAATCATATGAGTGCTTAAGTGTGCACTTGAACTAAGCATATTTTATCTATGTTTCAGTAAAAGTGCCTAGCAAGGGATTTTGTGTGGGTTTTAGGTAGGTCTTAATGACAGCTGCAGGGAATAGCAGGATATTGGAACTCATGGCATCTTGCATTCCATCTCTGCAGAATGGAAGCTTCTTGCCTGGAGCTTGCCTTGGAAGGGGAGCGGTTGTGTAAAGCAGGGGACTGTCGCGCTGGTGTCTCTTTCTTTGAAGCAGCAGTTCAGGTTGGAACAGAAGACTTGAAAACCCTCAGTGCAATTTACAGCCAGCTGGGCAATGCCTATTTCTACTTACATGAGTACACAAAAGCTTTGGAGTATCACCACCATGATTTAACCCTTGCAAGGTAACTTTAAATTTTGATTCCTTCAGGATCCTCTAGATAGCAATTACTTTTTCTGTTTGTGAATAAACTTTGTTCAGTGAAGTTGACCAGATATACTTGACCATATATTGAACACATGATAATGGAATGTTGCTCGGTATAATTCTGTCAACAGAAATTTCTTAGGCTAATTTCTGCTAATTATGTGATGAAATATGCTAATAGGATTTCATGAGAGCGGCCACAGATGTGTCCAGGGTATTATATGTAAGCAAGGCATGCATTGATCACTAATACACACTTAATTTGACTTGAGTCTTAATTTGTATTAGTTGTGTATAACGAATCTTCCTTCTGCCACCTGCATATCCGAAAATACAACCTTAGAAAGCATTGTGTAAAATATCTACTGGAAATTAGTTTTTTCAAAAAGGGTTTCTTGACACTAATATTGTGGTGGTGGTGTTAATTAATCTTCATTAAATTTTAAAACACACACTGTTTTACTCTCAAAACAATATTATACACTTCAAAGAAACAAACTGACAGAGCATAAGATTGGCAGCCGGTAAAGTACTACATAAAGAAAAACATAAATATATAAATGCAGTTTATACCATATCCAAAACATATCCATCGGGCACATAAGTTTGTTATTCATTCTTCTCGTTGTTTTTAAAAATATTCATTAGTTTTTCTAAGTCCAGGTCCCTTAGTGAACATCAAGAGCTGCAGATGATTTAGGATAAAGGAAGGGAGGTCTCATAACAAGACCTGAGCTGGCACGGGCATGTTAGCTCCCAGCAGGACTGAGGCTAGTTGCCTCAGCATTCATTCTTCTTATTTTTGCAAACATTGTATAGACAGGGGGTTCCCATCTGGGCATGTAGATGGTCACATATTCTCTCTTCTTCTTTTTTTACTTTTACTTTAAGAATGTATTTTTCTACAATAAAATGGTGCTTATTCTCAAGTAAATGTGTTTAGCATGAGGACAGCAGAAGCTTTGGTTTGATTTTTGCACTAATGTAGTAGAAATGTAGAAGCAGTGGTAAAGCATAGAGTGGTGGCAGGGAGTTGGGGAAAAGAGAAATATTGTACACTTCAAAATTGAAGTAATGCACATAGCTTTCTAAATCCACCACCAACCCCAGTAAGATCATTAAGTTCAGGGTATAAAATTACCTAGCTGCACCAAGTTGTAATTGAATTCTAAATTATAGTACATTTACTGTGCAATACTATGCACATGTACAAGTCCTATTGTTTTCAGTAGTTCTTAACATACTAGTGAGAGCATTTAAAATTGGAGCCATAGCATTGTAGCAGTTTGACCAATGTTAAAATATCTCCAAGCAGTCTTTGCAAAGCCATTAGCTGGAATTAATGTGATCATGGGTTTTCTAAAATACATAAATAAGGCCTAATACTGAGTAAACATATTTAGGATGGGACTCAAGTGTGTTCAAATTGTAACAAACATATGGTAACTAATGTAGATATTTAATAGGAAAATATTTCTGTTTAAGGTAGGTTGAAGTCCACATACGTTATAAAAGTGGCAGAAATGAGTTCATATTTCTTTTGATTTTCAGAACCATTGGGGACCAGTTAGGCGAAGCTAAAGCAAGTGGAAACTTGGGAAATACCTTAAAGGTCCTTGGAAATTATGAAGAAGCAATTGTCCGCTGTCAGAGGCACCTCGACATTTCTAGAGAGCTAAGTGACAAGGTAAAAACACTTGCTATATTTAGCACTGTTAAGGGGGGGCGGAGACAGGAAGTGTTCTTTTAAACAAGGTTATAGCTAAAGATTTATTTGGTTCAAGTGATTTCAGTTTTGTTCAGTTCCCCATTCTCTTTATACCACTGTTTGCCCCTCCTGCTCCATTGGGAGTTTCAGTCCACAAAATCGGGAGGGTACCACATTTACTGTCTCTGTCGTAATAATACATTTGCTGTGTAGAGAACAAAAGAGCATCTCATTCTAGCTCTCTATAACCTTTATGGAAATCTGGGGTACCAATCCAGACTGGTCTTAAACACCACTCATCATTTTGCTTTTCTTAACCTCTTCTCGTGCCATTCGTCTTTGTTAAAAGCAAATCGGTGTAGAAATCCGCCGGTTGCATGAACCATGGGAAATCGTTCATAACCAAGTGCTTGGTAGCACCTGCACATTCCTGAGAACTTGTTTTGATAGTCTAAAAAGAAAGTTTTGTGCCTACCGATCCAGGTAGCATGTGTTTGGATCATTAAAAGAGGTCTTTGTGGAGTTCCTGTAGTCTGCAGATGTGGCACCTGATAAAACATTTTTGCAAATATAGTGAGCTTTCTTGGGGAATGCTGTGGTGAAATGGCTCATCAGAATTGCAGGAAAGGAATGATTGTTTAGTATAAATGGGAAGACATCCATTGTTGAATAGCTGAGAAATGTGCTTTTATATGTCTGACTGAAAGCATTCATAAGGCAGTAAGTTTGAAATTCATTTCCAGCCTTTTCTTCTTTAGGTTGGAGAAGCAAGAGCACTTTATAACCTTGGAAATGTATATCACTCCAAGGGTAAAAGTGTAGCTTGTGCAGGTACCCATGATCCAGGAGAGTTTCCAGATGATGTTAAAGCTGCATTGCGGAAAGCTGCAGATTATTATGAGTAAGTAACAAAGGGAGCGGGGAGAACTATTCTTGGAAGCGGAGTTGATGTAGCTTAAAATAGTGTTTATATCCCTTTAAAATGTGCTTTATATTAGACATGCTTTCAAAACTGTGTTTCTAATTCCCCCTCTCTATATAATAAGCTCTTTTTGTTTGAAAATTTGTTAAAGTCCAAACACAAAAATAAATTTCAAAAATAGAACATAAGAAACATTCAGATGAAACCTTGTCTCTCCAGTTGCAACAGCTTAATTCTGGCCAATAAAAATGCACTTGCTGATGAATTTCTAAGGAGGGAAATGTCAACAGTTATAGAGTAACTGTCATAAAAGCTGTTTATGTGCCTTATCAAAATGAAATTAATTCACAGAGAGCACAGTGTAGGACACACTTTCAGTTTATCATAGCAGTCACAATGGTATGTACTGTTTCGTTCAAGATTTTATTAGTTACCAAACTTAGTCCTGCATTGTACCTGGAACAGTACCAGAAGCCAATGAAGGCTTGTCAAGTCAAAACTATATGGGTTGTTGCTTCTTAATAATCTGCAAGGGCTATCACACATTAAATGCATTTCACTTTGAGGTTGTTTCACTGAATTTGGAAGAAAATATATATACAGTCATACCTCGGGATAAATATGCTTCAGGTTGAGCGTTTTCAGGCTACACTCTGTGGTGACCCGGAAGTAACGGAACGCGTTACTTCCAGGTTTCACCGCTCGCGCATGCGCAGACGCTCAAAATGACATCATGCACGGAAGCGGCAAAACGCGGCATGTGCAGTTGTGTGTTATGTACTACTCAGGATGTGAACAGGGCTCCGGAAGGGATCCCGTTCACATCCAGAGGTACCACTGTGCAGCCTTTATGGAAAAGTCCTGCATGTCACTCCCATTTGAACTCCATCAACACTTTCCTACCCCAAGTCATGAGATCTGCTGACCACTGGTTTCAACAGTATTTGGCTTCAGTCTGGTGGCACACATCCCATTTCAAACCATGAACATAAATTTATGAAGGAGGAAAATGAAAAAACAACAACTGTGTAGGAACTTTTAACAGTACCCAAAGAGAAGCAAATTTGCTTTCATTTTGTCTATTCTCTTCCATGTTTTTATCAAAAATGTACATTTCCATGAGCTGATAACGAACCAGGTTGTAATGTGAAAAATAATTATAAAACAATAGTTAAAGAGACCTTGTTGTTCTCATCAAAAACACCATCCACTGAATCTTTAGTCTGTGTACCACCCTACTTTTACAAGCCTGATTCATGTAAATGTTTTTTGCATGAAAAAGCCTCTAATAACTGATGGCTTCATCTGCTCATCTCCCTATTTTTCCTGAATATCGCAATGCAGAGAGGAGGAAAATGGAATTCTGTTTTGGTGAATTTCTGCTCTTCAACAAACTGACCACATGTTTGTAAGCCTCCAAAATCTCTCTTTAGGCACAGGTGTCAACCATTTTGCACAAGGTTTTGTTTCTAGCTCGAGCGCACATAAGCCTGCCTTGCCCTGTTATGCCCTCTTCTAGGTCCACAGGTACCCACATGTTGGCAGTCGCACATCTGTTGAACACGTTCAAAGTGGTCACCACCTATATATGCAACAGCCCTTCAAGGGCAGAATGACAATAAGTTGGGTTAGGGCCCTCTTCCTATCTCTGGAAGGCAATAAAAGGACAGCTTTGGATCAGGGCTCTTGTGAGGGTGAAAGCATTAAACCACCTAATATTGATGGCTTCTAGCAAAAGTTATTAATGTATTGTGGTCATCGTGTCAGTTCCATGAGCAGGAAGAACAGCCACCTTCATGGCTGCTAATTGTTATGCATTTCTAACATAAACCTTTTAATTGTTTTTATTTTGTTTCCCTGTTAAATAGGGAGAACTTGACATTAGTGACAGAGCTGGGTGATAGAGCAGCCCAGGGACGTGCCTATGGAAACCTGGGGAATACTCATTATCTTCTGGGCAACTTCAGGAGTGCTGTTACTGCCCATGAACAGGTACAAGAGAGTGCTGTGTTCACGTATAACACTAACCCATGGTTTGTTTCAACAAACCAGAAGTCATCCTGCAGAGCCGTGCCTTGTTTCTCCCAAGCTTGGTTTGTTTTCTGACTGCTCTTGCTTTGCTGTATAGATTGGTGAGCATCTGGGGTGGTATGGCCAAAGACTTTTTGGTTCAGACATAATGCCACACAATAGTCTAAATAAGTCTATAAGCCAAGAACAAACCATGGCTTTATTGCCAGAAAACAAACAATTGTTAGTCAACTGGGCTGGGTTCAGACAATCCACACTTTGGCTGAAGAAACCTTGGCTTGGTGTTATGTGCATGACATGCCAGAATATAGTGATAGTTTCCAGCATGATGTATTCTGCACCTGTCATTTAAAAAGCAGGTTTTTATTATTGCTACTATTACTATTATTATCATCTGTTAACTCCTAGTGATGAAAGATAGTTTGTTCAGGATTCCTCTTTACAAAGAATCTGTAACAATGTATGTTCTGCAGAAATAGCTGAATTTTTTATTAAAAGAAACCCACAGTAAGCATAGCTGTCAATGTTTCCCTTTTTAAAGGGAAATTCCCTTATTCCGAATAGGATTCCTCACAAGAAAAGGGAAAAGTTGACAGCTATGACATTAAGGTTTATTTGAAATCAGTAACCTGGGATTCTAAAATTTTGTGCTACATATTAAATTCCATCCTTTTACAGTTCACAACCACTTACTGGATATCAGTATGAACCATTACAAACAGCAGACTTAAGAATTTAAAAGTTGTTTTACTTTGAATTTTTCAGGAAAGAGTTACTGTTCCTTCTTTCAGGACACAGTAGTGGGCATATGGGTTCCTAACTATTCCAGAGGAGGTAGTTGTCTATCAGAAATTCACAGTATTTGACAACAGAACCTTTCTTTTTCAGCGCCTTTTAATTGCAAAAGAATTTGGTGATAGAGCTGCTGAAAGAAGAGCCTACAGCAATCTTGGAAATGCTTATATTTTCCTTGGAGAATTTGAAACTGCTGCCGAATACTACAAGTTAGTCAATATATTGTTTAATTACCTAACCAAAGTATTATTTTCATAAGTTTTCCAATCTTTCTAGTTTTAATTATAAATTTATAATCCTTCAGATTTTAGCCTATCTGGTAGGTTAGACTCAGATATAACTTGCCCTGGACTACCCAGAGAATACTATATTTGTGTGAGCCTGGATTTCCTATTTCTAACTCCAAATCTGAAGCTACTTTCAGATTTAGATGTTTTATTTGAATATTGATTAGTTGTCTCCTCTTTCCTGAGTTTAGTTAAGATCTTTTCAAAAGGTCAGTATTGGCAGTCCCCCCCTTGAAAATTAAGACCCTCAAAATCAGTTTTTATTAGAACATATAAACAATCTGTGCCACTGTGAGAACAAGATGGGCCATTGGCTTGATTCAGCAAGCTCTTCTTACATTTTTTAATGCTCTAAACTATCTTAAATCATCTAAGGATCTAACAAATGACAGCTGTTTTAGAATATCATTTTAGGAAAATACCAATATTTTGGGAATGGTCAGTGGTAGAGCATCTGCTTGTGTGTGCAGAAGGTCCAAGGTTTAATGCCTAGCATTTCCCATTAAGACTGGGAATGTCCTCTGCCTGGAACCTTGGAAGAGCTGCTGCCATTCACTGTAGACAAGCCCTGAGCCACATGGACCAATGGTCTAACATCCTGTGTTTATGTGTTCTTACCCTATGGCTTTAGACTGCAGCACTGGTTCTGTGGAAAATGTACCCCATTATTTGATTGACCTGTTTTTTCTGCAGTTTATACAAAATCCTTAGATCTAGCTGTTGATGGGAAACCTAATTGGTCTGAAATGCAAAGTAGGGTGACCCTGTTAGCAGTGGTGATATTTGCTTTGGTAGCTTCTAAATTTTGAGCCAGTTTTCTGCTCTCTCAGTAGCATGATAAATAAATTATATTGTTTTGTTGGAAGTTATTACTATTTTGTTTATTTCTTTGTTGTGACTTCTAGTCTAAACAATAGAGATTGATTGATAAAGACCCATTGTATGTTTGTTTATGCATATATACTATTTGTCTAAGGAAAAAGACTGTTTTGGAAATGGGGAGATAACTAGCTTTGTATAGGATTATATTTGTATATTAAACATTGAGAGCCACTTGAACTATATGCAGATACATTCTTGTTAGTCATGTAAGCGAAGATTATTTCTAGCTGTTTGTACTTTTAGGAAAACACTGCAGCTCGCCAGGCAGCTTACAGACCGGGCTGTAGAAGCACAAGCTTGCTACAGCCTCGGGAATACATATACTTTACTTCAAGACTATGAAAAGGCCATCGATTATCATCTGAAACACTTGGCAATTGCTGAAGAACTGAATGATAGGTAAGGCTTTTAAAAGTCCACTGTTCATTAACAAGAGAGAGATCTTTTTGAGGGTATAAAATTAAGTTCCTATAGAATAATGGTCCTATTCAAATAGACAAAGGTCCAAAGGTGCCTAAGAACCTGCCCCTGCCCCTTGGGATTTTCCCCTCCACCCTTTTGAACTGTAGGTGACCATGCCATATCATAAACTCTTTTGAAAATTCCCTTCAGTTTTGTGCAGTGACTTGTCCTTTGATGTGCTACTTTAGAAACAAAAGCCTGGGTTCAATATCTAAATACAACTCTGGAAACTTCAATAAGCACTAATTATTTTTAAAAGTTGTGAGATTTGCATTGGGATTAGCCAGCTTTCTGTCACTAAGCTTTGTATTATGTAGCTTTAGAGCTTTTAATTGAAATTGTGCATTAATGAGATTTTGTATATTCAAATTGAATAGAAACTGTTACTGAGAACCAATTCATTTAAGTATTACTTTAATTGAGCAGCTTGTGGAAGTATGCGTGTTCATACTTCTGATTCTCTACGGTTAACATATGAAGCAAAGAGAAATGGATCCCCTCTGCAGAGACCATAAAGTAATGCATTTGTTGACTGACGGTGTTAAGTGTGTTGTTGCCAGTAAATAAAACAAAAATAAAAGCTAGTTAGCTTTGTTCAGTAGCATTACTAAGAGCATGTAAACAGGACTTCCTCTCAGGAAGGGACGGAATCACAGAAGAGTTGGAAGGGACCCTAAGGGTCGTCTAGTCCAACCCCCTGCAATGCACAGAATCTCAACACATGGTCCTCCTCCTATTTGAACCTATACTGAATGCTGCTTAGCTTTGCAAATGTGCCAGCAGTTTCAGTGCTGCACCACTAGGAGGACTAGTTGATTCAACAGCCACTGTCCATTGTTCTCTCCCCATTCCTAGGGGGCTAACTAAATTTGAGCCACACCTCCTGACTTCACTGACTACTATAGTAGCTGGAAGAAAGCTAGGCATGTAAATTTGTAGCAACCTAGTGAGCTAGAGGGAGCCCCAGCTGACAAAGCATCAAGGTGAGTCAAGCAGATGTGCAGGTTTAGCAGCAGGGCAAAGAGGCCAGGGCACACGACTCTCTGCCCCTCCTTTCCTTTAACTAAAGTAAACCTGAACTCTCAATAAAAGTAACCCCTGCAACTGGAATGTCAGCAGGGGTGTGGGGGCTTTTCAGTGTTTTACACTGTCTAGTCACATGTACAGCTATCTCCCTTTTGGGCAGAAGTCACGGGTGTGTCCAAAGTGCAATGAGCACCTGGTTCTCTTGGAATAAGCTCATTCCCTTAAAGCTAAGGTGGCAGACCAAGAAAGCTAAGAGAGGCAGAAAACTCTGTGAATGAGACACGCAGGGATACTATAGTTGTATCCCACTCCCACACTGAGAGCTGTCCTGCTGTCAGGGAGAATGAGGATTTCTGGGAAGGAGAGTGTCAGAAGAAGAGGAAAACATTTCCTTAGAAAGGACCCATTCCTTGAGGGAAGAACAGTTATTTATGCCTGCATGCTCAGGATGCTTCTTTGGGTGGGGAGTGAAGAAAGTGGATGGAGAAAAGTGTTTTTCCCTCTTTGATAACACTAGAATTGAATGTTGGAAGATTAAGGGCAGATAAAAAGAAGTCCTTCTTCACACAGCACATAGTTAATTTAAACTATGGAACTTGCTCCCACAGGTGGCAGTGACTGAGAACTGCAGGAGTGAATGTTATTGTGCTCAGATCCTGCTTAAAGGTTTCCCACAGGCATCTAGTTGGCTAGCAAGAACAGGATGCTGGACTAGATAAAGGATTGGCCTGATGCATCAGGCTCTTATGTTCTTACTTGTTCATGGCCGATAGTGGTTTGTTTAAATGAAACATGGTCTCTGGTTCAGACATAAAGCTAAGCCAAGGATCATGATTTGTTTCTCACATGTGCTAGTGGGGAGTACAAAGTGGCACAGACCAGTGCATTAGCACTAAACTATTAACTAGTTTACTGTGGCATATGAACTGACTAGTATAGGAATGGGTCCTTACTGGTTTAAGTCAGTTAGAAAGCTAATGTATGGAGCATTTAATAAGTGTCATGCTGTTGAACTGTGTTTCAGAATTGGTGAAGGAAGAGCGTGCTGGAGTTTGGGGAATGCATACACAGCCTTGGGGAACCATGAACAAGCTATGCACTATGCCGAAAAGCATTTAGACATTTCGAGAGAGGTAGGTGGTCATATTACAAGTTGTTTGTGGTATACTCTTTTTATAAAAATTAAGTATGCATATACAGTGGAACCTTAGTTTTTGAACGTAATCCGTTCCGGAAGACCGTTTGAGTTTCAAAATGTTTGAAAACCGAAACTCAATATGGAAGCCTCAGTACAATGTTGTTGTTGTTGTTGTTGTTGTTGTTGCTTAGTCGTTTAGTCGTGTCCGACTCTTCGTGACCCCATGGACCAGAGCACGCCAGGCACTCCTATCTTCCACTGCCTCCCGCAGTTTAGTCAAACTCATGCTGGTAGCTTCAAGAACACTGTCCAACCATCTTGTTCTCTGTCGTCCCCTTCTTCTTGTGCCCTCCATCTTTCCCAACATCAGGGTCTTTTCCAGGGAGTCTTCTCTTCTCATGAGGTGGCCAAAGTATTAGAGCCTCAGCTTCACGATCTGTCCTTCCAGTGAGCACTCAGGGCTGATTTCCTTAAGAATGGATACGTTTGATCTTCTTGCAGTCCATGGGACTCTCAAGAGTCTCCTCCAGCACCACAGTTCAAAAGCATCAATTCTTTGGCGATCAGCCTTCTTTATGGTCCAGCTCTCACTTCCATACATCACTACTGGGAAAACCATGGCTTTTACTATACGGACCTTTGTTGGCAAGGTGATGTCTCTGCTTTTTAAGATGTTGTCTAGGTTTGCCATTGCCTTTCTCCCAAGGAGCAGGCGTCTTTTAATTTCGTGACTACTGTCACCATCTGCAGTGATCACGGAGCCCAAGAAAGTAAAATCTCTCACTGCCTCCATTTCTTCCCCTTCTATTTGCCAGGAGGTGATGGGCCCAGTGGCCATGATCTTCGTTTTTTTGATGTTGAGCTTCAGACCATATTTTGCGCTCTCTTTCACCCTCATTAAAAGGTTCTTTAATTCCTCCTCACTTTCTGCCATCAAGGTTGTGTCATCTGCATATCTGAGGTTGTTGATATTTCTTCCGGCGATCTTAATTCCGGCTTGGGATTCATCCAGCCCAGCCTTTCGCATGATGAATTCTGCATATAAGTTAAATAAGCACGGAGACAATATACAGCCTTGCCGTACTCCTTTCCCAATTTTGAACCAATCAGTTGTTCCATATACAGTTCTAATTGTAGCTTCTTGTCCCACATAGAGATTTCTCAGGAGACAGATGAGGTGATCAGGCACTCCCATTTCTTTAAGAACTTGCCATAGTTTGCTGTGGTCGACACAGTCAAAGGCTTTTGCATAGTCAATGAAGCAGAAGTAGATGTCTTTCTGGAACTCTCTAGCTTTCTCCATAATCCAGCGCATGTTTGCAATTTGGTCTCTGGTTCCTCTGCCCCTTCGAAATCCAGCTTGCACTTCTGGGAGTTCTCGGTCCACATACTGCTTGAGCCTTCCTTGTAGAATTTTAAGCATAACCTTGCTAGCTTGTGAAATGAGTGCAATTGTGTGGTAGTTGGAGCATTCTTTGGCACTTCCCTTCTTTGGGATTGGGATGTAGACTGATCTTCTCCAATCCTCTGGCCACCGCTGAGTTTTCCAAATTTCCTGGCATATTGTGTGTAGCACTTTAACAGCATCATCTTTTAAAATTTTAAATAGTTCAGCTGGAATGCCATCACTTCCACTGGCCTTGTTATTAGCAGTGCTTTCTAAGGCCCATTTGACTTCACTCTCCAGGATGTCTGGCTCAAGGTCAGCAACCACACTACCTGGGGTATACGAGACATCCATTTCTTTCTGGTATAGTTCCTCTGTGTATTCTTGCCACCTCTTCTTGATGTCTTCTGCTTCTGTTAGGTCCTTTGCACCTTTGTCTTTTATTATGGAAATCTTTGTACGAAATGTTCCTTTCATATCTCCAATTTTCTTGAACAGATCTCTGGTTTTTCCCATTCTATTGTTTTCCTCTATTTCTTTGCATTGCTCGTTTAAGAAGGCCTTCTTGTCTCTCCTTGCTATTTTTTGGAAATCTGCATTCAATTTCCTGTATCTTTCACTATCTCCCTCACATTTTGCTTGCCTTCTCTCCCCCACTATCTGTAAGGCCTCGTTGGACAGCCACTTTGTTTTCTTGCATTTCCTTTTCATTGGGATGGTTTTAGTTGCTGCCTCCTGTATAATGTTACGAGCCTCCATCCATAGTTCTTCAGGCACTCTGTCCACCAAATCTAAATCCTTAAACCTGTTCCTCACTTCCACTGTGTATTCATAAGGGATTTGACTTAGATTGTAACTTACCGGCCCAGTGGTTTTTCCTACTTTCTTCAGTTTAAGCTTGAATTTTGCTATAAGAAGCTGATGATCTGAGCCACAGTCAGCTCCAGGTCTTGTTTTTGCTGACTGTATAGAGCTTCTCCATCTTTGGCTGCAGAAAATATAATCAATCTGATTTCAATGCTGCCCATCTGGTGATGTCCATGTGTAGAGTCGTCTCTTGTGTTGTTAGAAAAGAGTGTTTGTGATGACTAGCTTGTTATCTTGGCAGAACTCTATTAGCCTTTGCCCTGCTTCGTTTTGAACTCCAAGGCCAAACTTGCCAGTTGTTCCTTTTATCTCTTGACTCCCTACTTTAGCATTCCAATCCCCTATAATCCTCAGTAGAATAGGGAAACTCAAAACGGAAGCCGCCTCAGAAGTTCAAGGACTGGGGTTTACATATTTGTGGATAGTGTATACAGGAACTTATTCAGTATGGATATGAAATTACGAAATGCTTTTGATTGCAGGTGGGAGATAAAACTGGAGAACTAACAGCTAAACTTAACCTCTCAGATCTACAAATGGTGCTTGGCCTAAGTTTCAGCACAAACAGTTCAATGATGACAGAAAATCAAATTCTAGATCATAGCGTGAATGGTAAGTATAAACTTCCATGATTATTTATTAAGATTTATCTTAATTAATCTTCAACACTCATAGATAGGCTGATACTTTGTGAGATATACCTCTCATTTTACTTGGGGAAAGTTTAAGACTATATATTTGCAATGCAATAAGGAAAAAGTTTTGCAATCCTTAATCTTCAATACTGGGTCTGTTCTTATATTCTGGTTTTAGAAACTGTTTTGGAAAAAAAACCAAGCCATTTTTCTTTTATAAGCACACCTATACAGTGGAGTCCCTCAGCAGAACTAGGAGATAATTATTGGTGATTCCCCCCCCCCCCCCCGGTGAAATCCACTGTAGAGCGCCTCTCAGCCCCAACACCACACACACACACACAACATTACAAAATACCCTAAATATCTGAAAGACCGCCTCATTCCTTACAGACCCTGCTGAGATTAGCAGAGGGGGTCCTCTTGGTAGTTCCTCCACCATCTGAGGCTTGGGGTGGTTGTGGCCTGTGACAGGGCAGTCTCTGTGGTGGCCGCTAAGCTGTGGAACTCCCCACTGAGTTGTATCTGGCAACTTCATTATATAGCTTTCAGGGAATGCTGAAGCTGCACCTTGGATTTTGACACTTCAGGTTTATGTTTTTAGGAGCCACCTTATTTTTATGGTTATAAGTTATTTTTATATTATGCTGTAACCTGCTTTGGGACCTTCAGGTGAAAAGTGGGAAATAAATACATAATTAAATCTTACCTTGCATGTAGGTGAGTTCTAATTCAATTATTAGTCTCAAGTAGTAATGATCTTTGTTGGTCATTAGACTTTAGAAGGTCCAGGTAATTTACCCTCATTGTACTTGTTATGAAGCTTTCCTTCAAAATAAACTATTTTTCTATCTTAAGGTGCAAGACCCCGAGTAGGACGCCGCCATAGTATGGAAAACATGGAACTTATGAAGCTTACTCCTGAAAAGGTTGGTGACTGGCTGAACATATTTTATGGGTTGGATCCGGACTACATTAGCTCCCACTGATTTTACAGGAAATGGAATTCAGCTAGGCATTATTAACTTAATATGGATTCAGCAGATTAGTCTTAATTGTCATTCAAGCTATAGGGAGAGGGGATGTGGAGGTTGTGGCACTCCCATCTACGTGCCTGCACAGTGCTGACCTGCCTGCTGCTTTGTCCCCCTCTCTTTCCTGGTGAGTGGTGGGGGGTCAGGTCTCTGGCAGCAGTGCTCCTCACTGACCAGTCCTCTGCAGTGGCAACCTCTGGATGTTAGACTAGCCAGAACAAGTTATGCAGGAAGTGATTTTGGTCAAAATGGGAGAATCAAAATCTGTATTTTTAACTATTTCTGATTGATTGTGAATCTGGCAATAAATGGCACCACTTGTGTGTGCATCTATAGCCTTCTCCCCCTCCCCTGAGGTTGTCAATACCTTATGCTGTATTTGATGTTTATGATCTGTAGACCAAATCAGCTAAACTGAAGCAGAGATTTAGTTGATTGACTACATATCAGGGATAGAAAATATTTTTCTTCCCTTTGTCTTGAGTACTGTGGGTTATTTATTAAGCCATTGTTTACAGAAGATGACTACATGGAAATACCAGAAATAGCACTGAAAGAGAGAGAAGATATATGAGTAGAACAGTATTAAGGGTAATAATGTATGGTTCTGTAATTGAGGCATGCTACTGGAAATGAAGGGTACACAAGTACATCCTAAGCAAGATGGAATGATGACTGATTGCTGTGCAGTTTGATGTTCCCATTGAAAATAGTGACCATGATTAAGTTTGGTCCATTAATTTCAGTAGGCCTACCCCAAGCAAAACTTCGTTGAATACCACCCTTAGTCTCCACACATGGGGACTCAAAGGGTAGGAGAAAAAGTTAAAAATAAAGAAGTTCATCTGTTGTTCCACTGTCTCCTCTTTGCTTCTGCTTTCTGCCACCCCTTGTGCCTCCACCCCCCCCATTTGCCTGGGGTCTCTCCTTTTTGCTGCACTTGATCTGTACACAGAAATGGGATATTTAAAAATTCAGAATACTTGTGTGTATCTGTAGTTCAGGAACAATCTAAGGAGGCAGAGCTAATTTAAGCAGGGAAAGTGTGATGTACAATTAGTATAATGAAGAAGGAATTGGCATCACTGCATGAACTTAATTTTAGGTCTTAAAAATTTATCCTGGACAATTAGTTTAGCATAGCTAAGTAATACCTGGGGTGCATACTACTTTCCTGAATGTAGTGCAGTGTCACAAAGAAACATTAAAAGCGGCAGCATCTTGTCCCTGGGAAAATGTGACTACCCTCTTGCCCAAAATTTGCATGTCTATTATAGTGAAACAGGTTGTAGTGGATACCGCTTGTAATGTTCTAACTTGGAAGGCTGCTTAGAACTTCAAGAGTGTAGGAATTGTTGCCATAGCAGGCTTCTTCCTGTTTTGATATGAGGTACTTGAATTTTTCAAGCTCTGTGGAGATATTGACCCAAATTAAACCAGCCACTTCAGTGTTAGTAGTGTGAAAATTAAGGCAGGTAGTAGTATTTTGTGCCTGAATGAGAGACTTTCTTCTGGATAGTTTCTTGATATACATTGTCCCTTGTTCTCTAGGTTCAGGACTGGAACAGTGAAATTCTGGCCAAACAGAAACCACTAGTTCCTAAACCTTCAGCAAAACTACACTTTGTAAATCGGTTAAAAGGCAAAAAATACAAAAACATCACATCTTCTAAAGTGCTTCAGGATGCTAGTAATTCTATTGACCACCGACTAAGTTCACAGAAGGTATTTGTGAATAAATATTTAATTGCTTGAAAGAAATCATAAAATTATAGTTTGAAAACCATTTTTAGAAGCATGTTGGTTTAACTTGTTTGAGTTAAAAAAAATCTTAGCATCATGATTAATGCTCAGGATGAAGGCAATTCTAAACATACTTCTTAGGAAGCACTTCTCATCAAGCTCAGTGGATATTTTCTAAATAAGCATGGTTAGGATTTGGGTGGAAAAATCCATTTGAAAATTTTGTTGGGTTGGAGTGAGAACTAAACATTTGATTATAAAACCTGTATCAGCTGCTCAAATACTGTGCTGGCTTTGTTAGGATAGAAATCGATGCTAGCGTCTTAGCCTTCATTGGCTCTTCTTCCCTCCCTCTTTCCCATGCTATTTATTTGTGCGTAGCTTTTTTTGTGACACGGGTAGAGGAAAAATCTCTCCTATTGTCTTCAAAAGTAACCAGTATAACTTTGGCCTGACTATTTTTTTATCTGACTTCTTAAAAGAACAGCCCTGATGTACCTGGAGATGAAGGGTTCTTTGACTTGCTAAGTCGATTTCAGAGCAACAGAATGGATGATCAACGGTATTGTTTCCAGGACAGGAACAGACTGGCAGTGACAACTTCTTCTGCACCATCAAGAACATTGAAAAAATGTAACTAATTTTAAAATGTGTATAATTCCCACCTTCTGACAGAATAGAATAAAAGCAGCATAATTATTTTCTTCTTCATCTTTCTGCAGCCTTTTCTACGTCCATGGTCTCACCTCACACTGATGAATTTCTAGATCTTCTTGCTAGCTCTCAGAGTAGACGTCTAGATGATCAGCGAGCCAATGCCAGTGATTTACCAGGACTTCGTCTTAATCAGCGCAACAGTCAATCGGTCCTTGGCCGCTTGATGGCCAGTAGCAATAGTGAACCAGATGATGACTTCTTTGACATTTTGATAAAATATCAGGTAAGTCTTGTAAATGGTGCTCTACATAGTATGTCATGTTTTGTAAACATTATGCAGCATGATGGTGCCATCTGGTTTCAGTGGGTTCTTAATGTTTTTTTTGATTAAAAAGTTAATGAATGCTCTCTGATAAATCTTAACAAAGCTCGTGGTGAGTCACCCTCAGATATATTCTTAAAATCAAATAGCTTGCCAAAATGCTGTAAGCAGATAAGGAAAACTTGAACTCAACTTACTGGATTTATAAGCAATCTAAGTTGGTTGGATGAGAAATAAGCAGAACATGCTCTGACTTGAGAATACAGCCCTCTGCACATTTCTCAGCTTCTGAACAGACTTTGCCTGACCCTCACAATTGCAGATTTCTTATGAAATCTCATTTTTTTCTCCCTGTTGAAATGACACTACATGTTACTAGAATTTTGTTTTAAAAGCTTGGATTGAAAGGAGTTTTCTGTATCAATATCGGCCCAGGACCGGTATGAGGGCTAGACCACTCTGGAGTCCCTTTGGCACCAGTGTGCCAAAGGAAAATCAAACTGCAGCCGGGCACTGGTGGCAGTTTCACACGCAATATACCACCAGGTGAAGCCACCATTGCACTCTGGCCATCGTACAACTGAGTCTAAGGGAGCCCCCACTCTGGCTCACACAAGGCAGAGACGTGGTGGGTGCTCTGCTAGATTTTGTCTGCTGAGGGGCAGGCAGCTGTGCACCCCAAAAGAGGTAGCCCACACATGCCAAGGTGGTGGTGAGGCAGGCACCTTGGCAGAAGGGGTTATCTCTTTCTCCCAGCCCAACGGGTGCACTGCATCTTTACTCCCAGGGTGACTCACCACACTGGGAGGAAAGGCAGACCCCCACCCACCAGGGCGAAGGCAGTCAGATGAGGGGTCTTATGGGGCAATGCAGTACAAAAAAGTGCCCTGTGAGCTGGGGGGACATGGGGCTTGGTCAGCTGGGGGTCAGCTTGGTTTTACACCTTTGTGCCCCCCAGATGGGCAGCGCATGTTCTCTCCACACCAGGTGTTGGGGCTGGAGGGACTTACTCCTCCCCCAGCACTGGGAACAAGCTGCATTGACGCCAGACTGTAATGTTTGGCTGGTGATACACTGTAATATAGAAAACCTGATATCGGCCAGCCCTACTTCCCAAGCATCTAACAACTAGCTGTGAATCCTGTGCAAGGGAGGAAAGTTATTTCAGTTGAAATAAAGTTTACTATAAAGCAAGTGATATTATTAAATTACCTAAAATGTGCAAAATATTTGCAGACTATTGAACACATTTCTTGACAAGGTGAAGGAGTGGCTAACGTAATATAGTGAAGGAGGCTTGGAGGGCCTTGCAAATTATAAGCAAACTGGGTAATTCAGTTTTTATCTAAAGTGCTCTGACTTCATAAGGACAAAATGCAAAAGAAGCTCTAGAGTCTTTCCATGACATAACAGACTATTCCAAACAAAGAGCTCATAGACTAAGGGTCTAGTAGGAAGAGATGGTTTAAATATACCGTATTTTTCGCTCCATAAGGCGCACCTAGTTTTTAGAGGGGGAATTCAAGAAAAAAAATATCCATCCCAGGCTTTGCTCAGCGCTCCCTTTCAAGAGCCACGCAGAGCGTGTGTGCAGCGCTTGCAGACCTTTCCCCGAGGAAAAGTCAGTGACGGGCTGCCCTTCTCCCTCCTTGGGGAAAAGCCCCCAAGAGCCGCACACACGGCTATCCCTAACTTTTGCAGGAGGTGGGGTAAGTGAGAGAGCCTCGCTCTGTCCCTTACCCCACCTCCCGCAAAAGCCAGGGATAGCCGTGCTCCACAGGGTAGCGGGATGAAGGCTCCCCGCTGCCCTGCGGAGGCTTCACGGGCTGCCACAGAGCTGCTAAGGAGCTTGTTGGGGCTGGCTGGGGAAGCCCGGGGTTTCCCCCCCCCAGCCCCAAAGAGCAGCTCAGGGAGCAGCAGAGAAGCTGCGCGCAGCCTTCCCGCTGCTCCCAGAGCTCGTCGGGGCTGGCAGGGGAAGCCCCGACCCCCTCCCAGCCCCAGGGACCACACATTCGCTCCATAAGACGCACAGACATTTCCCCATAGTTTTTAAGAGGAAAAAAGTGTGTCTTGTGGAGTGAAAAATGCGGTAGATTAGGAAAATTTGAAACTATTTTGTTCTTGTGTCACACTTTTCCTATCATGAAAGGTACAAAAATACGTTAGCTAATCTTTCAGATAAGCAGTTCACGTCCCTCAGTCCCTTCTTAAAATGGGTTCAGGTTGTGTTAGACTTTGAAGTATATGCTCATGCATACCTGAAAAGGTGTTCCTCTCTAATCTGGGCTAAGGCCTCTGTATCCATTCATGGTACACACTTGGGTGGAGTTCACTGCTCTGGCTGGGAAGTGTGACAAGATGCCAGATGAGTCCTTTATTCTTCTAGCTGGCATCCATTCTTCTCCTGTATGACAGATGCTGCATCAAGACAACCTCCCCACACCCATGGAAACATTGGCAGAGACTTACTGGATTAGAGACTTTAATATGCATCACTAACTTGTTCTAAGCAATATTTCCAATTTTAAGCCAACCCCCACCCCCCAAAATGACAGGCAAGCTGCTATTGATTATTGTACTTTATATTTATTATATGTGAAAAACCAATAAAAAGAATGAGAACAAGAACTCAACAGTAACCATGGAGAATAGCATACTGACATGTTCAAAAACACATATCCTATCACTTAAGATTTTCCAAATTTTTCTAGCACTTGTTTTCCAAGTGTATTTGCTGTGGAAGTAAAATAGTTTTTCCAGGATTTTGGTCTACAAAATCTTTTAACCAGCTTCAATTTGGCCAACATCTTTCACCATGTTACCAAATCAAAAAAAACCCCACCACAATTCTTTTCTTCCTTTGTCACTTGAGGAACAGACATAGTTGTGCTATATTGCTGCTTCTATGAGTGAATATTCAATCAGGACCACACAATGTATATGCTGTTTCTGCTGGGAAAGGACAGGAAACCATGGCTGACAATATTCTGCCAAAATGTGAATGTTACTACTTTTAATAGGTTTAACATGGGCAAACAGGATGAATTGAACTGTGGAATGATTAAACAGTGGATTTTAGCTGTAACTCCTATCCTACTTGTTTTGATTTTAGGGCTCTAGACTAGATGATCAGAGATGTGCACCACCACCAATCATCACAAAAGGACCAACTGTACCTGATGAAGATTTTTTTAGCCTTATTTTGAGATCCCAAGGGAAGAGAATGGATGAACAGAGAGTCTTTCTACCCTCTGATTTGAAGAGGGTAAATTCTAATTAATGGACTTCTTCAAAAGCACACCGAAGAGAAACAGATGGATTGTGGAATACTGGAATTCCTTTTTTTTTAATAATACAGGAAACAATGCCTTTAAAGGGAAAAGTTTATGGTACAGTTACTGCTGCCACAGCTTGAAAAAACATATCTAAAAATGTTTGTAAAAAGCTCTATAGAGCACTGTTTCAGTTTTCTCTCTGTAAATATTTTTTTGTTTCGTATGGTTTAGTGTTTAACGGTACTTTTCACATGAGCTTATGGAGAAAAATCCAGCTAAAATTATGTAATTAAATAGGAAAACTCTAGATTTAACCTCAAAAGTTTTTCTAACATCTAAGAAGTATAGAATGTTCCAAAACAATTGACAAGTATTACATTGTTTTTTTTAAAAAAAACACACACAAGAAAAATAAATATTTTCATACTAGCTAAACCTGCTGTTTTGTCTGTAAGTAAATGAACTGATCCAAAGAGAATGCCGTTGGTTCTTAACTCAGATAAGTTCCTTTTGTGGTAAGGTCCTATCTCCTACCCACCCTGGAGTTTTTTCAGCTATTCTAGTTATCTGTTGCTCCCATTTGTTAGGAGAAGTCTTCCATTATTTCCTGCCTGTTATTTGGTTTTTGGGGGTGGGGGCTAGATTGCAGGACTGTCATGGCTGAAGATGTGCTCTCTCTGTCAGAGAGCTTGCTTTGCATGGTCCTGTCTCCTTGAGGGACTGGGAAGAGCAACCCACTCGAGGTTATTCTCCTACCTTTGAAGAACATGAACTTAGATATGAACCAACATTCCTTTTCCGCAATGTTCAAGCCTTCCTCATGCAAAACATAACACCTGGTAAAAATTAGTTCTTGATCTTGGGGTAGGGGCAGGTCACAGCTAAATAAAAGTTCTCCTGTTGAACCTAAATAACAGCTTTTACAGATATGAATATAAAAGAAATTTCATTAGTAACATTTTGTAAGAGTTTATTTTGTTGGCAAATATTCTCCAAAAAAATCTTAACACAAATTTTAAAAGCATTTTACCAGTAGAGTCCCTTTTAGACTTACATTATTTTCTCATTAAATGTTTTTAAAATGTGTTGAAGTTGTTGTATGGAAACAAAGGTGCTTCATAAATATAATTTAGGTCTTCGAGGAAAAATGTGCCCTGATACCTAATATGCAAAGAAGTACTATAAGAATGAAAACTGACAAAAGTAGATTCACGAACATTTGTTGCTTAGCAGAGGCTTTTAAAAAAATCATTTCCCTGGTATAAGGAGGTCTATCAGGAAGCAGTGTTCCTCTGTTTTTGTTCCTGTAAATGAGAAGATTTAAATGAGAAGCATACAAGCCACAACCTTTCAGATTATTTTTAATTTCTGTTCCAGTGTAGAGTCAAATATTTAGTAATCTGTAATGGGCAAAGCCACTATCCTGGTACTTTTTGTAATGGTAGAAGGATAAAACTATGATGTCTTCAAACACAGACTACAGTGCCATTGTTTTTAAATGTACAGGAGGCCAAGGCTCACTGCTATGCCAACCTTTACCCCAGCTAGCCCTTCCCTATTCCCTCCACTCCAGATGCATTTATGTTTGCACACATGCAATTTAAACTCTACATGGGGAAATGAGTTTTGGTGAGAATTGGTAATGGAAACTGAAGCAGAACATTGCTGCTCTCTTCAGCTTAATATCATCTTCCACCGTGGCCAAGATGCTGTTACTTAAAGAATGCTGTCAGTCTCATTCAACACACTTGGGCAAATCGCTCTAGGCTGCTGTTTTTACCAAAGAATCTAACTAATCCTATGCACCATTACTCAAACTTAGTAGGGCTTGTTCTCAAATAATAGGCACATAACTGGGTCATAAGGTTACCATCTATACCTCCAGTACTACAGAAAGTTGTTGAATATGAGCACTGGGAATGGGGATATTGGTTTGTTTTTGTTCCTGTTTTTATTATATTATTATTTTGGGTTTTAATTTTGTATTTTTTGGCTGTGAACTGCCCTGTGATCTGTGGATTAAGTGCGGTATAAACTTCAATTAAAGTAATACTCTTAGATCCTCTACCAACAGCATAAGTTGGATGCTCAAGCATCACAGTACTAAAAACACAAACATACCCTGAACATCTTGTCTATGCTAATTTTCACGTTTAGTTTGTCTCTACTATGTCTTTTATGACTCTTATTATATTCAAATCATTTGTTCTACAATTCAAATATAGCATGTGTCTAATGCTAAGGAAGTGGCTTGGGCATTTCAGTCTGCATGCTCTAATTGGTTCAATAAAGAATTTACTCTTCCCTTAAGTTATTAAATATTCGATACAGTACAACTCAAAGATCGAACATTCATGAGACTCAATAGTTAGATCCATTCATTTTAACTGGACTCTTAAGTAGAGTTTAGTTGGATATAATCCTTTGATCTTAAGTCCGAATGAAACAGCATTTGTCTACTAAGCTTGATTCTAGTAGGAATCAGATATCTAAATGATTTAAGACTTCAACTCAGATTTGACACATTCTTACATTCTCTGAATTTGATAAATAAATTTGCCTGCATTACCGAGCTTTTTGAAATGGCTATATAAATAGTTGAAATAAGGCAAGACAGTGCATTCTTAAATCGCCACACCCTGTTTGAGTGTAGGCAAGATTATGCAGCCTAGAATGTAACATTGTTATTCTCAAATTGGCAGATAATAAAGCAAGTCCTCAAACTGCTTCTTTGTTGGCATTTCTGTGCAGGTCTTTCCAGCCTCTGCAGCAGGCAAACGAGGGAAAGACTTCTGTGTTTGCTCAACAATGCTACCTCACTAGGAAAGGCCGACTTGGCTGAGGTGTACATCCCCTTCCTGTGATACACAAAATATACTGTATGTTAAAACTTACAGTAAAGCTCAAATGTTCTACAGACTTCTCTGTGGGTTCTTCTAATTCACATGAGTGGCTCTCTTTCTTCTTACATCCTGTTATATCCGGAACTTCTTGCTGCACACTCCTGTCCTCTTTAAAGTAACATTTTGTTTCATCTTCATTGCCTCTTGTAAATTCGTGGATGTGGCTAGGTCTGTCCAGTTCAACCAGGCTTTGATCTGTGCTGTTCTCTATTCTATCAGTAGCTTGATTACCTGGTTTGGTATCTAATCCACTCTGCAAGAAGTAACATATCACTGAATTTGTGGAACAATATTAGGTTATCAAAAATCAACAAAAAATACAAACAGTGCAATTCCATACATATATTCTCAGAAGTAAGTTTCACTGAGTTCAATGGGGCTTAGTCTCAGAAAACTGGATATAGGATTGCGGCCTTAATGGGGTATCTCAATCTGTTATTTTATTTTTTATTTTTTTTATAATTGATATTTATTAAATTTTCAAAGAATAACAACAAAAATTTCCAAAAAAAATTTGAGGATACAAAAAACAAAAATAGTACATAAACAAAAAAGAAAAGAAAACCCAGCCGCAAAGAAAAAAAAAGAGAAACAGAAAAACAAAAATATAAAGTCCTTTACAATCTCTATTGACTTCCTTTCTAGACTTCCTCCTCCTCCCCTCTTTTGTTTCTTAATTTTTAATTTTTACAGCAAATCCTTTCTGTTTTTTCATAACAATCTGTCATTACGTTTCCTTATTCTATTTTCCCTCTTGTCATATAAAAACTTTAAAACTCATAGCTTATATTCAATATTTACCAAATTCTTGCATCATTACCTTTTTACGAATCATTTACCAATCCTTACTTAAGCCATGTAATTTCATTCAACATCCTTCAAACATTTGTAAGCATTCCCAATATTAAAAAATAAAAAGAAAAAATAATAAGTCAAATTCAGTCCAGTCAGCTTCCAACCTCCCTCCCCTGGACCCGGGATTGTCAGTCCTTTTAACCTCGATAATCCGGCTCCTTAACCTGGTTGTCTCGTATCCGAGGCCCTCAAGTCTCTTTCTTGCCCCTTTCGCCACTCTTGTTGATGATTCCTTTCCAGTCGTGGATGCTCCAGCAAGAAAATGCTTTTGACCCTTTGCAGCAAGTCCATCCCAAACCCATTGCCCAAGCCAGACAGCAAATAATACCACTTCAAATTTCCACAAAGCTTGGAGACTTCGGCTACTCCAATCCTCTGATAGCCCATCACCAGACTCGGAAGGTCCAAATAACCATATGGAGGGGGTCGATCCATCCCCCATTTCCAAATCTGACCACATTTCATCTTTCCGAATCTGGTTTGTCCCAAGTTCATTTATCAAGTTCAAAGGCTGATCTTGCCCGTCCAAAGGTCCCTCCATCTCTGAAGCCTCCGTCACTACAGCAGGTTCATATGCTTGTATAGCCTTTAACTGAATTTCATTTGTTTGCTGCTGTGCTCTGGTAACTTCCATCATCAAGGTCGTCTCCTGACGCATCTGGTCCAGCTGGGCACTTAGTTTTGAAAAACCTTCCAGGAACAATTGTTCAAGCCTTTGTACTAGCATTGTCCTTCAAGGTCAAAGAAAATTCTTTCCCACGACAATAGTCCAATAGTCCTTCTCTTTTAATCTCTCTGCGTTGCAATTTCACTAAATTCCACTAGATGGAAATTTTTTTTTTTTAAAGGAATAAAAGCAACAGCAACAATCTTTCTTTTTCCAGAAACACTTTATCCAAAATTCCCCTTCCAAATTCAAGAGGCAACAGTAGAATCAAAATGTTACCCTTCTTTTAACTAACTGTCGAGCTGGATAAACTTCAGAACGTCAATTCTGACAGCCCGCTCCTGGTTCAGGGCGGTGGAAAATTGCTTTATTTTAAACTCACTTCCGCAGGATTGAAAAGTCCAAATACAACCCCCTTCTTCTCCTGCAGTCAAAGGGGGTTCAGAAATCTTAGATGTTGAATTCTAGTTCTCTTAGAATTTAATTTTCAAGCTTTAGTATATTTTGTCTTTGCTTTCTTCACATAACAAAAGAACGGAAGGCGACTTCCTGTTTAGACCTTCCCATTCCGAGTCCCAATTAAGTTCAATTTCAAGTCCAATATTATTTGTTTATTCACCAGTCTTAAAAGTGGTTCAACTCTTCCAAGATCAGGTACTCACGGATAGATATTTTAGATGCCAAATTGTCCAGGAAAAGGCAGCGCTCTCCGATAACGGCAGTGCGGCTTTGCTGCACGGAGGAAGCAGTCGACTCACAGCACCACGCACCTCCACTCCGGAGCCCGTTACCGGGCTCCTGTACAAGGGAGAGAGCGCTCTCGGTGCCCGCCGAGTCCCACGTCCACAGGCTTCTTCCGCCTGTGGTTTTTGCGGGTCCCCGCTGCGCCGTAGCGGCAGGACCCAAGCCTCCGTGCAGCGGGTTCCCTTCAGTCCGAAGGGAATTCCGCCATTTTCCGGAGGCGCCACCCCGGAAGCCTCCTCAATCTGTTATTTTAGTAACGGTTTTACTGTGAAAGGTGGTCCTCTTTGGGTATACGTATGTATCATAAGTGAGATTTGACCATTTTCTCTAAACCCTGCGACAACAGATTTTGTCATACCTCAGTTCCATTCTGTGAACTCAGTTAGACCCTCTGATGCACAGAAACAGAACTGGACAAAGAAAAACCACTAAAGGGGACACAAATGACTCTCAATGAGAACAACCTTCTATGCTAAGACAACATTACTTTCTCCCGTGGGTGTTATGTGGATGGGAGAGCAACATGGCTGTCCACATATGAGAGATGGTTTGTTGCAGTATCTTTCTTGCAAAAGCTACCTCTGAAACAAATGGGTCTAATTTGTAGTGATAAGTACAAGTGTTACGTGTGGACAACATGGCTGCTTGCCATATTTTATGAATAGGGTGTTTATGGAGAAAGCTGCAGCAGCTGCAGCCCTGGTGCAGAAATGTGTAGTGCCTCATAAACCAATGAAATACAGGTTTTGATCCATCGAGAACTGCTGGAATTAGAAACCTTATTGCCTAAAGTGGTCAGGTGAAAAGAGGGAAATAGTGTGCTTATTTGCTTGAATGTGTTCATTCTATGTATGTATCCTGACAGCCCTGTGAATATTCAAAGAGTACCAAGCCCACTCAGTTGGGTAACGAGGAGAAGGAGTCCAGAAGCTAAGAGCTGAGAGGGAAAGATAGCTGAGACATTGCGGATGTTTTTTGAATGTGCCATACGCAGTAGAACATATTCTTTTCTACTGCCCATTGTACAACCAGCTACGCAAATGCATGCTATTCCCTTTTTTGGGTAGTCTAACATCATGGCACAATGAAAATATCAGATTCTATCTGTATGACATTAACCTGGAAGTAACTGCAAGGGTGGCGCTGTGGGTAAAACCTCAGCGCCTAGGACTTGCCGATCGCATGGTCGGTGGTTCGAATCCCCGCGGCAGGGTGAGCTCCCGTCGTTCGGTCCCAGCTCCTGCCCACCTAGCAGTTCGAAAGCACTCTTAAGTGCAAGTAGATAAATAGGTACCGCTTTATAGCGGGAAGGTAAACGGTGTTTCCGTGTGCTGCTCTGGTGCCGGTTCGCCGGAGCAGCTTTGTCACGCTGGCCACGTGACCCGGAAGTGTCTGCGGACAGCGCTGGCTCCCGGCCTCTAGAGTGAGATGAGCGCACAACCCTAGAGTCTGTCAAGACTGGCCCGTACGGGCAGGGGTACCTTTACCTTTACCTTTAACTGCAAGGGTGGCTGAGTTTTTATCAATAGTATCTCTCAGAGTGGTGAATGGCACTATTTAGCAGGAAGAAACTCCAATGAAAATCCTCATTATTACATATTTTTACATGGCTGTTTATTTGTATATATTTTATATTTTTATATATGGATGTTTCATGATGGGCTATATTTGTAATGCCTAATAAAGGTTTGGTGAAGTAAGATAGAGAATAAAACTAGATAGCAGAGAACAAAAGCTCTTCTGCCCTTTGATCAAAAAGGTAGTGCAGAGAGATAAACAGATAGATAACGGGGGAAAGGCAGTAAAAACGCTGCGGAGACTAAAAGGCTCCTCCCTTTAATATAAAACAAAACTATGACCACAGAAAAGGATATAAGCAGAAGGAGCATATAAAGACACCAGGTCTGAGAGAGAAAACAGAGAAACTTCAGAAAGAGGCAATCTACTGGGCCTGCTCCAAGCAAAGGCAGAAAACCAAGTGAGGTCTGACAAAATCTGTTATGTCATAGGGCTTCCAGGCTTCAAGCTACAAGAGACATCCAACACCCAAGGTAGAAAAGTTTCTTATAAATAACAGTCTGAAACATCTATTAAGTAAAAACATAGTATCAATTTGATATTCAAACATACTAGGAATTAAAGTGTTTTTCTTAAAGACATTTCATTTAGTACCCCGCCCAACATATTATCTATCAACTTACAGGATGGTCTTCACTGTTCTTTTTTTCTGTTTCTGTTTGTGAATTTACTTCTTCTGAAGACTGAAAAACAAGGTGAATCAAGGTCATTAAATAATTAAGGCTACAAACCCCCAGCTAGGTCTCACTGAACTGAATGAGATTGATTTCTGAGTAGACATGTTTAAGTGCACTATACATCTTATTAAACCTAACGTGTTTTAATAAGGCCAGCTCCATGCATTAAAACAACTGAAAACGGTTTTGCTCCAACTGGCTTTCGCAGCTGGATAAATGGGTCTTTACCATGAGTGTCTATTTTGTTTGGATTTTAGTCTTGCTTTAAATTTATTTGCTGTTTTTGATACTCTTATGTGAAA